TTCTTCATTTCATTGCTTTCATCATTGGTTCTGGGTTGATCTCCTCTTATGCCGGTATTTTATTGCACAAATATTTCAGAGGTGACAGTTTAAACCAACCATATGATAAATTCATCACCATTGCATTGTCCCTTTTATTCAGTGCTGCATTGCCAGCTCTCATTTTTGCTGTTGTCTTGGTGTTAAACTTTTTTGTTTGGGCTAAAGAATCATCTGCAGCTTTACCATTTGGTACAATTGTTGTCTTGTTATTGTGTTTCTTACTTATCCAATGTCCATTAGGTATCGTTGGTGGGTGTTATGCAAACAAGTACACTAAGGTCGATTTTAAAACACCTCCTCCAAGCCCAATGACTGAGAAGTCCATGTACTATACTACTCGTCAACCTAAAAAAGCTGGTAAATTTTTGGCTGTTTTATTTAACTATTTAAGAACTGTATGCATTTATGGTATTATTCCATTTGGTATTGTTTACGTTGAATTATTATTTATCTTTAATTCTGTTTGGTTGGAAAAAACCACATTTTATTTCATGTATGGATTTTTATTTGTTACTATTATTATGCTAATCATTATCATTATTGAATCAACTATTGTTGCCGTTTATATTTCCTTGGTGGTTTATAATGATCCACATTGGATTTGGTTATCATTCCAGGTTGGTTCCAGTCTTGGATGGTTCATTTATGGTTATTCTATTTATTATTATGTCAGAATTTTGAATGTTCAAGATTTTGTTAGTGGTTTATTATATTTTGTTTATATGGCATTAGCTTCTGTAATTATTGGTGTCTCCTGTGGTGCTGTTGGGTTATTGACAGGTTTATTATTTGTAAGAAAAATCTATGGAGCTATAAAAGTTGATTAAAAAACTATATATTAAGTATTAGTTTTTTTTTTTAACTTTGTATATTTTATAGAATCCCCACAATTTAATATTATAGTAATTTTAATTCTTTATTCAACTGATTGTGATGATTTGCGTCCGATGTTTCACAACATCCATAACCAATCACATCGTGATCAGGGATCAACCTCGTACAAAATCCGTAAACTGCAACCAATTAATCTTGTTGATCGTCAAAAACAACCTTCCCCCCTTTTTTTTTCTCTTTCTGTCACTTTGATAACAAACATATCCACTGTCGCATTTCTCTTTTGTATTTGTTAGCAAATAACCAACAAAAAAAAATAATAAATTACTATCTAAAAGGTCACCACAATTAAAAGATTACTTCGCTCTGGTTGCTTTTTTCCTTCTTCCTTTTTACTTCTTTTTAATATCCATTTTTTTTTGATATTACAACCAGGATACGAAATCTTTAAGACCACATATCAATCATGGTTTCCTTCAAGAACATCGCTTTAGCTACCCTCGCTGTGTCTTCATCCACTACCACCGTCAACGCGTTATCATTTACCAATCAATACTGGGACAAAGCTGTGGCAATCTTCAAGAATCCATCGTCCTTGATCCCTCAATACTCCCGAGTCGCTGCATTTGGCGATACTAAACCAGTGCCTGGAGATTCACCAATTGAGATCTGCGATTTCACCGAATCACAATTGTTAAAATTGACCAAAGTCGACTTGACTCCAAACCCACCAAAGGTCGGAACCAATTTGACGTTCACTGCTGTTGGGACCGTGGACCAGACCATTGAAGATGGTGCGTATGTAGAAGTCGAGGTCAGATACGGGTTCATCAAGTTGATCCACCAAACATACGAATTGTGTGACGAAATCACCAAAGTTGATTTGGAATGTCCGATCAAGAAAGGGGAGCATGTGATTAGCAAAGTGGTTGAAATCCCAGAAGAAGTTCCTCCAGGTAAATACTTGGTCACTGCCAGAGCTTATACTAAAGACGACGAGTATATTACTTGTCTCACTGCCACTGTCGTCTTCCCTGTTGAGTAGATCCATAGAGGCAGGAGGGGGGGCACTAATTAGAGTTGATTAGTTTAGTTAGAAGTCACTAGAAGTTGCAGCTTTATTTATAGAAAGTTCCGTTTTTCTTTTAATTCCTATACGTATAATGATATTGTCTAGTTTGATTGTAGTGGTCCCGCTCCCACGCCGTGCGAGTATTTTCTGACGCCGTCCTTGCAAATTAAACTCATTCCCTGCGATGCACCTGGCAACGAAGTCTACTCACATTCTCTCTGTGCGTGCCAAACAAAACTGACAGACCGACAAATTTCCCACCAACTAACTGACTACCACTCCTTCTGCCGTCACTCACTCATAGACACGTTAGGAACAATGGCACAGATCGAGGAGTACTTTTCTGTTCAGATATTCTTTATCATTCTCAGAGAGACTCTTGAAACAGCTATCATCATCTCGGTGTTGCTATCCTTCATCAACCAACGTTCGCACAAGCATGGCTCCCAGTCTCAGAACATAGCAGTATCATCGTCATCACCATCGACATCATCACCTGGTTCAGTGGACCCCGCCGATGAGCCACTACCTTCGAGTTCAACCACTGTCACCCCGGGACAGACATCCCATTTGGAGAAAGTGCATCGTAAGCTTAAACTTCAAGTATGGGTGGGCGCCCTTCTTGGGCTTTTCATTTGTTTTGTCATCGGGATGGTATTTACGTTGATGTTTTATTTTGTGGGACAGGACTACTGGGCATACACGGAACGAGTATGGGAAGGTGTGTTCTGCATATTGTCAAGTGTGATCATCACTGTGATGGGGATTGGGCTTTTGAGAATCAACAAAGTTATGAAGATCAAATGGTGGATCAAGTTGGGAGATGCGTACAATAATGAAGAATACGCAGAAGACGAAGAGGCAGAAGGCGAGGAAGAGATTGCCAAGTTAGGAGACGACGATGTGATGTATGAGGATAGTATGGCTAATTATGGAGGCACCAGGTCGAGCTCAGAGTCAAACACCGTGGAGGAGAACATCCCATTAACCGGTACGCCTGCTACTCCTGCAACAGCTAGAACCACAACCACAAAGAAGAACACACCAAGGAAACAGGGGTTCACCAAGAAATACTACCTTGCTATTTTACCATTGGTCACCACATTGAGAGAAGGGTTAGAAGCGGTTGTGTTCATTGGTGGCTCAGCCATGACGTCCACGGTATTTTCGATCATTGTGTCTGTTGTCTGCGGAATTGCATTTGGTTCCTTGATTGGGTACTTGCTTTACCAAGGGGGGAACAAACTCTCCCTTCAGTATTTTCTTATTTGCTCAACATGTTTTCTTTACATGGTCAGCGCTGGGTTGATCAGTCGTGGTGTCTGGTTTATGGAGCTTGAAAGATATGTCCGTGCATGTGGGGGCATGGACGTTAGTGAAACGGGAAGTGGGCCAGGTTCATATGATATCGCAACCAGTGTGTGGCATGTCAACTGTTGTAACGGACTAACTGACGGTTGGTGGATGGTGTTGAACGCAATTGTCGGCTGGACCAATTCGGCTACATATGGCAGTGTGATTAGTTATATGGCATACTGGTTGTTGGTAATTGTGTGGTTGAAAGTTAAGTTGTATGAAGAGAGGGAAGGTGTGTTGCCTTGGATTCCCGTAAGATGGCAACTCAAGAGAATTAGAAAGAAGATTAGATTGTATGAATTGAGGACCCGTCAGCAAGAGCAACAGGAGCAACAGAGAGGTGGTAGTGGTAGTGGTAATGAATTGCCAGAATCGCAAGGATTGTTGCAACAGGATTGAGTTGGATGATTATTTACATTGGTGTATATAGTGAACTAAAAGAAAATAGCTTAGATGTATTGGCCTAGTTTAAGGTATCAATTTTCGAATTTGAAAACAATTCGTTGATATTTAGCATAAAAATTGGTGTAAAACTCAACTCTTATTGTTTGAGAACGATGTTTCATGGTATCATTCTGATCAACTGGTCTTACAGTGTTCGTATAAATTATATAAAATATACTGTTTTATATTTTCGTTATCTTTTGAATTTATAAATTTAAATAGAATATGTAATATTATGAAAATGAAGCTTAGACCATTAAATCTATTCCAAAGAGGAAGCACCAGTAATAATATCAACCAATTCGTTAGTAATAACAGCTTGTCTGGTTCTGTTATACAAGATAGAGTAGTTGGTAATCATATCACCAGCATTCTTGGAAGCGTTATCCATAGCATTTCTTCTAGCAGAAATTTCAGAAGCGTAACCTTCAGCCATAGCAGCCAACAAGTTGTTAGCCAAAGAGAATTGAGAAACTTCAGAGGTAACTTCTTCACCTTCCAATTCATATTTACTTAAACCTGGAGCATTGGCAATAGCTTCGGCAGCAAAAACGGAGAATTTAGATGGTTCGAAACTGACACCAGAAACAAACTTGTTGTAGATAATTTCAACGTTTTCGTAGCTACCCAAATTAGCAATTTCATCAGCGATTAAAGCGACTTCAGTAAAGTTTGGTTCTTCTTTACCAATACCATTGAAAGCCAATTTGATTTTGTCAGAGTAAGTTCTCAACAATTGAGTTTTAACTTTGTCACCAATGGCAACAATGTCAACATTACCGTCCAATTCAGTGGTTCTCTTTCTGGTGGCTTTAGCCAATTGGGAGTGGATGGATCCACACAAACCTTTATCGGATGAAACAACAATCAATAAAGTCTTGTCTTCAGCTTTAGATTCTTCTTCAATAGCCTTTGGTTCAGTGTTTTGTAAGAATTCTTTGTCGGATTCATTGAAAACACGAGAAGAAGCCATAGCTCTTTGAGCTTTGTTCAATCTAGTGGAGGCAACAATTTTCATAGTGTTGGTGATTTTTTCAATGTTCTTAATAGATTTAAGACGATTTTCAATTTCACGTAAAGTGGCATAGTTTCTTGAACTGAAATAAATATAAATGTTAGTATTTGGATTATTTCTGAAATCAAAATAGGAATTGTGAATGAAAAATTCTCATATTGTTGAACAATCCCGTACTACAATTGATTGGTGGTAGGTGATGAATGTAGTCTCCCAATGGTATCTCAATTTTCTTCATTATAAATTCCATAACAATTTCAAACATACCTAACACGAACTGCTTGAGCAGCTTTTGGAACAGCTAAACGAAACATTGTTGGTTTGTTGAACTAATTGATGAAAATATTCAATGAAAGGATTTTTTTTTTCCTTCTCTTTTCTCAAAAGTACTGGTGGGATTTTTTTTTTTGTTAGTGCGTTCTTTGTTTTGTCAAGGGAAAACTTCGGTTTCTTTCTCAAGCTGTTGCGACGATTTCATTGGGCAATCATTTTTTGGTACAAGTCGCACTACCCAAAGTATACCACTTATATAGTGATTGCAAAACTCTACAATGTTTAGCAACTGCTTTCTTTTATACCTTTTTTTTGAATAATTTAATTTAAAGAATATATAGAAGTATATAATACTGTTCGTCAATAATAGTAGTAATAATTTAGTGGAAAAATAATAATAAAAAAAAAACAGGAATGAAAACAATCAGTGCAAAATTTCAATGTCGTACCCCATATTCTCAATTGATGATGATTACTCTTGAATGTATACCCAATTGAATATTCCATCCATATATGGTACCACATCTCGTGGAAATATTTCAATATCGCTTTATGCCTTCCTGGTCTATGCAAAATAAGAAAGTTTTAATACTGATAAATAATAAGAACAAAATATTTTTAAAATAACAAATCGATCCTTAATAAAAAAAAAGTCGACTTAAACACAAATCGACTTAAACCCAAGTCTTGACTATCACCTCTATTGAGAAGGATCATTCTTTTGGTATCCCATATAACCTTGGATTGGATAGTTTTCACACATTCTCATATACTTCAAGACCAAGGATTTACAATTTCTTCCAGCATCTTCTTGATGGTATTGTCTACATTTTCTTAATGCTTCATGTGTAACTCTTAATTCATAAACTCTGATCCATTGTTCTCTAAGCATGGACTTTCTGGCAGCCTCTACTTGTGTCAAGTTGTTATAGTTGATATCATCGAAGGAGACTAATTCTGGTCTTGTATGGTTTTCATAACTGTCTAAACGGCCTGTTCCAATAAATAATGGTTGTTAGTAATATGCACTTAATAAGAATTAATCATTGATTCAACACATACCCATTGTTTCTGTTATTTGATATTAGTGTATTGTAGGTAGAACTATCGTGCAGGGTAGTTGAAGTATCTCTCTGATTTTTTTTTTTTTTGACAAAATTCTCACTGTTTATTACAAATGCTGAAATTTAACTGGTTCTAAGCAATGAATCTCTGTGCTTGTTTTTTTTTTTCCTTCTATTTCTCTCACTGTCTCTAGCACAATTCTCAGCGTGGATGTGTTAGTGTACAACTCAAACTTGTCTTCATTCACACGACCCGCAATTCTCGTCTACCACGCACGCGAAAAAAACATTAAACATGGAATGAAAAAAAGAGGACAACATCAGGTCGTCAGGAAACCAATAATCTCCAAAAAACCGTTATATCAACAAATTTTCTTTCATCATAATTAAGCCGTGCAAAGAATAACACCACAAATAGCACAACAGCAATAGAGTTGAATTATTTATGATGTCGGAGAAGGAACCAACAAGAATTGACTCCGAGGATAAGCAGTTGTCCCCAGTTTTCACGTTCAATGCTAGTATTATTTCCTATTTGCATTCAATTTTTGCATATTCATCATTCTTAGCAGCTTTGGCTGTGGGATCATATTTACACTATTATAAAATTGTTCAAAATTCATCGTATGGGTATCCTGATGAATGGTTCCCAAGTGTATCCGCCACAATTGGTGATAGATATCCTGAGAGATCAGTATTTCAAATTATCATCGCGTTAACCGCAGGTCCAAGATTTTTGTTGTTGATATTTAACTTTATCAGTCTTTACAGACCAAACAGTTCTTTGCCATATATTGCATTGATTTCTGGGACTTTAAGAACTTTCACTGCCGGTGGTTGGATGTATATTACTTCAACCGATGACCATGATGCTCATGATATTTTTATGATTTCGTATATGGTCTTGACTATTCCATGGACTGTTTGTACAACTTTGTTGTCTCCAAAACCTTCAACACAAAGAAGTGCCAGATTTTATTCTGCAGTAGCATTTTTTGGTACTATTTTCCCGTTGATTTACTGGTTTATTCAACATAAAGTTCATGTTGTCGCCGGTGCCTATTCTATTTACGCATACTTTGAATGGGGATTGATCTTCTTTGATATTTTATTTGATGCTTGGTCAGCAATAGATTTCAAAAACATTGATGTTCTGATTTCAGGTAAAGGAATTCAATTGGAAAACAAGACTAAATCTGACGTCAAAACCAGTCATGTACCAGTCGTCGAAGGTAAAAAAGTGACTATTAATGATGAATTCTCCGACGTTGAAGTTTACATCAATTTGATCAATTCATACATGTATTGGTCAGTTGCAACTTCTTTGATTTTGTGTATCTGGTATTTTCCATTGTGGCACATGGGTATCTCTGGATATGAGGCAGCTATTTTATGTTTCTTCTTGGCTCCTTTGATTTTATTACTTCCATTTGTCAGACGTTTCTTTATTGCTTATCCTTGCATTGCTAGAACATTAACTGTAGTTTTTGGTATTGGTGCTTATAAGGTTCAAGACCCAGAACAAAGACTCTTGAGTATCACAGCAGGTACAAGTTTTGGAGTTATTTCAGTTGTTACTGAATTTGCTGCTGTTAGTGACTACCCTAAAAAGCTAAACTCTTATGTTTCTACTTTTATTTTGGGTGCTTTGACTACTTCTATTTTCAAATTTATGTTTTATTCAAATAATCCAATTTGGCCAATCATGCATAAAGAAAACGGAGGATACAATGCTACTGGTATCTTTTTAGGTTTACTTGGGGCTTTCTTTACTCTTAAAGAGAAACCTGTTGCCAAAGATCCAAAATCATCAACAGTTAAAAATGGTGGCTCACTTATTTTAGGTGCTCTTGGTTTCGGGGGTTATTACTTTTCAATTCAATCATATTTAACTGATTCGGGTACTTTAGCCATTTGGTCTTGGGAAGGTTATCCAATCAGGGGCCCAACTCCAGTCACTGGGGCTTTACCTCATTTTTTTGCTATAATTGCTGCTATTGTTATTGCAACAAAGCTGCATCCAAACCTTTTTAGTGGTTGGGGATATAACATCATTGTCGGAGGAGGAAGTGCCTTTGTTTTGTATTCATTCAAAAACTGGCTCGGGTTCTTTGGTGCAGTTGTTTATACTTTTTACTTGACTTCAATTAGTCCAATTATTTGGAATTCTGTTAAAGGTTACAATATTGGTGGTGTATTCTTTTTGGGATACTTTGTTAGTATTGTTTTAGCATTGGCTAGTGTTTGGATTGTTGCCTACGCTTTTGTGCCTGGTGGTCCATTGCTTAGGGAAAGAACTGATATTGTATTGGGAAGTTCATTCGTTGCTATTTTACCGGGTGTTTTGAACTACAGATTACGTAGTGAACAATTAACAAAAGTGAAGTTTAGTAGTTGCAGAATTTTGAGACAAACTTTAACTATTGTAACTGCTTTATCTGCTTTGGCTATAGCTATTTTCATCAGAAGATATCCTACTGAACCATTCAAGCCATATAATGAAGATTCAAAATCTTTTACTGCTGGTATCTGGTGTGTCCATTTTGGTTTGGATAATGATATGTGGTCATCTGAAACCAGAATGAGAGATTTGATTAAAGATGCCGAACTTGACATTGTTGGTTTATTGGAATCTGACACCCAAAGATTAATTGGTGGCAATAGAGATTTTACTCAAACAATTGCAGAAGATTTAGGAATGTATGTCGACTACGGTCCAGGTCCTAATAAGCACACATGGGGTGCAGCATTGTTGTCTAAGTTCCCAATTATTGAATCTACCCACCATCTTTTACCATCACCTGTTGGTGAATTAGCTCCTGCAATTCATGCTACGTTGGATATTTATGGAGAATTAGTCGATGTTGTTGTCTTCCATTCTGGTCAGGAAGAAGATGTTGAAGATCGTAGATTACAAAGTTTGGGTATCCAGGAAATCATGGGTAACTCCACTAGACCATTAGTTTTATTGAGTTACTTAGTCACCGAACCATTAAAAGGAAATTATAATACCTATGTCAGTGAAAAATCTAGAGTTTATGATATTGATAATACTGATTGGGATAGATGGTGTGAATATATTCTCTTTAGAGAATTAAAGAAAGTTGCATATGCTAGAATTTCTCGTTCAACAATCACTGATACTGAATTACAAATTGCTAAATTTAAATTAATGAACGAAGATGAAAAGCATGATGATGATTTAGAATTCTATTATGGTAATAATTTTGTCAATGAAGAAGTAATTGATGAAAATTTAAGAATGCCACAACTTTTCAGAGGTGATGGTGTTAGAGGGCATAGATACCATGTTTTTGATGAACCAAGATATTTCGCTCAAGAAAAATGGCAAAGAGAAACTAGTCAAGATGATGAAGAAGTTGAAGGTGAAGTAGAGCCAAATGCTGAATAGTTTATACCAGACTAATAATGAAATGACCAAGAGACAATAAGTATGATTAAAATGATTTTCTTTTTTTTGATTATTTGGACGAATTTAAAATTTATGTTAACGTAATAATTGATATCCGATTTAATCTGTAGTTTCAGAGATAGAGGTATGTGCTATGAGAGGTGATTTCTGGAAGAACTAAAAAGTGTTAAATCCAATCAATTCCATCTCAATATTTAAATACAAGCTAGATCCAATAATATCAATAAATTATATACGAATTGACAACATATTTAATTAGGAGACAGGTCTCCTGGTACTATTGTAAACTGGACAATGTATTCCTATATACACCAATGTAAATAATCATCCAACTCAATCCTGTTGCAACAATCCTTGCGATTCTGGCAATTCATTACCACTACCACTACCACCTCTCTGTTGCTCCTGTTGCTCTTGCTGACGGGTCCTCAATTCATACAATCTAATCTTCTTTCTAATTCTCTTGAGTTGCCATCTTACGGGAATCCAAGGCAACACACCTTCCCTCTCTTCATACAACTTAACTTTCAACCACACAATTACCAACAACCAGTATGCCATATAACTAATCACACTGCCATATGTAGCCGAATTGGTCCAGCCGACAATTGCGTTCAACACCATCCACCAACCGTCAGTTAGTCCGTTACAACAGTTGACATGCCACACACTGGTTGCGATATCATATGAACCTGGCCCACTTCCCGTTTCACTAACGTCCATGCCCCCACATGCACGGACATATCTTTCAAGCTCCATAAACCAGACACCACGACTGATCAACCCAGCGCTGACCATGTAAAGAAAACATGTTGAGCAAATAAGAAAATACTGAAGGGAGAGTTTGTTCCCCCCTTGGTAAAGCAAGTACCCAATCAAGGAACCAAATGCAATTCCGCAGACAACAGACACAATGATCGAAAATACCGTGGACGTCATGGCTGAGCCACCAATGAACACAACCGCTTCTAACCCTTCTCTCAATGTGGTGACCAATGGTAAAATAGCAAGGTAGTATTTCTTGGTGAACCCCTGTTTCCTTGGTGTGTTCTTCTTTGTGGTTGTGGTTCTAGCTGTTGCAGGAGTAGCAGGCGTACCGGTTAATGGGATGTTCTCCTCCACGGTGTTTGACTCTGAGCTCGACCTGGTGCCTCCATAATTAGCCATACTATCCTCATACATCACATCGTCGTCTCCTAACTTGGCAATCTCTTCCTCGCCTTCTGCCTCTTCGTCTTCTGCGTATTCTTCATTATTGTACGCATCTCCCAACTTGATCCACCATTTGATCTTCATAACTTTGTTGATTCTCAAAAGCCCAATCCCCATCACAGTGATGATCACACTTGACAATATGCAGAACACACCTTCCCATACTCGTTCCGTGTATGCCCAGTAGTCCTGTCCCACAAAATAAAACATCAACGTAAATACCATCCCGATGACAAAACAAATGAAAAGCCCAAGAAGGGCGCCCACCCATACTTGAAGTTTAAGCTTACGATGTACTTTCTCCAAATGGGATGTCTGCCCCGGGGTGACAGTGGTTGAACTCGAAGGTAGTGGCTCATCGGCGGGGTCCACTGAACCAGGTGATGATGTCGATGGTGATGACGATGATACTGCTATGTTCTGAGACTGGGAGCCATGCTTGTGCGAACGTTGGTTGATGAAGGATAGCAACACCGAGATGATGATAGCTGTTTCAAGAGTCTCTCTGAGAATGATAAAGAATATCTGAACAGAAAAGTACTCCTCGATCTGTGCCATTGTTCCTAACGTGTCTATGAGTGAGTGACGGCAGAAGGAGTGGTAGTCAGTTAGTTGGTGGGAAATTTGTCGGTCTGTCAGTTTTGTTTGGCACGCACAGAGAGAATGTGAGTAGACTTCGTTGCCAGGTGCATCGCAGGGAATGAGTTTAATTTGCAAGGACGGCGTCAGAAAATACTCGCACGGCGTGGGAGCGGGACCACTACAATCAAACTAGACAATATCATTATACGTATAGGAATTAAAAGAAAAACGGAACTTTCTATAAATAAAGCTGCAACTTCTAGTGACTTCTAACTAAACTAATCAACTCTAATTAGTGCCCCCCCCTCCTGCCTCTATGGATCTACTCAACAGGGAAGACGACAGTGGCAGTGAGACAAGTAATATACTCGTCGTCTTTAGTATAAGCTCTGGCAGTGACCAAGTATTTACCTGGAGGAACTTCTTCTGGGATTTCAACCACTTTGCTAATCACATGCTCCCCTTTCTTGATCGGACATTCCAAATCAACTTTGGTGATTTCGTCACACAATTCGTATGTTTGGTGGATCAACTTGATGAACCCGTATCTGACCTCGACTTCTACATACGCACCATCTTCAATGGTCTGGTCCACGGTCCCAACAGCAGTGAACGTCAAATTGGTTCCGACCTTTGGTGGGTTTGGAGTCAAGTCGACTCTGGTCAATTTTAACAATTGTGATTCGGTGAAATCGCAGATCTCAATTGGTGAATCTCCAGGCACTGGTTTAGTATCGCCAAATGCAGCGACTCGGGAGTATTGAGGGATCAAGGACGATGGATTCCTGAAGATTGCCACAGCTTTGTCCCAGTATTGGTTGGTAAATGATAACGCGTTGACGGTGGTGGTGGATGAAGACACAGCGAGGGTAGCTAAAGCGATGTTCTTGAAGGAAACCATGATTGATATGTCGTCTTAGATGATTTCGTATCCTGGTTGTAATATCAAAAAAAAAAAGGATATTAAAAAAAAAAACAAGAAGGAAAAAAGCAACCAGAGCGAAGCAATCTTTTAATTGTGGTGACCTTTTAGATAGTAATTTATTATTTTTTTTTGTTGGTTATTTGCTAAGAAATACAAAAGAGAAATGCGACAGTGGATATGTTTGTTATCAAAGTGACAGAAAGAGAAAAAAAAAGGGGGGAAGGTTGTTTTTGACGATCAACAAGATTAATTGGTTGCAGTTTACGGATTTTGTACGAGGTTGATCCCTGATCACGATGTGATTGGTTATGGATGTTGTGAAACATCGGACGCAAATCATCACAATCAGTTGAATAAAGAATTAAAATTACTATAATATTAAATTGTGGGGATTCTATAAAATATACAAAGTTAAAAAAAAAAAACTAATACTTAATATATAGTTATTTAATCAACTTTTATAGCTCCATAGATTTTTCTTACAAATAATAAACCTGTCAATAACCCAACAGCACCACAGGAGACACCAATAATTACAGAAGCTAATGCCATATAAACAAAATATAATAAACCACTAACAAAATCTTGCACATTCAAAATCCTGACATAATAATAAATAGAATAACCATAAATGAACCATCCAAGACTGGAACCAACCTGGAATGATAACCAAATCCAATGTGGATCATTATAAACCACCAAGGAAATATAAACGGCAACAATAGTTGATTCAATAATGATAATGATTAGCATAATAATAGTAACAAATAAAAATCCATACATGAAATAAAATGTGGTTTTTTCCAACCAAACAGAATTAAAGATAAATAATAATTCAACGTAAACAATACCAAATGGAATAATACCATAAATGCATACAGTTCTTAAATAGTTAAATAAAACAGCCAAAAATTTACCAGCTTTTTTAGGTTGACGAGTAGTATAGTACATGGACTTCTCAGTCATTGGGCTTGGAGGAGGTGTTTTAAAATCGACCTTAGTGTACTTGTTTGCATAACACCCACCAACGATACCTAATGGACATTGGATAAGTAAGAAACACAATAACAAGACAACAATTGTACCAAATGGTAAAGCTGCAGATGATTCTTTAGCCCAAACAAAAAAGTTTAACACCAAGACAACAGCAAAAATGAGAGCTGGCAATGCAGCACTGAATAAAAGGGACAATGCAATGGTGATGAATTTATCATATGGTTGGTTTAAACTGTCACCTCTGAAATATTTGTGCAATAAAATACCGGCATAAGAGGAGATCAACCCAGAACCAATGATGAAAGCAATGGAAATGGAAAAGAATGCACCTTGATGAGTATTGAAAAAAGTATTCTTAGTACCAATTGAGTTCAACATTAAAATGATGATAACACCAATAATGGCAATAAACATTTGAATACCAGCAGCTACCAATGTAGTCAAAAATAATTCTGCACAAGGAATATGGTTGACATCATTAATTAAAGTTTTCCAGCTGTTTGACATATTTGCATCCAAATCATTAGTAGTAGGCAATGGGGAGGGGCTATTTGTATTTTGAATATCTTTCTTTAAAACTTTAATTAAAACAATCATCACAATCAAAGAAGCCAAAAAGATTAAAACAAATGAATTAACAAATGATATCCAATGGACATGAATATGAGCCCCATTAGATTCATTTTCATAATATAATTCCCATCTTGAATCATAATCAATAGTATTATCTTCTCTCCAATAAATAGAATAAGTATAAGGAATAAGAGTTCTTTCATCATCCAATTCTCCATTTTCTTTATATCTCGGAACAAGAGGGTAATTTTGAAAATTCTTGGAAGAACCAGGACATTCTTCATTACTAACACTTTTTGGATAAACTTCAAATCCAACAATTGTATTTTCATTAGAAGAACCTTTTTCTTTATGATATCTAATAACCAACATTACATGATTGTAAAGATAACTTATACCATCATCAGGGTTAACAAAACCCATTGGAAATCCAGCAGCATAATACTTCTTTCTATGATTAGTTGATTCAAAAGTAGTTGCACCAGGTAATCCATCAATTGACCAATGGTTAACATAACCATCTTTAATTAATTCAGATGCTCTTTTAATACCATTTTGAGTCGACAATAAATCACATAATCTATTACATGGTACATCAACACCAAAATTTAATTCATATCCACTTTGCCAAATTCTTTCACCTTTAAGTAATTCACCCAATGAGGTATGAACTGGCTTAGCACCATTCATTGGTGGACAAACAAACGGTAAACTATAATAAGAAAATGGTAATTGAGTAGTATCTGACTCAACTTTATTAACCAATAAATCTACTTTATCTCCATGTTTATAATAATTGGGACTTAAACCTAAATCAAATCCATAGATAGGAGTAGTAATGAAAATTATTGATAGTAAGAATGATACTATTAGATGTAGCATAGTCGATGATGATGATGAAGATCTTGTTGTTATTGGAACAGTAATTGTAGTAGTTGCAAGCGAATGGATGAAAGTTTGAATACTTTCTTGAATAAAAAAATCACAAGGATGTTTAATTAAATCAACTCGTTAAAAAAAAGCTGATAATTACCGAAACGAACAAGATAGAAAAAAACAAAACAAAATTGAAGTTAAATAGAAAAATGAAAAAAAAAAAAGATTTCAAATAGCAAGAAGCAAAGAAGGGGCTAAAAAAAGGGATGGTTGTTGTTATTGTTCTTGTTGTTGATGGTTGGAATTTTTTTTTTTTTCCTTTCTTTCCTTCCTCTCAATGGTTTTGTAGTTGATAATTATCCCTTGGGTATGAAATTTGGAAAACTAAAAAATACAAGATCTACACGCTTAAAAAAAAATAAAAAAATATTCCTAGGGGCGTTTTTAAGGCGACCGGAGCAGACTAAAATTAAAGAAAATAAGCCGATGCTGTATTCCAATACTGCCGTCGTGCTGTAAATTGTAAATGTAACTAAAAATAATTCATTTACACACACACACACACACACATCTACAATTCTCCATTCATCTCTGGGAAGGTTCAACAATCAGATTTGCGTTACTTTCACACCCAATACCAGTTTTTGTAAAACAAAGAAAAATTCCCAAAAATATATTACACATATTCTCTATTTACTTACAATTTATCCAGCAATGTATTCCATTAAAGAAACCAAATACTAATATGAAACAAATAATCCGCTTATTTATAAAATTCAGAGAACTTTCTCTTGAATTCACGTGATTAGATAAATCTAGAACTTAACTTCTTCGACGTGTCTTTACAGTTCTTGGCGACAGACAAGAATGATATTGGGATAACTTTCTCCCTGTGTGTGAGTATCTTGTTTAATGCATTAATCTCAATTCTACCCTTTTCAGCCTTGAAATTATTTTTGCCCTATAATTTCCTGAACAGTACATGAAACGACACAACACGACACCGCATCAAATAAAACTGAATGAAATAAACATTATAGGCGGAGCAATGAAAAAAAAAAAGAAAATTCTTCTCTTTTTCTCATTCTACTGTGCATGTGAGAAGGTGTGGAATTTTGAGTTATCCACGCTTTACTTCTGTCGTATGTTCGTTCTAGGCTTTGAATTAACATCGACCGAACTACGTCGCGAATAAATTTATCTCTGTACTGTATCGTCTTAAGCGAAATCTAATGAATGAAATTTTAGTTACTCCGGGAGTACGACCAAAAACAAAAACAAAAAAAAAAAACACGAATTTTTATTTTTATTTTTTCTTTTTTGCAACAGAAGATATCGGGTTGAAAATTATAAACACACCATATGCGTAATCTTGATTCCTGTTCTGTCTACTATCAATATCATTTTTCATAACCCATTCCCCATATGGTTTGGATACATATGCATCGTAACACATACTCTCTCTTATCTCTTATCTCATATCAAATTATACACAAAAGTTAAAAATGAAAACTAAAAAACGAAGAATAAAAACTATAAATTCATATACAAAATTCAAACAAATAAACACAGACTATATCGTTTCAACCAACACTATATGTCTATTAATAATGTTAACTTTTCAATGATTCCATTGCTTCTCTGATTAGATAATTACCTTTTGGATCTAAATTCAAAGCAATTGTAAATTCTTTAATGGCCAGAAACTTATCATTTTGTAAATTATACAATTGTCCCAATAAGAAATGAACACTTGCTTCATCTGGTGCTAGATTTTTCAAAATTTCAAAATTTTTCAATGCTTGATTATATTGTTGTAGACTAAAATATAATTGTCCCAATTTAAATATAGGCAATGGGTTTAATGGTTGCAATTTATTTGCCAATTCATATTGCTTAATTGCTAAATTTTTCTTATTCAATTTTTCTAAAACCATACCACAACAGCAAATTAATATAATATTAATTGGATTAATTGAAATTGCTTTACGGAAATGATAATCGGCTTTTTCATAATCTCCAAGATTTATATAAACCATACCAATACCATATAACGCATTATAATGACGTGGATCCAAAACTAAACTAATTCGGAAATTCTCCAATGCCATCTCATAATTATCGTTACTGAAATATTCATGCCCTTTCAAAGTATAAGCATATGTGAAACTTTTATCTAATTTAATGGCACGATTAAAACATTTAATGGCTTCATCTGGTTCATGAGTTAATGAAAATAAATTTCCAATAGTACACCAAGTGATAGCTGAATTTGGATTCAAATCATGCAATTCATTGGCTAAATATGTCAACTCAACTTTTTTATTCAAGTGCCATAATAATGTCAGGAAATATTCCATATCTTCCAATCTTGTTCTATCTAATTTTCTCAATTTATTAAAATAATATTCGGATTGAGGATAATTGACAATTTCATAATGTAATCGACCTAATTTACTCAATACCCAAGGTGTTTGTTTCTCTTGATTACTAAGTGATGTTTCTAATATCCTAATTGCTTTATAACAATCATATTTGCTCATACTTCGAAAACTTTTCCCCAAAATTTGATACAATTGTAATAAATATTTCTCACTTTTTTCAATTTCTTTAGTTATTATAATTGATGAATTAGATGAAGATGGGTTAGATGCTACCGTTGAGCTAGACGAAGATGTAGTTGGTTGATGTACTGCTTCCAAAGTGGCTGAATTATTTCTCTTCAAGTTTCTCTTCTTAGGCGTCTCAACAGCACTTTGTGTTGTAGATTGTTGTCGTACTTGTGCTGAAGATGAGGAAGATGATGGCGGTTGTTGTTGATTATGGTGTCCTTGATGTTGATGATTAGGTTGCGGTTGTGAAATTAACCTCGATGTTATCCTTGAATAAGTGTTTCCTCCACTTGTGCTTTTCCTTCTATCATCAGGATATGAAGGTTTAGCAAATTCAAAATCTAAATTATTATTATTCAATGAATTTGATCCCCCAACACCCCCGCCGGAGCTAGTCATTCCAGTATTATTCAAATTTGATTTTCTTAATGGTGCATCTGGTATACTTGGATTTTTAATTCTTGGAGTTGAAAAATTAAATTCATCAACATGTATTGAAGGAGTCATCATTTTAGAATTTAAATTCTTATCATTAAATGGATTAGTTAAATCGGGAATCATTGAACCATCATTATTTGTATTAGATGTCGTAGTTAATGAAATTCCATTACCTAAATTAACACTTGTATTACTATTACTATTATTATTATTAGGTTGATTTTGAAATTTGAAAATTGATTTAACTCGAATATTGACACCCAATTTACATAATTCTTGAAAAGCTTCGAAATCAAATTGATTAATTCTTAATGCTTGAGTATAATTAACACAACTATTTTTCACATCATGAATCTCACGATATAAATCTCCCAATAAATGATAAATAATAGAAATATCAGGATTTATACTCCTATTAAATTCATAATTAAATCTCAGATAGCGATTATTGCCCTGTTGTTGATGATGATGATTACTATGATGGTGATGGTGATGATGTTGTTTTGAACCATTAATTTCATGAATTTTTTTGGTTTTAATTAAATGAAATAACCCCTCTTTAAACTTTCCCAATTTTAAACAACATTTCCCATATAGAAATGAACAACCTAAATGATAGTCAAATTTTTTCAAATTATTCAATTTATAATAACATGTTTTAAATCTATCCTGTTTAAATAAAACAAGACAATATAAATATATCGAATCCAACATTTCTTCACTTTCTTGTTGTAAATCAGGCAGTTGTTGTTGTTGTTGTTGTTGATCTGCTTCAATTATTGCTATTAATCTTTCACTTGCAAATTCAGCATTTTTATAATTCAAAGTATCTAAAGAATGAATAATAACTGATCGTAAATATTGTTGGATATATTTTGGATTTGCCTCTGGATCACTTGAAGGAGTTGAAGGATCTTCATGGAGATAATTATTATTATTATTACTTCCTCCTCCTGTATTACTAGTCGTTGATTGCATACGTGATAAAGTCCTTTTAATTAGTTTGCTTCAATGTTGCCGTTAAAATAATAAATAAGTTATTCTCTCTTTTTTTGTTTGTTTGATGGATAGTTTGTAATATGAATTTGTTTTTCCTGTTGGTGATAATTTGCCTCCTCGTGTGTGTGTGGTTGTGATTGTTTACTTTCAAAATTTGTGTAGATGGTGTTTTGGCGTGTACTTTTTTTTAAATTTTTTTTTTTTCCTTTGTTTGGAATTTGTCAGAAATTTGATTTTGTACATTTTGTATACTGAGATAAATAAAAATTTGTTATGAATTAACGTGTAAGTAATAAATCAGTGTTTCATCAATATTATCAAAATTTAGTCTTGTTGATCAAGACCTTTCAATTTATTATCTCCACTTTTGGTATATATATTGTATATATATAGAAGAAGTAAAAAAAAAAAAAAGAAAAACAATTAATCCGTCAATGTGTTGATTAATCAAAACTAAATAATAAAATGTAATAGAACTAGAAATCAAAATAGCAAAATAACCAACCTACTCCTCAGAAAAACAATAAGAACGAAAATTAAAATGAAAAAAAAAACTACATAATACAAATTGTGACCCATTCTATTTTTTAGCCTTTATAACAAAACTATGATTACCTGAAGAATCACTTGAAAATCCCATTAATTTATCCTGTTTTTTGGATCCATTCAATAATCTACCTGCTGGATTCTTAAACATTGATTTAGATTCTTCTTTTGGACTACTACTAACAACAACTGAACTACCATTTGATGAGCCAGAAGCTGTGGAATAAGGTGTAGATGAAAATCCTCCATTATTAACGTCACTTCCACTGCCATTATTCGTAGCAACATTCGTATACTTTTGAGAACTCTTTCTCGATTCACTAAAGCCATTGTTGTTAACTTGTTGTGAACTTTGACGTGATGGCGGCTTAAAACTTGCCATACTAGTATCACCAAAATAATTAGTACTGGTGGTTGTAGGAGTACCAGATGGAGAAGAGCCGTTACCTGATTTTGGTGACAATACTCCTGAGGCTAACAAATATGGTGACGCAAATCCTCCAGACTGACTAGAACTACGAGGTATTTGTGGTGTGGTTGGGACGGTGGTTGTGTTTGTACCTTTCAATTCAGTATCAAGAGTTAATTTTGGCAATGGTGAATTTTCAAGTAATGTGCTATCAGTACCAGAAACACCAGATGAATCATAGTTTGAAGACTGGAATGATGTATCATTTTGGAAATCATGTGGAAGAAATCCATTTGCTCTCAATTCTTCATCTCTTAATTTTGTTTCTTCACGAGCTCTAGCCAACAATTCTTGAGCTTTGCTCAAACTAACGGTAGGAGTTGAACAACTACTGACCACAGGAACAGAGTCGTCGATATCAATTGTAGCTTGCATCAAAGCTTTAACCCAACCCCTCATTTCTTCTTCACTTTCAACTGCAAAATAATGGGTCTTTGGTTGAGTAAATGTTAATCCTTTCTTGAAACCTGGTGCCGGTGGAACTAATTTGAAACAATAATTACCAGCAAAAGTTGTGGATGCATACATAGCTGCATATTTATCAGACTTTTCAGTTTCATCTGCTTCACTATTAATTGGAATCACTTTGTGTGCAGTTATATCAATAAGACCCTTTTCTTTCTTATCTTTCAATGAATGATAATATGATAAACGAGTACCATGTAATGTAAAATATCTTGTTCTCCAAGCCAATGTATTACTTGAACGCTTGGACATGTATCCACTAAAACTGGCATTCTTGATGGCCTCATCAGGTGTAATTTCACGAATACCTTCTTGGAATGCTGATGTCTTCAGCTTCTTAGATCCAGTTAATGAACGGAAATTCTGAGTAGAAGTGGCTCGAAGACTCTTGAGTCGTGAAGCATTTGGTGGACGAGATTGTGTAAGTGCACTTGAATCACTAGTTGATCTCCTCTCATCTCGAAGCATATCCATGGATTTTGTTCTTGCAGACATGGAATTCAGTTTCTTTGGTGACATAGTAGCATCATCTATATCCACTGGCGAACTAGTTAAATCAAAAGTCTGGGATTTTCTCTTGGCTGATGGACTTGCAATTGGAGGACTGTTGCTTTCAAATGTATTTCTTTTGATTTGTGCAGGTGATATTAGTTTATTATCGTCTGCTTTGGTGAATTTACCGCTTGAAAGCTGTAATTGTGGTGTTGGTTTAGAAGAATCATCATATCCTGAAGAAAGAAATGACAACATTGAAGAATGTCTTCGGTGATGGTTGGTACCTGATTGATTCCTCCTGTGTCGACCAGAAGTTTGAGACCCGTTTCTATTATGATTTGAGAACTGTTCATAAATGGATGATGTAGGTCTTGAAATACCAGCCCCAGCACCGGAATTTCCTCCTAAAGCTTGGCTGGAAGCGTTAGTACGAGTCATATACAAACCATAATGAGAAGGTGGTTGTCCATACTCACTTCCATCACCAAATCTGTAATTTGCATTCATTGGACTATCTGGATTTGGTGGCTCTGGAGCTTTTCTTGGAGACATAAATGTTCCTTCTTGTTGAATATAAGGTGATATATTGTCCAAAGATTGTGATCTTTTGCGTTGATGAAATTGGTAGGATGACGTATCATTCAATACTGCTGATGGCATCAAACTGGTTTGTTCCTTCTCTTGCAATTTCAAATGATGGTCTTTCTTGTCTTCTCCAAACAATGGAACATTATCAGGTAAAGTAGTGGATGCTGTTGGTGGAGTGTTTACTCCTGATGAATTGCTGTCGTTTTTATTTGTAGATCCTGTAGATTGAGAATTTGTTCTTGATTGCTTCATTTTGGCACTTCTATTATGTATATCCTTCAACTTCTCAATTTCTTTATGAATTTCAAATCTGGTACCAAATGAATCTATATCCAATTCTTTCAAATGACTAAGGTCCAATTCAAACAAAATAGCACCTGTTATTTTATGTTGAGCAAATTTTCCAGCAACATCCATATCAAAACCCAAGACAAGGGCAAAATAAAATGAAACTTGTTTTGGATTCCAACTATGCGCTAATAATGGATTTAAATCTTCAGTTAATGATTGTGAAGAGGTTGTTCTGTTATGGTTATTATTAGTTGTGCTTTTAGTTGCTGATTGTTTGGATTCGGGTATGTTCTTTTCATCAATATTCTTAATTTGTTTCTCTTGTTGATTAATATTAATGTTTTGGGTATCAATTGATGGGGTGTCCTTATTGTCTATAGACAATTGAGAAATTGATTCATCTAATTTGCTGGTATCTGATGAGCTTGGATTAAGATTACTAGGCACTTGAGGAAGAGAAGAATCCTTTGTTGTTGATTCTCCTGGTTTTGTTATCGGAGCCATCATACGTCTTGATCTCGACCGTAAAATTGGTTTGGTTTCATTGTTGGTAATAAGCTGAGTAAAAGATTTTGGATACAACCCAGCTTCGCCAGTCAATAAATTCTTTCCCATATACCATCCATCGTTATATTCTCTATCATCAGCCAATACTTGGATTTTATCACCAATTTTAAGACTTAGTTCGTCGCCTAGTCTGGCATTAAACTGTTTTATACAAATATATGTATCACCATCCATCGTTGTTTGATATTAATAATATGTTTGCGCGTGGGGCGGCTGGTATTTGGGTAACTAATTAAAATATGATAAATTAAAAGGAAAACCAAGGAAATCAAATTTATAAAGTAAAAGCAGGGGATTTGTTGATCCTGGTGGTTGTAAATACAAAAAAAAAGGGAAATTTAAAATTAACGAAATAAGGAAAAATCTGGTTGTCAAAATTATATAAAACAAAAATAAAACAACAACAATAAAAAAGTGAAGGTACTGGATTTTTTTTTTTCCTCTTGCTCTTCTTCTTCCTCTTCTTCTCTTATTCTTATTTAGTCTGTCTGTCTCTCTCTCTCTCTCTTTGATTAAACTTGACAAAAAGTAGTGCAGTGAAATTTCTGTTGTTGTGATTTTCTTTGTGGGATGTTTTTTTTTTCGCTCTCTTTCTCTTTTTCTTTCTCTCTTACTGTCTCTCACTATATGCGCAAAAAGTACAAGGGTTTCTTTTTTTTCTTGTTTTGTATACTGTAGTATAGTAGATGGCAAAAAAAAGGAAAGGGGATTAAAAGGAGTGAATGAATAATTGTAGGCCGTTTATTAGGAACCACTTAAAATATTATGTCAGGTAAGTAGAAATGAATATATTTTAATAAACAAAAAAAAACTGAAAAGAAAACAACAAAAATAAATAAAAAATTAAACCACAAGAGAAACTTATCGTGTATTAAATAAATAAATAAATAATTTTTTTTTTTTAGTATGTAAGTCGTGTGCTGGTTAATTTTAATTATTTCTGAATTTATTAGCCTTTTACATGTACATTACATATAAATTAATTTACAAGTAATACCACATAATTAATTGTGTGACAAAATTATTTCTTTTCTTTTTTAGATTAACGTTGTTGTTTTGTTAAGCTTGCAAAGACAACACAAGAGAGTTTACTATTGTTGATTCTAGACTCATTAAAATTACTCTCTTTGTCTTTTTTTTTGCCAGTAAATATATATTGAAAAAAAGGCTAATTATCACTGTACACTACACACAACTTTAACAAACTATAATGTGATAATATCAATAATTATTCTATACTAAATTTAAGATCCTCCTGTGACATTTTATTATTATTATTAACTACTACATTTCTTATTCTAGTAATCAATTATCTTTCTTGTATTTCTGTATGTAATCCTTCTATCCATCCATAATCTCTTTTTTTTTTTCAAGGTCGTCTCTCTCTCTCTCTCTCTCTGCCTCTCCCCCTCTTAGTTACTTTTTATTCTATTTTAAATATATTAAAGATACTCTTAATACGTTGATCAACCATAAATGGTCCAAATACTTTTGACGATCTTATTTCTATCTCGAATTGTAAAAAAATAAAAAAAAATTAAAACAATAAAAGTCAGTACCTAAAATACAAAATCGTAATGTATTTTTCATCTCTCCCACATTACATGGTGTTTAAGAGAAAGAGAAAACAAAAAAATCTGTGTCAATACTTTGCCCCTACATTCTAATCTAAAACTATCTTTATTAGTGGATTTGCATTTCCCTTGTTATTACTTTTGTTGTATTCCAATTTTTAATTCCTTCTTCTCGTTAATATTCAAGTCGACGTACCTGCATAAAAGGGTTCACATTTCAACTCCAAAATTATACAGTTTTCTTTTTCCTTCTTTCATTAGATAGTATTGAAAACCCCAATTTTATCTTTCATTGTATTTCAAAAATTCTGTTACACCGTTGTCATTCAGATGGTTGTTATGATTGATTCTTCTATTCATATATAATTTGTCACCATTGTACTGGTGAACTTCTATAGAATATTAAATACACGAACTTCTGTCCAGAACTTGACGAAGAAATGATGCAAAATCGAAATGAAAAAATCCCGAATCGTACCCATTTAATCAAGATTTTTATTATTTTTATTATTATTATTATTTAGACAACATTCTACATCCCTTTAATTAAGGGAAGCACACAAGACACGCTACTTGATTGTTTTATATAATTACACAGAAAATATATACGCGTCTTTAATCGATCCTTTGACGTACACCTAGCGTGGCACAATAGATAACAACGATAATGCATCGACTGGAGACGACTAGCATTAACGTACTGATTAGGGATACTTACTAACCTGCATTACATAAACTCAATGTGAGTAATAGCCCAGTTCATTAAAAAAAAAGAAGAGAATTCACCAGCAATAATAACCAGTAAGGTGGTCAACCACTTCCCATACATTGTTCTACGGGATTCTGAATTTCAGGACTGCAACATGTACCACATACACAGACAGACAGACTATGTGAAAGAAAATTGCATGAATGGAACCGTTTACTAGTAAGACTTGCAAAACGAAAGACACTACTTTTCAGTCATTCCAATAGCGATTATATTACTTCTTTCCTTTTGATTGAAAGCAATAATGAGAATCTTAGTACTTTAGTTCGAGTTCAACCTGTTTTTTTTATATTTTTGCTTCAGGCCTTTCTTGACAACTTCTTGAGAATCGACTCTCTTTATCTTCCTGTAATAGAAACATAATACTGTTGGTTGAAAATTTATACAAGAGTGTGTTTATTTACTACTGGTAGAAGTGAACAAAATGTACAGTATATCGCGGTCGTCATTGAAAATCACCACGGAAAAATAACCAGGGGAGAAAAAAAGAGAACAAGTGTAGAACTGTATTATTGATTTTGCAAACTCAATCCTCAATCTTATTTCTGTTTTTTTTTTTGTTGTTAGTAACTTTTTCGCCTCTTTCTCTTGATCTTTTTTTTTTTGAACACTGAATTCTCCTTTATATTTTTTTTTACAACTGTTTCATATATAACCACCTTTTTTTTGAATATCCCATTAACAGTAATTATTTATTAACATGGCCAAAAAGGAAAAGAATGATAAGACCATAGGAGATCCATTCAATCGCAGTTCAGACGACAATATGAGTATTCAAGATGCAGAGGATCAAGATTCAAGTGATAACGAAGAAGAATCATTGATAAGACTATCTATGCAAGCACAACACAGAAGAACATCTAAGAATCAATACAATAGTGATAGCGATAGAGGAAGTGTTGAATTTGAAGAAGTAGCTAATGTTCCCGGCATAGATGATAGCATAGAGGAAGAACTCATTGCTGAAGAGGATGATGAGAATGATGATGACGAAGAAGAAGATGAATTTGATGACAGTCATGATTCGCACGACCATAGTGGCGATTTTGAGGGAGATGAGGAAGATGAACTAGGCATGATGGAAACTTCTGATTTCTTACGTCGTTTAATTCAAGGTAGAAGAGTAAGAACTACTGAAATTCCAACTTCAGGTGGCGATAATGCTGACAGATACTCAAGAAATTCTCATAGCCAAAGTCATGATGATGACGACGATGACGAGATGAACGATATTGATATTGATGATGATGATGACAACGATAGAAACAGAGAAAGAAGAGATCGCGGAGAAGAAGAAGAAGAAGAAGAAGACGACGGAGAAGATGACGATGATGAAGATGACGATCCTCGTGCCGAATTTTTGAGAGCAATAGGCGCACTCGCTGGTGGTGGAAATAGAAATGGAAATGATGCAGAAAATTCTACTGGTAACGGATTTGTAGATGTCATGCAAAGACTAATGGGCGGTGGTATAATATTTGATGGTGGATCAGCCCGTGATGGTGGTGAGTTAGATGCATTAGTAAATAACTTGAGTCAAAGAGATGATACTTACATAATTCTTGAGTCATTAAACGAGTTGAGTGAAAGATTATTGATGATGAATGGTTTAACCGCAGAGAGACTAATTCCAGCAAATAAACTAGCAAAGAATCTTGTTGATATAATGGAAGATCCTAAACTAGATGAAGAATTGGAATTGCATTTAGTTGCTTGCCGATGCTTGTATAATTTTTTGGAGGTTAACCAAGATTTCATCCATGATGCTTTGAATAATAACGCCATCCCAGCATTATGCAACAAGTTGTTGGAAATCAAGTACATTGATTTAACAGAACAAGCATTGCAAACTTTGGAAATGATCTCCAGGGATCCTATTTCTCACAATAGCATTGTGTCACATAATGGGCTTACTGCATGTTTACAATATTTGGATTTCTTGACAATACATGCCCAAAGAAAATGTTTAACCATTGTCTCAAATTCATGTACTAATATCTCCATTGCCAATTTCCCTAAGATCAAAGACGCTTTCAGCAGTATTGCAGAAGTTGTTAGAAATTATAATGATAAAATTGTCGTTGAAAATGCATGGTTGACTATCTCAAGGATAATAATGTGTTTTAAAAACAAACCCGAGTTATTGAATGAACTATTCGCAGATAAGGAGTTACTTTTGAAGGAGTTGACGAAAGTTATCTGGCTCAGTTGTAACAAATCACTGAATACTGGTTCTGAATCAAGTCAAGTGACATTGAATTACGGTTCCAATTTGAGTTTAATCAAATCATTAATTGTATTGGCCAGTGTGAGTGTTGATGTTTCTAGAATTTTAATCACCGAATGTAATATTGGGTCAGTGATAGTTAAGTCTTTGAATAAATATTCTAAACAAAGTCCTGATGTTGATTTATCTGGAACAGAAAACATCTCGATTGAAGCTTTAATGTCCGCTCCAAAGGATTTGAATTCCCAGTTTTTGAGTTTAATTGGTTATTTGTTACCAATAACATATTCACCAGCAGAGGCATTATATTTAAGACCAAACTTTGAAGAAGATGAAGAACGTAAAGCTATCAATCAGTCAAGAATTGAATTATGCAAAGATATTATACCAAAGGAATATTGGAAGTTTGTAAATGAGATTTGGTCATTATTAATTCTCAGTTTTCAAGCAACTATGGATTTTGAAATTCGAAGAAAAAGTTTTATTAATTTATACCGTATTATTAATTCCAATTCTAACGACTTTTCTGTTATTAAAGATGTCGATGAGATTGCTGGGCTATTAGCAAACGTTGTCAACCAGTATCAATCAATAGTCACGAAAGATTTTGCTAATGCGCAAAAGGAAGATGAAGATATGATTCAAAGTGATGATGAACACGACCATGGGAATGAACATGAACATGAACATGACATTGATGACATTGATGACATTGATGACGTTGATGATGATAATGACGACGACGATGACGATGATGCTGATGGCGAGACTTACACATCAACTTTACGTGGAAGAGATTTATCACACGCCCGATACAGTAGTAACTCTACAAGGGGTGCTCCTGAAGATACAAATAAACTCAACGCATTGATGTTGCTTTTTAGTGCATTGAAAATAATCAAGGTTTTGCTTGAAAAAGCTCCATTTATATTCATTGGCGCATTTGAGAAAGAAGGTCTTATCAATGATGTGCTTCTATTATCCACTCAATTAGAAGGTAAGGTTCAAGTCGATCAACCAGATCCAAGATCAACTTTAAATTCTATGATGACTGCATATTCAAATAAATATATCGATAGTGAATTCACCAAGGAGTATGAATTCAGATTATCGAGTAGTGTTATTTACTCCAACATATTATTTATTGCTACCGCTATTGATAGTTTATACAATGAAGGCAAAGATATCGGTTCCCAGATCGTTTCCGACAACATGAGAGTATTACAGGACATTAAAGTAACGTTGTCTGATAGCAAGAGAATCAAGTCATTTAGTTATGAAGAATGGTCATCATTATGGGATAACTTCAAACTGGTTTTTTCTGGTTCGTCATCCATATCTAGTTTTGAATTAATTTCCTCCGGCATAATAGAGCTTTTAACGAAGTTTCTCAGCATGGAACAAGGAGTCGGGTGTAATGACTGTTACCTCTCATTCAAGAATGCATTTTTCCATGATCAATCCGGGAAAATACTTGTACATAAATTGCAAGAATCATTAACGAGATCTGAATCGTTTGACATTGTTTCTGCAAATTCAAATAGCAGTCAATCAACATATATCCGTGAACAAAACCAAGCTTCAATAATGGCAAATCAAATCAAGTTAAAGTTAATTGCGGAAAATGATTCCGATGACCTGCAGCAGCTTTCACGAATTCCAGGCAACATGCAAAATATGGTTTTATCAGTTCATGCCATTGCTACCTTCAAGTCGATATTTGCATTCTTAAAACAAAGATTTAAGTTTATTGAAGAAATTGGTTCACTTACTAGAGCTAATAATCACGATGGCACGAACGATGATAATGATAACACCGATGAAGATGGTGAAAGAAAGTCGGAGTTGAATATTGAATTTTTGATCAACGGAGAAGTCATACCAAACGAGACCACCATTTATGGTGCAATTTATCGCTCATTGCAAGACAAACCGGACGAAATAATCGACCCAAGCAGAATTTGGTCATCTATTCACAACATTTCATATAGAAAAATCAGTTCTGAAGTCAGCAAGGAAAATCCATTTACAAACTTTGCTTTACAAAATACTGACAGCGAATTAAATGCTTATGATGGCACCACCATCAGTATTTTGAAATTATTGAATGACTTGTATCATATGAACATCAATACTGGAGCGGTGCCGAATAAAGATTTCACTAATTGGAAATTGACTGTTAAGTTGAATAGACAATTGGAAGAGCCATTAGTTGTTGCAAGTGGAACATTGCCAGGATGGAGCATTCATTTAACTAAAAGATTTCCATTCATATTTCCATTGGAAACCAGAATATTCTTTTTGCAGTCAACTTCATTTGGGTATTCAAGATTGATCCACCAATGGCAATTACGTACAAACCAAGGTAACGAAGAGAACGGTAACTCGAATAACAACCCACATGGTAATCAAAGATTACAATTGGGTAGACCAACAAGACATAAGGTTAGAATATCAAGAAAAATGATGTTGCAAAGTGCAGTGAAAGTTTTGGGAATGTATGGGTCTACACCAAGTATACTAGAAATTGAATATTTTGATGAGGTTGGTACTGGTTTAGGTCCAACTTTGGAATTTTACTCGACTGTATCTAAAGAATTTTCCAAGAAAAAGTTGAAATTATGGAGAGATGAGGAACCTGGTGCTGCGGATGACAATGCATATGTTGTAAATAAACAAGGATTGTTTCCAATGCCAATGGATAAATCCCAGATTGCCAGTGAGAATGGTAGAAAAGTGTTGTACTTTTTTGCTTCCTTAGGGAAATTTATTGCCCGAGCACTATTGGATTCTAGAATCATTGATTTTAATTTCAACCTTGTTTTCTTGCTGTTGATTCAAATGTTGAACAAGAATTATGGCGGTTCGTCCAAAAGTTCACAACAAAAATTGCTAAAGTCAATGGCTAATTTAAACAAATTACGTGTTGTTGATCCCGGATTAGCTGATTCATTAGAGCATTTGTATAAATATGTGAAACAGTTCAAAAATTGTGAAGATATTCATCAAGTTACCGTTGATGGAGCAACAGTTCAAGATTTGGCATTATTTTTCGAGTTACCAGGGAATCCAGATTATGAATTGATTCCTAATGGTGGAAATACTCCAGTTACTGCAGAAAATTTAGAACTTTATCTCAACAAAGTCCTTGAAGCTACTTTATATTCGGGTATTATTAATCAGACTAAAGCGTTTATGGAAGGGTTTTCCAAAGTATTCCCAATCAACTCATTGATAATATTCTCCCCACCTGAATTGGTTGAATTATTTGGTAATGCTGAAGAGGATTGGTCATATGATAGTTTAACTTCAGGTATTATTGCCAATCATGGATACACAAAGGAATCACCAGCAATCAAGTCATTAATTAATATATTGGTTAATTTCGATAAAGATGAAAAGAGAGAATTTTTGCAATTCTTAACAGGGGCTCCGAAATTGCCAATTGGAGGATTTAAAGCATTAAGACCCGAATTGACTGTTGTTAGAAAACATGCTGAAGACGGGTTAAAAGATGATGATTATTTACCAAGTGTCATGACATGTGCCAATTATTTGAAATTACCAAATTATTCAAGTGAAAAAGTAATGAAAGACAAATTACTAAAAGCTATTAGAGATGGTGCTGGAGCTTTCTTATTGTCATAAGCTCACAAAAAGTAATTGTGATATATATGTATATATATTTGGAATTGGTTTTATTCGTTTGTAAGGTTAATAGATATATATATATATATATGTATTTAATAACGGTCGTTATACTCAAGTGAAATCCGATTAATTGTCGTGTAGTGGTGCACAAAAATGTTTTTTTAGGAGTCGGTACACCTGGTTGGGGTGGTAGAGAACGAGACAACAAGGAACTCATAGAAAATCAGACGGAAGCGATTATGTTGGAAAGTATTAAATAAAATCAGCAACACACTCACACACATATATATAACAACACCATGTCTATTAAACTTAACGAATTGGTTGATTCATTAATTGAAACAGCACCACCAGCAGAATTAAAAAATGTGTCTCAATCATTATCATCATTAACTACATCATCAATTGATGACAATATTGAAAAATATGCTCAAGAAAATGCAGTTGTTATTGATAATACAATTGTATCTAAATATAATAAAGATAAGAATTCATCAAAATATATTGATTATATTAATAATAAAAAATTTAATGTTGATTGGATAAATTGTAAAATTATTGATGTTGAAAATTATGAATCAAATTTTGAATATCCTAAAATATATCAAGAATTAATTGATAAATTAAATCAATATGGTGAAGATTATTATCCTTCAACTTTTGCATTTACTATTATTCCTACTGAAGATGAAGAATTAAGAATTATTATTATTGGACAACGTGCAAATCATGATAATTTTTATACTGGACAATGGAAATCGAATTATTTAATTTCTAAAAATCTGAATATTTCAGGTGAAATTAAATTAGATATTCATTATTTTGAAGATGGTAATGTTAGATTAAAATTTATTGAAGAAATATCTGATATTAAAATTGATAATTCTTCAAGTTCAAAAATTGTTAATTTTATTAATGATCAAGAAAATAAAGTTGTTATTAAAATTGTTGATCAATTTAATAATTTAAATCAACAATCTTTTAAAAATTTAAGAAGATTATTGCCTGTTACTAGATCCAAAATAAATTGGGGTTCTGCTATTGGTAATTATAGATTAGGAAGTGATGTAGTTAATAAAAAATAAAACTCATCTTGTTTGATATACACATACATTTATATATTTCATTTCTTTAAATACTTATATATAAATATAAAACGACAACACAAAGAATATACAAATCTTAGTATAATTTATATAACATCCAAATGACGAAAAATGCAAGTAGTATTAATCCAACAATTCTAGTTAAACTTGCATTTCTATTCATAACATTTCTTAATTCTCCAGAAGTTTTTTTAACCAGTATCATCATTGAATTAAAATTATCATTTAATGAATCTAGTAGTGAATTTTCTTGTTGAATTTGTCCATGAATATCTTGATCTATAGTTGTTCTAAATCGATTTAATGTTGATGCTAATTCATCAAATTTTTTATTATTTTGTTCTTCTCTTTGTGAATATAACGTATCTGACATTATGATTTTGATTTGATTTGTAATAATGATAATGGGTTTGTAATCTTTAAATATTGGTTGTCTCTTTCTTTCTCTCTTTCTTTTTTTTTTTAATGACAACAAAAAGTTTCTCTGGTCCTGCCTGTACAACAACAACAACAGCAAAAAGAAGGCGCGCAGGGAGAAATCTTTCTTGCTATTTCCAAGTATATTTAAATCACGTACAAACATTATGTATTATGCATATAGATAAATATATAATCAAGTCAGCATGTTTTCTATTTCTCTTCTATTGTTGGCTAGTAGGTTGAGGTCTGTTATAAACTGCATTTCCAAACCCAGCACTGGTTTCTTGAGGTTGCAATTCTTGTAATTGTGGTGGAACATACTGATTGAATGTAGTTGCTGGAGGTGGCATATTATTAGCACCGGCATATCCCAGATACTGCTGCTGCTGTTGATGAAGTGGTTGCAGTTGTGTATATTGTGGAGGAAGTTGTTGCAGTTGAGTATGTTGTTGTGGAATCTGGCTTTGCTGGGTTTGTGAGGGTCCTTGATGTTGCTGTTGCTGCATAGGGTACGGGGCTGTTTGTTGATACATTAGTCCACCGGTATTTTGTTGAGCTCTACTTGAAATCAGTTTATCCAACAACTCATTATATAACTTCACTTCATTATTTAGCTGTTGGTTCAATCCCAATAATTCTTCTTTTCTCACACTATATTTATCAATTGCAGCACCCAATTGAATACGTAATGGTATAATCTCATTATATAACAGAGTCACTTCATCTTCATTAATATTGTCAATATTTTGTGATGATAATATTGCCAACAACTTTTCAATCTTTTTCTTCTCTCCATTGATTAATCTATTTTCCAATTCCAATTCCTTGGCAATTTCTGCTGGTGATTTGTTCACAATTGGTGTAACATAATTCAATGGAAAAATACCAACTTTCCCATTAGTCAATGATCCTCTCCACCAATCACGATACACAGATTCAATAACCGTAATCACATCTCCCTTTCTGAACGACAATTCATCTGGCTCGTAGGAAATCAAATCATACAATGCTCTGACTTTTGAAACTGTGGCAACTGTTTCAACTGGCGGTGATTCAGGTTCTGGTTTCGGTTCAGGCAATGGTTTATTATTGAGATATTCTTTCTTTTCAATTTTCAGTTGTTGCTCATATTCATGTAATGATAATTTCAATGCACGTTGCAATTCTTCTTCTTCTCTATCTTTATCTTGTTTTGTTCTTTCTTTCTTAGCCGGCTTGGAAGGACCCTCTACTTTCTTGTTAAAATATTGAGGATAATCATGTTTTGCTTTGTTATATGCATCAGTCATTGGTTTCAATGATGGATCAACCTTGAATGTATTGTAAAGTTGACTTAAAACTTCACAAATTTTCGTCTTCACAGCCGGGTGTAATTTCTTATCAGACAATCTTTTGATCAAACAATCTTGTAAAAATGATTTAGTTGCAATTTCTTGTTTTACCCTTGATCCACAATTCTCAGCAACAGCAGTTAATAATGCTAATGTTCTTAATACAACATTTGCATCCTTCGATGCCAATTTAGTTTTCAAAGTGGCTATGGCTTCCTTGGTAGCCGTCTCAGGATCATTGGAGATTTTGTCACAAACATCAAAAATATATTGCCAGTTATCTGATGTCAAGGTTGGATCAGTAGCTTTATTTATCAACGACTCTAAGGATGGCATTCTTTCTTTTTTAGAACTTTTGTACTGGGATTAATAAAGAAAAGTGATGATTGATGATAAAAGTTACAAGTGAAGGCGAAGTTGATGATAAATTGTGGGAGACGAATGATCGGGATATGCAGGCGCGAGAGAAAAAAAATACTTTCCAAATGGATGCACGTGACGTCATAATATGCAGGCATTTTTGGAATATGGTAGTGGAAGGGAATAACACCATTCAAACGTTTACCAGATCCCATATCCCCCCAAAAGACTGGATGTTTCCCGAGTGACAGAATGTAGCTGTAATAAGTCACAACTTCCCATTAGTAAGATAATTACTAACATATATAATCTGGTTTGTATGAGTATACTGTCCTTCATGACCGTGTTGGATGCTTATGGTTTGTCAAACTACTATAATTTTTGGTGATACTCTGAATTAGTACAAATTGGTAATACTAAGGAAAACATGTTTGTAATTCTCCCGGGAAATCAATGCCGCCTGAGATTTACTCTTATCATGTAAAATATACTGTTCCTAATTTTGAAACCGTTGTATAAATTTCTGTAGAGTTTATTTAACTCGGCTATTAGTTTATTTGAGATACATAAATTGAATTACAATAGCTCATCTCTTTGGAAATCTTGATATCATAAAAAAAAGGGGGTATAATTTTTTGGGGTAATATTTTGTACAAAATTTCCTTAAATTCAAAAGGGGTTGTTTAAATAGATAGATGCGTACCACAAATCATAAACAAAGAAACTAGGTTCAAGCGGCACTTGAAATTCTTGGTAATAATGTCATGTTAGTTGAACTAGGTTTTCGAAAAACATTGAATTTATGGCTCCGAAGTGGGTTAATTGTGTACGACTAACAAATAACTGTAGTGACGTAGAGTAATCTCTAATTATTATTGTTATCCAGTTAACCAATAGAACCTATGCGTATTATTATGAAATTTACAAACCATGTTTGACAATAGCTTGCTACGGAATCACTTGTTGTGATTGGATAGAATCTCGAATTAATTTGGGGGATCTGTACGCGATGCAAAATTTTTGAACATTTTTTGCAACAAATCTCTGTTCCCCCCCACTCGGATTAACCCCCTACAATAGAAAAATTTTTCTTTCGTTTCATTTATTGTGATCGTTTTCACACAGACAGGTTTCTCATAATCACACACACACACATGTGTAAGTTTTCCTTTACGTGTGTGTTGGTTTTGTTCCACGATAATTATGAACACTTTGTTAGAGGCTTAAGTTTTCCAATGGATTTGTAAGCTTTGTTTTTATTATGTGTAATGCCTTTTGTTGGGGATAATTTAAGTAATCAGTAGAAGTGTGGAGAAATCTAAAGATATCAATGATATTCTGTATCAATCTGACTGTCATCATATGCTCTTGATGTGCCAAGACATGTCAAAAATAAGACTACCCCCCTGCTAAGAAAAATTTAATGCCGATACTTTTTGTCAGTGATCTCATCAACGTTGAAATTGTAATTATTTCTTTTCTAGCAAGTGATTAGAAGGAGTATCAAACAATCTGTTATTTTCCCCACCTTGAAGGTTTTGAACCATTCTGAAATGACTACAGTAGTACTAACTTGCAGCATAGAATGCATTACAATACAATTTTAACTTTATCCCCCACGGAGGAACACAAAGCCGGTAAAACAAAACAGGAAAAACAAAGAGGAAAAGCGAAAAAAATAGAAAGAAGCTTCGCAACAATTGGAAAATGCTACACTCTCTCATTCTATCTAGAATAACAAGGTTTATGGAGTATAAATTGGAATGAAATTTCCATTCTTATCTGGAATTTTGTTTTTTGAATTTTTGTAGATTTTATAATCAACTACTTAGTGCTTATTAGCTTCTTTTCTTAATTATTCAATTATCCTACAGCTATGTCATCAGAAAAACCAACTACGTCACATTTAGAATCCTATGATTTCAACAAACCATCTACTCAATATGAAGAAGATGTTAAACCAAAAACATCCGACGCGGAATATGGTCTTGGTGTTGAGGAAATCAACGAGTTAGAATATTATGATCTTCCAGAGCTGCTTCAACATATGACTCAAGAAGAATTGAAGGCATTGGACAAGAAGACTACCAGAAAGATTGATTTTAGAATCTTACCTATTTTAATCGTGCTTTACATTTTAAATTATATTGATAGAACAGGTATCGCAACAGCTAGATTGGGCACTTTAGAAGAAGATTTGAACTTGACTGGTAGTGACTATCAGATTGCTTTGTCCATTTTGTTTGCTGGTTATATTCTTTTCCAAGTTCCATCAAACATGTTGATGAATAAATTGGGTCGTCCTTCAACTTACCTTGCCGTTGTTATGACAATTTGGGGTGCTATATCTACTTGTACTGCTGCCGTACAAGGTTTTGGTGGATTAGCTGCTGTACGTGTATTGCTTGGTGTTGTCGAATCTGCTTTTTTCCCTGGTGCCTTGATGATCTTGTCCAGTTGGTATGACAAAAAGAGTCTTGCATTGAGAAACTCCATTTTATATTCCGGTTCATTGATCAGTTCAGCATTTGGTGGATTAATCTCTGCTGCCATCTTACAAATGGACGGTTTGGGTGGTGTTTCAGGCTGGAGATATATCTTTATCATTGAAGGTGGTTGTACTGTTTTGGTTGCACCACTTGCTTATTTCATTTTGCCAGATAACCCAGACAACACTAAATTCTTGACTCAAGAAGAAAAAGACATTGTTATGTGGAAATTGAAGAAAGATCTTGGTAATGTTAATGATTCCGATAAAGAAGCCAAAGAATCTGAATGGCAAGGTTTCTTACATGCTATTAAAGATATCAAAGTCTGGTTATTGGTTGCTACTCACTCATTTTTGGTTGCTGCATGTGGTATTACAAATTTCTTCCCATCCGTTGTCCAAACCTTGAACTTCTCCAGAACCATCACCTTATGTTTAACTGCACCACCTTATGTTATTGCCGTTGTTGCAACTTTCCTCTGGTCTATGCATGCTGATCGCACAGGAGAAAGATTCTGGCATATCACAGTGCCATTATTACTTTCATTGGCTGCTTTTATTATTGCCGCTGCTCTGTTGAATCTCGGTGCTCGTTACTTCAGTATGTGTTTGATGATTCCATCCCTTTATTGTGCATTCGTTGTCATTCTTACTTGGATCTCTAATTGTTGTCCACGTCCACCAGCTAAACGTGCTGCTTCCATTGCATTGGTTAACTGTTTGAGTAACTCCACCTCTATCTGGAACGCTTACTTGTACCCATCCAGTGATGCTCCTCGTTACTTGATTGCCTTTTGCTGTAACTGTGGTTTTATCGTTGCCTCCATTGCTTTTGCTATTGGTTTGAGAATTAGATTAATGGTCTTGAACAAGAGAATTGAAAGAGGAACAATAAATTGGCAAAAGGAATTTGGACAAGGGAATGATGGATCTAAGATCTCTGCTGATTTCAGATTCTTATATTAGTAATACACCGGATGTATGTATGTTTGTAATTTTAAGTATTTTTATAAATGACGACAATTTTGTAAAGGAAAGAAAAGAATCGAAGTGTGTCTTGTTTATGTAAACCATTGGTGCAATAACGGTCTGGTTGTTTGTCTCGTTACTGAGAATTTGTGTTTCACAGAACCCCGTAATTGAGCATGTGACACAAAAAAAGAAGTAAATTATAAACGAAGGGAACTCCAAGTGCTCCCAGCAACGGCAATAGCCAGATAAATTAACGACTGATTAGTTTGATATTTGTTACCGACCTATAATGACAATTATAACCCTTTCATTATTTATGATTATTAATTCTCTTCAATTAGTTCGTGCATCTTGTTTACTATTTCCGGGGTGTTCTCGAACTTTGCTATATTTCCGGCGGTAGTATTGTTCCAGATAGGCTTTTATAGATTGTAAAAAAATGACCCAAAGCTCATACCACTTACAAAATATACGTATAGAAATTCCATTCTAGAAAGGCGTGAGAATAAGAACTACACCTGATAAGTATATATCAACTACCTCTACACTCTGGACAATTGCAAAATGAGGTTGACAACTAAAAATGAGACTCATATTAGTTGGAAATTGAATCAATTCAATGACAAAAACAAGCTTAAAAAAAAATTGGAAATAAAAAGAAAAGAAACTGATCATCAGTAAAGGTTACACTTAGGTCAGCCATAAATCCGTAATAATGCATAGTTGACACTTTGTACACGATTCTTGTTTCTCACACTTTATATATAAATTCTTTTTTTTTTCTTTCCACTAACTACTTGCTTGAATTTAAATTACATCACCAACTAAAATTGTACACCTATTTTTTTTTCGTTTCATTCGTACTTTATAATCACTGTTGATAGACATCCACCATCAGATTATATTTACATCATATTAGTGATTGCAACATTTCTTAGTTGGTTTATTTATTCGGATTTTTAGAGTTAGATCTTTTCGTTTTTGTTGTTTTGCACTTAATATGCCTCCTCCACCCACACCAACTGGTCCGCCAAATAGACAATCACAAACATCACCACAAGGGAATAACCAATCATTATCGACAAGTAGTACATCATCGTTACCACCATCATTATTGTCAACAGAAAATACAACGAATCAGAGACTAACATCGTTTGATCATATACAAAGATTTGGGAATGCATCCACAAATCAAAATCCTGATAATGAATACTCCATCGACATGGCCCCAGAATACATGTACAGAAACCTCCATGCAGATTCAAACAACGTACATCCAAACAATGAAGCACATGCCAATTTTAGATCCAGTATTGTTCGACAATTAACTGACATGCATCGATTACAAAGCCGATTCAACCAATTATACAGTAATAGAGAGCAAAGCAATCGAGCCGAACACGAATTAGCAATTAATAGTATCCCTATTCAGTTGAGAAATATTTCACGAGAATTGACACGGAATCTGAATAGAGAGGCTTACTTTGTGGAAACAACAGATGATGACGACCAAAGTTTTCAAGAGGAAGATGAACCAGAAGTGATATATTATTCTGAAGATAATGGAAATGCGATCGTGTATCTGGAGAGTAATGAAAGCGAACTTAGTGATGATGAATCAGCAGCAGTAAGGCATGATATACGGAATAATGAACGAAATATACTTGCGTCGGGTAGAAATAGTGGTTACCCATACAGATTTACATCTACAAGGCTAAATAATTCTGGTGTTCCCTTGAGACGACAGAATGCCATTAGAGCAAGGTTTACGCACAAAAGAAAAGCATCAGATGATCAAGAAAAGTCAAATGATGAGAAGTCTGAAGGAAACTCGTATCTTCTTCAAGATGAGGCTAAATCACTTCTGGAGGAAATACATACCTTTTATGAAGACCTAATATCACTTGATGAATTTCAAGGGGAGTCTCCGTTATTTCGCAAATTATACCACGAAAAGGATGATCCTTTCAGGCCATTCTTTTTAACAGATCCAAGTACTCATTTTAGAAGCGAAGACACCAGTACTTTACATTTGGATAATAAAATGGATGCCTACTTGCAAAAGAGAAGAAATAATCAATTGTGGCTCAAGTTGAGGCTCCCACCACCACCTCCACGAGCAACATCACTGAAAGATAAGAAGAGATCCATCAATTCACGACTGAGCTTTTCAACCTCTGCAAAAAGACAGAAACTTGTCCATAATAGTAATGACGAAGTTGCCATGTATACTGAAGACATTCCCCACGGAAGATATCTGTACTCAAAAAAGGAAAAAGAATCAATTCTCACTGGGTTATCGAGTAGTTTGTTTAAATCCGGATCTGTCTATTATCTTGGAGCAGACCATAACCCATTAAATAAATTCAAATTGGTTATTGGTGATATTGATGGATCCATCAACGGTGTATTCAATTTTGCTCCCGAAAATACTTCACCATTGGAATCTATCCTTTTGAAATTGAACAACTTCACCAAATTTATCTGTGGGTTCAATGATTTTTCCCAATGTTTACCAAGAAGCAAAATACTCGTGAGAAAATTGAATGTTCTTGATCGTATATCTATTGACAAGAATGTCAGGTATAAGAAGAATTTGAAAGATGATCTTAATTTTCCAATACTGGGACATGTTGTTGACTTCAAAGAATATGACTTGAGGTTCTTAAAATCGACTCCTAATGAGTCATCATCATCACGTTTTAGATCCAAACGAGTTATCTTGCAATTATTGGAGTGGATGAAATTGCACCCGTTTATTCAGTTTAAAGAAAATTATTTCCTTAGTACTCTTCGAAAATTGGATAAGACTTTATCTAATTTTGAGGGAAGTAAACTCAGAACACCTCAGAAGGTACAAATCTTGAACTGGACTCGAGAGCTCAAGTCTAATTTATGTTCTTTAACTAAAGATTTTACATTCATGAATGATAATAACATAAATAAAGTAAAACTCATTCGAGATCAAAATTTCAAAAAACAATCCATCCAGCCGTATGTGTCATTATTTGTTGACGAGTGGGAAAAGATACTTGCTTGTGAATTGAGTGAACAGATTACCAAGGAAGAGTCGACAACATTGCTTAACATCCAGTTAAATTTTATTTTATTCACATTGGAGATTGATTTGTCAAAATTTTTAGATTCATTCATTGAGTATATTTTTAGACATTGCTATGATAGTCGATACATGGACAATTACAGAAAAGTATATGATAATGTGTTGGCAGATGAGCATAAGGAAACTGAAAATCACAAGGCAACATTGATTTGCTCCATTGATAGGAAAACTGGAACAATTGAAATACTCAACACACTACCATTCCTACACTATAAAGATAGATCTTCAAAACGTACTGGTTTCATTCTTTCTACTGATCTGAACCTCTCGGATTATTCAACAAGAAGCTCATTTGTCTACGATGATTTTGAATTATTCGAAGGTGATAAGGTCCCTCAAAATTCAAGCACATTCAATACCAGCATAAATCTCGGCGGCCTGAACCACGCCATTGTTGATACAAAATTAACGGGCTCATTTGAATTTGAGGACTCTGTTTGTGATATGGTCTAGCATAGTTCCCAACATAATACTTTATTTATATTGTCTTATATTATATAGTATATATACATGAATTAATTAATGAAAATATTGAAACTATTTACCAGCCCCATCCTTTCTTACCTTCTACTTTATCTTGTCTTTTCTTTCTAAAGAAATCCTTTCGGCATTCTCTGTATGCATCGAAAAACTCTTGACAGACATATTTGTCATCTTGATTACGGTATAAACAATCCATTGATGCCATTCTACTTTCTTCACATGGATCATAAAACTTAGAAGGTTCTTTCATTGACCATTTATATTTGTGTCTATGACTCTTTGGATTATCTGGATAAAACTTGAATTCTTCAACATTTCCTTTAGTGAAATCAACTTTAGATTTGTCTTTTTCCACTTCGTCTGTGATCAATTTATCTGAATTTGGTTTGGTATTTAAAACCACTGGTTCTGGAATACTCTGTTTATTTTCAGTTGAACCTTCACTAGTTGTCATACTGTTCTTAGTCTAGCTATAATGTGTGGACACTTGAAGGTTAAAAGTAAACTAAATGGAGGGGGGGTTTGGAAATTTTATTGTGGAAACGTTTGCACGACCTTTCCTAAATGTGTTTTGTTCGTGTTGGCTGGGAGAGAATTTTTTTTTCCATTTGTATTGAAGTGTATTTTTTTTTTTTCGTTTTTGTTTGGTGATAGATAAAATTACTCCCCTCCATAAATCCAACAGTATTTCAGAATTATGGTTTTAGCTGATTTGGGTTCTAGATTAAGAGGAGCATTGTCTTCTGTTGAATCAGGTTCGGATGATGAAATCCAACAAATGATCAAAGATATTTGTGGTGCACTTTTAGAATCTGATGTCAATGTTAAATTAGTGGCCAAATTAAGAGGCAATATAAAGACTAAAATTGAAGAAGGAAATATTGTCCAAGAAACATCAGCTATGAACAAGCGTAAGAAATTACAAAAAATTATATTTGATGAATTATGTGCTTTAGTAGATTCTCATGTTGAACCACCAAAGCCAAAGAAACTTTCGACAACTACCAAAACCATCAATGGTAAGAAAATTAGATTATCAAAAGAATCTAGTCATGTTATCATGTTTGTTGGTTTACAAGGGGCTGGTAAAACTACTTCATGTACAAAGTTGGCCGTATATTACAAGAAAAGAGGTTTCAAGGTTGGTTTAGTGTGTGCCGATACTTTCAGAGCTGGTGCCTTTGATCAATTGAAACAAAATGCCATCAAGGCTAATATTCCATATTATGGTTCTTATTTGGAACCAGATCCAGTCAAGATTGCCTTTGAGGGGGTTCAGAAATTCAAACAAGAAAAGTTTGATATTATTATTGTGGATACTTCTGGTAGACATAGACAAGAAGAACAATTGTTTACTGAAATGGTTCAGATAGGTGAAGCAGTACAACCGACACAAACTATCATGGTTATGGATGGGTCTATAGGTCAAGCAGCTGAATCACAAGCTCGTGCATTCAAAGAAAGTTCCAATTTTGGGTCCATTATATTGACTAAAATGGACGGTCACGCCAAGGGTGGTGGTGCCATTTCTGCAGTTGCTGCCACTAAAACCCCGATTGTGTTTATTGGTACTGGTGAACATATAGGGGATTTGGAAATATTCAAACCAACTACTTTCATATCGAAACTTTTGGGTATTGGTGATATCCAAGGTTTGATTGAACATGTGCAGTCCTTGAACTTGCATCAAGATGAAGGTCACAAACAAACAATTGAAAATATTAAAGAAGGTAAATTTACTTTGAAAGATTTCCAAAATCAAATGAATAACTTCCTAAAAATGGGACCATTAACAAATATTGCATCTATGATTCCAGGTATGTCTAATTTATTGTCTCAAGTTGGAGATGAAGAGACATCAAAGAAAATCAAAAATATGATATATATTATGGATTCAATGACAACTAAGGAATTGGAAAGTGATGGTAGAATTTTCATTAAAGAACCAAGCAGAATTATTAGAGTTGCTAGAGGTGCTGGTTGTGCTGCTGTTGAAGTTGAAATGATTTTACAACAACATAGAATGATGTCTACAATGGCTAAATCTGCCATGGCTGCTCAAGGTGCACCAGGTGCTGGTGGTAACCCAATGGCTGGAAACCCACAAATGCAAAGAATGATGCAACAAGCCCAATCTAATCCAAATTTCATGCAACAAGCCATGAGTATGTTAGGTGGTGGCGGTGCTGGTGGTGCTGGAGCCGGTGGATTAGCAAGTATGATGAACAATCCAGCTATGATCCAACAAGCACAACAAATGATGAGACAAAATCCCCAAATGATGCAACAAGCACAACAAATGATGCAAAATCCAGGTATGATGCAAAAGATGATGCAACAATTTGGTGGTATGGGTGGTATGTAATGTTGTATATTAGTTAAATAGTTCATGATTAATTATCTCTTACGTCGTTTTTTTTAAAAAAATCAAAAAAAAAAAAAAATCATCTGTAATTTCTACGTAAGTGATATTAAAATATAACAAAAGAGTTACTTTATTACTACATAACGTATTGACTAAACTTCTAACAAAAGTACCACTATTATGTCTATCTATAGAACTCGGGTCTGGAAGTGTTCATACCATATTCACTTAATGCATTACTTAAATCACCCATTGTTAATACTATCTTTCCTTGTTGATTACCAGCATTAGAATGTGATTGTTGGGATTGTTGCTGATCATTTTCACCACCATTTGCAGAATTACCAGCCAATGATTGTTGATTAGCATATTGTTGTCCCTGTAGTAACAATTTCGCCCTAACTTGAGGATTTGATGAATTATACACAGCACTTGCACTTCTGATTCTACTATATTCGTATGCATCTTGTGCAATATCACTAATGAATTTTTGTGTGGCAAGAGCTAATAATCTTTTTATTTTAACATCTGAAGTTTCAAACCCATTCTTAGCTAAATAATAATCAGTAACAGCATCTGGAATGATTGGTGCAAAATCACCATCCATCATATCAAGTACTTCTTTCAATGTTTTATCCTTACGTGTAAGATCAGGCAATTCTGGAATAACTGCAGCAATAGGAGCTGGATTCACATTAGCAGTTGATGTTGATGATGATGATGTTGTACTTGATTGTTTCTTGTTTTCTGTTTGTTTATTTTCACTTTCCGGTGGGGCTGGAGTTCCTTGACTTTTCTGTTCTTGTTTCTGCTGTTCAGCTACTTGTTCATCGGTGATAATATTATCATCAATATCATTAAACTCTTCATCCATAACTTCATCTTCAGGTTTGTTAGATGGCTCACTCATTTTTGTTGTATTAGTTGTCCTATTGTTGACTGTACGATTGAGTTCTCTGGTTTTTTTTTTTTTTTTTGTCTTGATTGTGTTTTTGGTTCTTGTAATTTTATTAACTTTTTTTTTTGGTAAGATTGTATTCTACTGAATCAACCATATCTATTCCGAAACACGAATAAGTTGATAAATGGCACATAGATTGCAAGACCCCAACGCCAGTTCTACTTTTGGTAATTCTCTACTGTTAAGAGTAGATGGTGCCATTGGTGCCATGTCCTTATCGCCAAATGGAAGGGATGCTGTTTTGGCTGGACGACGAGGACTATTTATCATAGATTTAGATGACCCTTTTACACCACCACGATGGCTACATCATATTACTTCATGGGAAGTTGCAGATGTTCAATGGTCACCCCATCACTTTGTCAAACCATCATGGTGTATATCAACTTCCAATCAAAAGGCATTATTATGGGATTTAAAGCGACCTTCATCTAATGCAATTGCTAATATTCTACATTCACACAACAGAGCAATATCAGATATTAATTTCCATCCCTTCGACCCTGAAGTATTAGCCACATGTGCCATTGATACATTTGTCATGTGTTGGGATATGAGAACACCCAGGAAACCTGTATCAAAGTGGGCAGAATGGAGAGCCGGAGCAATACAAGTCAAATGGAATCATGAGAATCCTTATGAGATTGCACTGAGTCATGATAATTCTTTTTATGTATGGGATACCAGAAAGGGTGCTTTACCCGTTGTGAAAATTGGAAATGCACATGACAAGAAGATAAACGGAATGGATTTCAACCAAGGGTTAAAGAATATTACAACATGCTCTAATGATGGTACGGTCAAGTTTTGGGATTTAAAAAGTGAACAGGCTACCAAATTTATTTCCAATTTTAATTATTTTGGTAATCAACCTGATAATGCCATACAGCCTAGTGTTGTAATTGAAACCAGTTTTCCCATTGCTAGAGCAAGAAACTTGCCGTTTGGTTCTGATAAGGCATGCGGTATTATGCCACTCCAAGGTGGTAACAATGCTATCCATTTAGTAAATTACGATGATGCATATCACGAATACTTGAACACTAATACACCACAAAGAATATCGGCTAATTCAGTATACTCATTCAAGGGGCATCGTGGTCCAATGAAGGACTTTCTTTGGAGAACTAGACATGAATACTATGAAGGTTTTGAATCAAAGAATACTTGGAAGGATTACCAGTTAGTAACGTGGTCATCACAGGACTATGATTTGAAATTATGGTCCCATGACAGTCAAATTTACAAAGGTGTCAATTATGATCCTACTTTTTATAACGTATTCAAAGACGAGCTGGAATCAGAAGCGTCTAGACCACAGACTCCAAGTTCTGAGCGTTATTATAATTATGACACTTATTGTCGCGAGCCAGAAGTGACTATAAATGATATAACTAAAACTAATGGTGGGGATTTAATTTCTGCATTGACATTGTCATTGATTGCCGAGAAGCACAAACTCTCGACTGATGAATATATGCAATTAAACCATATAAATTGGATTTCTGGTGTACGTATGGGACATGCTGGACATGGAGAGCGCAAAGAAAGTGAGTCAAATTTTGGTGATGACGGTCCGTCAAATTTGGGTGAAGAGGTTAGTATTGTTGGTCATAAATTTCCTAAAATCCGATTCGAAAAGATTTCCGTTTCTACTGGTGAGTTGGTCATTAGCTTGAAAGGACCGATACCATCATTGCAGAGTGGTTCAATGGAAAAGTCAGATTCTACCGATGGTACAGATACTAATGTAGCTGAATCAGCAATTTCATTGAGAGAAAAAAGCATTGTTAGTGAACCTGATAGGGAAACAGAAAGAATGAGCTTTAAAGATGGCAGTATTATTAATGAACTATCTGATGACCCGTCGAAAGATGATTCAGCAATTGAGCAAAAGTTAGTGTTTATTCGTGTTGAGGTTGACTTTCCAAACGCATATCCATATCTTGAAGATGCTGGATTGAACCAAAACTTATCCAGCAAACGACTAGTCAAATGGCAAAAACAAAACTTGATCAAATTTAATGTTGAAGAAACACATGAATTATCCAAACCTATCAGGGAGGTTATGGAAAGCAATTTAAATGAAATTGCACAGTTTTATACTAACAAGTATCAAAGATTCTGTTTAGAACCATGTTTGCGATACTTGATGGGTGAAAAAATTGAACTTGATGATGATGAAATGCTCAGAGAAAGTAGAAGAGATAGCAATGATGATGGGGAAGAAGAATTTATTCAAGAAGCCGGTAATGAAGCATGGGTGGATGATTTGATTAATCAACAACCAGATATTCCGATGTATTCTTCCGGAGAAGAAGATGAAGAATTAGATCAAACTTTGATTCCAGCTATTAAAAATAGCAACACGGTCAACATTGGTAGCAACAATAGTAATCAAATTGAGGGAAGTGAACCATTCAATAGTGTTGATTCTCCTTCTACCACAGAGAATCCGTCAGTTGCGACTCATAAACCTAGTTTTGTTGATTCCACGCCATTACCTAATGGTTGTGGTGCAATTTGGTCTCCTACTGGACAATTAGTTTGTTTTTTCATTCCAAAATCAAGATCAGATAATTCCACAGGAGATTATGATGATGAGGAGGAAGGTGAAAATAGCGACAATGGTAAAGGTTTACAAAAGTTCAACATTTTTCAATTCACGGATGGTGGATTTGGAACAAAAACACATAATCACAACCACAGTCACCATGGCCATCACCATGGCCATCACCATCGTAAGTCTAGTTCCATTATTTCAGATTCTGCTGTGAATGGAGATGAAGCTTCTGATCAAGATGCAGAACAGGATTTAAGCGAAGATGAGAATTCAGTCAGTGGTGATGATCAAGATACATCATCGGTTTCATCATCCAATGATAGTTTTGCTGAAGATTGGGATGAGATGTTACTGAATGATGCACCTAGGAGAAGAGTACATGGATTGTTTAAGACTAGCCTTGGATTGGGAAATAGATTCGCTGAAATTGATAGCAGTAATAAATCTTCGTTTAATAGGTTCACTAGTAACGGTGGCACTGGTTCCAATTACAAGTCATCCTTTAAAGGTGAATATAAAAAGAAATCACTGGCTAATGAAGAGAAAAAGAATAAGAACATCGTGGGTATTTTTGATTTTTCACACTTGCTTCCAGATAAATATGATCTTGCTCGTGAGTACAGAGTTCTTGGTGATACTCCCGAAGTATTGGCAAGTCATAACTCAAAGGTTGCTTTGAAATACGGTCTTAAAGAAATCAGTGATGTTTGGAAAATTCTTGAAATGGTTTTAATGAAGAATATTCAATATACCGAAAACAACGGGGTTTATGTTTCTAGTTGTCCGATTATAACTCCCTTGAATGCACATTATGGAACTCAAACGATAAATCGAACTTCATTCTATTGGGATGATCATCCATTTGGAGGTGTGTGGTTTGTCAAGGAGATTTTTGATTATTTTGAAAAGAAGAAAAACATACAGATGTTGGCAATGATGTCGTGTATATTGTATGAAAATCCAGATAATTTGAAATCTGCAAGTGAATCAATGAGTGTTCCCATTCATACACCTTATCAAGCATTGCCACAACCTCCCACGGTTTATCAACAAAATTCTCGGAATAGTACAGCAATAGGGTTCACTACTCAATCATTTTCAGGTGATGAGCCAAGATATGATTTCCGAAACTCGTCGATTCTGAGTACTAGAAAGGAATCCCAACATTCTGGAATGGTTTACGCAAAGTCTATCACATCATCACTTGATACAGAAAGTATGGTCAATGGTTCTCCCGACAAGTTTAGATACTTGAAGAGAAGTTTTAGCACTAGAGGATACCCAGGAATAGAACAATCAAACAACTCATACTCCTCATTGTCTGAGTCATTCATAGAATCAAATATTTCGACGCCTGAACGAAATACCAGAATGTTTGCGGACAAGCCAAGTAAAAGTATTTTAAGACAACCTCCATCTGCACTAAAAAAATCTAGAGCAAAACCAGCACCTGTTGTTCTGATTGAAATGCAAAATGTGGAAGAATTGGATTTATTTGAAAGTTTCAACTCCAGAGCTTTATTGGATTCAATTGATAATGATAAATTGATAAGATATAGAGAGTTGTATGCCGAAATGTTGTACAATTGGAAATTACCTATTAACCGAATCAAAATTTTAAAATTTAATTATCCACAAACAGAAGGAAATGATTATGAGGATCCTACTACAAGTGATATTCACAAATGCCGTATTGGGTTGAGAAAGAAATCGCGTCAACAACCAAACCAATCATATGTGGATTCAATCAGTTCTATATCTACCAAATATCCAAATGCATGGAACACAAGTAAGAGACAAACTTTGAAATACTGTAACTACTGTAAATTAGTGGTTACAAAAAATTTCACATTGTGTACAGTTTGTGAACATTTAATGCACACCAGTTGTGCTGGTGAATGGTGGTCCACTGAAAACGATGAATGTCCAAGTGGGTGTGGTTGTAAGTGTTTAGAACGTAGTATATAAATTGATCATGAATCTATGTCTATATATATATATATATAATGACTTTGTCTAAGGTTGACGAGTGTTAACAATTTGGTCTTTTAATTTTTCGTCCCATTCTTTAGTAAGAATATCCAAATAATTAACCACATCTTCCAGTCCTGTAGTATCCACTTCTTCTTCAATGAGGTATTCGTCACCAAATCTAGTAACAGCAGAAGCGGTTTTACTGTTTTGTTTAGTTCTTCCCAAAGCAGCAGCCACAGGAGCATTGGCAGCAATGTATCCGGAAATATTATGATATGGAGATCCCAAGAATCTAGCAATATAAAACAAACACAACATTCCATAATAAGTGAAAACATTCAAAAATTGGAAAAATGAAAAACTTGTGAAAATACCAGGATGAACCAAATATTGATCAATATCATCTTTTTGTTTTAAATTTTTAAAAGTACCGAAATGCATTAAATCGACTAATCTTTTAGATCCTTCATAACTAGCAGGAGATTTTAATAATTGTAAATCTTGGAATGATAAATATTTAGGATGTGCCATTAAAGAGCTAATCCAAATGATTTTACCACCATTTTTCAATAAATGTTTAATTCTATGAATTAAATAATAAGGTCCAAAAACATTAGCTTGAAATACTAATCCTAAATTATCTGAACTTTCAACTCCAATTCTTTGTAATTTATAAGTTGGGTTAGTAACTGCTTCAATTGGACTTTGTAATACTTCAATAACAGCTGCTTTCCAATCAATACCTCCGTAAACACCTTGTGCAGCATTAATGAATAAATAATCAATATGTTTGTATCGTTTGTTTAACTCATAGTATGATGATAAGATAGATACCATATCAGTGAAATCAACTAATAAATAATCAAATTCTACTTTGTTTACTTTAGATGGGATTTTTTCAACAATATAATTTTTAATATCAGTAATCACATCTTTAACTTTTGGTAATGTTCTAGAAGTAACAACCAAAGTGATTTCCTTTTCATCTGGTAATTGTTCTAATAAACGAACGGCAATATTAAAACCCAAGTTTGATGAAGTACCGGTAATAACAGCAACTGTGGAATCCTTAATGAGAGACATGATAGTAGTAGTTGATGATAGTTTACAAAAAGTAAGTATAAATTTTCATTCAATTTTTTTTTTTTCGGTATTCGTCTCCAGATATACATCATTACGTTTCTTTTTTTTTTATTGAATTATTCGTTTCGCGTTTGTACTAAAACGATGTCGTATAATTTTCCAAATCAGGAACGAGATGCACGTGATATCTATAGATGTGTATATACTAAACCAGCCAGAAATCATTCCAACCTATATTCTTTCTAACAGCATTTGAAAAACCTTCATTATACTTAACCCATATTCTTGAAGTTTTAAATTCTTCATCAGATTCCTTGTTTGATGAGTTATCAACTTGGATTTGCGAGTTGACTTCTTCATATTTTCCTTTAAAGAAATTGACACCCGATCCGGATTTTGCCTTTTTGGTTTCTGGTCCATCCTCCTTCTCTATAGTTTCAGCTAGTGGACGTTTGGCGGCTTTTCTCAACATGCTCAATCTATCTAGTTCTGTAGTTACCAAAGGGAATATAGCTTGACGACGGAATTGGGTTTGTTTGAAAGCAGAAGCCAGAGGCACGGGTGCAAATGCATTATCAAATACGGTGATTGTATCCCAATTTGGATTCATCTTTAACGATACTAACCCAGTTTCTAAATCTTTCAGATTCTCTAACGATAAATCAAAATCTTTAACTATACTGGCAATTTTTTCTACCCATTTCTTTTCGGTATCATTTAAATCAGATTTTAATCTAGCAGATAAACTAGGACAAACTATCTTTGCCAAGTATGGCAAAAACTGAGTAGCAGCATTTTCAGGATTAATACCAAGTGCAAGTTGAACTTTAACAGGTAAACTGTCTGATACTGTCTTGATTATATTTTTATTTGTCTTCAATAATTCATAATGCTCAAAGTCTAAATTCTTTGCATTAGGGATAAGCAGTTGGTTGTATCTTTGTGGATTTAATTCACTAAACAAAGACCATGTTTTAAGACCAAGTAATGGAAAATATTCGTTAGTATCATTATGTTTACTAAATTGAGCATAAACACCAACCCAATCACTAAACTCACTGGGTTTAATCAATGAATCATCCTGATTATGAACCACATCCAAGTATCTATCAAAAACACCTTTGAGAACTTTATCAAAAGTACTGGAATTATTAGTTATAGTTTTGCCTTCTCCACTCATGAAGCTATTAAAGATACGATTAAAATTCTGTTCTTTGGATAATTGTGGATCACGTTTAAACAACTGATCAACCATTGCAAACCATGAAAGTTGTCTATCCATTAGTTCATTGTTGTTAACTTTTTGGTCAACAGTTACCACTTTTCTACTATTAAATTGCAAATGATTAATACAAGCTCTAATATCAGAATCACAAATTTCAACAACATCTCCAATTTCTTGATAATCTAAACCAAGTTTCTCTCTACTATTTATATTCATCAAATGATCTTTCACTGATTTAACAGCATTACCACCAAATTTGGCTCCCGATACCGCCTTTGCAGTTACTGGCTTTTTAAATGCAACAATTTCTGATATTGGACGTAGTTTGTCCATTGGATTTGGACCATATCTGTTGGATTGCTGGGAATAAATATCATTGGCAATACATATAATTGGACGATTTAACAAAAAATCCTTCTTTTTTGATTTATTCTTGGCTTGTGGATCATCTAAACTCGGTTTTCTTAACTTCTTATTGAGTGCACGTTGGTCAGATTGAACTAAATCATTCAACACTTTTATCACATCACTTACATTAGCCAATGAATCTATTTCGTCAATGATCAAACATGATGGCTTTCCCTTTGAAGAAATACTATTTGAAGTCAAAGCATTAATTATCTTCAATTTCAAGGCTGCAGAAGCATTAGAATATGCGGTTGATCCACCCCCACCACCTGAGGCTTGAGGTAAAGTATCCATACTATTAGAAGCATTCAATTCTTGAACACTATATCCCATTTGATTCGCTAGAATATGAGTGGCAGTAGTTTTACCAATACCTGTTGGACCATGAATCAACAAAATCTTTCTAAATGGACGTCCAAGGGAATCGACATTATCTCTATCGTGAATATCTTCATGGAAAACTGTATGTGACCATTTTTTCAACCAGTGTAAAACTAATCTATATTGTTTATCATTGCCTGCAGAGCATAGCTGAATAAAACTGGTTGGCTTATACTTCTCTGTCCAAATCTTGGATCGTGGATGCAGTTTTTTCGTAGTAGATGTTGGATTTTCCACTTGTTTTCTTCTATTTTGTTCTTTAATCGAATTACGCAAATTGGCTCTCGTGGTTAATGAATCCATATCCATATAAGTACCTTTCAACTGCGTCTCATCAATGGTGGTAGTATTGAAAACTCTTGGAGATAACTTGATCACTTCTCCGGAGAATAATTTGACAGTTTTTGAGGCATGCATTACTGGGGAGTAGTCTTGAACAGTGTTTGATTCTAGTTGTTCATTTTGCTCTTCCTCATTGGCAATATCATCTAGTTCCATATTATTCTCATTTTGGTTCTCTTCTACATCTTGAAACAATATGGATTTGCTAGTAGCAAAAATATCTTCCTCTTCGAGTTCATTACTTTCTTGAGCATTGTGGGAAAACAAGTATGAGTTTTGAGTATCAAATTCAAAATCACCTTGATCAGTCAGTAGTTGTGACTCTTCAACAGTAGTCATTGTAGTGAATGTAGACTAGGAAGTTGTAGAAGAAGATTTGATCACTCTCACGAAATGAAAATTTTCTAAAACAAATAATAAACACACACGTCCAAACGCGTCTTGATCAAAACGAAATAAAAAAATTATCAAAAAAAAAACCAAGATGAACGCGACATTATATTGGTGGAATGAACGACTTTTTATTCACTACGATTCAATGATTAATCCCGAATATTTATAACCTTTATCTTATTTAAATTTCATTTATATACTCAATAGCTAGCTATATAGTCGACGTACTCAATACCCCTTCTCTTAGTATAAGAATCTGAAATCAGCAGAAATCTTAGATCCATCATTTCCTTTACCGAATTCCTTTTGCCAGTTCATGGTTCCTCTTTCAATTCTCTTGTTCAAGACCATTAATCTAATTCTCAAACCGATAGCGAAACCAATGGCAGCAACAATAAAACCACAGTTACAGCAGAAGGCAATTAAGTAACGAGGAGCATCACTGGATGGGTACAAGTAAGCGTTCCAGATAGAGGTGGAGTTACTCAAACAGTTAACCAATGCAATGGCAGCGGCACGTTTAGCTGGTGGACGTGGACAACAATTGGCAACCCAGGTAAGAATAACAACGAATGCACAATAAAGGGATGGAATCATCAAACACATACTGAAGTAACGAGCACCAATGTTTAACAGCGCAGCAGCAATGATGAAGGCAGTTAAAGCCAGTAACAATGGAATGGTAATGTGCCAGAATCTTTCACCTGAAATATCAGCGTGTTTGGCCCAAATAAAAGTAGCAATAACAGCAAGAACAAATGGTGGTGCAGTTAAACACAAAGTAGTAGTTCTGTCAAAGTTCAAAGTTTTAACGACAGATGGGAAAAAGTTAGTAACACCACAAGCAGCAACCAAGAAAGATTGAGTAGCAACCAATAACCAAACTTTGATATCTTTAATTGCGTGTAAGAAACCTTGCCAGTCAGATTCTTTAGCTTCTTTGTCGGAGTCATCAACATTACCAAGATCTTTCTTCAATTTCCACATAACAATGTCTTTTTCTTCTTGAGTTAAGAATTTAGTGTTGTTTGGGTTATCTGGTAAAACAAAGTATGCAATTGGGGCAAGAACAACAGTGAGAGCTCCGGTAAGAATAAATAACCATCTCCAACCGGCAACACCACCCAAACCATCCATTTCCAAAATACCAGCAGCAAGCAAACCACTGAAAGCAGAACTGATCAATGAACCAGAAAACAAGATGGAGTTTCTCAATGAAAGACTCTTTTTATCGTACCAACTGGACAAGATCATTAAGGCACCAGGGAAGAAAGCAGATTCAACAACACCAAGCAAGACACGGACAATAACTAAACCGGTGAAGTTATGAACTGCACCAGTACAAGTAGAAACAGCACCCCAAATAGTCATAACAACAGCAAGGTAAGCAGATGGACGACCCAATTTGTTCATCAACATGTTTGATGGAACTTGGAAAAGAATATAACCAGCGAATAAGACAGATAAAGCAGTTTGGTATTGATTACCAACCAAGTTCAAATCTTCTTCTAAAGTTCCCAATCTTGCATTAGCAATAGCAGTTCTATCGATATAATTCATGATGTAAAGAATAATCAACATTGGCAACAATCTCAAATCGATTTTTCTGGTAGTCTTCTTGTCCAATGTTTTCAATTCTTCTTGAGTCATATGTTGAAGCAGCTCTGGAAGATCATAATACTCCAATTCATTGATTTCTTCAATACCAACGTCGGATTCAGAAACCTTTGAATTGACATCCTCTTGATATTGAGTAGTTGGTTTAGCGTCGTATTCTTCGCTGTAAGAAATGTTTTGTTTTTCAGTAGACATCTTGATAGTAGATAGTAGTATTAATCAACTGATGATAATGATAAGAAGAATGAAAAAAAAAAAGATCAATAAATTCAGCAATTATCATCTTATTTATAGTTTTTAGTTTAATCTGGGATTCCCCATGACAGAATGATTTCCATATAGGCGATAACTATATTTTGTTTTTTTTCGCAACTGTAGTAGATGATTTTTCTTCTTTGTTCTGAAAATCCGAACCTACAATTAAGAAAACAAATTTAAAAAAGGAAAAACCAATAAATGGGCACAAAACTGATGAGTTCGTGTTTTCTTTTTTTTCTTGATTTAATAATAAGTGGGGGTAATAATGGAGTACAGCAAGGAAATGCATGAAGGAAAAACTTTAACAAGTGTTAACAGATTAAAAACTCTTGGAACTGTCTGTATACATTGTCTTAGATTGGGTTAGGTTAAAGTTGCAACGCTCTAAACAAAGTGTAAAAAGAAAAAATGCCAAAACAATGATAATAATTATTGGGGAAATACTTATAGTGAAACGTATCAGTAGCGTGGAGGGAGGGAGAAAGGGAGAGGGCAATTTTACCCGTCAAACATCAGAACATTTATTGTTTAATGATATTTCCTATTGTTCTTGAGTCGATTCCATATTTGGGGGCACTTAATTAAATCGTATACTTGTGGTTGGAGGTGGGGTACTTTGTCTTCCATTTAAATTTACCCAACGCCTTGATGTTAAAGCCTCTTTCTTCAGGGGGAAAAAATTAAGAGAGTTTATTACACACACGCTCATATTATACGACTACATCAGCCAGCTACAAATGGTGCTAGTATTTAACGTTGTATTAATTGGCATTTTATTATCACGTTGTAATGTTACGTCATTTTGAAGGTTATTACCAAGTATTAATGACAACAACCCCATATCACCAAGGAAAATCCATTTTTCTTTTTAATGGTTAATCCGGGTGGGGAGGAACAACTTTGCTAAGAAAATATTTTTCACTATAATTATTATTATTATTATTTCTTTCGTTCTTTCTTAATATATAGTATGTGTTATGTAAGACACTTTATTGTATGAGTTTTAGTTTTTTAGCAATTTGCAGTTAATCCTCCAATTTTAACCAAGAATTTTCTTGGTATATTTTTTTGGCACTTTGGACACGCACTCACCTGTGATTAGAAACACCACTCAACACAAATTTCAACATGGTAGCGTGACACACAATAATAAAATCTAACCATCTTTTTCATTTGTGTATGGTTTAACTTTATCTGTCTCCAGATTTTTTTTTTTTTAATAATACGCCTGGTGGGGAACAAGAGAATGAATCAATATTCTTATCAATTATTCGTAACCATCAATGATAATCATAACCATCTACTGTTATTCATTTCCCATTAATGATTCTATTTTTTTTTTGTTGAATCCCAAAAAATTAATTTAATTTATGAGTTCATTACGTTGGCTTGATTGGTTAAGATTAAGTTTGCTTTTTTGGTGCGAAATATGCGAAAAACGTTTGGCAATGCCAACTTCGTGGTAATTTGTTTTTCTTCTCTCGTCTTTCCTCAATCCCCTCCTAATCCTCCTCCTCGTCTGCCTCCATCTTGATAGCAATCAAGTAAAGAAATAAATAAAAAAAAATGCATGATATCATTGCCTCTGATGATCAAAATATCCATATCGGTTGATCAAACGTAAGATCTCTTGAGATATAAAAAGTCATTTACCAATCATATCCGTTTTCCCTTGCATAAATAATAATGGGTGCGAATTTACATCTCCGAAACATTAAATCTTAAAATAAACCTACTATACATTAAAAAAAAACCTTAATTTGTCTTTATTATTATTAATATTATTTTAATTTTAATTCTTATAATTATCTCTATTTAATAAACTGTCTAGGCGCCAAACGTCTTTAATTGAATTTCCGGAGTTTGTTCAAATGAATCTTGGGATTGATTATTTGTATGACCATTACTACCGGAATTCAATTTAACAATTTCCTCTGCTAATTTCTTTTGATTTTCATCAAGGTATGAATTAACAACTTGTTTGAAACTACCAGCATTTTGTTGTACCAAAAAGATTAACTTGTCATGCAAGTATGATTTGTCAACTTCTTCTTGTCTTACTAATACTGGGATAATAATCGAATACAAGGAAATTAGCTTTTGTTCATCCTCGGCAACTAATCTTGTAAATAACATCAAAATTTCAATTGCAATTCTTGGTTCAATGGTATATTCATCACTTGTTCCACTAAGATGTTTAATTAATGAACTGATCAAGTACTTAACAACAGCCATATTCATGTTCTGTTTATGACTAAATTGTAATAATGATTTGATACATTGAATTCCCGTAGCAGCAGTTTCATTATTCTCTAATAATTGCAATAATGAATGGCTCAAGTTTTGTGATGATTCGTCACCTAACTTCACTCCTCCGTTCGTAACCAAAATCAATGTGGTTATCACTGAGAAATTGTTTTGAACATCTATTTCAAAATGTTGGCGAATATTATTGTAAAAAGTATTCACCAATTCAGGGGCAACTCTATGAGACTCAACAACAATTTGTTTCAAAAGTGGAACAATCAAAGAAATGAATAATCTATTTTTGCTTTCATAAATCTTTGCAAAAATATAAAGCAAACAAGAATATAAGTCGGCTCGTACAACATCTGGTAAAGAAATTGTCATTTCTGCCAAATTCTCAAATGCTTTCTTTAAAACTAATAAATTAGCAGCACTATCAACATGTTTAAGAACTAATTGATTGGATTGGTTATTTGGATCGAAATCTGATCTTAAGAATGGCAAGATACGGAATACTGGCAACATGGCAATTCTAATCAATTCAAACAATTTATCAAACCCTGGCTCCAAATCATCTTTGTGGGATTTAGTGTAAGTATGGAATAAAATACTGATGATTTCAATCAATGAACATTGGATTTCTGTATCATCATCAATCAAAATAAGTCTATCAAATAAATCCACAATTTCTCCAAAAATTTCATTATTAAACAAAAGATTTACCAAATCAGGACTTTTAACTAATCTTTCGACTGACATCAAAATCTCAGAAACATTCTTATTCTTAATTAATGATTCCACACATTGACTAAACATAATGAAAAAGAAATTTTGAGCATCACCAGACAATTGCTTGTTGATAAATTCACTATTTGTTTCTAACTCAGAACTCAAAACACTCACAAGGTTAATCCAATAATTGCCATAAATCTCCAATTCTCTACTAGAAGATTCACTGTATTTCAATGCAGAAAATTCACGCAAAGCCAAGATCCAAAGTGACGTCAACAAAGTCGAATATTTTGCCAAAGTATCAGCAATTTCTGGTTCCAAATTATCTGGGTATTCAGAAGAATCTATTTTAAGCAATGCCCAACAATTCAAAATGGATAATTGAATAGATTTTCTTCCAAACTCTGACATGTTTTCTAAAAATCCAAAACGAACAAACTTGTTTGATGAAATCTCTTCCAATAAATAAATCAAAGTGTTTAATATTCTTTGTTTGGAATAGAACTTTATTCTAGGGAGATTAATAAACTTAGATGAGACATTAATTGCATCAACAATTACTTTATAATCGTTTCCAGGAGCGAAACATGGAATCAAAGCACTGATAATTTGGGCTTGTTGTTGTTCTAAAATAGAGACACCTGGGTATAATGGATCAGCCAATTCTCCAAACAATCCTAATGCTCGATTTAACAATTCAATACCTTTGATTTTGATTTCGGTGATTGATGAAGTGGATCCCAAGAATGAAAGTTTCACAATATCTGAGATCTTGTTTTTCAACCTATCAATCAATTTAGGGTTTCGAACTGCTAATTCTAATAAATGATTCAATAATTCGTAGATAAACAACTTGAATTCCCATGATATAGGTTCATTCTTATCCAAATCAGATTGATCATCACCAACTATATTCTCAATTTCTTCGTCTCTAAAATCAACATTATTAACATTCTTCTTCTTTTGTCTCTGCAGTAATGGCAATAATTTTTGTTGATAATTGGTTTCGATAAACGGACCCATCAATTTCTTGGAACTCAACTTGAATAGCGAGTTTAATGTTCCGAACCAATTTTTATCTAAGCTAGTTTCCAACCACAAGTATATAAATTGTTTCAATTGATGGCATGGTTTGATATTCATGGATACCCAAAGTAAGTTCACCGTTTCTGGTGTCAAAATATCAACACCAAAAATCTTCAACAACTCGTAATAACATTCATAAGCACCAGAGTACAAATCATCACTGGTGTTAAATGGGAAAATGGTGTCAATATTCAATGAAGTTGGGCAAACACTAGCCAAGGAAATCTTCAAGTTCTTGGAAATAATTAAATTCAACAAATCACGGAAAAACCCAACTTCTCCTTCAATTAAATTAGGATCGAATATTATCAATTCCTGGAATAACAACAACAATTGTTTGTACACTTCAATGTAATCATTTAATGTCGTCAATCCGATACCATAGCTCAAGGCTATGATTAAATCCTTCAATTTCAACTTTTCATTGGTCTCCCAGTCACGTAAAGTAGGTCCCAAGGAACTAACAAATAATTTCAACAATTTTGTCAGCTCAGATATTGAATTAAATTTGGTTTTTAAATTAACTAATATCTTATTTGACGTATCATAGCCAAAACAATCATTCAAATAATTGGAATACACCTTATTCAATACAGTAGGAATCAACAGAATATTATCAAGGTTAGCTTCAAATAATTGAGTAGTTGCAAGAATAGTGAAATGACAAATAATTGGATTTGGATCATTCAACAATTGTAAGCAAATTCCATATATATCGGAGAATCCCAATTTCGTACGGCCATAAATTCCTGAAAGCGACAACAAGGAAAATCCTCTCTTGTAAGGGTTTGCATCGGTCACGATATCATTAATCAAACCAGTAATTTGACCCACAGTACTATCTTTATCAAGTAATTGTGTAACTAATCCAAATGTAGAAGCATTAATCTTGATGAGCTCGTCGGATTCAAGAGGCATTTTCTTGATGATATCAATAATGACAAATGAAATACTCTCATCCAATGGTAACTTCTTCTTGGTAAGATTAGACACTACACCATGTAAAGTTATAGCAACATTAATTTGCATTGCCTTTAATCTCAATGGATCAATTGGCTTGGCAGTTAATGAATTTCTGATTTGCTCTAACAATGAAAATTGAATCTTGGTACTAAGATAAGGGAATACTAATTGAAATAATTCAATAGACAAATCAACCAAAGAAGTAACCAAATTTGTCAGGAATCTTTGACAAGAAGAATAATTCTGAGTGAGAAGAATTCCCGGTTCGTAGTTTATAGAATTGTCAGTGGACAGAAATGCGATTCTTTCAAAATAGTCAAACCATGACCCCATTTCTGGTTGGTATTCTTGTTCAAGAGAAGTTTTTGGCATGGAACTTCTTTCAGTAGCAAAAGTATTTCTTAACCATTGTGTTTCACTTCTGGTAAAATCAAATGGGAATTTAATCAACAATTCATCAATATTTACTGAGCCTGGACGGAATTTACTTGTAACACCAAACGAGTAATTGAAACCATCATTCAAAACTAGATTGTTATCCAAATCAGCAACTTTGTTTAATGCTTTAGATTTCGTCTTTGGTTTCTCATTTTCTTGAGATTGCAATCGGGAAAATAATTTTGCATCACTAAACACTTTGATTAAAAATATAATCATGTTTGAGTTGATATCATTCTTAAGCAAAGTAGCTAATTTGGTGAAACTTTGAAACAATATTTTCTTACTGTATAATATAAGACTGATGAGAATTCTGTCATTGGATAATCTGTTATTGAACGCATAGTTTGTATAAGACAAGTTATTTAGAATATTTGGATTGTAATCAGATTCATTGAAGTTGGTACTGTTAAGTGACGTAATCCCACCAACTCCGTCAATATTGCTTTCAAGATAAGACAAGTAGTTGTAAGATTTGGTCAACAAAAATTGAATTTGTTTCAATGACTCTGGTGTTAATTCTACTGAATTCAAATAATTCAATAAACATACTAAACTAAAATTTCTTAATTGTAAATTGGAAATAATCTCCTTTGCCTGGCCTTCTGGTGTACTTGCATTAATTGAACTGCTAATGAATTGTGAAGTCAATAAACTCTTCCAAAACACAAGAAATTGTGATGAATTTAACTTCACATACTCAGAAAAATTGTACAAGGTAACAAGTGATGACAAAATTATCCAACAACTTGCATTCTTAACCCCTGAGTGTGAGTTGTGTTTTAATGTTTGGGTACAGAAACTCAACACTTTGACAATAGTCAGATTTTGAAGTAAAGCAGGATCTGTTTGTTTAATCAACGACAGCAATGCCAAGGAATAACTAAACAATCTCACAGAAGAAATAGGACTGATATTTTCATCCCCCTTTGATCCCTCTTTATCAGAATGTTTGTGTTCTTTATCTACTAATCTGAATACATGTAAAATTAACTGGTTGATTTCTGCTTGCTCATTTTTTGCATACACAAGCAAAGATTGCAAAGCATAGTTTCTGATATAACAATTATTATTAACAAGCAAATTCAACAATATATCACGGATAAATGAAGAGCTAAACTCGTTGGAACTCTTTGGTAACTCCAACTCTTCTTCGTCGTCGTCATTATCTTTAGAGACAGATTTTTCCTCTCTCTTCATTGACTCAAAATTCACTCCATATGGCAATAATATCTCAATAATATACAATAAAAAATATGCCTGGTATGGATTCTTATATGGATTGACTCCTTGTCCAGCTGCATTCTTCTTTTTTGTACTTGATTTAGTTTTGAAGGAAAAGATTTTAGATTCTCTTTTCTTTTGTCTATTTAAACTTGGAGATCTGGAAAGTTGTTCAACAGAAGTAGTTGTCGAAGCAGTGGAATCTTCATTATTTGCATCGGGAACAAATTTACCATAAATAAATTGACTAAGAATCTCGTGCGAAGCAGATCCGGTTTCTTGAACGATATACTCGACAACTGTACTCCAATATTTAACAACTCTATTCCAGTCTTCGTTCATCAAATGGTTCTCCATACCGTTTAATTCAACAAACTTGGCTAAAATATTGTCTAATAGGAATGTCAAGTTGGTGGATAAAAATTCCAAATTTTGAAATTGCTCCAATTGCAAGTAGAAGATGATAGTTTCTGTGACACTCGATTGAAATAAAGCCAATTCTAAATTTGAATTTATAATTCCTTCACTATCTCTACCAAGTATGGTATTCTTTTCCCTTCTGATTTCAATGACTGGTTCACCTTCCAAATCTATTCTGGTTGAAAGGGTTGAGTCCCATTGGTTATAATCGGGCAACGGGAATAATGTAACTAGATACTCAATGGCATTGAATTTACCTGTTTGGATGAAATTGACCAACAAATTAGCTAATAATTCGACCATTGCAATTCTAACTTCTTTTGAATAATTGGATAATCCATAATTGATATTCTTTTCATGGGTGGTCAACAAGTTCATTTGAAACAGATGTTGCTGGTTCATGATGGCTTCAGGCTTCACTTTGGCACCAGCAGAGCTTGATGAAGTAGAAGCTGATAAAAGCATCTCATAATTGGTAGACACGGCTAATAATAACAAATTCTTATAGCATAATACATAATTCTTTTTGATCAATACAGAAGACGTACAATCTTCATCCATATCATATGATATTGTCTCGGTTGTAATACTTTTTGTAACAATTTTCATTAGCTTTGCTTGTGTTTTTTCATCTATGTCTATTTTAGTTGCATTTTTTGTAATTGAATTCAACAAAAAGATCAAATTACTGTTGATATTAGGATACTTTTTCAATATCTTGTAAATTTGGGAAACGGAAAAACTGATCAAACTTCCCAATGAGTTTGGAAAATTTTCAAACAAGTCTATTAATATAATAATTGCTATTTGCGTAATTGGTGTAAACTCCCCATTATCTTTAAGAACCAAATGATTTAATAGCAGATTCGCCAAGTCATAGACTTTTGACGGTAATTTTTGTAATACCAATACAATATTTTTGGATGCAAGACGATATATATTGAATGAAATCTTCTGTTTGGATTCATCGGCAACATTTGTAGGATCTGAATCTTTCTTTTTCTTGCTATCATATGGGATATTAGCTTTTTCCACTAATTGGTTCAATTGTGATAAATAGATCAGATAATCACTTTCCGGAATTGACTCCTGTTCCTCTTTACTTGATAATTTAGTACTCAAGTTTGTCAAATAATTAAATATTTCAGACTTGTTGTACCTCTTGAGTAATTCGGAAAATTGATCCATATCTAGTTTTAATATATAGTTGAATTTTAACTCTACTGTGGGAGAAGTGTCTATGCCGACCTTTTTTTTTTTTTTTACTTTATTCTTTGTTTTTAGCGTCGTTGGTGTTTTTATTTTTTTTTCTTCCTTTTTCGTTACGTTGCGATTAGACACAAGGTCGTGTCTCGTATTTTTGAAAAGCGTTCAATCCGTTGTTCGTTCATATTCGTAGTTCGTTCACACAGCTCTAATATGACGAATTTATATTAGCAAAAATATAAATAACATACTACCTAAGAACTTGGTTAGCAAGTAAGTCTAGGAATTTAATTTGTTTTATTTTTTTTGTGTATTTTTACTTTTATTGCTAGCAAACCTAGTCTTGTTATCATAATTAACAATCACTCTATTCAACTCTCAGTATGTTATTACTCATAATTGGGATATTTCAAACACTAGATGGCCACTTGAAAAATCCAAAACAATAACAAACTTAAGAATTCAACAGTGATAATGGAAACAACAGTAGCTTCAAGGCAACTTCTTTGGAATTCAATTGTATGTGACTTGGCAGGGTTGTGGTATGCATCAAATCTTAATGCTACATCAGTGATCAATAAAGCAGACATAACCAAGCCCAATAAAATAAGAATCAAATAATAATAATTGCCATTGGCGTCAAATACATTTCTTACAGTTGCTACTTTGACGGTTTGTTCAGTTGCAGGATCAAAATTTCCAGTGGTCCCTGAGCTTGAAACTCCTGTTTGGGTACGTGGGACTTGAGAATTGTTAGTTTGATCTGTCATTTTATTCTAATTTGTTGAAATATTTAAGGAAAGAAAGCAATGAAGTAAAAGGAAATAAAATTAAAAAAAAAAGAATGGCAACACGTCTAAATTCTCAAGAAAGGGGGTTCAAATATAAGGTAAACTTTGGATTGTATATTTTTTTTGCAACCCAATTTGGTCGTGTGCTGTGGGAAACCAGGTTATAATGTTTCTGTTGTCAAAAAAAAAAGAAATAAAATTTGCAAGCTATAGGAGCTATTGTCGAATGAGTGGTTGTAAAGTTTAGTGATAGATAGAAGTGGGACTAATGGTAAGTTTTATACGCATTTCTTATACCAAAGTTTAAATTAATAATACAAATCGCTCTATAAAGTATAAACAAACCATCTTACATTCTGATATTCTTGGAAGATTTAGATTTTTCTATACTAATCCTCCTTGATGGAGTTGGTGAACCCTTTATCGAAGGTAAATCCAGGAATCTCTTGCTATAAGACAAACGCTTTGATTTATTGGGTATACTGGAAGTTGAAGTGTGTGATCGATCAGTAGTGTTGGAAGTATCCAATTGAGTTGTGGAAGGAGATTTCAACACTGAACTGGAAGGGGATGTACTTGGAGATTTCTTTGTTGATGAATAGTTCCCTAGGAAAGTTTCTATTTCCATTGTCAAAGTCTTTAATTTCCTTAATGAGTCAGATTTCTTAATTTTCGATTGTTTCTGAGCTTCCCAATCTCTAATCTTATTAGGTGGTGGTGTAGATCGAAGCATTTCTCTAATACTAAGCATCAGTATATCTCCTGTTTGTTCGTTTTCCATTTTGTTTTCTAGTTTGTCAATTTTCTTTTGCAAATCCTTTATTTGATTCTGATAGTTTAGAATATGTAGTTGTTTTTCCACATTTAATTTCCTTTCCCTTTCATAATCACTTTCCAACATTGCTAATTTTTCTAATAAGTCGTTATTGAACTTTTGTTGCACTTCAAACTTGCTGGATTTTATTCTATCATCATTTTCCATGGTATCATTTAGAATTTCCGTCTTGACCAATTGGGACGTAAGATTATGTATCATTTCATCTTTCTCGTACAATCTAGTACTGGTTGATTCATGCAAAGAATTTAATTCAGATGACAAGTCAAGGATTTTAGCATTTGCTTTGACCAATTCTTCTTGTTTTGTTGTTAATTTGGTTATCAACTGTGAGTTATTATTTTCTAATTCTTGTAACTCATCTTCTAGTGCTTTTTCTAATTCCTTAGATGATTCTTGAAATTCATTTAAACCCGCCTCAAGTTCTAAAATCTTCTCTATAAGTTCTTCTTTCGAAAGTTCTTTCAATTCAGCTGAAGACATGTCCCCTTGGTATTTTTTAGTGAGATCTTGATAAATGTAAACAATAAAGTTTAGAAGAACAGCAAAAAAAAAAAAAAGAAGGCAAAATCTGAATGAACTAAAAAAAAAAATAAAAACACTGGCAACGGAAAAAAAAAACAATTTTGCTTCGCGCCAACTTTCGTGTTTGCCTGTGTCACTACAGTATCAAAATATGACCCTCCACCACCACCACCACCACCAGAGTTACTACAAGAAATGATTAAAATTAAATAGTAATAAAAAAAAATTCAAATTAATTATTAAGAGTTCTGATTAAATGGTTATTCTAACAAAAAATTGTAACATAAACTGGGAACAAAATTTTTTTTAAAAAAAAAATATCATGAGTATCAAATTTAACGTCATAGCGATATCATGCAAACATCATGCGTCTATTGATCTTTCTTATCTTCGATCTTTTCACCTTCTTCTATTTCATCATCATCATCGTCATCGTCTTCTTCTTCTTCATCATCTTCATCGTCACTACGTTCATCTTTAGCAACACCAGCAAAGATGTATCTGTACAAAATTCTAAAGATTAAAACCAACCAGTAAATATTAACCAATTGCAAAGCAAAGATCAAGAAAAAGGTAATTGGTTGGGAAATCCAACATTTATATTGTTGAGTGTCCCAGTTCAAGGTGAAATCACCAACACTTCTAAATTCAGTTAAGACGGACCACAAGATCTTCAAGTTAATGTAGTGTCTCAAGTAAATCCAAACACCGATGAACAAAGCAAAAAATGGGGCTGTGATTGGGGAATCCAAGTAATTCAAAGTTTTGGATAATGCTAAAAAGAAATCAGAAATATCCATAGTGATATAAACGGCCAAACCCATCCAAGTGAAATGGAATCTGTAAGAACACCAGATCAATGCAATAGTGATAATATGATGCAATACTAATTCTTTGAAATCTTTTCTTGGTTTTTCCAATTGCAAAATCAAAATTACTGATTGTTGCACCCAAAAAGCAGCTTGACCCAAGTAGTAAATCTTGAAATAGATATCATGAGTCTTGTGTGGATAATGTTCATAAAATGGGGTAGTTTCAAAGTACCATAATGGTAATCTGCTCATGATCCATAAACCAAATGGACCGGTCATACCATAATAAAACATAGCATAGGTTTGTTCCAAAAATCTCTTTTGTTTAGCTTCTTTGGTAACTCCAAGCCAAACACTTATTGGGCGTAAAACACAACACATCATGAATTCTCTCAAGAATGTAAAGAAAATAGCATAGAAACCAACAAATTTAAAGTCATTGGCACCTTTAGCATATTGGTCAGTACCAGGAATATGGTAAGATGGAATTATCATGTCTCCCAAGATTTGGTGGATTTGTCCGGTAGGTGATGAAACTAAATAAGTACCAACCATGACACATAATACAATGAATGGCCAAATCCAAGTGTGTCTATAGGTTAACTCTCTGAATCCAACAATTAATTTATGTACAATAGCTGAATCGGTAGTAGATTTGTCTTGTAATTCCTGTAATCTAGCAATAGACCTTCTTCTCAGAGATCTAGTGGTTGGCATGGTTGAAAATGATCGGGATGCTGTGTCACCGACGTCAATTCTTCCAACAGATGAAGAACGATGACGAATGGATTTATCCAGGGGAGGAGCAAGTGATGAAGAAGACGAAGTCATAGGTATAAATAACAATGTAAAACCAAAATCTTTCTTTTCTTTCCTTTTCCTTTAATGTGGGGAGAAAAAAAAATAAACAAATAAAAAAAAAAAACAGAGTAAGACTAGATCTGGTCTATAAGAATATCAAAAAATTTAAAAGGATCCTTCAAATGTGTGATTTTTCTCTGAAACAAAGGAAAATTGTGAGTTGTTAAATATTCTGTTTATCAATTTTTCATTTGCATAAAAAAAAATAACAAAGCACTAGAGAAGAAGAAGAACAAAAAAAAAATTTTCTTCCTGTACATTGATCGATTTGTGTGTTTACGGAACATTTCTTATTAAAGAAGTACACGACAGAAATTTCACACACACACACACCCACACACAGATTTCAAACAATAACAGTTCAGGTGGTAAAAAGTTCTTATTATTTTATTGATTTAGATCAAGAGACTCTTGACAATGATCGTAATTTGATATCTGCAGAGTAATTTCATTCTTGAACATCAAATATGGTCTTCAAACCCTACTGTCCAGTTTCTCATATTTTTTTTTCTTGCTTGTTTATTGACATCGTCGTGCATTCTTCAATTCCGTAGATCACAAAAACACGCTTCTTGCTGGATGTTTGAAGAAAGAGGATTCATAGCACACCATGTTGAATGGATTACTATTTGAAGACACTAATTAATTATCTACGTGATATTCACTTGATAAGATCTACTAGTTCTTTTTACAATACCCCCTATTCGCTCTCTTGGTTTTAGGTAATTGTGTGGGATTTACACGCGTCAACAATGACATTATTTTGTTGGTAATTTTTTCCCCTATTTTTTTTTTTCTTTTTTTTTGCTTCCACTTGTTTTATTCCTCTGGCTCCCATCGGATATTTTTCAGTTCGGAAACTATTCACTTGAATTTACCTGTTCATTCTGGAAATGACGGAGTTGTAGACAACTTATCTTTTACATACAATCGCTCTACATCAAAATGTTAGCATCAGGTGGTATAAATTGATTCCAAGTTAGGCAATGAAACAAAAAAGGAAAAGCGACTGTAACTAAAATAGGAGTAATTTCTTACCTCGACACGACTAGTCTGCGAACAAACAATCTGTCGATGTTTAAATTTGGATGAAAAATTGCAAGACTTTAGACTAAAACACAATCTCATTAAATCCGCATATTGGGGTGCTATGAATGGGACAATATGGGTAAAAGCGGAGGAATAATTACTGCAAGAACATGGTAGATATTCTTGTGGAATTGATATGTTTTTGAGCAGTAGTTTTATCAAAGATGGTTGAGACTCTATAATGTTATATTTTTTAAATCGTTCTATCACCACATAAAATTTTACTAGATATTTTTGCAGTAATTTTTGTACAAAATCTGAGTGAAAATAAAATACAATTACATCTCTCACTAAACTTTGAAATTTCGTGTACATGACAAAAAACAAAAAACAAAAAAAAACTCCACCAAAATCATCTCTGATTGTAATACACCTATCTAATTAACAATATCAAAGATGTCGGATTGGGAAGAATTGAGAACAGATAGTGGTGAAGTATATTATTATAATTATAAAACCAATGAAACTAGTTGGACTTTACCTGAAGATACTCGTAAAAAAGAAAAACTACAGAAATTAAAAGAAGAAAGTATAGCTCAGACATCGGAGTCTAATACAGAACAATCAAAAGAAGATGACGATAAAATAGAAGAAGATGAAAAGAAAGAAGAACCAAAAGAATCTACTTCAGAAACTAAATCAAATTGGACAGAATATACTACTGATGATGGAAAGATCTATTATTATAATGAAGTAACTGGAGAAACTACATGGGAGAAACCAACAGAAGACGATGAATCGAGGTTAGGTACTTCTGTGACTATTACTATGACAACAACAACAGTAAGTGATGTCAATCTTGGTGAATTGGATAAGGAATTCTTTAATAAACCAGTAATGATGGAAACTACAAGCCCAGAATCCGAATCGAATGCAACTGAATTATTCACGAAAATGTTGGCAGATAATAATGTTGATTCTACTTGGTCATTTCAAAAAGTAATGGAGCAATTCATAGACAAACCAGAATACTGGGCTATTGGAAATCCTATTGAAAGAAAGAAATGTTATGAAGATTACTTAGTTTCCAAATTTCAAAGTGAATTATCAAATAAATCACTTTTGATGGAGAAACTCAAAAACAACATTCATGATGAGATCAAGAAATTAGAGAACCAAGGCAGAATAAACTATAATACACGATGGATTAAAGTGAGAAAATTATGGATCGATGAAGATAATCCCATTTTCAAACATTCAATGTTACTGGATTCTGAATTAGCAGCTATATTTTATGAATATACTGATAGATTGAAACAAGAACATGACCAAGAGATTCAAGAAAAGAAAAATAAAGCATTATCTGAGTTGTCAATTTATTTGAAAACCGTCAATTCAACATTGGTTGAAAAATCTAATACTTGGGAATCATTATATGAAAATTTAATTAATGATCATAGATTTCAAAGTAATAAGAATTTCCAGAATTTGAATAAATTGGATATTTTGAAACTATACGAAAAAGAAATCTTTCCACGAATAATTGAAGATTTAAAGTCTCAAAGGGAGACACTTGAGAAATCAAATTATAGAAATGACAGAAAAGCTCGTGACAATTTCAAGAAATTATTATTGACATTAAAAATAGATGCTAGTACCCAATTTGAAGATGTATTTGAAGAAATTGAAAATAATGATGCATTTATAGAATTATGTGGAAGAAATGGATCGAGTCCTTTAGAATTATTCTGGGATATCGTTGACGAAAAGAGACAAATTTTGAAAGTGAAACAAGACTTGGTTGAATCTGTTGTTCTTGAAATGAAGAAACAAGGTTCATATAGTGAAAGTTTATGGGAATCTGAGGAAGTATTTATCGATGCATTGAAATCAAGTAATGATGATAGATTACTGAAAATTGATCTTGAAAAGAAAGATTCAGATGAAATCACAATAATTTTCAAGCAATTGAAGAAAGAGTTTGAATTAGCTAAACAAAGAGAGAAACTTGAACACGAGAAAGAAGTGACTGATCATATAAACAATATTGCTCAATTGTTGTATCAAAAGAAACCTGATTTCTGGGATAATATAATACGTTCAGAAGGTAATAGATATTCTGTGTCAAGAAGAATAAATTTCGAGGACGAATACAAGAGAGTTCTGGAATTGCCAGAATATAAACAATTGGTGGAATATGAACAAAAAAGACCAGTTACTGCTATTACAAAACTAATGATCGATACTTTTGTCAATGAACATAATAGATTAAGTTCAAGAAAGAGAAGATCAAGTAATTCAGAGTCTAACTCAGAAAAGAAATCAAAACCTAATGCTGCTAGTATTTTGAATTATTAATAGAGGTACATAAACTAACTTTATCAATAGAGTCGTGTAGTAATGTATAAAAAAAATCACTTATCCGGGATTACAACGAGCAGCGAGCAAAAATCAAAAGGAAAATTCGAAAGACAAAATAAAGCAAAAAAGGATTACAACGAACGAAAAAAAAAAAGTGGTTGTCCGGATCCAAGCCTCTATAATTCAACTTTTACCAACCGATTTTCTGTTGTTGAACTAATACCAACATCTACTCGAATCAACCATAACTAAATTTATATAACAATGGTATGTAATTCTCCTAGTTTATGGATCAAATGATCTAGTATGTGAATTGAGTTGTTACTAACATATTCGTTTAGTCTCAATCTTTAAAACCTTACCTTACAGCTGTTAGAGCTTCACTTACGGCTGCTATATGTTTAGAAGATTTTCCATCTCAATTGATTGAAAGACATAATCGACCAGAAATAGAAGTTGATAATACTCATAATCCTGAATTAATTTTAAATCCAATGACTATTTGTCGTAATGAAAATGAAAAGATTTTAATTGAACCAAGTATAAATTCAGTTAGAATTTCAATTAAAATTAAACAAGCTGATGAAATTGAACAAATTTTAGTTCATCAATTTACAAGATTTTTAACTTCAAGAGCTGAAAATTTCTTTATTTTAAGAAGAGTACCTATTAAAGGATATGATATTTCATTTTTAATTACTAATTTTCATACTGAACAAATGGTTAAAGATAAATTGGTTGATTTTATTATTGAATTTATGGAAGATGTTGATAAAGAAATTAGTGAAATGAAATTATTCTTAAATGCTAGAGCTAGAATTGTTGCTGAATCATTTTTAACTCCATTTGATTAGACATTCTTACAACAATTAAATAAAAACTTTTAAGGGTTTTATTACATAGCTATACATTTATAATTAAAGAAATAATAATAAAAATAAAAAGAAAAGGAAGAATAAATGATTAATAATAGTAATAATAAAACAAAAAACAAAGAGTAAATTACAACATATGAACTAAATAAGAATATGTATCTGTACTACTATCTATCTTCTTGTTCTCTTTCTGGTAGGTTATCTTGTTTTTATTTTTTTTATTTTGCAACATTATTGGATACATTATTTCGTAACTTCGGGTGACTTCATAGGACTGTTCGGAGTATTTGCTGAAATGCTTCCCTTTTTATTGGTTTTAGGAGATAATCCTTGTGTTTGGGAGACAGGTGAATTCTTTGCGGAATTTGCAACGTTATTATGTACTGGTGGAGTATACATGTTTTGTGGTGAACTTAATGGTGATTCTCTTATAGGGGCTCGTATTCTCTGTTGAGCTGTTGTCATTGGGGATGTAGATTTTAAGAAATTGTTTGCTTGCTGTTGCTGTTGCTGTTGCTGTTGCTGTTGCTGTTGCTGTTGCTGTTGTTGGTGTTGCTGCAGGTGAGTGGCATGTGGAAAGTCTTGCACATTTGGTAACACAATCGGTGTGTCAACATTATCTTGAAGTATACCTGATATATTTGACAAAACAATATCCAATTGATTCAAGGCTTCTGCTGCCTCTTCAAATCCTTTAGAAGACACTTTCAATGTCCATCTATAAGTGAAGATTTGTTCTCGGTAAAAATCGGCTTCCTCCTTTGTTGGCGAAGAAATGAATAATATAGCAGCAAAAGTACCAATCAATGTAAAATTTGAAGATGCAGAACAATGCCAAAATGAATGAATATGCTCTGGTTTTAAATCACGCACAAATTCAATAGATGCCATTAATCTAGTTTTTGCTGCATTTCTACATACATCAATCAATTGTGCTGGCGGGGGATTTCCTGCTTTTGTTTGTTGGTAAATGACGGTAGCAATTTTTCTGTGTAATGTCAATTCAGTTGCAAAATAAGCCAATTGTAAATATCCATTGGAACATAATTTTCTAGGTTTGACTGAACTCATTTGCAACTCTACTGGTAATGCTCTAAACCAATCACGTAATCTCAATTGTAATGGCTTAGCAAGTTTTAAAACTTCACCAATTTCATGGATAGTATTCATAGCCTTCATAGAATAAAATTCATTCAAAATGTCAGACAAAATTTTCGACAAATCAATCAAGTTGAAGAAAATCTTCTTCCCACTATCAATATCCGATGATCCTTCTTTCAAATCTCCATCACCATGTTTTTCAGGGAAATCTTCTTCGTGTAAAGGTAATACAGCCCAATTGATAGGACTAATGTGTGATGGACGTCCAAGTTTTAATGATAACCATTTGTCTTCTAAATAAACCGCCCAAGCTAAACGTCTTCGTAACCCACGTTCCCATTTAGGTAATTTCCAAGAACTACAGTCTAATCCAAGACCCAATTCTTCAGCTAATGCCACTACTTGGGAACATAAAACCCATTCTGAATAATCTGCCTCACTTGGAATATTAGGAGCGTGGCTGGATGATTGCTTGGTACTGAGTATATGTTTACATTGCAACAACAATAATCCTGCTTGTACTGCGCTTAATTTAGGGCGCTTCAATATCTCCAATAGGAAATTGTTCATTCCAATTTTTAAAATCATTTCAACATTTGGTTTAGGATATTTGTTCAATTGTGGATCATAATCCCACCATTGTATGGCCAACACATAAACTGCTGATAACAACGGAGCTGTGAATTCACGATGGGTTCGAGAATATTTTTCAACAAACACTTTTTTGTGGATGATAGGATACGATGGGTGAATTATCCTGAAATACAAATCCACTAATATTTGACCATGAGGTGAAACAAACTTTTCTATTGTATCAACATCATTGGACATGGTTTGGTATGATTGAGGGGACTGATCGTCTTTCAATACAAACTGCACATCGTCACTGACCTTTCTAAGGGAAATTGAATTACTTAGACTAACTTGTTCGACTTTGCTGGATGGGCTCCCACTGCCATTATGGGAATCAATTATTGAATTTAGTAAATTTCTATCAAAAACAAATGATGTTGGACCCACATAAAAACTGGAGCGGGGGAATTGTAAGGACAATGTCTTTTTCAATAATGAATTATTCATGGTGGAATAGTCTTGTACTGGCGGGACGTCTCGGATTGGTACATCGGGTACCTGAATAGAACCATTCGGTAATAGGTTAGTATCTATTCTTTCACGTTTGTGCAATTGTTCATTATTTCCTTGATCAGTAGGTTTTCTCTTTGGCGCTTGCGCGGTATAAGTACAAGTCAATTGTTTGGCTTCACATTGTACACAATTATCTGTATTGGGCACTATAACACATTTTGTTTTCCTCTTGCGGCACTGATCACATGGACGTCTTTGTTTAGTTGATTTGGTGACTTGTGGAGTTGGTGGTGGTAATGACGATGTTGACGAAGCTGCGGTGGGGTCATGTTGTGGAGCCACCGACTGGTTTAACGAATGTGTCAGGCTTGGCGTTCCTTGATGAACATTTTGTTGATATTGTATACTTTGCATGATTGATGGTGAATTATGGCTGGTTGAATTATTCATTTGACCACTAGGAATATTTGGCAAATCCAAATTGAATAGGTAATCTGCAGTACTAGCATCCAACAACAGTGGAGCCCATTGGTGATCCAAGTAATTAGGTGATTGATGACCCATGTTTTGCAGGAACTGATTATTTGATGGCTGACTTAATACATTATAATTATTACCATTATTTCTTTCATTAGTGTCGTTACCATTATTATTGTTTATATCATTTGGGGATTTATTATTAGAATCTAACCCATTAGAACTAGGATCATTATCATTAATATTATTATTATTATTGTTGTTGTTATTGTTATTATTATTATTCAGGGTGTTACCATAGCGTAGGTTTTGCTGGCCAGTGCTTTGATCAGTACTTCCATTCATAATGATACTTGGCTGACTTTCCCTTTAAATTAGATGAACAAGATTAATAAAACTTATCAAACAAAAAATAGTGGGATGAAAAAAAAGAAAAAATAAAAAGGAAATACGGTTATAAAACTTATCTTAAAGAGAGAGTGAGAGAGAGACACAGACAGAAAAAAAAAAAGATTTTACTTTATACACTTTACAAACTAATTTTTTTTTTCTTCATCTTCTTCTTCATCTTCTTCTTCAGTTTGTTGTTTTGATTGTCGTGCACTTCACAAAAAAAGAGCCGATGGTTATTAGGTTTGTTTTTATTAATCAATGAAAACAGCAGCGAGAGATATTCGACAGTTGTACACGACATATATTAAACAAAAAAAAAACCCAAATTGTTTCTGCTGCTTGAATCTACAGTAAAGAAGAACAAGAACAGAAAGAAGAAGAAGAAGAAAAAAAAGAGTACGTGAACGAACAACAAAGTTTCAAATACTAAACACAAACTTCTATCTGTATTTCTATTTTAACTATCTTCAACTAATCCATCCGTTGATATTAATATGGTTCCCAGAAACAGGGGAAGTTCAAACTATAGGGGCAAGAAACCTTACAAGAAACCTCTGAATTACAATTCACGCGGGGGTTATAATAGTGGTGGTTCTTCTCCTCATCAATATAATAATAATCGTAGTCAACGCAACAACCATCAAAGCTGGAAATCAAATAGTGGCAAAAATGATTATAAGAGCACATATTCGGGCTCTAGAGACTATCAAAGTGGCAGTACTAGTCCGTACGCAAACAATAATTCAGGATCAGGTTCATACTATGGGAGTAACTCATATTTGAATGGGAGCTCAAGTCCCTATTCGAATGGCAATAGAAGTCAAGTGGAGAATAGGTATGGCGCAAATGGCTTTGATGAAGAAGATGACGAAGAAGAAGAAGCATATGACCCAGCCAAAGAACCAGAAAGAAATAGATCAACTTTCCCCAATCAACAAAACGCGTATTACAATGGAGCATCCAATTTATCTGAAATTCCACTACACGACCATATCGATGCCGACGAGTTAATAGAAGAAAAACCAGAAGTTTCTCCATATCGTTTCACTGATAGTATTATACGATTTTTGAACAAGAATCTAAAAAATTACAGCAAAGAACGACCACAAATACCAATCGAAGTTGATAAACAACAGATAGAACAAAAAATAAAACACTTGGATGAACAGTATCTTGCAGTTATTAGAGGTGTGTTAGTCAACATCAAGGAGATCACCTCAACAGATGTTGATTTGAATGCTGTTCGAGAATATGGTGATAAGCTTGTACTAAAGAAGATAGTGACCACAGAAGAACATCAGAAGTATTTTCGACAATTGGAGTTCTTGGTTAACAAAACCTTAGATGCATTTAATTTACAGACAGGTAAAAAATACGAAGGGATTTCTAAATGGGCTTATGACGAAGAGATGGACAAAATGAAAAAACCCGAAGAGACTGTTGATTTTGATGCAGATTTATTTGATAAGGCAGATTTCGAAGATTTAAACAAAGAACAACCGGTAGATGACAACGAAGATCTTCCAGATTTTGAAGCTCTTGAAAATGTTTATGCCGAGCAGAAAAATAATGAAGGTGATATCGATGAAGAACTTCCTGATTTCGAAGACATTGAAGACGAGAGTCCTTTATTTCTTGACTCCGAACCAGGTACACAACAAAGTGAAAATGATAAAGCTGAAGATCTTAAAGATCAAGATCCAGCAGCACCAGCATCAGCATCAGCATCAGCATCAGCATCGTCAGTACCAGTAGCAGCATCAGCATCAGCATCGTCAGTACCAGTAGCAGCAACGACAACAACAACAACACCAGCAGCACCAGCACCAACAGAAATCATAGATCCGGTCGATGATATTGAAGAGCTAGCAGATTACGAAGATGTAGAAGCCATGAATGCAGAAGACGATGATGAAATAGTTGAAATTGATGATCCTACTACCCATCACGATTCAACAAAAGTTCTGCCAGATAGGCCAAAAGCTTTAAATAAAGCTTCCACAGAATCAATTCATTTATCACCTTTAACTTCACACAGTTTACCAGTGTCAATACCAACAGGACCAAAATCAAAACCTACAGGACCACTGAGAACTTATTCCCATACAACACTTGGCCGAAATAGCCCACCACATATCACTTCATATAGAACGTCTTCACGATCGGATGATAGATCTTCTTACGCGTCGAAACATCTGCAGTCATCGGGCTATGATTCATTCCGTCCATCCGGTACTATTCCAAGATTGAATTCAGGCTCACCTACCCGTCATATAGCACCACCATTTAATGAGCCTACATTTAGTCGTCGTAGTTTAAGTAACGATAGAGGTAGAATTGTTTCGGAACGTGAAAGAGAGATAATCGAAGAGAAGGCAAGAAAAAGACGGAAGCAAGATATCGAATTATTAGCAGGTCCAACTACAAGAACTATTAATGGATCAGAAAAGGATAAATTTGTCGTTCCTTTAAAAGTTAAATTAAATTCATTTATGCTGAGAATTGAAAGTCAAAATCCATTTCAAGAAATTAAAATGTATCATGAAGAATCAGGATTTATTGAACCAACTTCAGTTTCAAGAAAAACAATGCCAATGAAAGAAAAATACAGAAATAGAATTCGTGAGTTGTGTAAATAAAAAAAGGAAAAAGAAGTTTTTATTTATTGTTTCATATTTTTTTTTTCTTTTTTTTTTTTTTTGTATTAGTATAGTGTATGTATAGTTTTATATTATAAGGATTTAGCATCCTCATTTGTCATTTAATAGAAGACGAACTCTTTTACGAAGAGAAACTCTTTCCATAATTGATTAAAAATATCAATTTTGTTTTATTTAATAGATCAAAATCAAAATCAAAATCGAAAAAAAAAGTAACTATAAACTTTCCACTATCTAATTGACTAAATAAGATTTTGAGATTCTTTTGGAATTATAATTTTTTGTGTACGACGAGTTGATGGTGCCGGTGAAACAGTTCGTTCTTTAGTAATTGATGAACTATCTTGATATTCTTCATCCTGTTGTTGACTTTCTGACTCACTTTGCTCTTGATCTGTAATTTCAAATATCATTTCATCATTCTCGTCATCTTTAGATTCTGGTGCTTCAGTATTACCATTAGCTAATCCTTTGGATGAACCCGATGTCACATTTGTTATTTGGTTATCATTTTCTTCTTCATCATCATCATCATCTTCGTCGTCGTCATCATCATCATCGTCATCATCATCATCGTCGTCGTCATCATCATCATCGTCCGCATCACCATCTTCTTCGCCGTCATCACCCTCTTCTTCATCCTCATCTTCTTCGTCCTCTTCATTCAATCTTTCTTCTTCATCTAATAACCTCTTTTGTTCAGCTTTAATTGAATTGATTTTTCTTCTCAAGATATCGACAATATCAGCCCATTCTCGCATACCTCCCATTCCAATATCACCACAAACTAATACCTTTTCAACTGGTTTCAATACTTCAATTCCAAATTCAGGAGATTGAATCATGTTTAATTGTTTGGCGGTCAATGGATGGGTATACATGAATGTATTCATTGCTGGAGCAACTATTATAGGTTTCTTAATCTGTTGAGATGTTGAAGGAGACCATGATCTGACAATATTTGTCAATAAATTATCGGCAAGACCATTGGCAATTTTGGCCAAACTGTTGGCTGACAATGGAGCTATCAACATAATATCAGCCCATCTTCTCAACTCATTATGGAGAATCAATTTATCGTATGGATTCTTTGGTTTCTTATTAATGACACCCAAATTATCACTTGCAGTTGGATCAGTAGTGCACACAGTTGTTGAAGTACTAAAATAGTCAGTAAAATTAGCCCATTCATCTTCATCACGCCAAATCTTTACATCATTATGAATTTTACATCCACGAAGGAAATGACTTGCACATTTAGTCACCACCAATTGAATGGAAATCTTGGATGTACCAAATAATTGAAATAATTTATCAATGATTAAAGGAACTTTTATAGTAGCCACTGAGCCAGTACAAGCCAACAAAATATGGAATTTACCGTCATCTTCACGTGATAAAAATTGTTGAAATGGCACTGGTGGACCAATTGGAGAAGATACAATTTGTTTATTCGATTTTTTAATCGAACTTCTTCTTGAAGAGCTAGCACTTCCTGTACCGCTAATGTTGATTGGAACCACTGGAGGAGGAATGGCAATGGATGCTGATGCTGCAGGGGTATTACTACTCTTAGCTGTAATTGGACTCAGCGTTGTCTTTTGCAGTGGCTGCAACTGTTGTTGTTGTGGAAGGAGCGGTGGTGAAGGAGTGTGGAATGCAGGGCTACTTGCAGTATTTGTAAATGGTGGTGGACTTGGTGAGTTTATTCTTTTTATTGGATCCTTTTGATAGTCAAATTTAAACCCATGGTCGATTCCTTCTGGGGTAGTGGGGGAAGAAATATCTTCTTTAAAAGAATGAATATGAGAGTCGGTATTGATTTTTCCATGGGTATGACTAGTCATGAATGACAACACGTCATTGTATGCAATATTGGTATTATTATTATTATTAGTAGTAGTAGTAGCAGCGGTGGTATTAGTGTTAGTATTAGTCGCTGAGGTGATACTAGTGTTTATGATACTATTGGTGTTGGTATTGGAAGGGACTTTTGGAGTAGAATAGTTTGGAGACCCAATGCGTTTTCTATTAATTGATGATTGTCTTGATGGTAAGTTTGAACCTGGTTGTCTTTGTTGTTGTGGGTTGCTATTGTTATCTTGCAGAATACTAACTGAAGAAGGCTGAGCAGATATGGTGAACCTTCTTGATTTTTCCTGAATATCAATATCGGAAAAGGAAACGCTTTGATTTCTGACTGGTAAATTGGTTGCACCACTAACATTGGTGGAAGATTGAAGTGGGGTACTTTGAAAAATGGGTGACGCAATACTATTATTTAAGATTTTTGCAGGCGCACCTCCATTGTTAGTCGAGGTGGATGAGGATTTGATCAAAGTTGGTTTCTTTGTAGTTGAAGTGTTTTGTTGAGCCATAGATGCTGACGTATCCACTGTCAAAGGCTTGACGGTAACGAGATGTGATTGAGATTTGACGTCGCCTTCATCTTGATTAGTCAGAGTTGAAGGTGGTTGTAAAATAGATGTCTCTGGCCTTGGCTTTGATGGAGGAGGCAATGGTTTCTGATCTAAACTCTCTCGAGACATCGACTTGAACTTTGATATGAGCTAGTGGGGGGAGTAGTATCCTAATCAAAAAAAGGGGGGGGGATAGAAAGATAACCAATATTTGACTAAAACAAAAATAAAAGCAAAAGGATTAGAAATGCTGATCTACTGGCGGTATTAGTAGTTGGGAAATAAACAGAAGAAAAATAAAAGTGAAAATGTAAAAAATCTCGTTTTGTTAGCAAAACAGGGCAAAGCAAAGCAAAAAGCAAAAGGGAAGATGAAAAAACAGAGAGAGAGAGAGAGAGAGAGAGAGAAAAATTTGTCTCACTGTCTGTGTAAATGAGTAAGCAAAATTGAAAGTGAGTGTGTTTGTTTGTCTAAAGTAGGGAGAGAGAGAGAAAGAGAGAGAAAAAAAAAATTCCCTCACCGTTTACAACAGGACGAATTCTCTTTGTATTGTAAACACATTTATTGTGTAATGGTTGTTCTCCAATTTGGGATTTGTTGTTTTCTTTTCCTTCTTTTTGTACATAATCAATTATCAACTCTTGATCCCATCAATGGTTGTAATCACTAAACACCTGTTATAATCATCAATCTTTCGTTGAATTGGTTGTAATTTTTTTTACATCTGCAAACCCTTAGTCTAACCACAGAGACAAAATAATAATAATAATAAAAAAAAAAACGCACACTCACATGGTATGGACCGACTTTGAAGTACTTGTGTCTAGACAACAAGGTTCTGGTGCCGTGCAGACCTTCTGTTTAACTACATTATACGTTTGACTATAGGTACATTTCTTTGACTCGGTATCATCAATTGTTCGACTTTCCCTTTACTTCTATAAATATATCATTAGGAAACTGTAGTGATGATAATAATAATAGTAATAATAAAAAAAAAAGACGTTCGTGTAGATTAGTTTTATATAACCACGAGAAAGAAACTGTACATCTTATGAAATGTTGCATAACCATTATCTTGCATACCAAACGATACTTGATTTAGTTGTTACTTTGCGTAAAGACTCAATGCGTTTCATCCTAGTGATTCATTTTACTTTTCGGCTTATTAACTGTACGTTTATCTTATGACATCATTATATTTTACAAACCTAGGTTTATATTATTATTTCATTCTTGGAAGGTTACAACTCTTTGGATAATTTAAAAACTACTTTCAAATAAGATCACTAGTCAACTGACACAGGTATCGATTTTAATGCAAAGATCATCCCCAAAAAATTATTCAACCTTGTTAGATTTAGATCCAATTAATAATCATGCATCAAGTTTGACAAAAATAATACAATGCAAATTATCGCCTTGCACGTGAATTCGGTTATGTACTTTTCTTTAAAATACACACGACAAATGTCTCATGCGACATTAGCGTGTACACGGTGTTTCGATTTTTATTTTTCTTTGTTTTTTTTTTCATACTATTATTATTGAACATGCGTATCCAAAAGTTTTCACGAACCACCATTTTAGTTATACAACCCAGTTTGGTATAATAATATCCTATCTATCATTGAGAATGAATCTTCGTCAACAAATTACTCAATTCTTAACTCTTGCATATGTTTTTTCTTCAGCTTTTATGCTATGGAAAACTTTATCAGTGATAGCTAATTCTCATTCACCAATTGTTGTTGTATTATCAGGATCTATGGAACCTGCTTTTCAAAGAGGTGATATTTTATTTTTATGGAATAGAGAAAATAGACAAAAAGTAGGAGATATTGTTGTTTATGAAATTGATGGTAAATCTATTCCAATTGTTCATAGAGTTTTAAGAGAACATCATAATAATGAAAAACAATTGTTGTTAACTAAAGGTGATAATAATGCTGTTGATGATTTATCTTTATATGCTAAAAAGCAACAATATTTGAACCAAAAAGAAGATTTGGTTGGTACTGTTAAAGGTTATTTGCCATTCATTGGTTATGTTACTATTTTAATTAGTGAAAATGTTTATTTCAAGTACGGTATGCTTGGATTATTGGGATTATCTGCATTATTTTCAAATGAATAGATGATAATACTAATATAAATAAATGCATATATTGTTTGCTTTTGTATTAAAATGTCTCTAGTTGTCATTACTTTCTTTTTGTTTTCTCCTACATGTATTATACATAAAATGTCTATTGTGGTGGTGTCTATTATGGTGGTGGCACTTCGCTAAGTAAAAATTCAACAATAATTTTACGTAAATTAGTTCTTCTAATTGGCTTGGCAAGGAACCCACTCATACCACATGCCAAACATTCTTTAACATTACTTTCATCAGCAAATGCAGTAAGAGCAATGATTGGCTTGTTATAATGAAGATTGTTTCTAATGGTTTTGGTTGCAATCAACCCATCAACCTTTGGCATTTGGACATCCATAAATACTAAATCAAAAGGTTCATTAGATTCCATAGATTCTTTAACAAAATCAATAGCTTCGGCACCATTACATGCCATTCTCAAATTGGTGAGTCCTTCTAACTTCAACATTCTCTTAATAACTTCTTGATTGACCATATTATCTTCTGCTACCAAAATCTTCAAATGAGATAAATCATCAAGAACTTTATGTTCGTTTGAACTTCCTTCCTTTTTGTCGGTAGATGAAGTAGGACTTGAATTGTGTTTAGAATTAGCTGTCCCGGTAGAACTACGGGTAAATAACGTTGGTTTATCAATATCAAGCTTGTGTTTGCTCAAATCTGTTGCTGAAGATCCAGACGACAGTGATGAAGTTTCTCTTCTATTCAATTTTGGTGGAGCACCGCCATTACTATCAGAGCTTTCCAAACCAGTATTTGGAGAATCTGACAGCAGAGTGTTATGATGCAGGAACGATTCTGATGATGATGAGGATGATTGTGGATCTGCTGATTCACTTGATGTCTTTTCATTACCAACTTCAACATGTTGATCATCAAATGCAACTCTTCTGTTCATTTTAGCAGCTGGATTAAACTCATCCTCGCAGAAACTCGTCATATCTTCAGGTGGAACCATAATTTCACCTGTTTGTGGTAAAGGCAATGTTAAAGTGAAAGTGGATCCTTTACCAATAGTAGACTTCAAAGTCAATGTCCCCTTCATCATGGTTGCCAATTGTCGACAAATACTCAACCCTAAACCAGTACCACCATAACTTCTTGATAATGTTTGATCACCTTGCACAAATGGCTCAAAAACTTTCTCCTGTAAAGCTGGTTCAATACCTGGTCCAGTATCAGTAACCTCAATTTGAATAACCCAAATTTTTGGTTGATACATGGTTCTAATTCTATAAGCCTTGTTATTCTTAACCACTTCATTGTTTGAAATATTAGAGTCATAAGCAGGTTTCTTATCAAAAGTCGGGTATGTTTTGAAGTCTTTCGCCAGTGGCATCATATTGTAACGTGGTCGAGCTACAGCAACAGTTGTTGAATCATTTGATGTAGAAGAATTCTCAGCTTGTTTTTCATGAACTGTATCATCATCACTACTCTTCAACCCATGCTCGTCATCACTACTCTTTAATCCATGCTCCTCATCGCTACTTTTCAATTCATGTTCCTCATTAATTGAAGCAGTTGGACTTGCATCCACTGGTAATTGTGGTAATGGTTTAGCCTTGAATTGTGATTCAAAAATCTTATTCTCATACTGTGAAGTCGACAAAGTCACAATACTTATAGTGTCATCATCATGGTTGGGTGATGAAAGATATTTATCAACATCTTGCTCTAAATCAGTTGGTTCCTCTTCAATGTGGGTGATCTTTCGAGAACTGAAATAGTCCTTCTTTGTATTTTGTTGTTGTGATTGTGAGTTGGATCCCATGAACGGTTGCTGTGGTGTTGTATTATAAGGTTGCCTCTTTGATTGTTTGGGTGGAGTTGGTTTCTCATCAGCTGGTGGCGGTGTTGGTGGTGTAGTAGAAGAAGGGTCACCTAACACGTAAACTTTTTTGAATTCAGCTTCTTTTGATCTCTCTTGGTCATATTCTCCCAACACCTTGAACGAAACTCCAACAGATCCGTCAACAGGCGTAAATTTCAACGAGTTGGACACTAAATTCATCACAATTTGAATAATTCTATTGGAATCTCCATATAAGATCAATTTTCTAAAGACATTTGGTCTGACTATTATTTTAAAATTAACTCTTTGGTCATGGGCCAACTTGTTGAAAATAGACTGTACTTGATAGACAATCTCCAAGATTTGGAAATTGGATTTCTCTAATTTAGCTCTATTCAATGTATTCTTTGAGTATGTCAATAATTCAGTCAATATATGCAATAATAATTCCCCAGAACGATGAATCAACTTTAAAGAATCATGTATTCTATCGGAATCATCTTCTTCCATAGCAATTGATGTCATTCCTAAAATACCATTCAATGGTGTACGTAATTCATGAGAAATATTCGCAATGAAAACTGTTTTGGCCTCATTGGCAGCTTCTGCTTCAACTTTGGAAGCTTCTAATTCTTTTGTTCTAGATTTAACACGATCTTCTAAATGAGTATATTGTTTGTCTAATTCTTCTGTCATAATGTTGAATGCCTCGGATAATTCTGTCAATTCGTCTTTAAAGAATTTCTTAGATCTTGGTATCCTTGCCGGTAGTCTTATTCCCGTCGAGTAAGATGATGCATTTGATGAATGAACACTATTTCGTTTCCCGTTATCTATTAGTAGTAGGGGCTGATCTGCACCATCTTGTTGGGCACTATGACTAGTATTAAGTTTCTCTTTCTTGTACTGTGTGATTGCTTCTGTTGCTTCTTTCAACTTGGTAATCGGTCGTATAAACCACACCGCTAGAGGGAATGTTATTAGACACATAAACACTCCAATACCAATAACAACACCAATGATAATTTTTCGTAGTTTATTAGCTGGTCCATCAAATACCGATTGGATTTGCATGACAACAATAGTCCAATTTAAATTATCATCTACAGTAATTCTGGAAAATCCAATAGCTACTGATCTTCCGGTATAAGATTTTTCATTGGTTGCGGTTCCTGAGTTTGATGACAATGCTGTTTTTGACGACGATGATGAATTTATATTGTAAATACTGCCAGGTTGTACGGTAAAGTCAGACACTGGGAAAACAAGTTGGAAACCAATTACTTCATCACCTGCACTTTGCGAATTCGGCAGTAGATTGTCCACACCATTTATTGGATCCCCATACACTGGCAGGATGGCATATGTTTGATAATCTTCTTGACCCGTAGAATTTAACGCATCTCGAATGGATTCAGCAGATGCAACAATTGTAAGATAACCTGATATTGATGGTTCATTAAGGATTATGGAACTGTTTGACAACACGGGTAGAGTTATACCCATGAAATAAGGACTGAAAATATTACTTGAATCATTGGCGATTGGCCCAGTGAAATAAACACCGCTAGACTTATCCAAAGCCGAAGGTATTGTTGCATTTTGTATAAGGGGGAAAAGTACATCCAGTGCCGAATCAGAGATCATTGATCCATTATTTGTGGCTGCAGCCATCACTTGAAGATCCAAGTTGTATAATTTGGCAGCAACAAATGCATCTGTTGATATTATAAACAGCAGCAAAGAGTCCTGTGCATCTTGAAATACTGATACCGAGTTGTTTCCTGCTTTATATTTCGATAGTGGTACTGTGACTGCATCTATTTCTGCGACAGTAATAGCCTGATATGCAATATATTGAATGGCTTGTTGGACCTGTGTTCTCTTCAACTGGGATATAACCAATAGTCTCTCTGACCGTAGACTTCTTAAGTTTTCACTGAAATAAACCCCGGTGACTATCCCTAGAATCAATAAAGAAAATAACGATGCAAAACAAACAAGCACAATCAACTGAGGACGAATCCCGATTTTTAATCGTCTCATTCTAATTTTATCTGTTTTTTTTTTTTAATTTAATGAAATTAAGATGATATGATTATATTGGGATTTTTTTTATTATTATAATTATGCTTTGATTAATAGTCTCTAATGATGATAAGACGATGTCATATATACTATTCTATGCAAGGGGATATATTGAAGCCTCCAAAAGGATGGTGAGGATATGATTTTTTGGTCTATTCTGAATGTTGTAGTTAATGCAACTTCACCTGTGTCTATTGTTTTTTTTTTTCTTCCTTCTCTAATTTTTTTTTTGTAGAAAGTCCCTAGGGCTTGTCGGTGTGTGTGTGTGTGCAACTTGTATGGTGCAAAATGTGCGGAAGAAAAAAGAAAATTTTTTTTATGTTAATTTTAATTTTAGAATTTGTCTCTTTGTGTGTCACACACTCTTCCCTCTTCCATTTTTATAGATTACTTATCACAAATTGCAATTACTAAATAGCCTAACCCATTTCATTTAATTTCTTGGTTACGGGTTACTTCAATGGTTATGTCGGTATTTCATTGCTCTGTAGTTGTACCACACAGATAAGAACACTACATACTTCCCTTTTTTTATCAGTTTCGACTACAAAGCAATTTGATCTAACAATCTTGAAGTCGTATATTTATACAATCTATCTACCTCTCCAATCTTATTTGCCATTTCAGCGATCTCATCATCATTTAAAATACATGTAATCGTGCATAACGGAAAATGAGAACAATTGTTTCTTTTTTTTCTCTCTCTCTCTTTGTCTTGCATTTCTTCTTTCTAGTTTTTTTTCTCTTTTTAACTTGAAATTGCTCTTGCACAATAATTTGTAATTAGTTGTCTTTAATAGCATACTATCTAATTGATCAATGTAGGGCTGAATTACTCATCCCCTCCCTCAATTATACCATGTCAAAGATTATTCTTATACCTAGTAATATACCGCAAGAATTCCCTGAGGCATCTATATCTAACCCGGAGAGATTAAGAATCCTTGCCCAAGTGAAAGACTTTATTCCTCACGAATCCACCATAGTCATAGATAAAGTACCCACAATTACGTCTGAACAATCTACTTATATCAATATTTGCATCTTCAACTTATTGGAAGCGTGTTCAAGTAGGGTTTTGGTTCCAGGAACATTGGTCAACATAGACGCGTTTTATGACGGAGAGAGTATAAATCCTGTAGATATATATGAAGTCAATGGTGCCAATTTTACTATGGAAAATATCCAGTTGATTGATGAAATGAATAACTCAATAGGAAAATTTAATTGATAAATCGTTGCATGTATATTGGAGGTATTTGAAAATAGCAAATAGGTTGAGTACAAGTATAGTCAACCTTGACGGTTACGTTGTCTTAGTGATAAATATCTAATAATTCTGACAATGCAATACATATTTTGGGACATTTGACATCACAGTAATGATAAAGAACATACTTCTAACACGTAGTCTATTTATTCAAGTATCAAACTTTTTCCTGTTTGAGTACATTCTATCCAAGTTTACACGACTAAATAATCACAGGGACCGCAAAAGTACACGAAAAAAAAATTAAGGAAAAAAAAAACACGAAATAAACATCAACCTATTTTGCTTTTTACAGATTACAAGGTGATTCTTTCTTACTAACTACTACAATGTCTACATTAATAACTATTCTCGATGAAGAGATTACTTATATTCAAGATTTACTACAGTCTGTTCCATTTAGTTCGGATAGAACTACACATTTCTTGAATGTGTACAAGATTTCCCACCAGCAACTAATGCAATTAAATCAACAGCCAGCCAAATTTCCGGTAGACGCTAATAAATTATTAAAATTGGGTATATCATTAGGTAACTTGATTAAGACATTAAAAATTGATGAAGAAAGTTATCAACAACAAAACTCACAACAGCGTCAATTATTGTCAAATTTGAATAATGGAAGAAGTAGTTTTGGGGGTCAAGGAAGTAATGGAAGTAGTCGAATTTCTTCAACTTTATCTGACCCATTTAGGGAACCATTACAACCTCCTCAACCTAAACATATCATACATTCAAATACAAGTCCACCAAATAATTCAATTATTAATAGTTTGACTTCTCAACCACCTCACCAAGTACGATTCCTTAAGAATTTGATCAATATTTTAAAGAATTTTGATATTGGAGCAAAACCAGCGGACCCATTACAATCTACAACTACATTGAATCAAACTGGTAATAATAGAGATAGTATGGCTTCTAACCATTCTATTCCTCATACCCCACAAAGAGTTATGTCTAATGGAAGTACTTCATCTTCAACTACAAACGTATCACCAATTAAGTTAAATTCTAAACAATTGTTGATTGAAAAATTGGAAATTAATATCAATTTAGATAATTTATTTATTTATAAAATCATCTTGAAGTTGATTCTTGAAATTTTCCAAATCTTGAAACAAAATTTAATCAATAGTACAAATAAATTAAATGATTCATTATTCAGTTCTTCCAAATACGATTTTGATGAAAGTTCATCTATTTTCTCCCTGAATTCATTGAATTCGCAGGATTCAAATATCAGTAATGATGAATATTATAGAATCTTGACGAAAATTCTACAAAGAATAAGTCATGGGATTGTTCAACCATTTGTCTATTTGATTTATAGAGAATTCGTGGAGACTAAAATCAGTGATGATTTCGCTCAATTAATCAATAGTTTATAAGACCTTTTATTATCTAAAAATATATTTTTTTTTTATTATTTCTGTGTAATGCCAAAGTATACAAGTTTTCTTTTCTTATCTTCTCTTTTTATACAAACCACCAATTTGCTACTTTTCTCCATATTATCTTACTGAATCGTCTACCTAGTAATTTACCAATCAATGGAAATACAACAATACTGAATAACATGGTTAATTGTTTAACACTTTCTTCCCAATGTTCTTGAGCTGATAATTCATATTCTGATTCAGATGAATAATCCAGATATTCATCATCATCATATTCTTCTTCTGCATGGGATGAAGATGATTCTTCAGTTAAATATGTATATGGATTCACTTGTGTCATGGATACACTAATGTTATGGAGGAACTTAAATAAATGTTGCTGCAGGTGTGGTGGATGTTTGCCATTTTGCGTAGTCGATTATTCTTTTTTTTTTTGTCTGATTTAAACGGTGGCCGTGTTGTTGCTCACTTTGTCAATTCTCTTTTTCCTGGAGTTGAGTTTCCGAATCACGTGACGCAAAGCTTTAAAATGTAGTACGATTATATAAAGGAAAAGATTTCTATTTCCATTGTTGGATTATCAACTAATTCTCAATATTTCTGTAGAATATTCAGGATTTTCCCAAAATCTCCGACTATTTAATGTACAATTCTTAACTCCCTATGTCTATCCAAGCTATGTCTCTCACTCCATCGCGACACAGATCGCGGAATGCGGTGGAGATTGTTTTTTCAAAATTTTTTTTTTGTCTTCTCTTCTCTTCTTTACCTATCAAAACTTTTATTTTAATTTTTTTTTTTTTTTTTCATAGTTAATGATTAGAAGAGTGATCAGTTTAATACCCAGAATGTCCACTCAGTCAGTAATTCCTGAAACTGGAAATGTAGCAGCATCTGTTACTACTAGTGTTCCTACTGATACAGTCATACCGCCTCCATCTGAGAATAGAATCTCACCTTCAACTACAGTTTCAGCAGAATTCAATACTGTTACAGAAGGTAAAGCTACAATTTTAACACCTAAAGCTGATGAAGTGTTTTATAATCCAATTCAACAATTTAATAGAGATTTATCCATTATGGCAATTAAAGCATATGATCAATTAAGACATGAAAGTTTTGAATCATCCAATAAGAATAAAAATAAAAAAAAGAAATTAAATGGATTGAAAATTTTGGAAAGTTTAAGTGCATCTGGTTTAAGATCATGTAGATATGGTTTAGAAATTCCAGAAGCTAGTAAAATAGTAGCTAATGATTTATTACCTGAAGCAGTTGAACAAATCAATAAAAATATTGAATATAATAAATTAACTGATAAAGTAGTTGCTAATCAAGGTGATGCTATTAAATATATGGGATCAACTAATGAAAAATTTCATGTTGTTGATTTAGATCCATATGGAACTGCAGCTCCATTTATTGATAGTGCAATTCAATGTTTGGAAGAAGATGGGATGTTGATGGTTACTTGTACTGATGCTGCCGTGTTGGCAGGTAGTGGGTATCCTGAAAAATGTTTTGCATTATATGGTGGTAATAATTTCGGAAATACACAAATCAATAATGAATCTAATCATGAAGCTGGGGTAAGATTAATTTTAAATTTGATTGCAAGTACTGCTGCTAAATATAGAAAAGCTATTGAACCAGTTTTGTGTTTATCTATTGATTATTATTTTAGATTATTTGTTAAAGTTAAAACTAGTCCAATTGCAGTCAAGAATCATGCTAGTGAAACAATGCTTGTTTATGGATGTAATGGATGTGGTGATAAGCTTTATCAACCATTGGGTTATAAGAAAGATGGTAAATTCACCTACCCTAAAATGACAGGATCAGATAGTTGTAAATATTGTTCTTCTTCATACAATGTTGCTGGACCAATGTATGCTGGTACACTTCACCAGGCTGAATTTATTGATAAAATATTGGAAATTAATTCAAAGGCAAATAAGGATGTTTATGGTACAACTGAAAGAATTAGAGGTATGTTATCGATTGCTAAGAATGAACTTGATTATCCATTTTATTTCAATATTAATCAATTATGTTCAATGTTCAAATGTCCACCACTTTCACTTCAAAAATTTGTCAATGCCATTGGTAACCTCGAACATAAATGTTCTCTCACGCATTATAAACCAAATACAGTTAAGACAGATTTACCATGGATTAAAGTACTTGCTGTTTTCAAGCAATGGAGAGAACAAGAAATGAGTAATAATGGTAAAGAATTGACCACTATTGGTGCTCCAATTTTGAAATATTTGGAAGAACATAAAGATGAACAAGTAACAGCTGATTTTGACACTGAAAATGAAATGTCAAAAAAAATCCAAGAATTGCGTAAAGTTAAAATGGTTAGATTTCAACAAAATCCAAGAAAGAACTGGGGTCCTCAAAAAAGAGGTAAATAAGTTCTATCAATAATAGGTATTTATAGTTATTATTATATAATAAGTCATTATAATTAGATATTTTCATCATCATGGTAAGCACACTACTGGCGATGTTGTGTTTTTTTTGGTCGATCCGCACTACCCTTTTTTTTGCAATTTAACAATAAATAAAACATTCATATGACTAATCAATTAGTTGTGGCTGTATTCACGGTATTCTTATTTTTAGTAACTTTCGCTTTTAGTACATGTCTAATCGTGGATATTTACTTGATGAAATAGTCATCATGAGAATCATCACCTTTGTTGCCAATCCAATTCTTAGTATACAATTAACGTTTTTACGCCTCTTTCGAAATAAAGTTATACTCGTCAAACAGAACAATAATCATTGAGAGATTTACTTCAAGTGAAAACAAGAAAAAAAAAAGTATATTTCTATCGTCTATGAAACAGACTGTTTACTAACGTGTTGTTAGAAACTACAGAAACACCAAAAGACGTGTTCGTTCACTTTTATTTAAAGTGCTAAATTATGATATCGGTGATATGACAAAATCCGAAGATTACGTAACCATGTTACACAAACAATTGGGGGCAACGTGTGCTAACCAAAGTTCTTCTTCATTATTCTAAATTAGCCTCCTTTTTAATTATTCATAACCCCCTCCCTTGATTGTTAAAGAAATTCATAGCAAGCAAAAGCACGATGGAATTTTCAAAAAAAAACAAAAGACGATTGCTAAACTATCCATCGTCTAGTTGTAGAATGTTAACCCAGATGTCATAATAGGAGTTAATGAGCAATGGGGAGGATTATTGAGTTCATGGAATTTCTGAATTTCTATTGCATTTCAATTTTCATGTTTAAATAAGACTCCTGTACACGATAAGAGAATCTAAGTTTAACGTAACCTAAACAACATGGCGGTTTCTTTTTTTTTTTTTTGGTTTAACAATTTCATAATGCCGTGTGTCCTACAAGAAAAATTAAAAAAGAGCAAACACAAGTGAATTAGTTGTTGAAAAGGCTACATACAAATTATTCTATTACCTAACATGTTTTCTTATCAGAACAATTGGACAAAAAAGAAAATGAACTATGCAGTATACATCTCTCACTGTGGGAGCTCTTTTCTCACGTTCATTTTGTATGTAGATAAGAACGCGATCTATTTATAACCTTTTCATTGCTATTTCAAATTAAAGATTGCTCTTCTCGAATGGAAGATGTGTGGATGTGGTTGAATTGTATTATTCATATACACTGGCGCCCACGATGTTAGTTCTTTGATATGAAAAATAAAAGCAATTTGAAATTATTTACTGTTAAATTAATTGCATCGGATAAAAAAAAAAATAAAAATAGGGGCATGTTATACACAAAAAAAAAAGAAAAGACGAGGTTTGGTGGGGGAAGACGGCAAAACTGAAAAACAAAAAAAACAAAAAACTTATCAATTATCAGACAATGTACGTTTCAAGAACAAATAATATTAAGGCTGTGCCCTAAAACTAAAAACTATAAATTAAACCTGTTTTCCCCCAATTGCTTCCTCGATACAAATATTTTTACTTTCCCCTTTTTCCCTTCTCCCTTTTCCTATTTCCATTGGTATAAACTATATATTTGAAAACCTATTCGAACAAAAATGCAATTCAAACAAATTATCATCGCTGTCACCACTACTGTTGCCGCCGTTTCTGCTGCTAACAACTCCTCCTCCAGTACAAACGCTGCTCCACAAGTCGCTCAATTGGGTACTGCCGGTGCCGTTGGTGCTATTGCTGCTGGTGCCATTGCCTTCCTTATTTAAATCTAATGTAAATGTTTAATTTGTTGAATATTTATAGACTTAATTGAATAAATGTAATTTTCTATTTTTAATTTGTCAAATCTAGATTTTCACTAAAGATATTGTAAAAAAAAAAAATCAGACGATAAGTGTATTATTTTCTAATTGTTTTAGCCCGCAAATATGTTTCAGAATTTATTTTTATTTTTATTCTTATTCTTATTTTTGTTTTGAATTATTCATTTTTTGGTAATCTGATTAATACCTGTCAAAATTCAATTACAGAAGAGAGAAATAAATGCCACGATACATTACTCTCTCAAAAGGCAAGTACGAATTACGGAGTATTTACTAATAGATAGTGAACTTTTGTTGTTGATCATTCGATAGTATGATCTATGTCTAAGCCTTACATGATTATTGCTATCATTGTACCAGATCTAAACGGTTTTGGTGACAATGTCGTGCAATATGCGACATCTAGAAACGCGTGTTATGTCAAAACAAAAAAAAAAAAAACGAAAATTCTGAAAGATTTAATCTACATTAGTCTATCCCAAGTTTTGCATTGGCACTGTCAATGGAAGGACAATTGGTTAAGATATTACTGAAGTGTACGGTTGCTACACTTGCACGTTTGGCAGTGATATGTGGTGCACCAGCTCCTGCTGCTATAAAAGATGTCAGAATCAAGTGGTTTGTCAATAATTACAAATTCTATGTAGACAATTTCAATACCCATTCTCCACAGAAATCACTATTGGGTATAGATGTTGGCGTTAAGAATTTTTCCTATTGCAGGTCAATAGGTTCATCTTTCCCCATAAAAATCACAGAATGGGCAAAATTAGATTTAAATGAAAAATTTGGGAAGAATTATCAACCACTAATAGATAAAGAAACCATGATTGATACTAAAAGATATTTTCAATTTATTACAAAAGCATTAGTTGATGAACTACAACCAAAACAATCTGATGTAGTTGTAATGGAAGCACAAAGAACAAGATCACATGGTAATTCAAGTACTTTACCTTCAGTTTTATTATGTTATAATTTAGAAAATTTGATAGTAAGTAATGCTTATCCTAAAATCATTATTCCCATGACGGCTCATCAAATGACAAATTATTGGATTCATAGATTTGTGGCTACTAAAGCTGTTAAGAATGCAACAAAAAATCAAAAGGCCATTCGATTTGAATTGCTCAAATCATGGAAGGATAAATTGTATAAGTTACCAGGATACGGCGATGAAGAATTAGAGAAGAAAAATGTGTTGGAATATCTTAAATTAGATAAGGGAGAGAAGATTGATGATTTAATGGACAGTCTTTTATATAATCTAACCATAACCAGTCAATTTCAGAATTTAAAAGATTTTCATGATTTGGTATCAACCGATGTGGAGAAATGTGATATTCAGGGCTTTGTTGATGTAAAAGATCAGTATCATTTAGAATTGATTAAACCAGTTGTAGAAAAGTATAAGCTAACTTTGAAATAAGACGAATATTACTTGAGAAAAGGGATGTATAATAGATAGTAAGCAAAGAGATGGGAATTGTTTCCTGGATAAGAGGATCTTTTAATTTTTTTTGTAACACCCCGCATAATGTACTATAGTGTGTTCAATGAGTCAACCATGGAAATGGATAAATTTAAATTCTGTTGTACTCCATAGTAGAAATTTTCACTCCTTTGTTTTACTCGTAGAAACATTGATAACGTTTCTTGTACATATAATTCAATGTAGTAAGTTACCTTACTAGTACCCAGAAGATTGGTTTCTTGGTTAGGTTTTCGTTCAATATTATTGATCTGTCCTCGGCATACTTTCCATCTTTCCCGACGATAAAAATATATAACAAATGTAGCACCACTTCCAAGATAAAATAACATAGAGGCGGGGGCTTGTTGTCCCAGTGTCATAAACAAATATTATAACAACTGAACCAACTTGGGCGTAAAATAAAATAAAAAGAGAATACTGCTGCAATACCACCCGATTGTTGGTGGTGGGAATATCTTGTTTACCCCACAAAAATCTCGCCAGAGAAATTCTTGGTATTTCAACGGAATTAATTATATTTCCATCAAGTCGCATAATTGGCAATTCTGGTCAGATATCAGTTCATGATCAATAGAGCTAACTGAAAACTATAACCCTAACGCTGATCATGCGGCTATATCATGATCATTTATCATTTGTTCTGTAGAATAGCACAATAGTGGTATTAAGTATAGATTTTTCTTTCCCTTTATCAGAACCCCTTTTTGTTAAAGAATGAAAGTGTATGGCCAGGTAGAAATTGAAACAGCGTAAGTAAATTCGCGTATTGGCGGAATCATACAACCGCAAGATAATTCTTGTATGGTGGGTTAAATTTAGTTGTTCTTCTTAAGAAAGTCTACTTCCTTTTTTTTTATCAAACCGTCCATGAATTGCGGGGACAGTTTGATAACAGTGTTTTTTTAGTAAAAAGAAAAAATTGGAAAAACTCTTACCCTCCTTTTGGGAGTTTCTTTTTTGACTGCGAAAGTGAAAGCGTATTGAACGGCTCGATTATAACGTTTGTACACATATCTACAAAATGATATAAGATACATAATATTAGATACTATGTTACTAATACATGCTTTACCATTTTTACGATACCTGTTCTGATGCTGTCTTTGCTCAAAAATTATAAATGGTTGAATAATAATAACTGCAAAATATTCAACCAATGTGGGCAATTTTCTTGGAATACACAATGTTAAAACATCACCAAAACAAAAAACAAAAATTTCCCATCTACCCCACGATAAGAAGGGGGGGTATTTCTTTCTCTAGCATCAAGTTGCTTGTATACTCTTTTCCACTTATTATAAATATCATCACTGATGTCTGTTGAAGATTCATTTGCTTGTAATTTATTTTCTTATTTGTGTCAGCCTTACCTACTTTGTTAGATAAAGGAAAATATTCAATCACCCTAGTGGGATAAAGAAAATAAAAACAAAAATGTCAAGTCAGGAATCTGAAACAAACTCAATTAAATCATATGGTGACAATGATGACGATCTTTTGAACAAACCAGTTAGTAGAATTAGAACTTGTGGTGATGGTGAAGAATTTGTTATCTTCGGTGATGTTAAATACTATAGACATGAATTTATGCAAGCATTTGGTGGTACTATGGATGTTGGTGTACATCGTGCTCCTGTTCATCAAGTTGGTAATCCATCACCATTAGGTTTACTTGCTTTTAGTATCACTAATTTAGTCTTGAGTTTATATGGACTTAATGTTAAAGGTATTCATACTACCAATGTTATTGTTTCATTATGTATCTTTTTTGCTGGTACCATGCAATTCTTAGCTGGGATTTGGGAATGTGTTGTTGGTAACACATTTGCTTTCTGTGCAATGTGTAGTTATGGTGCATTCTTTTTAAGTTTTGGTGCTGCTTATATTCCAAATTTTGGCGTTATGAAAGCTTACATGACACAAGATCCAACTCAAATCAACAATGCCATTGGGTTATACTTGATGGGATGGTGTATTTTTTCATTCATGTTATTCTTGTGCACTTTGAAATCGGTTATTTCATTACTGGCTATGTTTTTCTGTATTACTTTTACTTTCCTTTTCCAAGGTGCTGGTTATTTAGCGGATAATCATACTTTGATTAAGATTGGTTGTGGCTTTGGTTTTGGTGTTACTTTCTTCGGAATGTTCAATGCTTGGGCAGGTATGGCTAATTCTACAAATACTTACTTTTCCATTCCTCACAGGTGGTTAGTTGAAGGTGGACACAAAAGTAAATAATCAACACAAGTTGGTGAAGCTCCGTTGTGGAGGGAGATTGAATAATAATTCTTATTGTTTTTTTTTATTATTATTATTATCATTATTATCTATAATTATTGTTGTGTATGACAAAAAAAGGGGGGACATGCACAAACATATCAATAGGGGACTGGTTCTTTTATATTCTTTATTTTATTCTTATTTTTGTTCATTTTTTATATATTCAATATATTACTATTTTAAGGGGAAACACCCGAGCTGTAGACTTGTATGAGTGATTTATATTGCAATTGGTTTTTTTCTATTTCATTTTATATTAAACTTAATTGGTATATCAAACCTATTTAAACCAGTTTTCTATCCCATCCCATTGAATTTTTGGATGCGTCACAATATTTACCGGAGAAGAAAGTAGAACATTCACTTAATCTGTTTCCATCAACAATGAAATCTCTATTTTCATCATTTAAAGTGAATTTTAATTCATTTAATATCTTTTGGATATAACTCAGCCACCCCCTTGTGTGGACTAATTTATTTGTTCTGTCAGCTTCACTAACAGTTACTCCAAGATGATCATCATTAAAATATGCAACACTATTTGGTATCAAGACCAGCTTCCCATCTGAACATGTAGTCTTACCACTAGTCCATGGTTCAGGATTAATATTAAAATCAAATAAATCAGAAACATAATTCAAACTATACTGGCCATCACCATCTTCATTCTCACGAGATATTATAATTGCATGCGGACGATATAACTCGTTAACACAGCCACAATTCTTGATATGTGATCTACCAATACCTAACCAGAATTTTCTCGATTTCAATTCTTCTGGAACGTATTTAGTAGGAATTTCGATTAAATTAGTACCTCCTCGTAATATACCAGCATTAGATTTATCATTAAAATCAGGCCCACTTATTTTATGGCATTTTCCTGTTGCCAATTCACATCTGATGACTCTTAATGGGAAACTGTAAATAAAATGGATATGATCTTCGGTGGTATCAAATGGCATCCAGTTTTTCTCTTTGTTTCTAGGTTCAAGACCTTCAATGTCTAATCTAATAGTTGCATTGGCATCGTATAACGGACGATAGATATGCATTGCTCTTTTCCAATTAACTTCTTGGCTTAATGCATTAAACACAATCAAGGGTTCTTGAATTTCTACCCCATCGATATTGGTATACCTATGCATGATGATTCTAGGATCCTCAGAACCCAAGATGTCCTTCTTCTTTTGAGTTCCAACATCAATATAATGAGGTAAGACAGTAGGGAATGTAAGATTTGAGAATGGAAACTGCATACCATATATTTCATCCCAATTTTTATCAAATACTTGACCAGCCAAGACGGAAATTGTTGGATGATTACGGCGTTTATCGAAGGAGTAAGCGATTCTATTAACCATGAAATACACTCCATATTTCTCTAACCATATTGCTGATCCACAAAATTTATACCATTTATCTTTTAAAATTGATTCTTCCAGTTCATCTTCTTTATCTTGGAAAAACAATTCATAGACGTTGTTTTCAGAACTACGTGATTTTAATTGATCTCTAAATGTTTTCAAATCAGTTGGCTTGTTTAAATCTATAGGTGGAGTAACCTCAATAATTGATTGATCATCGTGTAAAATCTTATCACAAGCCAAATCAGGGGTTGATTCCTTACTTGAAAACACAAATCCAGCTATATTCATTGGGTTATATTCCATATTATGGATATGTTCCCCTACTGGAACAAAGTCATTGTTATCATCGTAATTAAGTTTGTTATTATCATTAATAGAACTTGCAAGGAAATAAACAATATTGAAAATTACTAAAGAAAGTAATGTCCAAATGAAGACGTTGCTTTTATTGGCCTTCTTGTTTCCATTGATAGGTAATTTTTTGGCCATGACTATGGAAAAGGGAATAATTAGGATCAATCCAAACAGGAAATACAAAACATTTGAATCATACATTGTCGCTTTAAGTTCAAGATGATCCGGCTCAGCCTTAAGAAAAGTTCAAATTATGGTTAATAAAGGAAGGAAAGAAAAAAACGAAGTCAACAAAAATAAAACTTTAAAAAAGTAAATGACAAATAGCAAAAATATACACGGTCAGTATTGAATGAAAATGTGTCTTTCTGTTTTTTGGGTGAAGGCTTTTGTATAATGACAAGTAGAAACATTTACAATGGCTGCCACTCATAGGAAATAAAGAATCTAGACAAAGGTTGCGCGCATAGATTTTGTAACTTTTGAGCAAGTTTTTTTTTTTTCTTTCTTTTTATTTTTCTTTTTTTGGAACACTCCTGAAAAATTAAGATTTACACGACTCTCCGTTACGTAACAGATACATTACTGACAGGGTTCATTCATGATTGCTCTATTTCTCATTCCACTGGAACATGCCGATGTAGCTGGGAATTTTCTTCAATTAAATACTTTACAAAAAGTTGCTTTGGGTTATAGTGATTTCTGCTTAAGTTGTTTATTTGACTGGTCATCATTTGGACTTACACAAATTGAGTGCGGATTAATGCGGTATTAAATCTCTTATCTGCACATTGAATAAACTAAATTTTAGCTAAACTTTAGTTCTGTCGCACAAACAAGGATCAAAACTGTAAGTTTGATTCCTCATTATATAAAGTAGTTCCTCTCCAGACTAAACTCAAGAACTCATTTGTGCTTGAACTTGGAATTGAAATTTTTGAATCAACTTTCATCCAGTTATGTTAATTTGGCAAGTAAGATGCTGACAAGTAAGCAGGGTACAACATGAGCTGATAGTAATCAGTATAATAGAAATCAAAATTGAAATGTGTATCTGTATGGAAGAAGTGTAGAAATGCCCACTATCCAGGAACTCTCGCCTGGATACGAGTTATCCAAGACATGGTTGTGCATGCATTATTCAACACAAAAATCATCGATGTAATTTCCGCTTCGTTTTAAAACTCCCGTTTCGAGCGTATTACCATTTTCTTGATTCAACTTGGTAAATAAACTCTACTTGCTTATGTCATACTAATTTCATTAGATCGTACTCGTTGGTTGATTTGGTTACTACTTTCTTTACACCGTCAATTCCTGGTGTTGGAGGAATGATTTTCTTCTATCAAAGAAGTTGGAAATATGATTTTTAGGTTCAGATGATGGTGTAACAACTACTATATTCCCCAACATTACCTTCGAACACCCTCCCCTAATTAATCATCTATACGAGTGATGTCTTGTACTACATGGAACTACTTTACAGAATGCTAATATACGGATGGAATTCTTGCTGCAATGTGTATTTTCTAATGGCAATATTTTTATAGATGTGCTTCTATTATTAGTAGATATCACAAACATCATAATTTCGATAGTACAGCTTATTGAAATTTTATGATCTTCAGAAACCACACTGATCTTATCATCTTCATAATGGACATAGTTTCAAGTTATTGAAAATCAAAAAAAAAAGATGAGAGAAACGGTGGCGTTCTTGATTTTATACCAACTTCGACTGAATTCAGTTACGAAAAAAAAATGTTTATGTTCTCAGAAAGTAGTCTTGGTGATAGAATAATCAGCGAGGTTTGGTAATTTGTGATTGTATCCTTATTTCTCTTATATTGTGTCAATAAATAAACCAATATTCGATATTGATTTTTATACCAGAGTTATGTGAATTGCATTGCAAGGTTTACGAATTCTAGTGAACAGCGAGGGTCCCACACTCAAACAAGACACAGCGGTCGCTTGTGTTTCCTTGGTAAATCGCTATATCTGATGATATTGGATGATAAGTAAAAGAATATAAATAGAATTTCTTTTGTTTTCGTGAGTTCTCAATTAACTTTTAATTGGGTGTTCTTTAATTGTGTAATATGAAAGTAATATCATGTATAAACTAATTCAAGATAGATTTTGTCTAAAGTGAACCGGTTTAGTCCACAAACCATGATGCAAAATCACAAGTCTATTATAGTCCCACGTTTCTATTTTTAATATGTACATATCTCTTCATAAAAAATGGTAACTCCTGAAAGAGGCAGATACCAAAAAAAAACTCAGTCAAGAGCTTTCATTCCTTGGAAAGCATTCCAAAACATAGTGCCAGTACCATTGAGAGCAACACACTAGGAAATCTTCTCCAAAGCAAATGCTACTGTGTGTGTGTGCTGATTTATTGGCAAGCTTTGCTCTATCCCAATCACTGTCAGTGACGATCAATAACTCACCAATTGCACATAATTTAAATCAGCTGACATCGAGAATAAATGAAGTATGGAAAGCTGAGAATCCACAGCAATTCGTAATTTTCTGTTTTACTGGTTTTCAATTAACTCGTATCATTAGTAAGGTCGTGTGCGGACTGTATAGTAATTGAAACTTTGTGAGTGATTTTTCTGCTCTGCCTATTTTTTGTTCTTTTCTTTTTTTTTTCAATAGTATATAGACAATTACATTTCACCACTGGTAATGTTCTTCAAATTGATTATAGGAATAACAATAGTATCTTCTATAGCAACTTTTTTACTACTATTTGGTGACTCCCCAAGCTTCAGAAATACACCTATTCAGAAATTACGAAATGGACTAGTCTCGGTTTCAAAAGATCTATTTCAGTTTTATACTTGGCTAGATGATAAGGCAAATGGCCAATTGTTAAAAATTCTCAACTGGATAGTTCCAGTTGGTTATATGTTTGTTGTCACATTTTGTTTTCACTTATTTTTCAAACATACAGTGCCAATGATGCAGCCTGTTGGTTTGTTCAAATTGTTTACTATTTATCTTTCCATTGGCTTGATCTATGTTGCAACAATATTGGGTACATGTAGTGATCCAGGAAGTATTAATAACGCAAACATGAAAAATTATCAATATACCCCTAACCAATTGATATTCTTTGACAACAAGACGTGTTCAACATGCAAGATCATTAAACCAGCTCGTTCAAAACATTGTTCTGTTTGTAATAATTGTTACTTATTATATGATCATCATTGTGTTTGGTTAAACAATTGTATTGGATACAAAAACTATCGCTGGTTTATGTTGTTTTTAATTTCAAATATCAATATGTTGGGATATGGTGGTTGGTTATGTTATACAGCGTTGACTCCAGTATCTTGGTCCAAGATCACATCAACAAATGAAGCAAACAAAATAACCGGTATTTTCTTGATCTTATGTTCTATTTTCATAATCATAACAGCATTATTTACTGCATTACATTTGAGATACGTTTACCTTGGAGTAACTACAAATGAGTTAGATAAATGGGAAGAAATAGAACATCTTGTCAATTTGGAGTTATTGTACAAAATTAACCCACCTATCAATGGTGAGAGCTTTGTTGAGAGAGCATCTTTTGATGGTAAACCTGTCTACATTAGTCTTAATGACGAACGTATTTTGATTGACGAAACTAGCATTGATAATTATAATTTAGAACCGATACGCTCAGTAGAAACAGACATTATTAATATTTATGACAAAGGATTCTGGCAAAATTTTATAGACAGAATATTTGTATAGAATAGATAGCATATATACCAGCTTTTTGCATGTTTATTCCTATTTAGGAAATCATAATTTTTGAACACGTGAACTACTCATCGTTACCAAAAAAAAAAAAAAAAAAAAAGAAAACCAACGAGGTTAGAGCGACGAGGAGAAGGAGTGAAAAAAAATTTTTTCAAAAAAAAAAAAATCTTCCCATCACAACCTCTCTTTCACTACATCAATTCCCTTATTGAATACTTAAGACACAATGATTATTTTCGAAGACGTTATTTCTGGTGATGAATTATTATCCGATGCTTACGACCCAAAGTTAGTCGATGGTGCCGTTTACGAAGCTGACTGTGCTATGGTCACTGTTGGTAACGGTGATATTGATATTGGTGCTAACCCATCTGCTGAAGATGGTGAAGAAGCTTTGGAAGATGGTGCTGAAACCGTCAACAACGTTGTTTACTCTTTCAGATTACAACCAACCGTCTTTGACAAAAAATCATTCACTACCTACATTAAAGGTTACATGAAGAGAGTCAAGGCTTACTTGGCTGAAAACAGACCAGATGAAGTTGAAGCTTTCGAAAAAGGTGCTACTGCTTACGTCAAGAAAGTTTTGGGTTCTTTCAAAGATTGGGAATTCTACACTGGTGAATCCATGGACCCAGATGCTATGGTTGTCTTGTTGAACTACAGAGAAGATGGTACCACTCCATACGTTGCCATCTGGAAACACGGTGTCAAAGAAAACAAGATCTAAGAGTGCTTAATACTGTTTTTAATTCTCGTTATATAGATATCTATATTACTGAGTATAGTATTTATAAATTTTAAAGTAAAAACTAAGGTGTTTGTTTTTGATTCATAATATTAATGTAGAATAGAGTAATTTACCACTCAATTGACCATCAATTGAGTATCAATTGAACTTCAACGAGTCTATATGTTACCTTTCTTTACAATGACTAAGAGTAATTGCTTTCAATTTGTTTTGATTGGAGTTCAATCAATGTGTGAATTAAAAGATGGGTCTAAGAATGCCGTGCGTGACTTCTACTAGAGTGTAAACGACATTTCTATAGTGTCGGTCAATGTCGTGATTGGCAACCAAACACTGGTAAATGGCTGTCTCCTTTTCTTTAGTGTTTCCATTTTACTTTTACCACCATTAATCTTTTTTTTTTTTTACAACCAACCCTTTGAAGTCAATACACCATCAGAGATGCCGAAAAAGAAGCCTCAATCTCTGGCGGTTGAAAAAAATGACTCGATTGAAATACTTAAAAGAACTGCAACTGCGATTAGTATGGGATTACCGATATTAGATAAATTCGCAATGGGAAGATAAATAAGTGTCTCTCCACCCACACTTTGATACTAACTAAATTTAAATAAGATCGTAATCCAAAGGGATATAATTCTGCTTTCCCTCTGAGTGGTTTTAAAACACCATATGTCAATACTAGTAGATGGGCAGAAGTAGAGAAGATTGGGAATTTTGTTGATAAAGATGACAAATATAATGACGAACCAGGAAAACTGTTGGCAGAAAATGGTATTTATGATATCTATTCAAACAAGTATGATCCATATCCAACATGGAATCCACCAGAAGCTGTTCCAATAACCAGGGAAGATATTGAAGCTATTTTTTTACAGCTAACAACCATTTTTGGTTTCCAGTTTGACAACACCAGGAACATGTTTGATTTCCTCATGAGGTTGTTAGATTCTAGATCTTCAAGATTGGGACCAACACATGCACTTAGATCTGTACATGCTGATTATATTGGTGGAATTAACTCTAATTTCAGAAAATGGTATTTTGCAGCACAATTAGATATTGATGATTTTGTTGGGTTTGATAATGTCAACAAAAATGGTAAAGTTAAAGGTTCCGATGAACCAATTCCAACTTTAGAACAAGCCGAAATGCAATGGTCTACTAATATGCTTGCTTTATCACCAACTGATTCTGTGATTCAGCTAGCCTTGTACCTTTTAATTTGGGGTGAAGCAAATAATATTAGATTTATGCCTGAATGTATATGCTTCATATTCAAGTGTTGCAATGATTTCTATTTTTCAATTGATCCTGATACCCCAGTTGCAACAGTCACTCCTAGTTTTCTTGATCATATTATCACTCCATTGTACCAGTTTTACCGGGATCAATCGTATGTACTTGTTGATGGGAAATATCACCGTCGCGATAGAGATCATGAATCGGTTATTGGGTACGATGATATGAATCAATTGTTTTGGTACAGTAAAGGGTTAGAAAAATTAATACTTGCTGACAAGAAAACCCGGTTAATGAGCCTTCAACCAGGCGAAAGATACGAGAAGTTGAATGAAGTCTTGTGGAATAAAGCTTTTTATAAAACCTTTAAAGAAACACGAGGATGGTCCCATGTGTTGGTGAATTTCCATAGGGTGTGGGTTATTCATACGGCCGTTTTCTGGTATTACACAGCATTCAATTCCCCAACATTGTACACAAGCAATTATCAACCTCATTTAGATAACCAACCAACAACCCAGGCCAGATTGTCAGTATTATCACTTGGTGGGGCCGTCGCCATCATTGTTGATATCATAAGCTTGCTATTTGAACTTCGATTCATACCTCGAAAGTGGACTGGAGCTCAGCCCATAACCAAAAGAATGGTTTTATTAATTTTGACCCTTATGTTGAATGTTGCTCCCAGTGTATATTTGTTTGTGGTTTACCCCTTGAGTGCACAAAATACTATTGGTTTAGTCATGTCATCACTACAATTTGCATTCTCCATATTGGTGGTTTTATACTTGTCGGCAGTTCCGTTGGGAAAGTTATTCAGTAAGACTCCCAAGCCAAATGATCGAAGATTCTTACCTCAAAGGTCATTTGTTACGAATTTTTATTCTTTGACAGAAGGTGATAGAATTGCATCATATGGTTTGTGGTTTGCGATATTTGTGTCCAAATTTCTTGAATCGTATTTCTTTTTAACGCTTTCAGTTCGAGATCCAGTTCGTGAATTGAGTATCATGCTGGTGCATAGATGTACTGGAGAGGAATGGATTGGTGCCTGGTTGTGTTCAAGACAGCCAACTATTGTTTTAATATTGATTTATGTCACAGATTTGGTATTGTTCATCTTGGACACCTATTTGTGGTACATTGTATGGAATACAGTATTTTCTGTTTGTCGTTCTTTTTATATTGGAGTTTCTATTTGGACTCCATGGAGGAACATTTTCTCAAGATTGCCCAAAAGAATATTCTCAAAGATTATATCTGTTTCTGGTGATAAAAATGTCAAGGCTAAAATGCTTGTTTCACAAGTCTGGAATTCGATTATTATTTCCATGTATAGAGAGCATTTAATATCGTTGGAACATGTTCAAAAACTAATTTATAAACAGATTGATAACCCTGCAGTGGAAGGTGGTTCAGTATTGAAAGAACCAATATTCTTTGTCTCTCAAGAAGATCAATCAATTAAATCATCTATGTTCCAAGATCAATCTGAAGCACAAAGAAGAATTACATTTTTTGCACAATCATTGTCTACACCTATGCCAGAAGTCAGTCCTGTTCATTTAATGCCGTCTTTTACTGTTTTAATTCCTCATTACAGTGAGAAGATAACTTTATCATTAAGAGAAATTATCCGTGAAGAGGAACAATACTCACATGTAACTATGTTGGAATATTTGAAACTGTTGCACCCATTAGAATGGAGCTGTTTTGTCAAAGATACAAAAATGCTTGCTGAAGAATTTGAAACTGATTCGTCATCAGCAGAGTTTAGAAAGGAGAAACTAGACGACCTTCCTTACTATTCTGTTGGATTCAAAGTTGCCACTCCTGAATATATTCTAAGAACACGAATCTGGGCCTCGTTAAGATCCCAGACTCTATACAGAACCATTTCCGGGTTTATGAACTATTCTCGTGCTATAAAGTTATTATTTGATGTTGAAAACCCAGATCTGACCAAATTTGGTAGCGAGAATGAAAAATTAGAACAAGCAGCTATTATGGCTCATAGAAAGTTCCGTATTATCACCTCGATGCAAAGATTGAAATATTTCACTCCAGAGGAAAAGGAGAATACAGAGTTTTTGTTGAGGGCATATCCGGAACTTCAGATATGTTATCTTGATGAAGAAGTTGATGAATCTACCGGTGAAGTGGTCTACTATTCGGCATTGGTGGATGGTAGTTGTGCAATTTTAGAAAATGGCGAACGTGAACCTAAATATAGAATTAGATTATCAGGTAATCCAATCCTTGGAGATGGTAAATCGGATAACCAAAATCATTCATTGATTTTCTGCAGAGGTGAATATATCCAGCTTGTGGATGCTAATCAAGATAATTATTTGGAAGAATGTTTGAAGATTAGAAGCATCTTGGCTGAGTTTGAAGAAGCCACTTTTCCAATTGATCCATATGCAACGGATTTACAAGGTACAGAACTGGCTTATCCGGTAGCTATCATTGGCACTAGAGAATATATTTTCTCAGAAAACATTGGGATCCTTGGTGATGTTGCTGCCGGTAAGGAACAAACTTTTGGTACTTTGTTTGCTAGAACTTTGGCTCATATTGGTGGTAAGTTACACTATGGACATCCTGATTTCTTGAATGGAATTTTCATGACTACTAGAGGAGGTGTATCAAAGGCACAAAAAGGATTACATTTGAATGAAGATATTTATGCCGGTATGAATGTTGTATTAAGAGGTGGCCGAATCAAACACTGTGAATATATGCAATGTGGTAAAGGAAGAGATTTGGGTTTTGGGTCAATCTTGAATTTCACTACAAAAATTGGTGCTGGAATGGGTGAACAAATGTTGTCGAGAGAGTATTTCTACATGGGGACCCAACTTCCTTTGGATAGATTTTTATCGTTCTATTATGCCCACCCTGGATTTCATTTGAACAACTTGTTCATTATGTTATCAGTACATTTATTTTTACTTGTGGGTGCAAACCTTGCAGCATTAACTAGTGAAAGTACTATTTGTGAATATGACAAATTTAGGCCAGTAACCGATCCTAAGCGTCCAGCTGGTTGTTCAAATTTAATTCCCGTGGTTCATTGGTTGCAGAGATGTATCTTTTCCATCTTCATAGTGTTTGTTATTTCGTTTGTGCCATTGGCAGTGCAAGAATTGACTGAAAGGGGATTTTTCAAAGCCATTACAAGATTGGGTAAACAGTTTGCTTCTTTTTCTCCCTTGTTTGAAGTTTTTGTTTGCAAGATATATGCACATTCACTATCGAGTGATATATCCATTGGTGGAGCACGATATCTTGCCACGGGAAGAGGTTTTGCTACTATAAGAGTTCCCTTTGCGACTTTGTATTCTAGGTTTGCCCTGGAAAGTTTATATTATGGTTCGCTTTGTGGGTTGTTGATTTTCTATTGTTCTATAAGTATGTGGAAGTTGCTGTTGGTGTATTTCTGGATCACGATACTTGGATTGTTGATTTGTCCATTCTTGTACAATCCTAACCAGTTTTCGTGGAACGATTTCTTTTTGGATTACAGGGACTATATTCAATGGTTACATCGTGGTAATAGCAAACCACGTATTTCCTCGTGGATAAATTTTACCAGATTGAAACGAAGCAGAATTGTTGGTGTTAAAAGCAAACGATATAGTTTGAATGAAGAGATTAAAGTTGTTAGTGAAGTTAAACCTTCCAGGTTTAAACTTGTGCTTTCTGAGTCGGCATTACAGCTTGGTGTGATATCACTTGTTGCCTTTGCTTACTTGTTTTGCAACTCACAGAATGAGACACGAGGTACTTACCCTGTGAATAGTATTTTGAGAATACTTATTGTCAGCTTTGTTCCAATTGGTGTGAATTTCGTTATTTTAACTGTGTGCTTTATCATTTCTACAGTTACAGGTCCCGTGCTTACTTTGTTTTGCAAGAAGTTCCCATCATTTGTAGCAGCAATAGCACATCTGTTAGCTGTGGTGAATCATGTATTTTTCTTTGAATTTTTGTGGCTATTGCAGAATTGGAATTTTTCAATAACGGTTCTTGGGTTCTCGTTGTCGGTGCTTATTCAATGTTGGTTTTTGCAAATGTTAATGATTATATTTGTATCAAGAGAATTTAGGCACGATAGGTCCAACCGTTCGTGGTGGTCAGGTAAATGGGCTACTGCGGGTCTTGGATGGTATATTATAACTCAACCTTTGCGTGAAGCATTTTGCAAGTTGACAGAAATGTCATATTTTGCAGGTGATTTAATTGCAACTCATATCATTTTGTATGCCCAGATTCCAATATTGTTGATACCTTATGCTGATAAGTGGCATACGCTAATGTTATTTTGGTTGAAGCCAAGTAATCAAATTCGTCCTAGAATATTATCCAAGAGGCAAAAGAGAAGACGGATATTTCAAGCTAATTTATATTTGATTGTATTTGTGTTTGGGTTTGTTTTGTTTTCTAGTATTTTTGTTTTACCAATAGTTGCTAACAAGTATTTGGATATTGATTTTACTGGGTATATTCCAGAGTTTATTCATCCAATAGTACAGCCTAATACAGCCCCTTCAAATAAAAAGGGTTTACGGAGAGGTCTTGAGATCAAGCATTATTAGATAAATTTTATTCTATATACTTTCTATAGTTTGCTAAATCTTCAGGGTGTTTTTGTTCAACATTGTGTAATATACTCTTTTTAACCGAATCATCACACATTAACATTGCAAGATCATATCGTTTAAAAGTGGAAAATTGTTTGAAATGATTCAAGATTAAAGTGTTCCAGTTAGGTATATCATTTTGAGTAGAGGCATAATTAACCGCATCTAAAAAGAACAGTAAAAACTCAGTATCAATACCTGATTCAAATATTGTTTGATATGAATCAGAATCTAGGTTCAAGACATATTTATAGCCATTACTTTTCTTATTATCTGGTAATTGTTTAAGTGCAGTTAAAAAATGCATTGGCAGTTTTTCATTCAATTCAACATTAGGAGTTTGATCAATAGGTTTATTTATGGATTCATTTTCTGGTTCTTTAATCTTTTTAGATCCAAATAATTCATTAATTTCTTTATCAAGTGTAGATGAATTTGTTTTCAATTCAGTTACTGGATTATCTTGAGATGGTTTTAAAATTTTTGAAAAAAATTCAGGTAATTCATCAACTTCTTCAATTGGTATATTTATATCAATATCCATTAAATTATTTTCTTGAATACTTGATAAATTTTTAATTTCTAAAATTGCTGGATTATTACTTGGATCTAATTTTAAAACTGATTCAAATGATTCTTTAGCTGATTTATATTTTTTTAATCCTTTTAATGCTATACCTTTACGAAAATTCAATTTAATTAAAACTGGAATATTGGCATTATTATTAGTATTATTATGTGAAAGATCTAATCCTTTAATACAATCGGTATATGCAGATTGATAATTTTGAAGATTTATAAAACATTGAGCTCGATTTGAATATAAAATTGGATTGAATTGATCTATTGTTATTGCCGATGTATATAAATCAATGGCTTTTTTGTATTCTTTAGATATAAATGCCTTATTTCCTTGTTCTTTCAATTGTACTGCTGACATCTTGTTTTATATGATGATGATGATGAGTAATAATATCAAGAGTTTGAGATTTTCATTTGTTTAAATTTTTATTTTTTTTTTTCATTAAATTGACATGTCTTTTTCTTTTGTCGGTATATAAATCAAACGTCATGACAGTTGAAGAATTACAAGATGAAATAGGAGCAATTGATGCTATTTATCCAGATACTGTTATACCAATAGCTCCACAAATATATACTTTTAAAATCCCTCAACATGAATCATTAAGTATTCAATTAAATTTCCCAAGTGAATATCCTGAAGCAATCCCACAATTATTACAAGTGTTAATTGAAAATAATTCAAGATTTACTGATGTGAATTATTTAGAAAAACATATAAATGAAATATTATCAAAAGTTTATATTCCTGAACAAGTAGTTATGTTTGAATTTTTAACTGAATTACAAGAATTTTTTGATAAATATATTGAAGAACATCCAGAACCTACACCATCACCAAAACAAAAACAAAAACCCATATCATCACCTGATGATAGATCAATTACTCCACAACCAGTGAAAGTTGAAATACCTAAAGAAATAATTGATCCTACAATAGGTTGGTTTCAATCTGAACCAATTGTTGATAGATCTTCTACATTTATTGCATATGCTAGAAAAGTTGATAATTTGCAACAAGCTCAAGATTATTTAAATAATTTAATCACTGATAAAAAAGTTTCAAAAGCTGCTCATAATATTTCAAGTTGGAGAATCAAAACTGAAAATGGAGTAGTTTATCAAGATTGTGATGATGATGGGGAAACTGCTGCAGGTAGTAGATTACTACATTTACTACAGGTATGTTATTAAATAATTCTAATATTAGTATATTTAAACAAAAAGATTAATCTAATACTAACTATAAAAAATAATATTTATTTTAGATGATGGATGCATGGAATGTGATTGTTGTTGTTAGTAGATGGTTTGGAGGTATTCATATAGGACCTGATAGATTTAAACATATCAATTCAGCGGCTAGGGAGGTCGTTATCAAAGGGAACTTTGTTAATGCAAATAATGATGAAAATAATAATAATAATAATAATAATAATACAAAGAAGAAAAAGAAATAGATTAGTTTTCCCTTGTCAATAAATATATAGACCCAATTGAACCATATCTAGTTTAATCTTTTCTTCTTGTTTGATTTTGAAGATGATTCTAATTTTCTCTTTTTCCACATTGTATTTAAATCAAGTGGTGGTTCATCATCATCATCAGCATCTACTGGTTTTTTATCATCAGTAATTTCTTCAACTGCCAATTTTGCTTTATTTACATCACCCCAAGTTTTTCTTACAGAAGTAGTTGAAGAATAATTATAATTTGAACTACTCATTATATTTCCATAACCCACAGTTTCAATTTTTGGTTTCATTGATGCTAATTTTAGTAATTTATCCAGATTTGGCATGATCCATTCTGATAAATCATGAATTTTCTTTTGTTCTTCTTTTCTTTGTTTACTAATTTGATTATCTTCTGCCTTTTTCATGAACTTCATGTTCATGACACGATTGGATAATCCACCAGATGACATGTCTACTTGAATGATTGATGTTGAAAACTATACCAAAGGAAACAAAGCAATGAACAATAAAAAACTCACTCACACTCACACATTTTTTGAATTAAAGAGAGAGAGAGAAAGAAATGGAAATGAAAAAAAAAAAATTTGATGGTTTGAGGTTTTGGTCGTGGTGCACGCGAAGAGATGAGACGAATTTTTTTTTCACATAAGTTAAGTCAATTTTTCATAGTCTTCCTTTTTTTCTTTTAAACCATTTCTATATCCTTCTATAACTTTAGTTTCAACCATCAACATGAAGTCGGATTTCAAGTTTTCCAATTTATTAGGGACTGTTTATCGTGAGGGTAATTTAATATTTACTGATGATGGAACAAAACTATTATCACCAGTTGGTAATAGAGTATCAAGTTTTGATTTAATTAAATCTGAATCATTTACATTCAATTATCAACACCGTAAAAATATTCATAATATTGCATTAAATAAACAAAATACTTTATTGATTTCTATTGATGATGATGGTAGAGCAATTTTGATCAATTATGTATCAAGAGTAGTATTACATCATTTTAATTTTAAATCAAAAGTTAATGATATTAAATTCAGTCCATGTGGGAAATATTTTGCAATTGCTATAGGTAGATTTATTCAAATTTGGAAAACTCCTGAGTCAACAGAAGATAAACAATTTCATCCATTTGTTAGATATAAAACATATCTGGGACATTTCAATGATGTTTTAAATGTTACTTGGTCAAATGATTCAAGATTTTTAATAAGTTCAAGTAAAGATATGACTTGTAAAATGTTTTCCTTACATTCTGATGAAAAAGATGTTGCTATGACTTTTTCAGGTCATCGTGATTATGTTATTGATGCATTTTTCAGTAAAGACCAAGAAACAATATATACTGTTTCTAAAGATGGTGCATTGTTCACATGGGAATATACCGAACGTCCTTCTGAAGAAAGTGACGATGAAGAAGAAGATGAAGATGAAGAAAAACCAATGAGTTGGAGAATCACTGCAAAGAATTTCTTTTATTCTGATGGGAAATTAAGATGTGCTACATTTCACCCAGATTCAAAATTATTAGTTGTGGGTTTCACCAATGGGGAATTTAGAATTTATGAAATTGAAGATTTCAATTTAATTCAACTGTTAAGTATGGGTCAAAATGCTGTCAATACTGTTAATATTAATAAAACTGGTGAATGGTTAGCCTTTGGATCTTCTAAATTGGGTCAATTAGTAGTTTACGAATGGCAATCTGAATCTTATATCTTGAAACAACAAGGACATTTTGATTCTTTGAATACTTTGTGTTATTCTCCAGATGGCTCTAGAATCGCCACTGGTTCTGAAGATGGTAAAATCAAGATTTGGGATATTCGATCTGGATTCTGTTTAATGACTTTCACTGAACATACTGCTTCTGTTACCCAAGTTCAGTTTGCTAAAAGAGGTAATGTTTTATTTTCAAGTTCTTTAGATGGTACTATACGAGCATGGGATTTAATTAGATTTAGAAATTTTAGAACTTTTACTGCTACTACAAGAATTCCCTTCAATTGTTTAGCAGTTGATCCAAGCGGTGAAGTTGTTGTTGGTGGATCACAAGATACATTTGAAATCTATGTTTGGTCAGTTCAAACAGGTCAGTTATTGGATAGTTTAACTGGTCATGAAGGTCCAATTTCATGTTTGACATTTGGTGTGGAGAATTCCATCTTGGCTTCAGCATCATGGGATAAAACCATTAGAATTTGGAATATTTTCAGTCGTAGTCAAACTGTTGAACCAATTGATATACAAAGTGATGTATTGTGTCTTGCCATGAGACCAGATTGTAAAGAATTATCTGTGCTGACATTAGATGGACATATTTCCGTTTATGATATTGAAGATGCCAAACAATTACATTTAATTGATGGTAGAAAAGATATTCTTACTGGTAGATATTTGGAAGATAGATTTACTGCAAAAAATTCCAACAGAGGTAAATATTTCAGCACTATTGCTTATTCATTTGATGGATTGACTTTATTGGCTGGTGGTAATAACAATTCCATTTGTATGTATGACATTGACAGTGAAGTTTTATTGAAAAGATTCATTGTTTCTGAGAATATGTCACTTGATGGTACTTTACAATTTTTGAATAGTAAGAAAATCACTGATGCTGGTATTAACTCTGATTTGATTGATCGTGATGGTGAATTGAGTGATTTGGAAGATAGAATTGATAATACCATTCCTGGTTCACGAAGAGGTGGTGATCCAAGTGAACGTAAGACCAGACCAGAAATCAGAGTTACAAGTATTGGATTTTCTCCAACAACAACTGCGTTTTCAGCTGCATCAACTGATGGTTTACTAATATATTCTATTAATCAAGAAGTTATCTTCGATCCATTTGATTTAGATGTTGATGTTACTCCAGAAGCTACTTTGGAATCTTTGAATGAAAAGGAATTTTTGGTTGCTTTGGTTATGGCATTCAGATTAAATGAAAGTTATTTGATTCATAAAGTTCTTGAATCTATTCCATTGCATGATATTCAATTAGTTTGTCAAGATATACCGGTGATATATGTTAATAGAGTTTTGAATTTCATTGGGGAGTTGTTAGTTAAGAAGGAATCACCACATATTGAATACTATTTGATTTTTATTAAAAATATATTAATCCAACATGGTAGATATATCAGTGAACACAAATTTGAATTCCAAGCATCAATGAAATTGTTGTCTAGATTTTTAAATAAGACTGCTAAAGATGTTGTCAATATTGGTAGAAGAAACGATCATTTGTTGACATATTTAACTATCAGTAAGGACTTGAAACAACCAATTGAAGTAGAAGACGATGAAAATAGCGGTGAAGAAGATCTGGATGTTGAAGATATAGTAATTGATGAAGAGGATGATGACGAAGCAGGATGGTTAGGACCAAACGAACAATCAGTCAAAGCATCTAACGGTATTATTTTCACCGGTCCAGGTGACGATGATAGTGATGATGATGATGATCAAGAAGAGTTGATTGAAGTATAGAAGTATATAGTTTAAGAGTGTAAATCCTATTAGTAATATTTTTGCAACACATTAGCAACCAGGTGTATGTTTTGAGTTGCCCGAGTTGGTCCGATATACAGATATTTCCGGTGATAAGTGTGTGTGTGTGTTTGAAACTGTCATTTTAAATATTATGTCTCCTGATCCGGATCTTGCAACCAAAAAAAAAATCAAAACTAATACCCCAGAACCAATTAAGTTGAGTTTCCTTTGTCATTGTATCAATGTTTTAATTAATGACTCGGTTAGCAATTAGGAAACATTATGTGTATTGTAGGGTTAAATTTAATTACCCATGGGGGACGGCAGTTGCATGAATGTGTGTGTGTGTGTGTGTGTGTTTAGTTGGTGTTTCACAAAATGAAAAATTTACAGAAACTTGAAACTGATTATTGTTGTGGTCATTTCGGTGGTTTCGAGGTTGTAATCTCATTTTTGCAATATGGAAACCCTTGCAATATTACGAAAGAAGGAATTGGAAGGGGAGAGATCCACAAAATAGAAGGAAAAGAATAATAAAACGTATAAATGTTACATTTGCTGGTGATGGGAATCACTGATTCATTAGTAAAAAAAAAATAGAAAATAGAAAAAGTGAAGTCTCATGGTGGTTTGAACTTTGCGTACGATTAGTGACCAGCACGGAGATAATTGTTGTCCATTTTTTTTTAGCCAATGGTGCGTCAAATGGTACGAACAAAAACACAGAACCCAAAAACCTACAAAATTAAAAAAAAAATTTATTCCCTTAATTTAATTAATTGAATTTCTCCCCACATAAACATTAACACACAAACCAAAATTAAATGATGGTTATTAATTACCTTCGAGATGAATTAGTCAAATTGTATTAATAGAATAGCTGGTGTTTTTTTTTGTTGTTGTTGTTGTTGGTAACTCAGTGTAATTATACACGGTGATGCTGAAGAAATTTACTTTACGGAACATCATTCGTTCCTGTAGTTGGATTGTTCGAGTAGTATTTTTTCCCTTGCAATTTAGGCTTTATTTTACGTTGGAAGCATTCAAGTAATTTTTTATTTTTCTATGCGGAACGACATCACCAGATCTGGGGGGACTACGGAGAAGAAAAATAAAGGAAAAGGAGGGGAGGAATAATAAAGATAAGACTTGGAATGGAATGGAATGCAAACGAGACGACAGGAGGGATAAATGGAAGAATGGAAGGAGGGGGGATGAAATGGAATATCGGAAGAACGTACTGCAGTGGATTAATTTAATCTGGGTCATACATTTTGTGTGGGATTTGTTGGTGAAAATCATTACATTCAATATTAGCTCTTGCATCACCAACAGAATTGATGAACAACAAGAAAAAGCTTAAACGGGCAACTTCTGTTTCTGTTTAGTTCCTATTCTTCTTGTTGTTGTTGTTGTTGTTCCATAATTAGTGACAATAATATTAGTTCAATAGGAACAATAGCACTCCCCACTTTGACTAATTAATCATTTATTACGTCTGTGTATACGTCGTGTGTGTGTGTGTATGGGTACGTACCTTTGTTTCATTAGACCAGATGTTTTGTATCACTCGACCTTCTTCTTCTTCTTTGAATCCCAGGTGTAGATTAATATTATTATTTTTACTAATAATGAAATATTGGGACGTGCATTTACCAGATACATAATTTGCTGGCAAGTTTCTCTAAAAAAAATAAGGTACCACAAAGCAAAAGTTACAATTTTTAGAAGCAGAAAAAGAGAACTATAATTTTTTACAACACATACACACACACACACACACACACACACACGCATACAACAAGAGAGTGACGGAGTTGAACAAAAAATTAAATTAAATTAGCCCAAATGGACAATATTCTTGAGGTTGTTACAAATACACAACTAATGATATAAAAACCCCCCTAAATTATCCTGGTTGTCGTTTTTCTATATATATATAAGAAGAAAAATTTCTCTTAATTTTTTTTTTATTAATTTTCTCTTTATCTTCAATTTAATATCAAATCAAGGGATTTACCACGTGATAAAGACAGTCATTCTTTATAGCATCTACAAAAATAGAGACAACCATTAATCACTAACAAAGTGCTCATTCATTAATTTTAATTGTCTTTTTTTTGTTGTTGTTGTTGTTGTTTCACCCCACTTTTTTTTCCAGTGACTGAAAATCTCATTTCTTTACAACATTCAATTTTGTCCACCCTTGTAATTTAATTTTTCTGTTGTCTTTTGTCTTGCATTATAAATTGACACCAACAATCCCCCCGATCAATTCATTTTACCCACATTCACTGTTAATTTCAATTTTTTTTACTTTATTTTGTTGTTGTTGTTAATAACTAAATCTAAGATTCATATTCCTATCTCCTTTCAATTCATTATCAATTGCTCATATTTTTATTATATATTTGTTTCTATTTTAATCATCAATTATTATGACTAGAGATATTGCCAATCATTTATTGTTCGAGGTATCGACCGAAGTTGCCCACAAAGTCGGGGGTATTTACTCCGTTTTGAAATCTAAAGCACCAATTACTGTTGCAGAATACAGAGAACGTTACACTTTACTTGGTCCTTTGAATCATGCTTCTGCCCAAATCGAAGTTGAAGAATTGCCTGTTAAAGACCCAATGATTAAACAAACTTTGGACTCCATGTCTGCCAAAGGTATCAGATGGTTATATGGTAGATGGTTGATTGAAGGTGCCCCAAGAGTTTTGTTATTCGATATCTGGTCTGCTGGTCATTACTTGAATGAATGGAAAGCTGATTTGTGGAATATTGCCGGAATCCCAACCCCTGACCACGATCTGGAAACTAATGATGCCATCTTGTTGGGTTATTTGGTTGCTTGGTTCTTGGGTGAATTGGTCTATAACGACAGAGATAGAGCTGTTATTTGCCATTGTCACGAATGGTTGGCCGGTATTGCTTTACCATTGTGTAGAAAGAGAAGAATTGATTTGACTACCATCTTCACAACCCATGCCACTATCTTGGGTAGATATCTTTGTGCTGGTAGTACTGATTTCTACAACAATTTGGACAAATTTGATGTGGATGCAGAAGCCGGAAAGAGAGGTATCTATCATCGATATTGTATTGAAAGATCAGCTACTCATTCTTGTGATGTTTTCACTACTGTTTCCCACATTACTGCTTATGAAGCTGAACATTTGTTGAAAAGAAAACCAGACGGTGTCTTGCCAAACGGTTTGAATGTTGTCAAATTCCAAGCTGTTCATGAATTCCAAAACTTGCATGCTGTTAAAAAGGATAAAATTAACGAATTTATTAAAGGACATTTCTATGGTAATTATGATTTCGATTTAGACAATACCTTGTATTTCTTTATTGCTGGTAGATATGAATTTAGAAACAAGGGTTGTGATTTCTTCATTGAAGCATTGGCCAGATTGAACCATAAATTGAAGGAATCTGGTTCTAAGATGACTGTTGTTGCATTTATCATTATGCCAGGTAAAACTCAATCATACACTGTTGAAACTTTGAAAGGTCAAGCCGTTATTAAACAATTGGAAAACTCTATTGAAGAAGTTCAAAAGAAAGTTGGTGATAGATTATTTGAATATTGTGCAAGATATCCAAATGCCAACCACAAATCCAATGATGAAGTTCCTTCCATTGATGAATTGATCAAACCAGCTGATAGAGTTCTTTTGAAGAGACGTATATTTGCCTTGAAGAGAGATGGTTTGCCACCAATTGTCACTCACAACATGGTTGATGATAGCAACGATCCAATTTTAAACCATATTAGAAGAGTTCAATTATTCAACAGATCTGAAGATAGAGTCAAGATTATTTTCCATCCAGAATTCTTGAATGCCAATAACCCAATCTTGTCCTTGGATTATGATGAATTTGTTCGTGGTTGTCACTTGGGTGTTTTCCCATCTTATTATGAACCATGGGGTTACACTCCTGCAGAATGTACTGTTATGGGTATTCCATCCATCACTACCAACTTGTCTGGTTTCGGTTGTTACATGGAAGATTTGATTGAAAACACTACTGATTACGGTATCTACATTGTTGATAGAAGAATGAAATCTGTTGATGAATCCATCAACCAATTGACTGATTATATGTATGACTTTGTCGGTAAAACCAGACGTCAAAGAATCAATCAAAGAAACCGTACTGAAAGATTGAGTGATCTTCTCGATTGGAGAAGAATTGGTATTGAATATGTCAAGGCCAGAAACTTGGCATTAAAGAGAGCTTATCCAGATTATGTTGGTGAAAATATTGTCGAATCAAAGGTCAAATTGACTCGTCCAATGTCTGTCCCAGGCTCTCCAAGATCCATGTTGTTAACCCCTGGTGATTTGGGTTCATTGCAAGAAATGGAAATGCAAGAAGACGCTGAATATTTTGAACTTGGTGATGGTGAAGAAGAAGCTTGATTTGTTTTCTGATACACTTATTCATACATGTGACTTTTGTTTTTCGATATAATTCCTGTTTTTACTTTTTATTTTAATTATATACTGTAGTTTACTAATGTAAAGTTTTGTTTGTTTCAAGAATTTATGTAAGAATTTGATCGAATTTTCCAGTAAAAGTCAATAAACTTTCCCACCAAAACTTATACTGCAATACAAGGAATTATATTGACTGACAATACTGAATGACCATATAAACATCACATTACGTCATAATCGACGTGTTTGACACCCATTTGGGTAGATTCGGACTTGTCTTTGCTGATCCTTGTTGACAACCAACCAACTCGGTCGTGTTATTAGGCGAAAAATGTCAATACACCTGTAATTCACTGACGTTGTCAAACTACCCAAAATGGACAGTAATCGTTTTGGGAACAACATATTAAACTGTTGTGTACCCTGGATATGTATTTGACTGATAAACATCAATTTTAGTCCCACTACATCTCTAAAATCCATTAGTTTCTTAACTATGAGTACATATCTTAGAAGGTCTGCAATTTACACCTACAACAAGAACAGCTTCTATGGCCAAGTTGGTAAGGCACCTCACTAGTAATGAGGAGATCATAGGTTCGAATCCTGTTGGAAGCATTTATTTTTTCCATTTACACTCACACAAACCCAACCCAACCCAACCCAACCCAACCCAACCAGACTCCGCACCACCACCACCATATCTAGCGGAGACTTCGTGTTAAGGAGTTTTATTCTTTTTTTTTTTTTTTCAGTTTGTCCCACATCTCAGTAATGTTCAAGGGCCAGACTGCATTGGTGACTGGTGGGTCACGAGGAATTGGATTAGCTCTAAGTAAGAAATTAGCATCAGAAGGAGCTACAATTACCCTACTTGCACGAGACGAAAAGAGACTACAACAATCACTAGAAGAACTATCTACTTCACATGGTCAGCAACATTCATATCAAGCACTTGATCTACTTCGGTTAATTGAACATAAACATCAACGTCACCAACATCAACATGATGTGTATTTGGGATCACCTAGTATATTAATCAATTGTGCTGGTGTTACTAATCATTCATTGTTACATCAAACAACAGTGGATGAAATATTCAATACTATTAATGTGAATCTAACTATACCTATAATATTAAGTCAAATGGTAGTGAAGAATATGATTAGGAATAAGAAACTTAATCCATCGATATTGAATATTCTGTCAGTGTTATCAATGACAAGGTATTTCATTCCAGGGACATCGGTTTATGCTGCTTCGAAAGCAGGATTATTGGGATTCAGTCAGAGTTTATCACATGAATTGAAAGGAAGAGTTCGTGTGAATGCATTGATGCCTGGATTAGTTAAAGAAACAGATATGGGATCTAATGTGAATGCAGATGTTACTGTGGTTTCAATGGAATCGGTTGTTAATGAAGCAATGAGAATATTACGAGATACTACGATAAATGGACAATGTATAGTTTTAGATAAATAGTATATTAGAAAGTTTGCATTTTATAAGGAATACGTAATTTAATATATCAGAATGAGGAAGGGGGAAGGGGGAGAGAGGTTAGTAACCAACTGTTTTTAAATAAACATCAGTACCCCAACCAGGATAAGTTTGTACAGTCAACAGTCCTTTTGTACGGGTATCTTCGTCTTCATTTTTATTAATAGTTTCATTGAAAACTTCAATATATTGTTTAGCTAAAGGTAATCCAAAACCCATACCAGCAACTGTATTTCCTGCTACTCCTGGAGGTACATTTAAAGTTTTATAACTATCACCTTCACCAGATTCATAAGTTGAAAATGAATAATCAAATATATGTTTTAATGTTTTAGCAGGTATTCCTTTACCTTTATCTCTAATTCTTATTTCTAAATATTTTTCAGGAGATAATGAAGTAGATATAGTAATTTGTACTGGTTCATTTATTTTATTTTCAATTTGAGCTCTAAATGAATTTTTAAAAATTTCCATAAAAATATAATCTAAATGATATTCAATATATGGGAAATTCAACATTTCTTCAGGTGATTTTCTTTTCAATTCAGGTTCTGCTTGACTCCAATAATTTAAAGGATATAAATTTGTATCAATACTTACATTAACTGATTGATCATATTTCATCATAGTTATATCATTAACAATTTCAGCATTTTTCTTAATTATATCAGGAATATGTAACATTTTAATAACACCATTATATTTGCCCCCTTTAACAAATTTCAGGGGATCATTAAGAGTTCTAGTTAATTCAATATGTTGATGAGCAATTAATCTCATACTTATTCTTTCTTTCAAGTGTTGATCCAAAAATTCCGTTATTGTTTTCGTACTTAAAAGATGACTTACTTCAGTTAAACCTTTAGATAAACTAGGTAAAGTATCAGCATGAACATCAATAAATTTAGTTAAAACTTCTTCAGAAAACTTGAGATTTTCTTCTAAAGTATGAGGAGTATAAGTACTTGCAATTAATAAACTTGACATAGTTTGTAAATAAATATTATAACTTTCCAGAATTGAAGGGTTAAGAACAACTAAATAAGGTAATTTTCTAAATTCTTTTAATCTTCTAGAATTATAAATTAATAAATGTTCAATAGTCTCACGAGCATTTTGTAAGATGAAATTATTAGATAATTTTGTCAGTTGCAGGTATAATTCTTGAATTGAAAATTGAGGTAATTTCTTACTTGAATAATGAATAATTGGTTGTTCCAACATAGTACGAATTTTATATTCTTCAAGAAATTTCAATTGTTGGGGATGACATTCTTCAATTTCTTTTGATATTGAAATATTTCTAATGGATAGTATAGGACGATATGAATGACGACAAAGCACTTGAAAGGTACTAGTCCTACTTGGTAGAAGAATCATTTTGATACAAACTAGATGTTGTGAAATGAAGGGAAATTATATGAAATGAAAAAAAAAGACAACTAGGAATAAGATCTTCTTCCTGATTTTTTTTTTCTTCTTCTTCTTCTTCTTCTTCTTTATATACTTTTCTCATGATAATTCAAGTCCGGTCGAATGGCTCGCCTTGTAAAAGTCATACAAGAGAAAAACCAAAGGAACCAAAACTTTAAATCATGCAAAGCAAAAAGAAAAAAAAAGAAAACAGCCAACCTTTGTATCGTACGACTTGAACTCTATCACCCACCTATTCAGCCAATCAACGGGAAGGAACCTTTAATATTGATATTTATCTGAGGAATCAAAATGCCAATATCAACTGATACTTGTCCATTATGTATCAATTCAACCGAGGACGAAGAAGAATATTCATGGATTCAATGTTCTCATTGTAAACAATGGTATCATACATCATGTCTTAAAATCCCTGAATTTGAAGTGAATACTATTGTCACTTATCATTGTCCTAATTGTACTTCAAGCCATGGTCCCTCTACTTATAAAAGAAAATCAAAACGAGCTAAAATATCTATTGATTATCAAGCATTAAATGATGGTGAAGCATATGCAGTTGATAAATCAAATCATTTTCAATTAAATAATTTTTTGAATTTTAAAGGTACTCCAAATATTAGCATCATTAATGAATTAACTAAAGATTATGTTTTAGAATCTAAAATGATAAAACCGATTCTTATACCTCAAGCAGATTTAGATAAAAATGGTATGAAATTCCCAATATCAAAGAATAAGATCACCGTGGATTATGTAACTGAATGTTGTGGAGAAGATACCCCACTTGAAGTAATGGATGTCATCTCACAACAAGGAGTATCACCACCATGGAGATTAAAACAATGGAGAGATTATTTTAATACTGAAGAACAATCACGAGATAGAATACGAAATGTTATATCATTGGAAATCTCCAATGTATCTAAATTAGGAATTGAATTCAAAAGACCAACTTGTGTGGAACAATTAGATTTAGTAGATAAGATATGGGATCCATTAGATGAACAACCAAGAAGTAAAGTTACTAAATATTGTTTAATGTCAGTGAAAAATTCATTTACTGATTTTCATATAGATTTTGGTGGTACTTCAGTGTATTATACTATTTGTCGAGGTGCTAAAACATTTCTAATGTTCCCACCTACAGAAAGTAATCTTCAGATCTATGAATCATGGTGTCTTGAACCTAAACAGAATTTCATATGGTATCCTGATCATCTGATTACCAAGAATAAAAAAAAGATATATCCAACAGAAGGATTCAAAGTAACTCTTCAACCAGGTGATTTGTTTATTATACCAAGTGGTTGGATTCATGCAGTGCATACTCCACAGGATTCAGTTGTTATTGGAGGAAATTATTTGACTTTACGAGATATGAAAATGCAATTAAGAATAAATACAGTGGAGAAATTAACTAAAGTTCCTTCAAAGTTTCGATTTCCAATGTTTAACAAAGTATTATGGTTATCGGCATGGTATTATTATAATCATCAAGATGAGTATTTGGAAGATATTGGGAAAAATGAAGATGCAAATGGTATACTAGATTCATTGATTGAACATTTAAAGAAGCATCTAGAATTGAGTAAAACCAATTCGACTGCTAAAAGAAGCATACCTTCGATAATTGGTAAACCTGTTATCTTTCTTGAGAACCTAAAAACGTGGAAAGACAAACTACATAGTTGTTAATATAATGAAATAAAAAATATCTATCGTAAAATTAAAAGAAAACTATTTGAAATGAATATAAAAAAAAATATACAATAATTCATGAACTATAATTGGATGGGTTTGTGTATGTGTATATGGGAATGACATTATTTAAAGATCCAATGGAGTACCCTTTTCTCTGGCAGCTTCACCATATTTCTTAATTCTAATGGCTTGGACAGCAATGAATCCACTGGTGTCAACTGGAGAGAAACCAGTCAATTCATCCATAGAAGATTCAGTTTCATCATATAATTTTTCAGTTTCAGAAGATCTACCCAAAATGGTGACAGAACCTTTATAAGCAGCAGCTCTAACAACACCATTAACGGTGTTTTGGGATGGTTGAATCATAGATCTAACATATTCACCTTCTGGAGTGAAATACATACCATTGTACAAAATCTTAGCCCAAGTTGGAGTAACAAATTGATCTCTAATAGCTCTAACTTCACGATCCAAAGTTAAACCTTCCAAATCAACATGAGTAGATCTCAAGATAGTCAAACCTGGAGTTTCATAACAACCTCTGGATTTAATACCAATAAATCTGTTTTCAACAATATCAATTCTACCAACACCATTTCTTCTTGCCAAAGAGTTGGCTTCAATAAATAATTCAACTGGATCAGTGACAACCTTTTTACCATCATCCAAGATCAATTTAACTGGTAAACCTTTTTCAAAAACAACAGAAAAAGTTTCTGGTTTTTCTGGAGCATCAGTTGGATCAACAGTCAATTTCCACATATCTTTTGGTGGAGTAGTATCTGGATCTTCCAAAATACCAGCTTCAAAAGAAATATGAGCCAAGTTTTCATCAGTAGACCATGGTTTAGCTTTAGTTTGAGCAACTGGAATATTCTTGGAAGCAGCATAATCCAATAAATCTTTTCTACCAGCAAATCTGTTGAAAAATTCTGGGTCTCTCCATGGGGCAATAACAACAACATCTGGTTTCAAAGCATAGAAACTCAATTCAAATCTAACTTGATCATTACCTTTACCAGTACAACCATGAGAGACGGCAAAACAACCATTTTCTTCAGCAACTTTGATTTGAGCTTGAGCAATAACTGGTCTAGCTAAAGAAGTACCTAATAAATAAACATTTTCATAAATGGCATTAGATTGAATAGCTGGGAAACAAACTTTTTCAACAAATTCTTTTCTAACATCAACAACAACAAATTTAGTGGCACCAATGGCTAAAGCTTTCTTTTCAGCAGCTTCGAAATCTTCTTCTTGACCAATGTTGGCTAAAAAGGCAATAACTTCATAGCCTTGTTCCAACAACCAGGCCAAGATAACAGAAGTATCCAAACCACCAGAGTAAGCTAAACAAACTTTTCCTTTTGACATTATGTGAGTATGTATGTGTGAGTAGTTGTTTTATATATATATATATGAGATATATAATAAAAGAAAATTCAATTGATTGATATTGTATAAAAGAGAAAAAGAAAAAGAAAAAGATATAAAAAAAATTTGAAAAGATGAAAAAGTTTTTATGTCCTCTATTTATAGTGAAAATTTATTTTTTCCTTAATTCATCGAATCGTCGAATTAAATGAGTGATTTAAAAAAAATTTTTCATATAAGGAAATAAGTTTAGCGCGGTAAACTCATTTGTCGCTTCGCCAATTACCTAATTAGTCATAATTCTCTTTTTTTTTATTTCATTTGTCCACACGAAAAATTGGTCGTGTACATAAAAACAAAAAAAAAAAATCAAAATAAGGTAGTGCAAAAGTAACAAATAATATTGGTCGTGTGGTAGTGCACATTTTTCTATTCTCGTTTGGTTTGTGAGTCAACTAACCAATCAAAGGTTACAGAGGTACACATGTCATTTATAGATTTAATTATATATGATGAAAGTAACATGAAAAGATTTTATGCAAAATGCTCAAAACTATAATATTGTAATCATAAGATAACAGTAGATTATTTACCCCCACATGTTTATTGAGTACTAAACTTTTCTCGAAATTTATTGCCACATTTTGACAAGGACATAGACGTTTTTAGTTTCGTACTTGGAGCTAGGTCATCTATACATCGGTCAAATACAAGATCTCCACTTAATAGTCGGCTTGATTAATGTGATTATTATTATTTACTATTATTATTCTCCACCATTGAATATGACAAGAAACCCTATTCCCCTCTAAAGGTATCACACCCATGCACCAGTACATTTTCCAAGAATATGACTAAATTAGTCACCCAATGTCTCAGTAGCCATCACGACGACTACTCATGAGGCACCAAAAAGAAAAGAAAAGAAAAGAAAAAATTTTTTTTTTAATTCTTTACATAATCACAACAACAGCAAAAGAAAATTTTCCTAGTCTCTTTCTCTCTCTCTTTTCTCGTTTGATTCAGAGTCATTGTTGGGTAATTAATCATTTTTACTGTTTCTTTTTTTTTTTTTGCAGTTCGATATACATATATATATATATATAATACCCTTACCTCCAACCTTTTCAGATCTGAGTCATAGTGAGTGAGATCGAGGAAATCAGTTGAAAACAAAATTCAAAAGATATCAACAATGGATTCGAATAAGAAGTTAGGTGTTACACATTCAATTCGTGATAAATTAAATTTCCATGATGAAAGATTATGGAAGAGATTCAGTGCTCGAAGATTAGAGCTAATAGATACACTAGACTTAAGTTCACGAAAAGCAAGTGAACAAGAACAAGAGATTAGAAAAGTTTCTGAGATTTTAAGAACAGAATTCAATTATCATTCTTCATATGCACCAGATTTTAACAAATTAGTCCGAGCTGCCATTCAAAGTGTGAGACGAAATAGAAAAAGATCATCGAAAAAGCATTCCGATGAAGACGATTATGATCATTATTCCACAAATTATAAGAAACAAAGACTAGAGGAAAGAAATCAGCATAGTAATAATTTCTTGTCAGAGATTGTTCGTAATGATGAAGATGTGTATGATGTGAATTATAATAAAACCAAAGTATTTACCAATAAAGATAAGGCAAACGATACCATCGATAATATGACCAAACCAAGATTACCACCTTTAAGTAATTTAAGCATGAATGAGACAATTAATATTCCACTGGCATCAAATGCAAAGAAAGTTATCCTCAAAAAAATTGAAACTTCAAAGTCATGTAATGAAAGTGTTAGTTCAAAACTGGAGAATCTACAGTTTTTGGGGAAATCATTCATGGCAACATGTATTGGGTTTGTGTTTGAAAAATCTTTTATTCATGTGAATCAACAATCATTGACTTATTTGAGAAATAAATTAACCAGTGAAAGTTCATTGGCTAAATTTTTCCGAGATTTAGATCCTATAAATACCAACTCGATTAATGATGAAGCAGCTGTGATTTCATTATATATCTTACTAGGGGGTATGGTTAAAGATTTTGGATTTGAAGATATTATGAATCCTATTTGTGAGATTTTGTATGCTAGTGTGTTGCAAGAATATCCATTAGTAGCGAAAAATTCAATTCCTTATAGAAGTGAGGAAAATATGAGAAGAAGCAGTCTGATTGATAGTATAAGGGGCAATGATGATCATTCATTGAGTAAATTAGCGGAAGTTGCAACACATTTACAAATTCATTCAAACCAAAGCACAACTTCAACATTAGTTTCATCTAGATCCATGACTCCTTCAGGAACACCACCACCTCCTCCAGCTCCAGTATCGTCTTCGTCCACGTCTACAAGTTATAAGAAACGAGTATATTTAAAGTTCCTCAACCAAAAATTAGAGTTTTTCTATCCTGTTAGAATTGCAGCCACCCCTAGATTTAATGAATTGTTGGAGAATGCCAAGTCTGCATTTAAGTTGCCAGACACAACCATAATAATAAGACACCATGGTCATGTGATCACAGGAGATTTAGAATTAGAGAGAGTGTTTAGAAGTGAAGAAGATATAATAGAATTAGAGATCACTACACATAACCCAATGCCGATTTATGAGATGCATAGAAGAATGTCACAACAGGTATATAATCCAGTACCCAAACCAACAGCAGCAGCAGCACCACCTCCATCATTACCACCAACTACAGTTCCTTCTCAGCCATCAGTTATGGATTCTCATAGAATAATTTTACCACCACCTATACAATCCAGAGGAGCCATGGGATTTAATTTTATAAGTAATTCAGATGAAGGCGCACATTCGGTTACACCACCACCTTCTCGACCAGCTCTTCTTCCAAAATTCCAACCGTTATTGTAACGGTCGTCTATACGGTTAGCTGTAAATATATATATATATATATATATGTTGAGAGAGAGATCTTGTTCTATTGTACGAGTGATTAGGTAATAGTGAAATAGTATTGACGTCAATTGATCTGCATGATTTTCTTTTTTTTTTCTTTTTTATCTTATTTCCCTTAATGAATGAATGTGTCCCCTTTTTTTTTTGTTGGTGAAATAATTTTTTGTTGCAAATTTTTTGGGTGAGTTGTCTGTAGCCATTGTACACGACCGCGCAGTGAATCTCTACCAACAAAAAAAAAAAATAGGTTAGATTAATTAAACGTCTACACTGCCATTCTCTACAATCAGCATAATAAAATGTTGGGTTCAAACAAACAAAAAAAAAAAGCAAAGCAAAACAAAACAAAAAATTATGGAGGCTGCATCCAATTACTGCAAGGGTATTTCAGATGATCGGTTAGAAGGATAGTCTTCTTCTTTTTGTTTCATTGATTCTTAGAAGTAAGATATCCACATCTCTATAGGATAAGACAATACTAACATCTTAACATCTTCTGAGTCCCTTCTAGTATGTATGTACAAATGGGGCAAAAGAATCACAGTGTCTCTCATTTTATACTTCGCGAACTCCGGAAGTGAAAAAAAAAAAAAAAAAATTAAAAAATGTAAAGCAAAGCGTGTATCGCGTCTAAAAGAAGCATATGCAGTACCACCATACTCAACAAATGTTGTATCGGAATAAATAACGAATTTTATTTATTTCTTTCTTTGTATTGATTTCAAGTGTAACTGAATATCGGGATACTTTATTAATTTAAAACGTTTTCCTTTTGCATTTCTAGTTGACTTGATCTTCCTTTTCTCCCTTTTATTTTTTTGATTTAAATTCAATCAATTCCTCCTTCTTATTTTCTTTTTTTATAATCTTTTATAAAAGAGTTTTGAATTTCCTCAAGTTGGTGTTTTGTTCAAAGTTGTGAATCTAATCAGAATAGTCCTTTTATATACATATATATATATATCAAGAATTGTTCCTATTTCTTTAACTTGTTTCACGTGTTTTCATACTACATTTCCATCAACATTGGTTCTATATTCCTGAACTTTATTATTACTACATTTTTTTTAATTCATAAACTCCGCTTGATTTGATTTTTATTCAATTGGATCGTATCATTATCGTTTTGAAGAATTCCAAACTACATATATAATAGGTATGTTCTTATTTATTTATTTTTTTTTTTCAATTTTTTAAACAGAGAGATCTCATAGATTTGGAAAGACTATACGTATCTTGTATTCAAGGTATCCATGATCATGATCTATAATCGAGTATCTACAACAAAGGTATCCGAGACAATCAACTGCAATACGAATCGGGTGGGAAAAATAAAAATTTTTTAAAGTAACGCAGAACGAAAAAAAACAAACGGGAACGAAAAAAAAAAATAAAATAAAATTTCAAACCCAACAATATCACAAACCAGAATATCATCGAAATTATTTTCCCGTTTGAAAAGAAAAATTCCCTACAATAAAAATCCTTTGAATTTTCATTTAAATCCCTTCTTTCGTATTTTTCCTTTTCCTTTTCCTCATCAAATACTAGTTTTAAAGTTTAGTTCCTTGCCAAATTTATGAGATGCAAAGTATCTCAACCAGCACAACTTACTAACTTACTTGTACATAGACTCCCACGATTACTTTTTAAATATCCTGTTGTAAATACCTTATTTATTCCCAGACGTCATTATTCCTTTAATTTTTCATTTAAAAATATACTAAAGAAAATGACAGACCTTTCCCCAAGTCCAACAGATTCCTTTAATTATACAGAATTACATTCAGCTTTACCAGCACATTTTTTGGGTGGTAATTCCGTGCTTAATGCAGAACCTTCCCCAGTGACAGATTTTGTCAAATCACACCAAGGTCACACTGTTATCACAAAAGTCTTGATTGCAAATAATGGTATTGGTGCCGTCAAAGAAATAAGATCCGTGAGAAAATGGGCCTATGAAACTTTCGGTGACGAAAGAGCTATTCAATTTGTTGCCATGGCCACCCCAGAAGATATGGAAGCTAATGCCGAATATATTCGAATGGCTGATCAATTTGTTGAAGTCCCAGGTGGTACTAACAACAATAACTATGCTAATGTCGACTTGATTGTTGAAATCGCTGAAAGAACCGATGTCCATGCTGTTTGGGCTGGTTGGGGTCATGCCTCTGAAAATCCATTGTTGCCAGAAAAATTGGCTGCATCTCCAAAGAAAATTGTCTTTATTGGTCCACCAGGATCTGCCATGAGATCTTTGGGTGATAAAATCTCCTCAACTATCGTTGCACAACACGCCAAAGTCCCATGTATTCCATGGTCCGGTACTGGCGTTGAAGAAGTTCAAATTGATCCAGCTACAAAATTAGTATCAGTTAGTGACGATGTCTACGCCAAAGGTTGTTGTACATCCCCAGAAGACGGTTTAGAGAAAGCTAAGAAGATTGGTTTCCCAGTAATGGTTAAAGCCTCTGAAGGTGGTGGTGGTAAAGGTATCAGAAAAGTCGATAACGAAAAGGATTTTATCAGTTTATATAACCAGGCTGCCAATGAAATCCCAGGTTCTCCAATTTTCATCATGAAATTGGCTGGTGATGCTAGACATTTGGAAGTCCAATTATTTGCCGATCAATATGGTACCAACATTTCTTTATTTGGAAGAGATTGTTCTGTTCAAAGAAGACATCAAAAGATTATCGAAGAAGCCCCAGTCACCATTGCCAATAAGGAAACTTTCACTGAAATGGAAAAAGCAGCTGTTAGATTGGGTAAATTGGTTGGTTATGTATCTGCCGGTACTGTTGAATACCTTTATTCTTATGCTGAAGACAAATTCTACTTTTTGGAATTGAACCCAAGATTGCAAGTTGAACATCCAACTACCGAAATGGTTTCCGGTGTCAATTTACCAGCCGCTCAATTACAAATTGCTATGGGTCTTCCAATGCACAGAATCAGAGATATTAGATTATTGTATGGTGTTGATCCACATTCTGCCACTGAGATTGATTTTGAATTCAAGTCTCCAAACTCATTAATCACTCAAAGAAAGCCAGCTCCAAAGGGTCACTGTACTGCTTGTCGTATCACTTCTGAAGATCCTGGTGAAGGTTTCAAACCAAGTGGTGGTACTCTTCATGAGTTAAATTTCCGTTCATCTTCAAATGTTTGGGGTTACTTCTCGGTTGCCAACCAATCCTCTATCCATTCTTTTGCTGATTCCCAATTCGGTCATATTTTCGCCTTTGGTGAAAATCGTCAAGCTTCCAGAAAACACATGATTGTTGCCTTGAAAGAATTGAGTATTAGAGGTGATTTCAGAACCACAGTTGAATATTTGATCAAATTGTTAGAGACCCCAGATTTTGCTGATAATACTATCACTACTGGTTGGTTGGATGAATTGATCACCAAGAAATTAACTGCTGAAAGACCTGATCCTATCGTTGCTGTTGTTTGTGGTGCCGTCACCAAAGCTCACATTCAAGCCGAAGAAGACAAGAAGGAATATATTGAATCTTTAGAAAAGGGTCAAGTTCCAAACAAATCCTTGTTGAGAACTATTTTCCCAGTTGAATTCATTTATGAAGGTGAAAGATACAAATTCACTGCCACTAAATCTTCTGAAGACAAATACACTTTGTTCCTTAATGGTTCCAGATGTGTTATTGGTGCTCGTCCATTATCTGATGGTGGTTTGTTGTGTGCCTTGGATGGTAAATCACATTCCATTTACTGGAAGGAAGAAGCGGCTGCCACTAGATTGTCAGTTGATGGTAAAACCTGTTTGTTGGAAGTTGAAAATGATCCAACTCAATTGAGAACTCCATCTCCAGGTAAATTGGTTAAATACTTGGTTGAAAGTGGTGAACATGTCGATGCTGGGCAATCTTATGCCGAAGTTGAAGTCATGAAGATGTGTATGCCATTGATTGCTCAAGAAAATGGTGTGGTTCAATTACTTAAACAGCCAGGTTCCACTCTTAATGCTGGTGATATCTTAGCCATCTTAGCCTTGGATGACCCATCTAAAGTTAAACATGCTAAGCCTTATGAAGGTACCTTGCCATCTATGGGTGATGCAACTGTCACTGGTTCCAAACCAGCTCATTTATTCCAACATTATGATACTATTTTGAAGAACATCTTGGCTGGTTATGATAACCAAGTCATTTTGAATTCTACTTTGAAGAATATGATGGATATCTTGAAGAACAAGGATTTGCCATACTCCGAATGGAGATTACAAATTTCTGCTTTGCACTCCAGAATCCCACAAAAATTAGACGAAGGTTTGAATTCCTTGATTGAAAGAACCGAAAGCAGAGGTGCTGAATTCCCAGCTCGTCATGCTTTGAAACTTATCAACAAGACTCTTGCCGAACCAGGCAACGAATTATTGAAAGATGTTGTTGCTCCACTTGTTTCCATTGCTGATCGTTACCAAAACGGTTTGGTTGAACATGAATACGATTACTTTGCTTCATTGATCAACGAGTACTGTGAAGTTGAAAGCTTGTTCAGTGGTGAAAATGTCAGAGAAGAAGATGTCATTTTGAAATTGAGAGATGAAAATAAATCTGATTTGAAGAAAGTTATCAGCATTTGTTTATCCCATTCTCGTGTCAGTGCTAAGAATAATTTAGTTTTGGCAATTTTGGATGCATATGAACCATTGTTACAATCAAATTCCTCCACTGCTGTTGCCATCAGAGATTCTTTGAAGAAGATTGTTCAATTAGACTCTCGTGCTTGTGCCAAGGTTGGTTTGAAAGCTAGAGAACTTTTGATCCAATGTTCTTTACCATCAATCAAGGAAAGATCCGATCAATTGGAACACATTTTGAGAAGTGCTGTTGTTGAAACTTCTTATGGTGAAGTTTATGCCAAACACAGAGAACCAAAATTGGAAATTATTCAAGAAGTTGTTGATTCCAAACATGTTGTCTTTGATGTTTTGTCTCAATTTTTGGTTCACCAAGATTCATGGGTCGCCATTGCTGCTGCTGAAGTTTACGTTAGACGTTCTTACAGAGCTTATGATTTAGGTAAAATTGATTACCATATCCATGACAGATTGCCAATTGTTGAATGGAAGTTCAAGTTAGCACAAATTGCTGGTTCTAGATACAACGCCATCCAACCAGCCAGTAGTGGTGATGATTCAACTACTATGAAACATGCTGCTTCTGTTTCTGACTTGTCTTTTGTTGTTGACTCCAAGAGTGAATCCACTGCCAGAACCGGTGTCTTGGTTCCAGCTAGACATTTGGATGATGTTGATGAAATTCTTTCTGCTGCTTTGGAATATTTCCAACCATCTGATGCCCTTTCTTTCCAAGCTAAAGGTGATAGACCAGATTTATTGAATGTTTTGAACATTGTTGTCACCAATGTTGATGGTTATTCTGACGAAGATGAATGTTTGAAGAGAATCCATGAAATTTTGGAAGAATACCAAGATGACTTGGTTTTCGCAGGTGTTCGTCGTGTCACTTTTGTCTTTGCTCATCAAATCGGTTCTTATCCTAAATACTACACTTTTAGTGGACCAGATTACGAAGAAAACAAGGTTATTAGACACATTGAACCAGCATTGGCATTCCAATTGGAATTAGGAAGATTGGCCAACTTTGATATCAAACCAATCTTCACCAACAACAGAAACATTCATGTTTATGAAGCTATTGGTAAGAATGCTCCTTCAGATAAGAGATTCTTCACTAGAGGTATCATTAGAGGTGGTGTCCTTAAGGATGAAATCAGTATTTCTGAATATTTGATTGCTGAATCTAACAGATTGATCAGTGATATTTTGGATACTTTGGAAGTTATTGACACCTCCAATTCTGATTTGAATCATATTTTCATTAACTTTTCTAATGTCTTCAATGTCCAACCATCTGATGTTGAAGCTGCTTTTGCTTCATTCTTGGAAAGATTTGGTAGAAGATTGTGGAGATTGAGAGTTACCAGTGCTGAAATTAGAATTGTCTGTACTGATCCACAAGGTACTTCATTCCCATTGCGTGCCATTATCAGTAATGTTTCCGGTTATGTTGTCAAATCTGAATTGTACTTGGAAGTTAAGAATCCTAAAGGTGATTGGGTTTTCAAATCTATTGGTCAACCAGGTTCTATGCACTTGCAACCAATTTCTACCCCATACCCAGTTAAGGAATCTTTGCAACCAAAACGTTACAGAGCTCACAACATGGGAACTACTTTTGTTTACGATTTCCCAGAATTGTTCCGTCAAGCTACTATTTCCCAATGGAAGAAGTATGGTAAAAAGGCTCCAAAGGATGTCTTTACTTCCTTGGAATTGATCACTGATGAAAACGGTGCTTTGGTTGCAGTTGAAAGAGATCCAGGTGCCAACAAGATTGGTATGGTTGGTTTCAAAGTTACTGCTAAGACTCCTGAATACCCACGTGGCCGTTCTTTCATCATTGTTGCCAATGATATCACCCACAAGATTGGTTCTTTCGGTCCAGATGAAGATGAGTATTTCAACAAATGTACTGAATTAGCCAGAAAATTGGGAGTTCCGAGAATTTACCTTTCTGCTAACTCCGGTGCAAGAATTGGTGTTGCCGAAGAATTGATTCCATTATACCAAGTTGCTTGGAATGAAGAAGGTTGTCCAGATAAAGGTTTCAGATACTTGTACTTGACTCCTGAAGCCAGAGAAGCCTTGGACAAAGATGGTAAAGGTGATACTGTTGTCACTGAACGTATCGTTGAAGAAGGTCAAGAACGTCATGTTATCAAAGCCATCATTGGTGCTGAAAATGGTTTGGGTGTTGAATGTTTGAAAGGTTCTGGTTTGATTGCTGGTGCCACCTCCAGAGCTTACAAAGATATTTTCACTATTACTTTGGTCACTTGTAGATCTGTTGGTATTGGTGCTTATTTGGTCAGATTGGGTCAAAGAGCTATTCAAATTGAAGGTCAACCAATTATTTTGACTGGTGCTCCAGCCATTAACAAATTATTGGGTAGAGAAGTTTACTCCTCTAACTTGCAATTGGGTGGTACTCAAATTATGTATAACAATGGTGTTTCCCATTTGACTGCCAGTGATGATTTGGCTGGTGTTGAAAAGATTATGGAATGGTTATCTTTTGTTCCAGCTAAGCGTGGTATGCCAGTTCCAATCTTGGAATCTGAAGATACTTGGGACAGAGATATCGATTACTACCCACCAAAGCAAGAAGCCTTTGATGTCAGATGGATGATTGAAGGTAAACAAGTTGAAGGTGAAGAATTCGAATCTGGTTTGTTTGATAAAGGATCATTCCAAGAAACCTTGTCTGGATGGGCTAAAGGTGTCGTTGTTGGTAGAGCTCGTCTTGGTGGTATCCCTATTGGTGTTATTGGTGTTGAAACTAGAACTATTGAAAACATGATTCCAGCTGATCCAGCTAACCCAAGCTCCACTGAAGCTTTGATCCAAGAAGCTGGTCAAGTTTGGTATCCAAATTCTGCATTCAAGACTGCACAAGCTATTAATGATTTCAACAATGGTGAACAATTACCTTTGATGATCTTGGCCAACTGGAGAGGTTTCTCTGGTGGTCAAAGAGATATGTACAATGAAGTCTTGAAATATGGTTCTTTTATTGTTGATGCCTTGGTTGATTTCAAGCAACCAATTTTCACTTACATTCCACCAAATGGTGAATTGAGAGGTGGTTCTTGGGTTGTTGTTGATCCAACCATTAACGCTGATATGATGGAAATGTATGCTGATGTTGATTCCAGAGCTGGTGTTTTAGAACCAGAAGGTATGGTTGGTATTAAATACAGACGTGATAAATTGTTGGCTACCATGCAAAGATTGGATCCTACCTATGCTGAATTGAAGGAAAAATTGAACGATTCTAAATTGTCACCAGAAGAACATGCTGAAATCAGTAGCAAGATTGTTAAACGTGAAAAGGCTTTGTTACCAATTTATGCTCAAATTTCTGTTCAATTTGCTGACTTGCATGACAGATCAGGACGTATGTTGGCTAAAGGTGTTATCAGACGTGAAATTAAATGGGTCGATGCTAGACGTTTCTTCTTCTGGAGATTGAGAAGAAGATTGAATGAAGAATATGTTTTGAAATTGATTGGTGAACAACTCAAGAATGCTAATAAGTTAGAAAAAGTTGCTAGATTAAAGAGTTGGATGCCAACTGTCGATTACGATGATGACCAAGCCGTTAGTACTTGGATTGAAGAAAGCCATGCTAAATTACAAAAGAGAATCGAAGAATTGAAACTCGAAAGTAAGAAATCTAACATTATTAAATTGTTACAAGAAGATCCATCAAATGCTGCTTCTGTTATGAAAGAATTCATTGATAGATTATCTGATGAAGAAAAGGAAAAATTCCTTAAAAATTTGAATTAAATTTATGTACTATAGATTTTTATTAAATAATTAGATAAAAAAAAAATGTATTTATACTATTTTTATTAGAAATTTCGATTGTACAGTCGTTGCAGTTTTATTTCGCGCTAGTTTGAGCATAATTTTCAGATCAGTGAGTCAAAATTATTCGCACTATTTGCAAAGAAAAGTTCATATTAAGGCGGTCAATATTTTTGATACTAGTGCGCAAAAAATGTTCATATTACGTGACCTCTATTTGTTCATACTGAAAATGTATGATATATGGTATGAACAAAAAAGGGCAGCTAGTTTGAAAGTATTATTTCCGCTGGTGTGAACATTTTGACTCCATTTACTATGAACAATTAATCTCCTTTACTATGAATTAAATTGTCGCACTAGTATTAATAATTTCTTTGAACTTGGTACGAACTGAAAGTAGAAACACTGTAAAACAGGAATAAATTTTTGAATCAGGCGCACGACCTTTTTGCATGTCTGTTTTATGTTCGTTCTACAGTGAAGGCTGGACTGCTCGGCGTTGTTTTTTGTTTTGCGGTGTTCTTCAGAATTTAGGTTCCACCGAGTTAAATTTCTCGAAGTGATTGCAATTTCATGTACGGTAAATACATGATTCTTTTTAACTGATGACCAACTTAGGTGAATACTTTGAGGTCATATTTAAATATGTTCCCAATGATGTTTTGGTTACATTGCTTGAGATCCCACTTCTTCGAGACCAAGTATTAAAGAAACTTTATTCAACCATCCGAATTACTGGTAGACTCGATGGAATTCTTATAAAAGTACATCATGGTCCTTTACTTGATCTAGATCGAATTCCCGTATTGAAAAGTCCTATGGAATATGTGAATTTATTGGAACAACATCAAGCGATAACTCCTAAAGAATTAATTGTCGATGATCCTAGTATTGCACTTCTGTTGGCTCGTCAATATCCGCATAGTTTAAAAGGAGTTGGAGTACATATCAATCTTGATACTAAAGAAAATCATCTACAGTATATGATACAGTTTTTCAAAGAATATAAGAAAACTCCATTTCTTGTCACTTCCCTTGAATATCATTATTTTGGTAATATGGCTCCTTATGATGACGATACTGAAACTGAATTTTATGCGGGATTGAATAATATTACAATTCCTCATGTTGATGATAAAGTTCAAGAAATGTTGATGACGGATATTTTCATGAATGATTTATCAATTGAAAGGTTTCCTAATTTAACATCACTTTCGTTAAGGTATTTGATGTTTCCTGATGATGATTATGATAAATTTCCGGCACGCTTGAAAAAATTGGAAATGCATTTATGTTTGTTTGATCCAATTCCAATGGGTCCACAGAAACCTTCAAATGGGAAACGTTTATTGAAATTAGATTTACCGGAAAATTTAATTGAATTAGAATTAAGATTGCAAGACGACAATAATAGGGGTGCTGCCACAGTTGATATTTCACATCTACTGAAACTTGAAAAGGTGAGTGTTAGTAGTAAGACGTCGGATAATGTACATTGTTATTTGAAACTTCCTTCTAATTTAAAAGAAGCTAGGTTTGAATCAGGACATTTCATGGTAACGAAATTAAACGTTATGTGTCCGAAATTAAATTCTTTACAGATAGAAGAATCAATTATTCAAAAAAAGGAACTTCCTTTCTTGGTAAGATATTTACCAGAAACTTTGCAAAAATTGACTATTCCGATAAAAGCATTTACAGTTCTACCACCTCGTAAGAATATCACGAAGCTGAAACAGGATAAGCAAAAACGAGTCATGTATGAATTAAGAGATCCTCAAATCAAACTACCAAGTAGTCTAAGAGAATTCACTATTTCTGCATTTAGAAATGATTATCCATCTTCTTTCGAAATAGACTTTCAGGTAAATGAATTGCCAAACTTGGAGGATTTATTCACGAGTTTTTGTAGTCAGCTTACTATTAAAGGGAAATTTCCAGTTAATTTAACAAGTTTGCATCTAAATGCATACGATGCGGGTTTGGAGCAATTAAAATTTCTATCTAAACTCACTAAGCTTACTATAACAGGGCTGACGGTGGTTAAAAATTTTACCTTTAAACTTCCGGATTCTTTAAAGTTTTTGGAAATTTCAGAGGGTAATTGGGAAACAATTCATATTGATGCACCTGACCTCAGGGAATTGGTGTTAACGCAACAAAATATACCCGTATTAAATGAGAGTGTTGTAACTTTCCCAGATACTATTAAAAAATTGAAATTACAAGACTGCAATATCATGAAAATTGCTATGGAGTTGCCGGATTCACTAGAGGAATTGGATCTTGAAACAAACCTTCTTGAGGATATTCATTATCTTCCATTAGGATTGAAACGATTGAATATGTCGTTGAATAGGTTAGGAAGTGGAAATTCAATAGCTAATTTCCCGTTATCGTTAGAAACACTTGATTTGTCATCTTGTAAAATAGATGGTGAATGGATCAGAAGACTGAATTTAGCCATTTTGACTAATTTGAAAGAGTTGAACTTGATGTTTTCTTCTTTATATGAATTGAACCCCAATTGGTTACCTAAATCATTAGTTGTGTTGCAACTCAATAGAAGTGGTTTGGTGTCATTAAAGTCTAGATTAACTATGCTTGAAAACCTTGAGCAATTGGATTTAGAAGGAAACGGTATTGGTCATTGTTTTGAAGATTTTAGAAGAAGTGGTAAAATATTCGGTGATGCTATCAGATATGTCAAGTTGAACAAAACTGGGCTAATAAAGCCAACTGCTGATGCAATATTTAGAGAATTGAATAAGAAACCACATTTTGAATTCCTTGATGTTGATATTGGATTAGTTCCTAAAATGAGAAATTCATTCCCATCAAAAGTAAGAAAGATTGGATGTCTGATGGATAACAGACTTGTTTGATAGGGTGAATTGTCTTTCTATAAATTATTTTTAAATAGAATTTCACACTTGGTAGAATGATCTTTACTTGCCATTCCTCTGGGTCGTGTAAATACTCACTTTGTTCGTATTTAACAAATATTTACGAATATGAAAGAAATCCATTTTTGTCTATGCGAGAGAGCATAATCATTAATTTGATTTGTTTCAACTTTCACTTTTGCAACCATCTGGCAACCCAATAACCATTTCAATACACATTAGTTCAAGCAATGAAAATCACCCAACATGTTGTGTTGGCACTTCTACTCTCTACAATACTAGCACATGAGTCCTATTTAGTTTCACTTCATCCAAAGGAAACTTTATCTACATTCATGTCATATGACTCAACCTATCCTTCCCATCTTCAAGTTAAAGAACTAATCAAATCATCATTTCATATTGGAAATTTTAGTGGGTTTTCTGGTAATTTCACTGATCAAATCCTTCAAAGACTATCTAAATGTCCATTAGTTGAAGAAATTGTTCCTGATATAACTTTACATGCATATGATTTAACCCATCAATACCATGCTCCACGACACTTGGCAAGAATAAGCAGGAGAAAAAGAATGATTCCATTAAGAAAATATCCTTTTATATATGATTCAAATTTTATTGGACGAAGAATTAATGCTTATGTTATCGATTCTGGTGTGGCAATTGGACATCCAGAATTTCAAGGAAGAGCAAGATCTGGAATGGATTTTACAAATGAAGGACCAGGAGATATTAATGGACATGGGACTCATGTTGCAGGATTAATTGGATCACAAACATATGGAGTTTCTAAAGGAGTAACAATTATTGATGTTAAAGCATTGAATGCAAGAGGTACAGGAGCATTAAGTACTATATTGTTAGCAATTGAATATGCAGTAAATCATCGACTTCGTTCAGGTAGACCTGGTGTGGTGAATTTATCATTGGGTGCTTATAAAAATAATTTATTAAATAGAGCAATTGAGCAAGCTACTTTGACGGGAATGGTTTTCGTTGTTGCAGCCGGAAATAACAATATCAATGCTTGTTTAACAAGTCCATCAAGTTCACCCTATGCTATTACCGTAGGAGCAATAGATGATTTTAATGATTCCATAGCCAGTTTTTCAAATTGGGGACAATGCGTTGATGTGTTTGCTAGCGGGGCATATGTCAAGAGTGTTGATATAAGAAGTAATGTAAAACCACTGACATTACTGGGTACTTCGATGGCTGCACCGGTTGTAAGTGGTATAGCTGCAAATTTATTGAGTGAAGGTATTGATCCCGAAATGATTAAAGACCATATTATTGAGATATCTACTAAGGGAATGATTTCCAGGTCTTCTCTATTTCTTCGCAAAAAGACACCCAACAGAATAGCCAATAATGGTGTTTGTACAGGATACAAGATGAATCAAAATGGGGACCTGTACTTTGAAGACTTTGACGACTGTGAATCAGAATAGACTTTTTCATAACAAAATAAATTTCTTCAGATCTAAATCCAGGAGATATTTAAAGCATATATATGCTTTGAATTGGTAGTAAATTAACAACAACTAAAATCAATTTTATGATATGTAGCATAACCATTATTGAATCCAAAACCCCCCACAAAACCAAGAATATTTGTATTTTATGTCCAATTTAAACAATCAGAAACATAGGGTTCCCCTTGTCCCTTGCATTAATTTTATTAATAATAATAATAATAAAAAAAAAAACTAGAACCCTGTACTTCTTGAGTTTGTTCTTTATTTCTTTGGATTTAATCCTATCGAGGAATGCTATCAATAATCATTATCGGTGTATTATTAATCACTGGGTGTTTTGGAGATGAACTGTATTTTGTTTCCCTTAAGGCAAGTGAATCATTTGATAAATTTATGGAATATGATAAAAGATATCCCAAACATTTACAAGTACGAGATTTCATAAGTAATTCAATAGCAATTGGTGAATTCAAAGGATTCTCTGGAAGGTTTTCAAAAGATATACTTGATCGTTTGAAAAGGTGTCCGTTTGTGCTGGAAATAACTGAGGATATCATTCTAAGTGCTTTTGATTTTGAAATCCAAGAGAATGCACCTAGGCATTTGGCAAGAATTAGTAGACGTAAAAGAATGAAACCAAACAAGCAATATCCATATATGTATGATGGTGAGTTTCTGGGACAAGGTGTCAATGCATATGTAATTGATTCTGGTGTTGAAGTGAATCATCCTGAGTTTGAAGGCAGAGCTTCTGCCGGTCATGACTTTACCAATGAAGGTTCTGGAGATAGTAATGGACATGGAACTCACGTTGCTGGTTTAATTGGTTCTTCAACCTATGGTGTTGCAAAAAATGTCCGTATTATTGAAGTCAAAGCATTGAACAGTAAAGGAGCTGGGTCATTGAGTACTATTTTGGCTGCTATTGATTTTGCAGTTAACCATAGATTGGATTCTGGTAGAAAAGGAGTTGCAAATTTGTCCTTGGGAGCTTATAAGAACCATATTTTGAACAAAGCTATTGAACAAGCAACAAGAACAGGCTTGGTATTTGTTGTCGCTGCAGGTAATTCAAATATAAATGCATGTTTGACTAGTCCTGCAAGTTCGAAGTTTGCAATCACCGTTGGTGCCATAGATGATTATAATGATTCAGTAACGGCATTTTCCAATTGGGGAGAATGTGTTGATATTTTTGCTAGTGGTGCCTATGTTCGAAGTGTCGATGCCAAAAATCATGAAAAAACACAAGTATTATCTGGAACTTCGATGGCATCACCTATTGTTACAGGTATGGTGGCTAATTTGCTTAGTCAAGGTGTTGAGCCTTGTGATGTAAAAGCTTCTTTAATCCGAATGGCAGCAAAGAACAAAATTACCAAATCATCATTGTTTTTGCGGAAAAAGACACCAAATCGGATATTGTATAATGGAATTAATGAAAGAGATTTTGAGAGTTTTGACGACGAAGATTAGAAATCTAGGATGTTTCTATCTTATTATCATAATCCCTTTTTTTTTTTGTATATTCTTCTTGTTTATGTATGTACAGTTTAATCATTGTTCAATTTTAGAAATAGACAAACAGACGTTCTCTAATGTGATATCTTTTTCAACATACCAAAACATTTCGATGTTATATTGGTCACCTAAAACTGTTCTCAATGCATGTACTCTACTTTCATCAATAACCCTTCTAGCAATGAGTCCAATCTTTTCTCTTTGTTGGAAATTTAACCCATACTTGTCTACTTCATTTTCGTTTTTCTTATCTAACGCCCATGAAACTAACTTCTTGAGAATATTGAATGATTCAACAGTCTTGAATCCTTTATCATACAAATATTGTCTTGATTGTGGTAATAATTGATCTAAAGAACATGCATGACGACAACACATAGCAATCAACACACCTCCAAATTGGTTATTATCCAATATAGATGAATTAAGAATCAGTTTCAAAGTAAGATCAGTTGCTGCTCCACATAAATGTTTGGAAATACCAACAACTTTATCAATTTTCAAATCAGAAATAAATTTATCTAAATTCAAATCCTTAATATCTATTTTACTTCTCTTTATTTGTGGGGTTAAAGTGACATTTTCACAATCTTGTACTATTTTACTATCAGCTTTCATTCTATTTTTACCTCTATCAATTAATCCAAAACCGTATGTAGATGATTCAGATGGATTTTGTTGTAGTATACATTGATTTAAATATCTCAGTAGTTCACCTTTACCACATCCAAATTCTAAATAAAAGAATGATTCATTGAGAAGTTGTCTATTTTTCAAATTTGCAATAAGTGAATTCTGTTGAATAGGATGTTTTTGATTGGTTTTTTCATCTAATCGAGATTTCAACCCATCATGATGGAATACTTTAAATTCTAGTGGTTTATAATCAAGTTCTTCCAATACTGTGATATATTTCTTCATTAATTCGTCATTTTCTTCCTCATGTTCCAACTCAAATTTTGTTGCACCTTTCAAGTCAATATTACAATTTAAATCAAACCAAGACTCTGTTGCTTCTTTTGGTCTATTATTACATTTTAATAGATGTTGTTCTAGTTCTTTTTTCCAAATTGAATGGTTAGGATTCAAAGGACATGGGATTCTTTCACTTTGAAATTTTTCATCATAAATCATATGTTCAGAACAGTATTTGACATCCTTCTTACGCATCATTTTACATCTTCTATTCTTCTTAGGCAAAACATATTCACATATATAGACATCATTGTTAAGTTTTCTCTTTTTTGTTTCTGCCATATTTGTAGTAAAATGAATTCTGTTGATGTTGGTTTAGAGAAAGGAAGAAAAAACAAAATTGCAAAAATAATCAAACTTGAAAAATTTCAACTCAATTTTTTTTCTTTTATTTTTTTTTTTTTTGTCCTCCGTATACATCTCATCTCATCTGCTGCTTTTTACCATTTTCATTTAACAACTGATCAACAATGAAATCAAATAATCATATGTGGAAGCTTGACTTCTTGGAAGCTAAGTTTAATAAATCCACTCCTAGATATCCACATACTAAGAAATTGTTACTTGCCAGTAATCATAATCAAAAACTTGTGAAAAAATTACCTAAAACTCAAGAAGATGCCCAATTGGAAATAGATACTTTGAAATCAGATATCTTTCAAAAGAAATATCATTCAGGATATATAAAACTTCTTAAAGAGTTAAATAAGAAAGAATTGCCTGTTAAAGACGAAGAGTTTTTGAATAAGTTAATAACGTCAAGATTAATCAAATCTATTCAAGTAACTATCTTAACAAACAAAGTTTTAAAATCAGATCCTCCAAAATATATAAGTGAAAATATTAGAGCTATTATTACCGATAAAGAAAATGAATCCAATCCTTCAAGATTTTATATTAAATATTGTCAGAATGATAAGGAAGTCAATAAATTTGTTGGAAATTTATGGAATAATAAAAATATCAAGAAAATCTTGGATGAAATCGAATGGTCATTCAGGATTGTTCGTGGTGATTTGACCAAACAAGAACTTGCATCAAGAAATAAAGCAACTGGTAAGACTATAGAAGAAGATCTGGACAATGAAAGTGAGAGTGGAAGTGAAAACGAAAGTGAGAGTGAAAGTGGACAGGAAGATGAAGAGGATATCGATTTGGAAAAGGAATATGATAATTTTGCTATTTATGATAATCTAGTTGAAGGTTCTGATGATGAATCTGAAGAACAAGTTCCAGATTTAGATCCAAATGTGAATTATAACGAAGTGACAGATGAAGAACCATCTGACGAATCGGCGAGTGAAGACGATGATGATGAAGAAGATTCAGAAAGTGAAGAATCAAGTGCAGATGACTTTTTCGAAGAAGAGCCACCAACTAAAAAACAAAAGAAACAAACCAAAGTAGAAGAAAAATACAAACTTCCAGAGCTTGCAACTGGTTATTTTTCAGGTGGATCTGATGATGAAGATGATGATGTGGATAATGATAAGGTTGTTAAGGAAATAACTACCCAACGTAAGAATAGAAGAGGTCAAAGAGCAAGACAGAAGATATGGGCCAAGAAATATGGTAAAGAAGCTGCTCATGTAAAGAAAAATCAACAAAGAATAGCTAGTGAGAGAGAACAAAGACAATTGGAATATGAAGAAAGACAACGTAAGCGTGAATTGAAAGCTAAATTGTTAGCTGAAAAGCAACAGACGGGTGCAAATGCCTTACCATTGGGTGAAAGAAAAGCAGGAACTACATCAATTTCAACACCAACCCCAACTCCTCCAGCAGAACCAAAGGGTATGCATCCATCTTGGGAAGCAAAGAAATTAGAGAAAGAAAAGATGAAGAATATAAAATTCCAAGGTAAAAAAGTTGTTTTTGATTAAACTATCATGTTGTATAATCTATAGTAATGCATAATCAATCTTAAAACTAGATAAAATTTCCTCTTCGGAAAGAGGTTTGCACCAGGCTTCACCTTTGACAAGGAAATTGTATTGGCACTTTTCAGGTTCACTGACAGAAATCAAATCTAATGCGTCACCACATTCAAATTCGACTATTGCTGATCTATGTGGGCCATTCCAGCATTTGGCACCTCTATCAAAATAAATCTTGCCATCTTCATACTTTTTGAAGTTACCAATTAATACATCACCTTGTACTATTGAACCCAAAAGATTTATAACATAGTTATATCCACCTAGCTTCTTAGTAATTGCCCTCAGTTCATATGCTCTTAAAATATCATCTGGACCAAAATCAGAATTCAAGTTAGCCTTTATAGCAGTTATTTTTTGTTCAATATTCTTAATGTCATCTTCTAATTCATCGATTTTCATGGTTAACTCATCTGATGAGATTACTGATTTAACCTGTAATTCTGGTTTGGTCAAGAAAGTTCCAGTGAATAATTCAAAATAATGGTGGATCATATTTTTTAAAGTCGGCTTGACATACACGTTATCACCACCATTGTGAACCATAGATTTTGCTCTCTCAGCTAATTGATGGAGTACTTTATTAGTCTCTTTGATATCTTCTTTGATCTCCTCGTCTTTATTTGAAATATATTCTTGGTATTTATGAATTGATTCCTTAACTGCAAGATCATTAAAATTTGGATTGTACTCATTGGAAAGTTTCTCTAATAATTTCTCCAACAATTGAATCTGATGTTCTTGTTTAATGATATCTTTCTTATGTGATTCTAATCTTGTTGCCAAATCAGCGATATGATCACCCAATACATCATAGACAGAAAAATCTTCATCTCCTTTTTCCTCGAGTTCCAACTGTAACTGATTCAATTCCATCTTTTTGGCAGGTAAACTTTGTTCCAATTTCTTTAATTGGTTGATTAAGTGATCTCTCTTTCTTTTAGCAATTGCAAGAATTCCTTCTTTTCTGGATAATGCTCCGCTAATAGATTTCTCAACTTTTGTCTGGTATTCTTCGAATTGACGATGTATCTCTCCACATTTGTTTTCACATATCCCTAATTCATCAGACCCGTCACAACAAATATCATAATCACAAATTCCATCGTCTACTTTAAATTGATCAATATAACCTGGAAAGTGTCCTTCATTTGTACAATAGAATTTAAAAAGTGGTTTAGAACAGGCATTAGTACCTGGTTCATCTGATCCATCAGGACAATCACAGTAATCATCATTGACTTGATCAAATGATAATTTAATACTTGAATCGTTCAAACAGTGCCAATATTGTTGACCATTTTCTATGGTTGGTTGGTACAAATGTTCATTATCAGGACTGACACCACGTAACTTCCCCAATGCAATTGGTACTAGTAACCCTATAGCAAGAACGTTTTGAAGCATTGTCGGTTGCATGCAAAATTGGATTTTCATGTATGGAGATGAAATCTTATTGTGTGCTGATAGAAAAATCAAAAATAGTGACAACTGGTCGTGCTTGTGTGTAAATTGCGGTCGTGTACAATGACACAACATTGATGAACAACTCAGCACGCCCATATCCTTTCTTTACAAATAAAATTATGGTAAATTAAATAAATCTTGTTTTATTGATATATATGGATATTAAGGAACTTTCTTTTAGTGTTAACTGATTGATTCCGTTAGTGCTTGTGTATCGGGAGATTATTCCCATCAAATGCTATCACTGATTAGCATCTACTAACCTATTCAGAGCAATTGTTTTATAAATATACAATGTATTATTGATGTTTTTATATTCACCAATTATGGACTTGTAGTATATTTCTTTTGTAATTGATCGCCTTACTTACTTGAATCGAATCAATGTTGTAATTGATATTGCATAATAACTCATTTATTATCTCTCATTATTATACTAGAAAAAATTCAAGGAGAATCAATTGTGTTTTCATATCCCGTTTGTTCTACCCAGCACATGTCGGATCAGTTATCAACGACTAGATTCAGAAGAGTTTTACGACCTTTACTATCCAAGATCCATGCGTTGAATGATCTCTATTCGAAGAATCCATTGGTTTTCGACTTTGACATTTCAAAAATTAACAAGGATTGTAAATCCAATAAACATCTCAATGAAACAACACCTCATCTGAATCACAAACAACAAAGATTGCATACTACAAAAAGACCAAAACTTGGAGAAGAACCTATTCCTGATTTCTACAATCCCATAAATTCAGATGATAGACTAAGATCTCTACGGCCATTTATTACACCAGAATTATACAAGTCATATACCGATTTATTTCATATTGTCAAGTCTATTCTATTATTATTGGCGCCAAAGCAAGAACACAAATGGAAATTATCATCAAGATGTGCATTTGAAATAGGTAAAGAAATGGCAGAATCTACCCGTACCACATATTATAGACTAAATAATGTATCTTTATTTGATCCTTCACTGGTAAATGAGTCCATAAAAGAACTTAATCAAGAATTGTATGAAGATCTTGATGATTGGATGAAGGTAGAAATGGAACCAATGTCTATTACTGTAAATTATACAAGGGAGTTATTTGCTGGGTATATTATACGTCTTATTGTTATTCATTCACAGACTACGCTTTATATGTTTGTTCCTGTCTTGATGCATTGGTTGTTAATGCAGGGTACTTTTTTGAGAAAATTGGGACTGTTTCTTAGTTACGAGTATTTCACATTTCCTGATATTTCTACTACGAATGTTGAAAAATTGAATGGGTTATCATTCAATGATACAATATTGGTGTTTTGGAGTTTGTATGTTGTGAATTACTGGGCTCCATTTATGAACCAACAACTACTTCTGGAAATTATACCGTACAAAATATCTTTAGATCTATTTGAAGAATTAGAAGTTGTTCACGAACTACTGTCAGGTTATTTCAGGGAACAGGTCTATGGTGTGTATCAATATGAAAAGAATACAAACGTTATAGCTATGATGATGGTGAGGATACTTCAAAAGACACGTAAAAAGTTGACATCCTATGATGAAGCATACATTCATTTTAAAGAGATATACAAGTTGTTACTAGAAGTCGTACGTCATTGGTTACCATATTACAATCGAGGATTTAACAATAACAAAGTTGTCTTCAACTCCATAAAAAGACTTCGTCAATATTCAGAGGAAAAGTTGTCTATTCTTTCACAACAAGGAGGACAGTATATGAAATTATATGTCAACTACAAGGGACTTTTAGATACAGTTGACACCATTGGACAATATTGTATCTATCCGGAGACAAAATCTAAAATAGACTCTGTGGACAAAACAGCAAAAATTGCAGTTAAATTAGGGTTTGATAGTGAAGACTTTTTATACTGGTTATATGAAAATAACTAACATACTATTTATCTAAAACTATACATTGTCCATTTATCGTAGTATCTCGTAATATTCTCATTGCTTCATTAACAACCGATTCCATTGAAACCACAGTAACATCTGCATTCACATTAGATCCCATATCTGTTTCTTTAACTAATCCAGGCATCAATGCATTCACACGAACTCTTCCTTTCAATTCATGTGATAAACTCTGACTGAATCCCAATAATCCTGCTTTCGAAGCAGCATAAACCGATGTCCCTGGAATGAAATACCTTGTCATTGATAACACTGACAGAATATTCAATATCGAAGGATTAAGTTTCTTATTCCTAATCATATTCTTCACTACCATTTGACTTAATATTATAGGTATAGTTAGATTCACATTAATAGTATTGAATATTTCATCCACTGTTGTTTGATGTAACAATGAATGATTAGTAACACCAGCACAATTGATTAATATACTAGGTGATCCCAAATACACATCATGTTGATGAAGTTGATGATGATGATGTTGTTGATGTTTTTGCTCAATTAACCGAAGTAGATCAAGTGCTTGATATGAATGTTGCTGACCATGTGAAGTAGATAGTTCTTCTAGTGATTGTTGTAGTCTCTTTTCGTCTCGTGCAAGTAGGGTAATTGTAGCTCCTTCTGATGCTAATTTCTTACTTAGAACTAATCCAATTCCTCGTGATCCACCAGTCACCAATGCAGTCTGGCCCTTGAACATTACTGAGATGTGGGACAAACTGAAAAAAAAAAAAAAAAAAGAATAAAACTCCTTAACACGAAGTCTCCGCTAGATATGGTGGTGGTGGTGCGGAGTCTGGATGGGTTGGGTTTGTGTGAGTGTAAATGGAAAAAATAAATGCTTCCAACAGGATTCGAACCTATGATCTCCTCATTACTAGTGAGGTGCCTTACCAACTTGGCCATAGAAGCTGTTCTTGTTGTAGGTGAAGATTGCGGACCTTCTAAGATATGTACTCATAGTCAAGAAACTAATGGATTTTAGAGATGTAGTGGGACTAAAATTGATGTTTATCAGTCAAATACATATCCAGGGTACACAACAGTTTAATATGTTGTTACCAAAACGATTACTGTCCATTTTGGGTAGTTTGACAACGTCAGTGAATTACAGGTGTATTGACATTTTTCGCCTAATAACACGACCGAGTTGGTTGGTTGTCAACATGGATCAGCAAAGACAATTTCGAATCAACCTAAATGGGTGTCAAACACGTCGAGTATGACGTGATGTGATGTTTATATGGTCATTTAGTATCATCAGTCAATATAATTCCTTGTATTGTAGTATAAGTTTTGGTGGGAGAGTTTATTGACTTTTGATGGAAAATTCGATCAAATTCTTACATAAATTCTTGAAACTAAAATTCAACTGTAGACTCTAGCTGAAATACTAGACATACAACAAGTTACCTGTTAAAAAGGAAACTACAACAACGTCTATAATTCATAAGTTAATAAACGAGAGAGTACTGATTAGTTTATTAGAGCTACCAATCAGCTATAACCATGATTTCAGGAAAAGTAACAAAAGGCGACAACAAGCAATACATGGGTCCTAACTAACAGTTTTATTTTTTGTATAATCTTGAAACAGAAAGGATTCGTCATCATATGCGATACTAACATGCTGCAAAAAAGCAGCAAGTCCATTGCTTCATTATGAGACAGTAATAAATGCGACATTACAAGCTCATCAAAAATTTTTATTTAGCCATTAATTCGAGACACTCGGTTCAATCACAGAAGATGAAAATTGCGAGAGAAAGAAAAAAAAAAACTGAAAATTGCTTTTCATTTTTCTTCGCTCATAGTCCCACCAAATTCAACTCAATTTATTAGCTGATTTAGCAATCTTTTTATAGAATACCTCATCATCACATTCACTTGCTATGCTTTCAATTAGAAATATCACTAGGAGATCTCCACGATTACTAAAGACAAGGTGTTTTGTAAACAATTATTCCAACTCCACGTTTAAAACTGCAGTGGAAACAGCTGAAAAATTGGTATCTCCACCAGCTAGTAAATTTGAAGACCCATTCTCAATAGTAAGTCATGAAATGTCAAATTTAGCAAAGTCTATAGCGAGTTTGATTGGGTCAGGACACCCTGTTTTGAATCGAGTCAGTTCGTATTATTTTGAAGCCGAAGGGAAAAATGTTCGTCCTTTAATTGTGTTAATTTTATCTAAAGCTTTACTGAAAATCCCAATTGAACAAAGAAATAGAATACAAATTGATACTTTTGATGTTACTGATCAAACTAAATTCAATGGTACACCAACTACTGAAAATAGCACAATTGCTGGTAAATCAGTCGATGATTCTTTATCCCCATTGGCTATTTTACATGGAATTAATCCAAAAGTCATCTTGGATCCTTTAAGCAAACCAATGGATAGATTACCTATATTGGATGGAAACACTACTGGAATATTACCTAAACAAAGAAGATTGGCTGAGATTGTGGAAATGATCCATACTGCTAGTTTATTGCATGATGATGTCATCGATTTGTCTGATTCCAGAAGAGGTAGACCAAGTGGGAATATTGCATTTACAAATAAAATGGCTGTTTTAGCAGGTGATTTCTTATTGGGAAGAGCTTCTGTTGCCATCGCCAGATTAAGAAACCCAGAAGTTATTGAATTGTTGAGTACTACCATTGCCAATTTGGTTGAAGGGGAATTTATGCAATTGAAGAATACCGTTATACAAAACAACAATGATGATCAAATAGTAAATGATGGTGAAGTTAAAGAAATCCCTCGTCCTACAGGTAAAGTTCCAACCAAACTCCATGATTATTCTGTTAGAACTGTTGACCATGAAACAAATGTTGATGCTGCATTTGAATATTATTTGCACAAAACATATTTGAAAACAGCCTCATTAATGTCCAAGTCTTGTCGTGCAGCAGCTGTTTTAAGTGGTGCTCAAGATGATGTCATTGAAAACTGTTATAGTTTTGGAAGAAATTTGGGATTATGTTTCCAAATAGTCGATGATATGTTGGATTATACTAGTAGTGATAAAGCTATTGGTAAACCAAGTCAAGCTGATTTGAAATTGGGATTGGCAACTGCTCCAATATTGTATGCATGGAAAGAAGAACCAGCATTAGGTGAATTAATTGGCAGAAAGTTCAGTCAACCAGGTGATGTTGAAATAGCCAGAAGAGCTGTTGATAAATATAATGGGGTTGAAAAAACAAGAGAAATGGCCACCATGTATTGTCATGAAGCATTGAAGAATTTAAGATGTTTACCTGACTCTGAAGCTAGAAGTGCATTGGAATTATTGACCAATTCTGTTTTAACCAGAAGTAAGTAGAAGAGGTAATCTTGTATATAAATATGTAACTATATGGAATGTAATAATACATACATTTAGTATCTATAAAGGTGTACCGTTATTGGTTCTTGTCATGGTCTCCTGCTAACTAGTATGTGAGTGTGTACAATGTTCAATGCCACAATGCAGCACACAAAATTGGCACGAAGTTCACGACGACAAACAAAAAATCGAAAAGTCGAAAATAGAACCAGAAAGGAAAAAGAAAAGAAAAGACAGAGAAAAAAAAAATTTTTTTTTTTGTTAATCATAATAATCATTCCTTAATTTTCACCTTTCATACCTGCATTTCTGCATTACATATACACATCACATCATGTCTGCTGAAGATACTAAACCAAAGACCACTGAAGAATCCACCACTTCTATTCCAAAACCACCAACCGCTAATGTCTTCTCAATGTTTGGTGCTAAGAAGGAAAAGAAAGAAGAACCAAAAGACGAAGAAAAAAAAGATACCAAGGAAGAAGAATCAAAGAAAACCGATGACAACGAAGTTGCCGAAGAAGAAGAAGCCGACGTTGAATTCACTCCAGTTATTCAATTAGATAAAAAAGTCGATGTTAAAACCAACGAAGAAGATGAAGAAGTTTTATACAAAGTTAGAGCCAAATTATTTAGATTCCATGCCGACACTAAAGAATGGAAAGAAAGAGGTACTGGTGATGTTAAATTCTTGAAACATAAAGTAACTGGTAAAGTTAGAATTTTGATGAGAAGAGACAAGACTTTGAAAATCTGTGCCAACCATTTGATCTCCGCAGATTATGAATTAAAACCAAATATCGGTAGTGACAGATCTTGGGTTTATTCTGTTACCGCTGATGTTTCTGAAGGTGAACCAGAAGCTCAAACTTTGGCCATCAGATTCGGTAACAAAGAAAATGCTGATCTTTTCAAAGAACATTTCGATAATGCTAAAAAAGAAGCTGCTAAATAAGACTAAGAGTATTCTATTTGCTTTAAGTGCTTGAATATATAAATGTGTATGTAGTATTTTGCGTATTTAGTTTGCATCACAGAAGTATATAGTAATATTATTATTATTCTTTGTTAGTGAATAATTGAACAACAAACAATACTGTAACCGCTGATCTCATCGTTGCCATCGAAAGAAGAGAAATCGTAGATCAAATCACGCGTGACCGCAAGTAACGTGATTTACATGTTTGTGTAACAACTTTTATATTGCCAAAAAGACAAAAGAAAAATTTCTCCACGGTGGGTACACGTGCGAAAGAGAATGATAAATTTTTCTAAATCATTGTGGTCGCCAAATTTAATTTATTCATAACTACCCTTTTTTCATTTTCATTTTCATTATCTTTTCCATTGAGACAACGTTCCTTTTTAGTATCTTGATTCGCAGATAGTTATAATCAATCATCATGAAGTTTGGGAAGTATCTTGCGTCGAGACAATTGGAATTACCAGAATATTCAGGTCATTTCATTGATTACAAATCTCTTAAGAAATTGATCAAACAGTTGGCTATTCCTAGCAACCCCAATGGTGAAATTACAAGCTTAGAAATCCAACAAGCTCTCAAAGAAAACAAAGCGTCTTTCTTTTTTAGAGTTGAAAGGGAACTAGACAAAGTGAACTCCTTTTATTTGGAGAAGCAAGCAAATTTGTCTGTTAACTTAAATTTATTATTGATGAAGAAATATGAATTGTTTAATAAATCGAATGAATATTTGAACAAAAAAGGGGATAGTGATAATTTAGCAAATGCAAATTTTAAGAATTCCATCAGTTTTTTGAATTTATATCAGAATTTCAAAAAAATTCATCAGGATTTATTAAGATTACAACAATTTATCGAATTGAATGAAACAGGGTTTTCCAAAGTGGTTAAGAAATGGGATAAAAGATCTAAATCTCACACAAAGGAATTGTTTATTAGCACAGCAGTGAGCGTTCAACCTGTTTTCCATAAGAATGAGATCAACGAATTGAGTGATTTAGTTACCCAGTCATTGTTTGATATTGAAAGTGTTATGGATGGTGATTATACCTGTTTGCTTAACTTCAATGCCAATTCCGCAACTCTTCATTCCAGTTCTATAATTAGAGAATCACCAGCTCCTCAATCTAATGATCAACCGGAAGATAGTTTTTCCAGACATTCATCAATTGTGAGTAATCAACCAAATAATAATGAAATTGATGAGTTGTATTCAAGTTTTGTAAATGTTGCTACTATCAAAGTCCCAGATTTGGAATTATTGGCCAGATGGGTTGATAAAGTCAACGGAAGTCATAAGATTCCTGATCAATTATTTACACCGGTTGTTAAATACAAAGTTTCAAAGATTTTTTTATTATCAATTGCCAATCTTAAAATTTCTGATTCATTTCTTGAATCATTTTTACAGACAGTTAACTTTGATGTTGATTTCACCTTTGTGAATGACGACTTTAATAACAACAAGACAATTTTACATGAATGTTGTTCAATTCCACCTGCTTCATCTCAACAAGAGCACGTTGTAATTAATAATGGGGTTAAAGTAGTCAATTCTAGCGATTCAATTAATCATTCACGAACTTTCATTGTCAAGTACATTATGGAGAAATTATCTAATGAAGAAAGATCAAATTTACTAATCTGTAACGATTTTAATGGGAGAACATGTTTACATTATGCTGCCCAAATGAACCGTGCTGATTTATTGGACTTGTTATTAGTAAGTTTTCCTACCGATCATATAGACAAGTTGGATAAAGACTCCATGTCGCCATTGTTATTGGCTATTAAACATGGACATTTCAATATTATTAAAAAACTTGTCCAGTTTGGGTCTAATCCGTTCCCTGAAACAAGTAAAGAAACATTACAATATTTGCCAATTAATTATGCATGTAAATTTGGTGATTATAAAACTTTGGAGTACTTTTTATCCAATGAAAAGTCTAAGGATTTAATAAAAAAATTAATTAATCGACAAGATGTTGAAGGGTTGTTACCATTACATGTGGCATCAAGACAGGGGCATTACAAGTTGATCAGATTGTTAATTCAATATGGAGCTGAGGTCAATAAATTGGACAAATTTAATAAGTGGACTCCTATTTTCTATGCTGCTGCTGAAGGACATGTCAAGACCACTCAGGAGTTAGTTAAATTTGGCGCGAAATTGAACATAGTCGATGAAGATGGATATAATGTCTTATACTATTGTGTTGTCGAGGGACATATTGGTGTGATTAATGAATTGTTAAGCTATCACAAGAATGAGTTCAAACCAACCAAGATGATCACTGATTCTACCAATTCTAATTCCATGTCTATTTTGGGAGAAGTCAATGATTTAGACTCAGGTGAAGAAGAAGATGGAGAAGGGCTGTTGGATTTGGAGAAAACAACGAACAACACTAACAATGTTGATAGTATACCAGATTTGCAATTGCCACCACCAATTTTACCATTAAGAAGATATGGTCATAATTTCTTGGAGCAAAAAGTATTGATTGAATTAATATTTCCATCTGATCTAGAATTTATCAATTTGTTTAATTCAACTGCTGATTTGAAACCAGGAAGAATCACACTTACATCAAATATATCTGATATTGTACCAAGAAATATACTCTTACCAATTGGTGACAATAATAGTTCCAACAATTCAAGTAATTGTGTTTTCCAAACAGACATTGATTCATTGCATGATTTTAGAATTGATTTTGAAATATTTCCTAAATTCGGTACCAGATTAATTGCCAAAACCACTGCATTGTCATTTGAACATTTGAATAGTACTTCACCAGAGGTTAGTTCTGTGCTGTTACCTTTATTTGATTTAAGATTAAGAAATATTGGTGAATTGAAGTTTAATTATCAAGTGATATTCCCATATTCTGGTACATTACTCGAAACATCTAAATTTGATACCTATTGGAAGAGTTCTACTAGTTTTGTTAAAAACAAGCAAACATTAAAATTGAACGCCGCAGGCGGATTATCACCTAATAATTTCTTATCCCCAGCAAGTGGGAATAATATATTAGGAAATCCATCCAATAACAATAGTCAAGGTAATATTTCAGCAGCAGGTGGTAATGCAGCAGGTAACGTACCGCCTGAGGCCACCAAACCTTCATCTTCTATTGTTACTGCTACATCATTATCTGGTGAATATTTACGAATCAAAGTGTGTTTATTAAGTGATGGTACACCGATTGTGTGTCCAAGTTGGTCTATTTCAATTACTGATAATATTGATTTATATTTACCAAACTTAACATTGAATCAATTAAACTCAATTACCAATGATTTATTTGACTATAATAAAGTTATTCAAGATTTATCTAAATTAACCAATAAAGATATTGAGTTGATTAAGAAAATGTTGCAAATAATTTATCTCCCATTGGAATTAATATTGGAAGTATTAAATGTTGAGATTAATTTAAATTTAGAAATTGTATTTCCATCACTTTATGAATTGAATAATTTACCATTTATTAATAATATCCAAGATAATTTGAATTTATTTATTGATAATACATTGAGCAAAGTTTTCAATCATATTAGATCAAATAAAATTAAAATTCATCGATCTATTATATTCCTTTCATCAAATTCATTAATTTGTAAAATTTTAAATTGGAAACAACCAAACTTTCCGGTATTTTTAATTATGAGTGGGATTAAATATAATAATAAATTGAATAAATTTGAAAAAAGATCAACTAATGGATTACTTATTGAATCATCAAATAATTATTATTCAAGAGATGTTGATTTAATTAATAGATCAATTAAAGAAGCGGTTAATTTTACAATAAATAATAATTTAATTGGATTAATTACTTCAATTCATTTATTAGATTTAGTACCCAAATTAATTCCATTAATTAGATCTCGAGGTTTGGTATTAGTTGCTTCAAGTGATGTCATTACAGATGAACATGATGCTATTGAAGAAGATGAAATTATAAAGAAAGAATTGGATTGTTATACCAAAACAGAAATCAATGGATTAAGATTTGATGATGTATTAAGTTTTAAAGAAGACATTAGTATGTAATATGTAATGTGTAATATGTAACGTATATAGTTATATTTAACTATTTATTTAATTTGAATTTAAATTATAATAATATAATAATAATAAAAAGGCCAATAGATAAAACTATTTTCTTACGTTCTTGGAGGAAGGAGGAGGTTGGAAGGTGGGAGCCTTTTTTCTTTAATGCTTTTTGTTTCAATGAAGTAGATGAATTAATTGAAGAAGTTGAAGAATTATTACTTGTTGAATAAATTAAAAGTTCTTTTAGCTTTTGTAGGTAATGGGATTTTAGGTAATGGTTTTGAATTTAAATATTCATCAGGTAAATCTAAAATATTACTATCTGAAGTACCAACACTACTAGTTATTGAAATTTGATCTGAATGTATAGAAGTTGTTGTTTCTAATGTTGTTGTTGTTGTTAAAGATGGTTGTTGTTGATGTTGTTGATGATGATGTTGTTGTTGGGGATTAGATGGAGTAGTAGTAGATTGATCAGATAAAGAAATTTTAGATATTTTAGATAAAAATACATTCCCATTATTTTCTTCAATCATTAAAGATCTTTGATTATTAAAAGAATTTGATGAATTTTTAGATTTACCACTATTTTTACGTACAATATTATGAGTTGTTGTATGTTTATGATAATCACTTCTTGAAGATGCACGAACTGAAGCAACTCTTGTGAATGAACCAGTCAATGATTCTTTTGAATTAGTTGATTGAATTGAAATTTGTTCATCTGATTCAGGAGATTCTGTTTTAAATGTCCCTTGTTGTTGTTGTTGTTGATGATGATGTTGTGGGTGTTGCTGTTGGTTTGGTTGAGATGGATTTTTTAACCATTTAACATGCATACATTTAATTGCTAATTTTGAAATACTATTATCTTCATCATTTGAATCATTTCTTGATAAATCTTGTAGTTTAGTTTCATAATTGATTATAATTTCCCGTAAAACTTGTAAAATTTGATTATTCTTATAACCTTTATAATTATCATTTTCATTAATTTGAGAAAATATCAATATTGGATATAAAACTCGAAGATAAGTCATGGTTAAGATTTTCTTATCATCATCAGTATTATTTAATTCTCTAATTATGATATCAATTAATATTTTCAAATCATTTAAATAAATCAATTTACAAGTACAACTTGAAACAAAAACCAAATATAAAAATTTCAATATTAATATCTTGATAATTTGAGATTCTTCTCTATTCAAATGATAAATTAAAAGATTTATTAATCCAGTAATTTGATTTAAATTTTCAACATTTTTCAATAATTCATCAAATACTAAATTATTTAAATTTTTATCATAATAAGATTTCATTAAAAATTGTTCATTTATCAATAATAATAATTTCAATTCTTCATAAGCAATTAATCTTGATTCATCTTCAAATTCATCCCCATCTAAATCATAATTATGGAAATCATCATTATTTAATAAATATTTAATTAAAGTAGGTATTAAATCATGTTTAGTTAATTCATTCAATTCTTCATTATTCAACATTTCAACTTGATAAAAATATTCAAAAATTATATCACAACTAAATTTCAATATAACAAATTTTGATTCTTGATTATTAATGGCAATTATTTGAGTTGATATAAATGATGATAAAATAGACATTAATTTAAATTCTCTAAATGTTTCAAATAATTCATTTACTGGAATCAATGATAATTCATCATCTTTAACTTTTGGAACATCTCCATCATTAAAGTCTATATTTTTACTATTTTTTTCATGTTCAGTATTTTTAATTTTAATCAATAATAATAAAACAATACATAAAAATTCTTTTAAACATTCACTTTCATATTTAGCTCTTTCATCATCTTCATTAATTTGCTCCTCTTCTTCTTCTTCTTCGAGTCTGAATTTAGTTAATACAGTAAAAGTTTCTAAAAATGCAATGATTTTCCCCACACAAAATTTAAAATTTTTAGTAAATAAATTTGATTTAATTAATTTCAATGAATATTTTGAAATATCTTTATATAATGGTTGTTTGTTAATATAAATATTATCCAATATAATCTTTAAATAAATCAGAAAATTCTCATTACATTCTTCTGGATCACTATTAATTAAAATAGTAGATATTTCATCTTCTAAATAATCTCTTCCATTCTCACTAAGATCAGGCAATGATAGAACTGAACCCGAAGGAAATGTATGTAGTGGAACACTATTCGTCATTGTTGCTGTTGTTGTAGTGGTACTAGATGTTGTAGTGGTAACAGTTGGAAATGAATTTGAAGATAGAATTTCATTGGTGAATGTATTCATACCAATCATACCTGGTCGTCGATTATTCATTGTCATTTATAATTTACCTAATCACCGATATTACGTTTCCTTTCTAAGCTGGATAATTGCCTTGCTGGGGGGAAGCGGAGGGAAGAGAGGAAAGGTCAATCAACTAATATATGATGGAGTAAATCAACTGGATTTGTATTTTTGGTTGTTTTTGAAGAATGAATGAATAAGTTTATTGTAAAAATTTCAAAAATTTAAAATTTCGTAGTAAAGTGCCTTGTCGTGTGGATTGGCTTAATTTGATTGAGATTACATAATCGGAGTACTCGGTACCACCTTGCCGTCTAGTGTTTTTCCAAATTTAGTAACAGCACGCGGCTTAGAATTTCCTTTTTCAGATTCATATACTAAGAACAATATTTTCAACGTGTCAATCCAGTGATGGATCTGAGGCTGCTGAATAGGTATGACATATCATGACTAAAATATCGAACCAAGTCTAATGTGATATCTAAAGAGGAACTTGCTGAAGGAAAATATAAAAATATCTATCTATTAATAAAACAAAAAAAACTAAATCACACTCAAGAATATATATGTATACATATGAAAAAATCAAACATCAAAACAATCTGAAACCAAAACGATTAACGGTCTAAGATAGTTCTTGGTTCAGTTAAAGCACCTAAAGCACGTTGTAAATATAAGTTTAAAAATGTTAAACCAAATAAATAACTAGCATTAACCCAACCAAAACCTTCAGTTGCCACACCTTTAAAATCTAAACCTTGATTACCATATTCAGCATCAACTCTATGAGGTACAGCACCTTTAGTAACATTATATTTTTCAACCACAACACCATTATAATCAACAAAAGATTTAGTCATCATATATAACCAACGATAAGCTAATCTTTGAGCAATTTTATCATAACCATAATTAACTAAACCAATCCATGCTAAAATTTGTTGAGGAGCCCAACCAAATGGATAATCCCATTGTCTTGAAGGACGAGTTAATCCAACTTCTCCTCTAGATTTCAAAGTACCTGCTACTAAACCTCCATATTCTTCAAATTTAGATAATGAATTTTCAATTAATTTAGAAGCTTGTTCTTCAGATGCAAGTTTTGAATAAAGTGGCCAAAATGCAGTTGCTGATTCATAATCTGTTTGTTGTTCTTCATGAACATTATAATCATAATAAATAGAATCCTTTTCATTCCATAAATATTTATCAACATTTAATTTTCTTTGTTTGGCTCTTTCATCCCAAATTTTAGATGAATTACCTTCAAGATCATCATTGAAATATGTTTTCAAAATATGGGAAATATCATTTTCATATTTATATAATAAAGAATTCAAATCAACAGTGGCTAAATATGCACATTTACCTTCTAATCTATAAGTTGTATCATGTCCTGATTCTCTTACTGCTCTATCATGTAAGAAATATTCATCTAATTTAGGTTCTTGAATTTCTCCAGAATTGTATTTTTCAATAAATTCAGTTTGATCCATATTATCATATTTTTCTAAATATTCTTTTAAAACAGCATCGAAATGAGTAGCCTCAGTTTCTGGTGGAACACCTTTACCTTCTGGATGATAACATGATAAGCCAGTTTTTTCATCTAATCTTGGTTTAGCACACCAGATGGTTTCATATTCTTTAATAGCTGCCAAAGTTGCTCTTTGCAAGAAATCTAATCTATCTTTGGATTCATCAGGTAAAACTTCTTTTGATTTGTTGAAAATTCTAAGAGCCATATCAGTTAAAAATGGAGGTTGGGATCTACCTAAATAATAAGATCTATTAGCATTCAAAATTTTACCATAATGATGAATTTCATAAATGAAATTTTCAGCCATACCTCTAGCTAATTCTAAATGTCTTAAATTTTTACCTGGCAATACATCAGTTAATAAACCTAAAGTTTCCATATAAGAATCCCAACCGTATAATTCATTGAAACGTCCACCAGGGACAACATATGGCCAACTGATTAAATTTTTGGAATCATTTGGATCTGGTTTGGTGGCAATGGCTAATAATCCTGGTTTCTTGTTGATTGATTTGATATAATCAGCATCGATTTTTTCAGGTAAATATTGAACATCCAAGTGAATATCATCTCTTGCTTGTTTAATCAGATTGAAGAATTCATATTGATCAGGACGATTAAATGGGACATAAATTCTATGAGATTCTTGATTTTCATGAAGCTTACCATCTTCATCAACCCATGATTCTTTAATCTTAGTATCCTTTGACATATCAACAATATTATCTTTAGTAACTTCTCTAGTTAAACTTTTCCAAAACTGAGTAGAGATTAATCTCTTCATTCTATTCACTGGATTTTCATTTAATCTTGCTTCATCTAGTATAATTTGATGTCTTCCAAATCTACTGGCAATGGTTAATTCTTGTAATAAATTACTCAACATATAAGTACCTCTAACAGAGGTTTGATAAAAACCCAATGAATTTGCTGTACCTAAACGTAATACTTTTGGACCAGTATCTTCAATTGTAATTTGACAATTATTATCAGTGTCTTCATTTGCTAATAATTCATCTAAAGTACCTTGAACATCATTAATATAGAATTTCTTTGGACGTAAATCATTTTCATCTAAAGATTGTCTTCTTAAATGGAATTTTTCTCTACTTGAATTAAGACTAGCAACAGAATCTTGAGGAATTTCATCATTATAAATGGGGATAATTGAAGGTTTTCTAGTTCTTTCTATTGGACCTTTGAACCCAGTTGGATGAGGGATAATATCAGTTGAATTTAATGGATCTTGAGTAATATTTGATTTGGTGGTGGTATCATCAGGAGAAGTTGCTGGAGAAATTGGCACTGGTCGTATTGGAACAGGAATAATTTTTTTTCTTCCACCAATTGGATCCTCGTTATCATCATCATCATCGTCGTCGTCGTCATCATCACTTGAATGAACAGCTGAGCCATTACGATCATGAAAATCAAGATTGAAATGAATTTGAGGTTGATGAGTAGGTTGAGGGGTTACATTTCCTGGAGTTGAAGAAGATGAAGAACTTGAGGGAGGTTCAGGAGATTCTCTAATAGGAGGAGGTTGGAAATGAGAACTTGGAGGTTGAGAATGAATCAAATCGGGAGTAAATCTTGAACTTCTTTCAAAGGTACTAAAAGTTCTTACTCTATTTAATTTCTTCTTTCTATCTTCACCGTAGTAACTTTCGGCTATTTCGAAAGGATCATCATCACTTGAAGTAGATGATTGTCTTCTATGTTGGGGAGACATGGCTAATAATGGGAATACACCGAATCAAAAGATTTACCTGTTAATGATGTCTAGTCCAATCAAAAAAATAAATCAAAAAAAAATGCAAAAAATGAAATGATGAAATGTTGATTGAAAAATTTCGATAAGTGCGTGATGTGTGATGTATCAGTCGTGGTGTCAATATTCTGTTCTGTGTCCTTTTTTGATAAGGGGAAAAAAAAAAAGAATAAGTTTAATGGGACCTACCTAACGTGACGCTGTGAATAATTTCTTCTAATAAGTAAGTTTTCGACAACCCTGTATTGAACAACAACAAGAAGAAGAAGAAGAGTTTATTAATTTATTTATTTTTCAAAAATTTAAAAATCATTTACTTTTTTCTTTTAATTCATATTTATATTTATATTTATATTTATATTCATATTCATATTCATATTCATATTCATATTTATACTGTGTAAAATTTTTTTTTCTTTTTGGGAAAATCTGGCAAAAAAGAAAAAAAAGAAAAGAAAAAACATTTTGGATGAGCTAAAATAATATCCTGCACACAACCACCTTTGTGTTATCTTTAGCTAGTGGTAGTGTAGAAGTGCACAATATACTTGCAATTGTCTAAAATTCTCCACATTCATTCACTCATTCACTCACACTATAATTCGCTATCAAATGGTATACAGTATATCCAGAATAAACCTAAATTGTAATACAGTTGCTCCGGTGAAAAAGAAAAATACAACAGATGATGGATTTACTTCTTATCCCTTTACAATTGTGGTTTGATTTCTTCAATTTTTGGGTAAGAGGGGGTCATATTTCCATCAGCGCGGTTAATACATTTTGTTGTACTTCAACAACTTGAATATTATTTAACTTCGGGTCAATTATCGCAATATATTAAAGAATGCAAAAACAACAGAAAACAAAAAACTTGGCTTGTTTCTATTCTCATCTCGTGGTTGAGTTTAAGTAGTCAATGACGGGCGAGTGATGTACGAGTAATAGACGACGTGGAGAAACCAAAGTGGAGGGGGGGGGGTGTGGACTAAAAAGGTGGGATATATCGTGATGAATTTTTAATGTAATTTATCATAATTTCTGATTGAAACTTCAAAAAATAAAATCTCTATTGTAAGGGGAGGAGGAGGGGATGTATCAGATATGAGTGAGTGAGTGTGCATGAGTGACTCTTCTATTTGGTTCTATTATTATTAATGGTGTTATTATTTGTAACAGATATTATTCCACTTGTTCCTCATTTGTGTATAGATTCCATCTTCTCTGTAATCCCCACATTTGCTTAGTTTTTTCTTTTACTTTTTCTTTTTCTTTCTTTATGCAACCTCGCCCTGGGCACAATGACGTAACACCACTGATTTGGTTCCACAACTTTTTCGTGGTACCAAAAATGTATTTATCTCGACATGATTTGAATTTAAATTTCCTTGAGTTAATAATGTTTGATTATCAAATATCTTGAATGTTATTTTACCAAAAACCTGTTGCAAAGTAATTAACAACCTATTCTAACTACTACTATGGGATGTATGATCAAAAAAGAAACGACCTGTTAAATTGTCAAGGCGGCCTCCCCATATCTTTCTCTACATGTCTCTCTTCAATTAAAATATAAACCAGGGGGAAAGGATGATGTATAAATAAGAAAAGTAATATAGTTGACATAGTTCCTTTTTTTTTTCTTTAATTTTACAATTAATAATATCATGGATCAAAATATAATATATCTAAAAACTCCATTTAGAAGCAATAATTAAATATAAGAAAAAAAAAAAACGGATAAAAGAACCAGTGAACATGTAGATAAAAGTGATTTTTCAAATCACGAGTTATTATATAATTAATTTGTCATTCCTTTCCTTTTTCTGTTCCAATATCCACATAGTAGTAAACAACAACAACAAGAACATACTGAGGGTTCTTTTCTTTTTTTTTTTAACAATTTGACTCTTGAAGATTGTAATAATAAATTGAAGTTAAATGTCAGAAATTAATTGTTATTATTTACATTATACTTATTTTTAGCCTAATTTCCTCGAGATCTGTCATTGCTTTTGATTGGTTAAAGATGATTAATTCTCTATAGGTCGAGAATTTTTTTCTTATTCTTATTTTTGGTGATATCAAGTGTACTTTGTCAAACTATTTATACTTTAATAATCGCTGTTCTCCTGTTCTACCCTATTGTTCTTCACATTCTTCTACTGCATTGCTCTAGATTCAGACCTTCTATTTATTTCAACTATTCTCCTTTCGGGAACAATAATTCAAAACGCCGGGTGTCCGGGGCATGGAATTCAACTCTGTCTTTTGCTGTATTTCCACAGTGTATCATGTGTGCGTGCACATGTGACCGATTTCTCTTTCTCCATAGTTTTCGAAGTGCGGTGCAAGAGAAGAAGAACAGAAAAAAAAAAAAAAAAAAACAAACCTCGGAGTTTCAAATTTAAGTTTTAATCGTTGAGAATTCCCCGGCAGCTGAAGGAATAGTCCATCCGTATTTATCCACCCGGGCAAGATTGATAATCTTATAAATTACTTTGCTCTATATTCAATGCAAGTGGTATAATCTACCCCATATTTCCTTAATCCCGGAATCACGTGAAACACATTAATTTTTTTGCAGAAACTTCCCATCAAATCAACAAACAATTAAGTGGGGAAAAATTAAATATTTGAACCTTGCGCACATGCTTTCTCTCTCCTATTAATTAATCGTACCCTAAAAATTTTCTTCACTTTTTTTATTTTTTTTTCCTTACAGATATAAATACTAATTGTTTTCCCTTAGTATAAAAATTTTCTTTTTTATAGAACCCCCGTTTTTCTTTTATTCTTTTAGTTCAACAACTTTTTTTTTTTTAATATTTCACATATCAATCACATATTTATTTATTTATTTATTTATTCACAATGGTTAAAGTAGCAATTTTAGGTGCAGCAGGTGGTATTGGTCAACCTTTATCTTTATTGACTAAATTGGACAAGAATGTCGATGAGTTGGCTTTGTTCGATGTTGTCAATGTACCAGGGGTTGGTGCCGATTTAGGTCACATCAATTCTAACTCTAAAACTCAATCTTATTTACCAAAAGATAAAGAAGATAAAACTGCTTTAGCTGCTGCTTTGAAAGATTCTGACTTGGTTATCATTCCAGCTGGTGTTCCAAGAAAACCAGGTATGACTAGAGATGATTTATTCAACATTAATGCCTCAATTATTAAAGGTTTAGCTGAAGGTATTGCTGAAAACTCTCCAAAAGCTTTTGTCTTGGTTATTTCTAACCCAGTCAACTCTACTGTTCCAATTGTTGCCGAAACTTTGAAAGCTAAAGGTGTTTACGATCCAGCTAGATTATTCGGTGTTACTACTTTAGATATTGTTAGAGCTAACACTTTTATTGCTCAATTATACCCACAAGAAACTAAACCATCTGATTTCAACATTAATGTTGTTGGTGGTCATTCTGGTGAAACAATTGTTCCATTGTATTCTTTGGGTAACTCTAAACAATACTATGATAAATTATCAGAAGAACAAAAGAAGGAATTGATTAAAAGAGTCCAATTCGGTGGTGATGAAGTTGTTCAAGCTAAAAATGGTGCTGGTTCCGCCACTTTGTCAATGGCTTATGCTGGTTATAGATTAGCCGAATCTATCTTGAAGGCTGTTAACGGTCAATCCGATATTGTTGAATGTGCTTACTTGAACTTGGATTCTTCTATCAAGGGTGCTGAAGAAGCTAAGAAATTGGTTAAAGATTTAGATTTCTTCTCCTTGCCAGTGCAATTGGGTAAGAATGGTATTGTAGAAGTTAAATACGATATTTTGAACCAAGTTTCTGATGATGAAAAGAAATTATTGGACGTTGCCATTGAGCAATTGGCCAAAAACATTGAAAAAGGTGTTTCATTTGCTAAAAACTAATGATCTAATTACAAAAGTTAATGCAAAAAAAAAAAAGAAAATGGAAGGTACTATGTAGTTATATTTTTGTTCGCTTAATATTTATACTGTAATTATATAGATATTTTTCGATGCTTTCACATATTCCTTATAAAAAGCGAAAAAGAGATACGAATTTAAGTTTATTTATTTATTTATTTATGTTAATTTCATTTGAGTTTATGTATGATTTTCTTAATCGAGTTATTATGAAGTACGAATTTTTGAAATGTAGATTCTAAAGATTCTTCATGTTGGTTAAGTTCAAGATATTCCATAAACCCGGGGATATTTAACATTAAAAATGCAAGTTTTTCCTTTGAAATATCTTCAAAATCTATATTTAAAATCAATTCATCAATCAATTGTACAAACCCATTAATTCTTCTAGTTTGTTCAATAATACTTCCTTTAATAAACAGGACAATGATTTGTTTATTATTGTTGATAATTTTTAATTGAATTGTATTGAATATATCCCATGAATAAGATTGATTAAGAATGATTATACCAGGTGGTTTAATTGTTTCATTTATTAACTTTAATAATTCTTCATCTGATTGATTATGTAATTCAACCGTTATTATGTATATTGATAACCATGAATATGTTGATGTAGAATGAATTTGTAACATAATGACAGGGCTGTCCCATGTTGCAAAAAAATAAAATATGTCAAATGTTGGAAATAATTTTTCTACTTTTGAAAGAAACATATGTCGTGATTTATGAATATGCAACATCAAATCAATTGACTAGACCTATACTTGTCAAATAGGTATGAATTACGAATGGTTGTCAATGCACATCACAGAAAAGTCGAAATAAGGGCAAGAATATGAGAGTGAGAGTGAGAGACAGAGATAAATCCATAATCAATATTGTCAATGGTTGTCAACCATACAACAATTTACATTAACAACCAAAGAAAATCCATAAATATCAATTACACAGATATTGGCTTAGTTGTTTGGTAAAGATCTAAGGGTCCTACAGAGATCATACAGGAGAGGTGGTGATGATGCTGATGATGATGATGTCTTTCAAAATTCACCGAGAAATCAAACGAAATGGACTGGCCCCCCTAAAAATAATCCGACTAAAATATTCAATGCGACAGTGATGGGACAACCAACCACAGACAAAAAATAAGAAGAGACAGCAAAAAATTTTCTTTTTTTTTTTTTTTTTTTTACAACCGGTTATTGCCATCCTCCTTCTCCTTGTACATTTTGTTTGCTCCTCTCCCCCCCTTTTTAGAATTTTTTTTTTTCCCTACTCTCGACACAAGGTTTTACAACAAGTTTAAAAAGACAAAACAAAGAAGAAAAAACTGTATCCAATCAAATCAATTGGAATCTATTGAGATCACGTGAATCATATTATTTAAATTCATTTGTTTATCATCATCTAACGTTGCTTTAGATTCATATTCTCACACACATACTCTTCCTTTCCCCTGTTTCAATCAGACAAAAGGAAACGGAAAAAAAATCTCTAACGTGCACGAAAAAAAAAAATAACTGAGAGACAGAAACAAGAAGAAGAAGAAAAAAAAAACAAACCAACTTAGAAAAAAAAAAGAACTAAAAAACAAACCATATAGTAAGCCAACTAGTTTTTAATATTCAATCATCATCACCATCATCATCGTCTATTATTCTGAAATTACTTTAAAAAGGTTAACACAATTATGGAGGCAATTTTAGATTTTTCGAAAGATTTAGATATTGCTTTATTTGATCAAGTTGTTGATACTTTTTATAAAGGATCAGGTAATGATCAAAAAAATGCTCAATTGGTTTTGAACAAATTTCAAGAACATCCTGATTCATGGAAATTTTCCGATAAAATATTATCAAATTCAAGCAATGCTCAATCAAAATATATCGCTTTGTCATCATTGAATAAATTAATTCAATATAGATGGAAAACTATCCCTGATAATGAAAGAGTTGGTATTAGAAATTTCATTGTCAATATGATTATTAGTCTTTGTGATAATGAACAGGAATTTGAAACTCAGCGTGCTTTGATTAATAAGATTGATTTAACATTAGTTTCTGTCTTGAAACAAGAATGGCCACATAATTGGCCTGAATTCATTCCAGAAATTGTCATGAGTTCAAGATCTTCTTATAACGTTTGTGAAAATAATATGATTATTTTGAAATTACTAAGCGAAGAAGTTTTTGATTATAGTCAAGATCAATTAACTCAAGCTAAAGCTCAACAATTGAAAATTAGTATGAAGAATGAATTTGAAAAAATTTTTAAATTATGTTATGAGATTTTAGATAAAACTACTAAACCTTCATTGATCATTGCCACTTTGAACGCTTTATTAAAATATATTCAATGGATCCCTACTGATTATATCTATCAAACTGATTTATTGAGTCTTTTATCTACTAAATTTTTAGCTCCTGCTGATACTAGAGCCATCGCATTAAAATGTTTAACTGAAGTGTCAGCCTTACCGGGCGACAATGAAAAAACTTTGATTTATTTCAAGAATACTTTGGAACAAATTTATTCTATTGTTCCAATTACTACTAATTTGAGGAATTCTTATAAAGTTGCTTCTTCTAATGATCAATCATTCTTGCAAGATTTTGCTATGTTTTTATGTACCTTTTTGGGTAATCATTTACTTTTGTTGGAGAAACATGAAGAAGCTAGAGAATTGTTACAAAATGCTTTGTATTATCTATTAGAATTATCAAGAATTGAAGAACGTGAGTTGTTTAAAACAACTTTAGATTTCTGGTCAAGTTTTGTTTATGATTTATTCAAAGAAATGAGAGATTTACCAAGTAGTCAATTATCTCCAATGATGCAATTAACTTATGGTAATAATTTCAGAGGTGGATCTTCTGGTGGAGCACCAGATCCAGCTGTTTTGGAAAAATTCCCTTTGAGACAACATAGATATGCAGAAATTTTGTCAAAATTAAGATTAGTTATCATTGAAAATATGGCCAGACCAGAAGAAGTTTTGGTTGTTGAAAATGACGAAGGAGAAATTGTTCGTGAATTTGTTAAAGAAAGTGATACCATTCAATTGTATAAATCCATGAGAGAAGTTTTAGTTTATCTTACTCATTTGAATGTTGTTGACACTGAACAAATTATGATTGAAAAATTGGCTAGACAAATTGATGAAAGTGAATGGTCCTGGCAAAATATCAATACTTTATGTTGGGCCATTGGTTCGATATCTGGTGCCATGAATGAAGATATGGAAAAGAGATTTTTAGTTAGTGTTGTTAAGGATTTGTTGTCCTTGACAGAAATGAAACGTGGAAAAGACAATAAAGCAGTGGTTGCTTCCAATATTATGTACATTGTTGGTCAATACCCTAGATTCTTAAAAGCTCATTGGAAATTCTTAAAGACAGTGGTTAATAAATTGTTTGAATTTATGCATGAAACTCATGAAGGGGTTCAAGATATGGCATGTGATACTTTTATTAAAATTACCATGAAATGTAAGAAACATTTTGTTGTGGTACAATTGAATGAATCTGAACCTTTTATTAATGAAATTATCAATAATATTCAATCTATAACAGAGGATTTACAACCACAACAAGTTCATACTTTCTATGAAGCTTGTGGTATTATCGTTAGTGCGCAAAATAATAAAGAAGCCAGAGATAAACTATTGGGAGAATTGATGGCTTTACCAAATATGGCATGGACAGCAATTATTCAACAAGCTCATCAAGATCCGGAATTATTAACCAATACTGATACCGTTAAAATCATTGCCAATATTATTAAAACCAATGTATCTGTTTGTAAAGCTTTAGGACCTGGATTCTATTCACAATTGGGTGGATTATATGTTGATATGTTGACCATGTATAAAGCTGTTTCACAAATGATTTCTGATTCTGTTGCTAAGGATGGTATAATTGCTACTAAAACACCTAAAGTTAGAGGATTAAGAACCATCAAGAAGGAAATTTTGAAGATGATTGAAACTTATATTAATCAAGCTGATAATTTACAAGAAATTGTTCGAGATTTGGCTCAACCATTATTTGGTGCTGTATTAGAAGATTACAGTTCTAATGTTCCAGATGCAAGAGATGCTGAAGTTTTAAGATGTTTAACTGCATTAGTTTCCAAGGCGGGACATTTAATTCCTGATGGAGTGGTTTTGATTTTACAAAATGTTTTTGAATGTACATTAGATATGATTAAGAATGATTTTGTTGAATATCCCGAACATAGAGTTGAATTTTATAAATTATTGAAAGAAATCAATGCTAAATCATTCCAAGGATTGTTGCAATTATCAGGAGAAGCGTTCCAATCATTGATTAATGCAGCTTTATGGGCATTTAAGCATAATAATAGAGAAGTTGAAGATAATGGATTATCATTAACATTAGAATTGATTGAAAATGTTGAAAAATTGGGTGATACACCATTTACCAAAGCATTTTATGAGAATTTTTATTTCCAAATTTTATCAGATACTTTGTATGTTTTCACACAACCTGATCATAAAGCTGGATTTAGATATCAATCACAACTATTGGCACAATTGATACATTTAGTTCAAGATAATGTTATTAAGAATCCATTATATACTCCTGACCAAGCACCACAAGGAACCAGTAATTCTGATTTCTTGAAGCAATATTTATCACAATTATTATCATCTGCATTTGCCAATTTGCAACAAGAACAATTGGTTAATTTCTTGAAAGTATTAACTAGTGTTTACAATGATTTATATAAATTTAAATCTATTTTAAGAGATTTCTTGGTTCAATTGAAAGAATTTGGAGGAGATCCAACTGATTATTTATTTGCTGAAGATAAAGAAATTGAAAAAGAAGAAAGAGCTAGAATTCAAAGAGAAAAAGATTTACAAGTTGGTGGTTTAATTAGACCTTCTGAAATGGATGATGAATAATAATAATAATAATAGTAATAAGAGTAGTCGTAGTATCCATTATGTTTGTATTTTATATATATATATATGTATAAGATGTATATATAATTTTGTGAAAAAGATCTTTTCATTTTTTTTTAACCAAAAAAACGAATCACGTGACACATCGACTTGTAACCATACACACGACTATTTTCATTGGTGAATTTTCCAAAAACCAAAGTGAGAAATTTTTTTTTTTTTTCTCTTCATTCCTCTATAGTCAATACAAGAGGGTTATATTAGATATATATATTGACAGACCAACCAAAGAACTTAAGAGGATCATTATTTGATAGAGATGAATAGTATAGGTAAATTTGGGATTCGTTCATTTTCAACTAGTGGTAGAATATTATCGAATGTTGGTAAAAAACCTATTAAATTATATGAAGGAGTTAATTATTCAATTGAATCAATTCCACATGAATTTTGTAAATCATTTACTAAAGGGAATCAAACTTATAAATTAGATAGACAAGTTATTATTAATGGACCATTAGGTAAATTACGTACTGAAATACCAGATTTTATAAATATTAAAAATGATGAATCGAATAAAAATTTAATTGTTAATGTTAAAAAACCCAAAAATAAAATCCAACGTTCATTATGGGGTACTTATAGATCATTATTAAATAATAATATTATTGGTATAACTGAAGGACATTTATCAATTGTTAAATTTGTTGGAACTGGTTATAGAGCAAATTTAGAAAAAAATGAAGAAACTAAAGAAGATTTAATTTCTTTAAAAATTGGATTACCTTTTACTCCAAAATTAAAAATTCCAAAAGGGTTAAAAGTTTCAACTCCAAGTCCTGCAAGATTAATTATTGAAGGTATTGATAAACAACAAGTTAAATTATTTGCTTCTGTTATTAGAGAACATAAAAAACCTGAACCTTATAAAGGTAAAGGGATTTTTGTTGATGATGAAACTATTGTTTTAAAACAAAGAAAAGTTAAATAAATAAATGATTCATTTGTTGTTGGTATTATTATCATTATCATTTGCTTGGATATGATATTAGTATTACTTGTATATATTCATTCTTATAATTATTAAATAAATAAAATAAAAAATTAGGAATTCAATTCATTGATGATTATTTGATTTTATTAACCCAAATATTCAATACTCCTGCATTGTCAAAGTACACGCACATTTTACTCTTGAGTGAGTGAGACTAGGAGGAGGAAAAAAAAAAAAAAATCAAACAAAAAAATTTTTCAATGAACCAATAGTAATTGAAATAACTTGATTAATTTAGTAACAACTATTGATAAATAATGTTTAGTCTAAAACAAACTGGGTTTTGTTTGAAACCATTAAATACAACATTCACACGTAATGTTGCTAAAATCACCAGTATTCATGCTATAACATCAATGAAAACAACAGCACCATCAATTAATCATTCAGTTGAAATTAAAAATCAACGTAAATTATTATTAGAAAGACCAGGATTATTTGCTATTAAAAGAGGTATGATTACATGGTTTAGAGAATCAGGTGAAGCTATACCTGCAACAGTATTAGAAATTGATTCATGTGAAGTTATAAATTCTAAAAATTCAGAAGATTATGGATATGATTCAATACTTGTTGGTAGTATTGATAAATTAAAAAATAATAAATATGAAACAAGTATTAAAATGTTTGAAGATGCTGGAATTTCACCAAAATATAAAATTGGAGAATTTAGAGTTTTAAAATCAGATAATTTAATTGAAAAAGGAACTGAATTAACTGCTGATTATTTTGAAGTTGGACAAAAAGTTGATATTAAAGGTATTACTAAAGGTAAAGGATTTGCAGGTGTTATGAAAAGATGGGGTTTTAGTGGTGGTAGAGCAACTCATGGTGTTTCAAAAGCTCATAGAACTCCTGGTGCAATGGGTGGTAATCAAAATCCTGGTAGAGTTTTACCAGGTAAAAAAATGCCTGGTAGAATGGGTTGTAATAATAAAACTGAATTTAATTTAGAAGTTTTATTTACTGATAAAGAAGCTGGTGTTTTAATTGTTAAAGGTAATGTACCAGGTCCAAAAAGAGGTATTGTTAGAGTTAGAGATGCTATTAAAATTTATGGTGATCGTTTAGCAAGATTAAACAAAGTTGAAAATTGATACTTATACATATATAGGTTAATATATTCTTGTAAATAAATAGATAAAATAGTTTGTTGATAATAATAATCATATTTATTCTTTTCATTTTCCTTTTAAATGAATCAAACCACCTGGCTTAAGATTCACTTAAAAAAAAATTGAATAAATAAAAAGACAAAGTCCTTTTTATATCATAATGAAAGGGGGGTTCCAAAAAATTAAAATTTGATACACCATTGAATGAAGACAATTCCCGGATGGTTCTGGGAAAAGACAAGAACCATGTACGATTGAACGAAATTGATCTTCTGGCGATGAAGAAGAAGAAGAAAAGAAGAAGAAGAAGAAGGTCAAAAAAAAATTTCAATAAAAATTTCATGTGGCAAGTGTTCTGCTTAAATAGTGAGAATGAAAAAAAGAGGTCGTGTACAATTGACAGATAGACAGAGAGAGACAGAGACAGAGAGAGAGAAGAATTTAGGCAGAGGAGAAAAGAAAAAGAAAAAATTATCTACAAGCTCATCTTGAGAACTAACCCATCTATTATTTCTAATTATCACCAAGTATAGTTATCATTTATCCCACAATGGTTAGAGTATTGAAACATCACGAAAAGAAATTATTAAAGAAAGTTGATTTCCTTAATTGGAAACAAGATCAAGGACATCGTGACACTCAAGTCATGAGAACTTATCATTTACAAAATCGTGAAGATTATCATAAATATAATCGAATGTGTGGTGATATTAGAAAATTAGCTCATAAATTATCATTACTACAAGCAACAGATCCATATAGAATTAAACATGAACAATTATTATTAGATAAATTATATGATATGGGTATATTAGCTACAAAATCAAAAATTTCCGATTTAGAAAATAAAGTAACCGTTAGTAGTTTTTGTCGAAGAAGAATTGGTGTTGTTATGTGTCGTTTAAAAATGAGTGAAACTATTAGTGATGCAGTTAAATTTATTGAACAAGGTCATGTTAGAGTTGGTCCAAATGTAATTACTGATCCTGCTTATTTGGTAACTAGAAATATGGAAGATTATTTGACTTGGGTTGATAGTTCTAAAATTAAAAGAAATGTTCTTAAATATAGAAATAAAATTGATGATTATGAATTATCCTAAGTTAAAATTTTCCAAAAAAAAAAACAACAACACATAGTGTGATAATAGTAATAAGGGAATGTTTACTAAGTGATGTACAACTGTACAGTAAATTCCTTACATTTGAAATGAAATTCGATGCTCATTGGAAAGGGTTGCTAGAGAAGGAATTTTAAATCGACAGTAATTGCACTCCGTAAATCCTTTTGTTTTCCATGCATATTATCGTTGAATAAACGGGTGTGCTTAGTTTGCTTTATGTTGCTTTACTTTACTTTACCTTAATTTACGTGTATAATTTGATTAATAGACAGATTTAATATTGGTGAAAGAGAGTATGAGTTTAGTGTAACCACTAATGAAGTAGAGTACACACGACTATGGATTATATAATCAAAGAGAAATAGAATTAAGAATAGGAGTAAGGTTAAAGTTCTTTTATTTTTATTTTTTTATTTGTTTGAATCGTGTTGTGTTAGACATTGTAGATGAATAAACAATAAGCTTATATTGGTAAACACGATATCATTCCGAGAATCAAGTATGCACTGGTTGAGTTAAAGATGTAGTACACTTTGTGGTGGAGCCAATTATTTGGCTATAATTTGAAGTGGTACAAATACAATGATTAACAAGATAGACCAATAATTATAGTCTTGATTAGCGATAGTTGTGATTACTGGTCGAGTATAATAAAAAAAAGGGGAAGGTAAAGGGAAAGAGAAAGGGGGGGTATGAATTCGTGTCTGTGTGTCTTAGACAATGTATGGTTTGTTACTAGAGAGAAACTGCTATTGGCCAGACCTCAAGTCAATTGACGAACAACAACAAGAACAAGAACAAGAACAAGGATAAGCTACACTACGAAAAAGTGTAAAAAAAAAAAGTAAGACAAAAGAAAGATATCAAGCACGAGTCACAAAATTCTGTAGCATTATTATTATTATTGTAGATGCACAAATAAATTATACTGAAAAGGGGACTAAACATGAATAAAGGTTTGTTTAAGTCATATTACATAAGACACAATGTTGTGCTAAAACCGAGAATAATGCAGTAGGACTGTACATGTAAAGTATGCATTGCATAAAATATGAGGATATTGGTTTGCAGTGAGAGTAAGAGGAGGATGAAGAAGAAAGTAGTGTTCGTAAGAAAGAAAGAAAGATTTACGGGTTCAGAAATCAAATCAAAATAGAAGAAAGGGCGTCTTTAAATCCATGTCTGTGTGGAAACAATCAATGCAACATAAAGAGGAGTTGAGTAGTAAAGGAAAATAAGAAAAAGAAATAAATAAGTAAAGGGAAACCCTCCATAAAGGAACGAAAGACAATGACACGTCGGATTACAGTGTTAATCAATTTTTGTTATTATTTGTAACAATTTGTCACATCTTTGAATAAAATAGTTTGATGGTTTGATGATGTAAAATTCGCTTAAATTTTATTTTAATGGTTTACTTGTACGTCCACGACGACGACTACGACTACAGATTAGATCACCATGAACCCGCCCCGAATAACTATTAATCTGCCAGTTATTGTACTTGTATCAATATTAATTACATTTGACGTGATTGCAGTAGCAGATAGTAGATAGTTGATAGTTGATGAATGTGTAATTCTTTGTCCAACGTTTAATGTATGTCTCATAGATTTAAACTTTAAGAATATGGGTTGATGTGTGCTTGAGCGTGTGCGTGTTCATGTGCACAATAACAGCAACAGCAGCACAAAGTACACGACTCCTTTAAAAATACACAGAAACCAAATTTAGACAAATTACAACCCAAAACGAAATGAGACAACAACGACAACAACAATAAAAAAATTTTTTTTTTCTTAACAGTTTAACAGTAAAGTAATCGCAAGTCGTGTGTCTTGTCCATTTGTTTACATTTTTGATGAATTTTGAACAAATCAAACCAAAAAGAGAAAGAAAAATTTATTCAGTTTATATTCTGTCTTCTTCTTATTCACATTATCAATTGTTGTCATTTATAACCAACTATCTACTTATCTATCAATTGACAGTTAACCAAGATTTGAAACAACACAGATCTGATCAACTACCACAACCAACCATCCATTACAAATAGAAGAAAGTTGTCCTATTCTTTTTTTTTAACCCAAACTACACGAACAGAAAGGCAGAAAAAAAAAGTATAGTCTGTGAGAGAGAGTGTGTGAGTGTGAGTGTGCGGTGTCTAAAAGTAATAAACAATCACAACGAGTAACAGTAACAGTAACAACAGAGGAAGAGAAATCCAAAAAATTTGACAGCATAATCTTGCTGTATTAATCACAACTACATCAACATCAACACCTATAACTATAACTATCAAACCATTATATATCATCAGAGTAACAGTGTGATTTAATCATTTCTTTTGTTTACTTTATTTATTGATTTCCAACTATTTCGTCACTCCTTTTCAAACAAAATACTTTTGTCCCTAGTATCATATATTCAACCCCTGTATCTGGACAAAACTATTAACTAATTAATTTATTTATTTCTATAACATATAATAACAACAAAAAGAAAGAAAGAAAGTATCCAATCCACTTTAAGCAAAATTGTCGATTGTCATTTTGAAACAAATTAACACTGACACTTGAAGAGACATAGACAGTGCAAAACAAACAACAACCAAAAAAACAAAAAAAATTGAGTTTATTTTTAGCACGACATTTTAAAATAAACAATTCAACAAAATCAAAAAGACTCAAATTAATTTCACCAATTTCTATTCTTTGCCGTGTTATATATTTTGGGCTTAATAGGGTAAACTAAAAACGAATTCGTAAATTTGCTATTATTTGGTTCAATCGATTGAAAGGTTTCTTATACCCTGTTTTTGTTTTTGTCTTTGGCTTTGTTTTATTTTTTGTTGATTACTGTACCCTAGAGTGTTTGTCATTTCTACACTACAGATCAAGACAGAAAATATTAATAAAAAGGTAAGAATAAGAACTATTTGACATTGTTCCTCCTCCTTTTTCTACCTCCACCAACTATTACTACTACTTGCCCCCCAATCCAAAAAAATATAAGAAAGAAGTAACGAAAAAACTTTCAACAAAGAAAATTTAAGGTCCTATTTGTATTTGTATTTGTATTTGTATTTGTTATTATTATTATTGGATTTTTTTGTTGATTTTGATTGAGAACAACGAGTTTATTTTTTGGTTTTTCTTTTATTTGTCAACTTTGTTTCAATAATTTTTATTTTTATTTTTTTTTTTTTCTTTGGGGTAATTAATCCATTTGACATAAGTATGAATCATCAGTCGCTTGAAACCCCACAACGGGGTAATAGCCAAAATCATCATCATCGTCATAATCAACAACAACATCCTTATAATCCTCGATCAACTATTAATATTGTCGAAAGTCCCGATAACAGAGGATCAATAGTTGCTGAACCAGAAATTGACTCCCCAACTAAACATGATAATGATTCAAGTCCAAAAAGAAAATTCAACCCATTTGGTCATAACCGATCACATTCTCATACTACAAGCAATCACAAACGATTATTCTATCCAATACATCATGATGGTCGATATCATAACATAATGCAAAATCAAACTAGCGGTGCGCCTCCACTACAAGCAGCCCCGCCACCTCCACCTTCTCCTACATCAAAACCAAGAAGACAAGTATCAATGCGAAATCCCATCACCAATACTAATAACAGTAATCAAAATCTTCGAGAGAATCAAAAACCAATCCAACATAAACCAATAACACAACCAAATTGGAAGAGTTTGATCCCTCCAATTCCTGGAAAACCCGAACCAACTTATATCACTCCAGATACCCTACAGCAACAAAGACAAAACAAAGAAATAGATAATGATGAATTTGATTTCTCAACAAATAGACCTCAGCTATCACATGAAACTTCAAAACTGTACAATGCTACTTATTCCATGCAATCATCGTCCAATAATGTTGAAACTCGAGAAAGTCGGTCAAATACCGTTCCATCCAATTCTAAATATGCATTGGACCCTTCACAGCGTCATTCCATAGCAGTATCACCCAGTCCAGAAAGTCAACAACAACAACGAGAACGTGTCGAGAAATATGGCAATCATGCTCCAATACTACCAGGATCTTTCCCAACTCAACAGCAACAGCAGCAGCAGCAACAACAACAGTTGCAGCAGCTGTCGTCACGTAATTCCCTGGATCGCTCACTGCCAACTAAAAAGGGAACAAGAAAAAAGGCAAGAAAGATTTGTGCAAAATGTGGATTGGAAATAACTAGTCAGTTTGTTCGTGCTTTACAAAGTGCTTATCATGTCGATTGTTTTACTTGTTATGAATGTGGCAAACAATGTTCAGCAAAATTCTTTCCTTATGATGTACCTAACAAGAATGACCAAGGAATAGAAGATGGGTCAACCATCCAAGTAGCCTTATGTGAGTATGATTATTTCAAGAAGTTGGATTTGATTTGTTTTTCGTGTAATTCTGCTTTGAGAGGTCCATATATCACCGCTTTGGGTAATAAATATCATTTGGAACATTTTAAATGCCATGTTTGTCAAAGAGTTTTTGAATCAGATGAAAGTTACTACGAGCATGAAAACAATATTTATTGCCATTTCCATTATTCTAAATTATATGCATCTCATTGTGAAGGTTGTCAATCTTCTATTGTGAAACAGTTTGTTGAACTTTATAGAGGTGGAAGAAATCAACATTGGCATCCAGAATGTTATATGGTACATAAATTTTGGAATGTCTGTATTAGTCCAGATTCAGTTGGGTTGCAAAAATTATTTGATTTGTCTGATGAAACATTAAGTGGATTAAAATTGTTGAAAGATGGCAATACAAATGGCAAAAAAATTGATTCCGCAACCTTGATTGCTGTTGAACAACAAATTGAACAGGTGGTTATGAAATGTTGGTTGACTCTTTCTGGATATGAAGAAATCACCGCCAAGTGTATTTCCGATATGTTGCTTTATGCATGCACGGGGAATAAGTTTAATGGAATTGTTGTCACTGGGAAATTGGTACTTAACGTTGAAGTTTTATTTAATGCTTTAGATTATGTTTTCCGCATGTGCAATAGTTCAACTGATTTGTTACATGAAAAATATGGCACTCCTAATCATGATGATCTGGAATCATCAAGTACTGAAGATGAATATTTTCAAATGCTTAAAAAGGAACCAAGAAATATCACAGGTAAAATTATGAGTTATCTAGCTATTCTAAGGAAATCTGATCATATTGCCAAATCTGGAAGTTTGTCTGCAGAATTGTTGTCTGTTATTACTGGATGTGCTCATTATTTGAAATTGTTGATTAGAATTGGATTGTACAATGCTTTAAAGTTGAATAAATTGTATGGAACAACAAATGCAATTGAAAAGTTTTTGCAGTTGACTTCTGAACATGAAGCAATCAATTTATTAGCCGGAGATGAAATTACCCAAGTTAATTTGATTAATTCCAAATTAGCTATTCCTGCGGTTTCAACCGATGCTTGTAGTTCTTGTGCTAAAAGTATTGAAAGATCATGTCTTAAGTTGGATAATAATCGTTGGCATATTAAATGTTTTGTGTGTTCATCCTGTGAAAGAACAATTCCTGTATCTGAAGCTAGTGATACCAAATTTGCTTTGATCCATCAATGTATTATTTGTAAAAATTGTCAATGTGAGAATTATGATGTTGGATTCCAGGTGGTGTCCGATTTGTCTCAATTGATTTATTTATTGAAGATTGCTTTATTCAGATCACGTTCTGTGATGAAGATTGACTTGACCCAAGTTCCTGAAAATTTCTCAGCTGAAAGGGAGTCAGAAGATACTGAATATACTGCTGAAGATAATTATTCACAGACATTGAATGATGTTACAAGGTTAAGAAGTAAACGTCAAAGCCAGAAATTATCCAAATCAGTCAAGAAAAAGGCAAGAAAATCTATTATTGTTGAGGCCCCAGAAGCAGATAAAGCCAAGAAGGAAGAGTTTAAGAATGTTTCTGAACACACAATTACTGAAGAATTGAATGACCTCAGTTTTGAACAACCACCTCCAATAACAGAAGCCAGAAAAACAAGCACTACATCACAATTGTCATTTGAAGATGGTGGTGAAAATGAGAAATTTTCTGTTTCAAGAAAGAAATCACTTAAAATTAGAGACGAACCACAACGACAAGTTACAAACACCAATCTTGATCGCACTTCAGATTTATTGAAAAATGAACGATCATTAACATTGGATGATATTCCAAGAATTGTTGCTGCTGAACAAGCTAGAGATCAACGACCAAATGCATTTAAGCATCATAATAGTTTGTATCAACGCCAAAGTACCCCTCATAGATTGAGAAGTACTGGACAACGCGCTTCAACTTCGGTTATTACTCCAACAGGTGTTTTGGAGAATATTTTGAATTCATCACAGCCTCCACAGCCTATTGATAAAGACGAAAATCGCAAGCAAAAGTATTATTCGGAATTATCCAAAGATGAACATTATATTATCCGTCACATTGCAGTTGAAATATTGAGTCAAATCAGTAGTAATTATGCAAATAAAGATGAATTGATTTCATTAGTACAAATTAAGAAACAAGGTGGTGGTACTTTCTGGGATAAGTTTAGATTTGGAGACACCAAGAAGGAAAAGAATATGGCAGTATTTGGAGTTGATTTACAAACTTTGACCAATAAATATGGTATTGATTCTGATTTGGGAGTTGGACCCTCAAAATTGAGAATTCCTATAGTTGTTGATGATATAATTGCAGCTTTAAGACAAAAGGATATGTCAGTCGAAGGTATTTTCCGATTGAATGGTAATATCAAGAAGTTGCGTGAATTGACTGAACAAATCAATAAGAATCCATTGCAATCACCAGATTTCAGTTTACAAAGTGCCGTTCAATTAGCTGCGTTGATGAAGAAATGGTTGAGAGAACTTCCAAATCCTTTGTTGACATTTAATTTATATGATATTTGGATTTCATCACAACGTGTTTCTGATCCAATGATTAGAAAGAAGATTTTACAAATGGCGTATTGTATGTTACCTAGAAGTCATCGAAATTTGGTTGAAGTATTGTTGTATTTCTTTAGTTGGGTGGCTTCATTTGCTGAAATTGATGAAGAAACAGGCTCTAAAATGGATTCCCATAATTTGGCCACGGTTATTGCACCAAATATTTTAATTTCAAAAGCTACTGCTAGTTCAGCAAATGATTCTTCAAATGGAAGTTCAGGAGGTAATAGTACTGTTGGATCAGCACCAGGAGAGAATTACTTTTTGGCTATTGAAGTTGTTAATCAACTATTAGAGAATCAAGAAGAATTTTCTACAATACCTAATGAATTGTTGGATATTTATGATATTTGTGGATTTGATAACTTGCCAAAGAAAGAATTATCAAGTAAAGAAATTATGAACAAGATTGAAAAAGGTGTTGCAACAATGGCAACAACATCAAGTTCCACAGGTGGTAATTAAATGACATTCGTCTGTAGTTATTAAAGTATATGTATTTATATATATGTACATATTAAAGGACATCTACGGGTTTTATTATTATTATTATTACAAAAGATATGATGATGAATAGTGTAGATTATTGAAATGAAATGAAAATTACACTGGTGGAGTTTTTCGTGTACTTTTTTCAAAATATTTAAGAGGACGTGTAAAATAGATCAAAAAACAAAAAGGAATATTCGATTTAATTTAACTTGTCTTTGAAATGATATGTACTGTGATATCTGCTAATGGAATGGCATTACACTTTTCAAGTACGAGTCTTGAGTTAATAAAATGATAAATATAACATGCTGCTGCGTATAAATTTGTAATGCTTTGATTCATAGAGAATGTTTTCTTCTTGATGTTATCAATAACAGAATATACCAATTACACAAAGACGCGACTTGGATATTTTAAATGAAAATACCAAAAATTGTATTGGATTGAATTGGATTGGATTTGGGACGGGGGTACATGAGTTGAAGTAGGAATAAGAGTGGTATTCAATGTGGAAATAGAATAACATTCTTTATATGCATTTAATTGAGAGACATTTTATTTGTGATATCTCTTATACATACAAAAACCAATTTTAAGTATCATGAAAAATGCTCATATTATTGTTGATGATATATTAGTTTGTTCAAGAGTTGATCAGAATTTGATTCATTTTAACATACAGTATATTATATTATATTGTATTATATCATTCTTAAAACAAACGCCCTCCATAAAGAAAAGGGTCTCTTTTTTTATTCATGAATCATTTGAATGAATAGACGAGTAATTGGAGTTATTTATTTATTTATTTATTTACTGGTTTCTATTACAGGGTTAACTTTGCATATGCATGAATTGGCTTCTTTTTAATTTCCATAACAATGAATTCAATGAACGTCAACAATAGAAATGTTGATTGTTGATTGTTGAATTCAAATTTTTGGTCTCTTGTTGTTGTTGATGATGATGATGATGATGAAGATGCTCATCGTAAGGTTTTGATATTTATGATTCTTTTGTGATATGGGGGGGGGGGGGAGGAGGCTTTTTCTAAAATAAAGAACAATAGTAAAAAATATTATAAAGCACGATATACATATCTTGATTTTGCCGATGATTTTGCCGATGATGATGATGATGATGATGATGATGATGAGAATGGAGTTAAGGCGCAAATCGGATTATTCTAATTTATATGACAGACGTTGGGTTGATTTAGTGATTTACAGCAAAAATAAAGATCAACACCCATTGATCATAAGTTGAAAAGCAATATATAGAATTATACTTTATTTTCTCTAACATCTTGAAAACTTCATTAAGGTTAAAAATATGGTATTCGCTGACAAGAACAGAAGAAATCAGAGCCAATTAACTACTACATAACATTACTTGTATTATACGAGAATTTTATTAACTTTTTAGTTGGTTATTCCAGAATCAATGAAAATGTTTATGTTTTTTTTTTTTTATTTTTGGGAATTGATATTTAGATTTTGCAGATAAATTTTTTTCTTTTTATTATTCATTCATTCTTTATTATAATAATTAATGATTTACACGTTTGATTCTCTTTTTCACATTGTTTACCAAACTTGATAGTTGTGTTGGTATGTATACCCGTCACCAGATTGTATAATTTTCGAATCAATGATGACTTGTACTGATCCATCGGATTAGCGAAATTAAATGAAACTCAAAGGAGAGCCTTTCTGTTTATTTAAAGAGAATTAAAAATAATCAACATCAAGATGAATGGAAGAACCCTTTTTTTTGTTTGTCACAATTTAAGATGATACTATTTTTGGTTTTAGTTTTAGTTTTACATTTCTACACACAAAATAAGAATACAAATCCAATTACGAGCTAAATATTCGTCAATTCTTGAAAAAAATACCATAACCATTAGGCATTAAAATTTCGTCAATAAATCCTCTGGTTCCTAAAATTATTTACCTAAAGAAAAACCATGAATTTGTGTAAGACTCGTTCAAATTGGTTGAGGGCTAAACTAACCTCGAAATTACCCCCGATCCACGATTGAAAATTCCAAGCGTATTGTATAATTTCCAGGAATGTATTGATGATATTGCAAAATTAGCAGTATATAAATAAGAACCGATATCCAATAATTATTAGAGATTCTATGATTAATTTCTCCACAATTTTGAATAATCAATCTCCATTATGAAGTTTTTGGGATTAGTTTTATTATTCTTGTCCTTGATTAATCAAGTGACTCCTAAGGAAGTATCGGGAATATTCACCAGTTTTAATTCATTAACTTGGTCAGATGCCGGTAATTATGGTTATCGTGGTCCTGCTAATCCAGCTTGGCAAGCTAAATTAAGTTGGTCTTTAGAAGGTAAAAAAGTTAACCCAGGTGATACTTTTACTTTAACAATGCCTTGTGTTTTTAAATTTGTTACTACTCAACCTTCTATTGATTTGGCTGCTAATGGTATTACTTATGCTACTTGTACATTTCATTCGGGTGAAGAATTTACCACTTTTTCAACTGTTAGTTGTATTGTTAGCGATGCATTGACTTCCTCAACTCAAGCTTTTGGTACGGTCAGTATTCCATTTTCTTTCAATATTGGTGGTTCTGGTTCGGATGTTGATTTAACTGATTCAACTTGTTTCACTACTGGCTCCAATACTGTTACATTTAAAGATGGTGATAATGAACTTTCAATTCAAACAAATTTTGAACAAACTAAAGATTCACAATCTGGTTTAATCACTAATGCCAGAGTTATTCCATCACTTGGTCAATTGTCCCATCTTGTTGTTGCTCCAGATTGTCCAAATGGTTATGCCAGTGGTGAATTAGGAATCTATGCAAGAGACAATTCAGTTACTATTAATTGTGAAAATATTCACATTGGTATTACTGATAAATTAAATGCATGGAATAATCCAACAAACTCTAATGGTTTCACCTACACTAAGAAATGTGATTCCAATGGATTTTCAATTTCTTTTAAAAACGTTCCAACTGGTTATAGACCATTTTTGGATTCATTGATTAATGCTGCTACTGATTATACTTTTACTATTAGTTACATTTCCAAGTACACATGTGCTACCGGTGATTATCATGATAAATCTATTACTAAAAATTGGGCTCCATATAAAAATGGTCTTGCTGATAGTGATGGTGCTGTTGTTTTTGTTACAACTAGTACTTATCTTGAATCAACTACTGGCGTCACAACTTTACCATTTGATTCAAACAATGATAAAACCAAAACAATTGAAGTTCTTGTTCCTATTCCAACCACAACAGTAACTGAATCATATGTTGGCGTAACTACTTCTTATACCACCATTTCTGCTCCAATTGGTGGAACTGCTACCGTTATTGTTGACGAACCATATCATATCACAACCACCGTTTACACATCTTGGACTGGTGAAGGAACCACATCATATACTGTTACTGCTTCAACTGATTCAGTAGACACTGTATATGTTGAAACCCCGGTTCCAAATCCAACAGTCACCACCACTGAATATGGTTCTGTTTCTGCTGCTACTACTTATATTGAAACTGCTAGTCACGGTGGTACTGATACTGTTCACGTCATTGAACCAATCAACCCAACTGTCACCACCACTGAATACGAAGATGTTTCAGCTGCTACTACCTACACTGAAACTGCTACTCACGGTGGTACTGACACTGTTCACGTCATTGAACCAATCAACCCAACTGTCACCACCACTGAATACGAAGATGTTTCAGCTGCTACTACCTACACTGAAACTGCTACTCACGGTGGTACTGATACTGTTCACGTCATTGAACCAATCAACCCAACTGTCACCACCACTGAATACGAAGACGTTTCAGCTGCTACTACCTACACTGAAACTGCTACTCACGGTGGTACTGACACTGTTCACGTCATTGAACCAATCAACCCAACTGTCACCACCACTGAATACGAAGACGTTTCAGCTGCTACTACCTACACTGAAACTGCTACTCACGGTGGTACCGATACTGTTCACGTCATTGAACCAATCAACCCAACTGTCACCACCACTGAATACGAAGACGTTTCAGCTGCTACTACCTACACTGAAACTGCTACTCACGGTGGTACCGATACTGTTCACGTCATTGAACCAATCAACCCAACTGTCACCACCACTGAATACGAAGATGTCACTCATACATTACCACCATTACGGAAACCTTTGCTCCTGGTCTCACCGACAGTGTCATTATTGAAATCCCTATTAGTTCAGAAGTTCCTGTTATACCTGTCAGTAGTTCTTTTCATTATTACAATACTACTATTGTCCAGTCGTCTTCCAATTCTGAGCAGTACACTATTACTGTTAGCTCTGACACTACGGACACAGTTGTGGTTCCATGCTCAACTTCAGTGAAATCCTTTACATTTGTTAAGTCATCATCTGCTGTTGAATCCTCTAAGTTTAGTGAGTCACCATCCAGTATTGAATTTTCAACATCGAGTGACTTTTCATCTAGTTTAACAGTAACTGATGCTGAAACCAAATCATCATATTCTGCACCAAATGATTATTCTACTACTAGAACAAGTAAAACCACAGATTTCACAAGTGTTCCATGTTCAACAAGTACTCAAAATAAATCATATTATGAGGATGTCACAATGACATCTTTAATGTCGTCATTATCTGCTGCTACCATTGAAGAATCAACATCATCAGCCAGTATCAATACCGAAGCTACCATTTCTTCACCTGCTATTGAGAGCTCTGGGGCCGATGTATCTGCTTCTGTTTTACCTGTTGGTTCTGAATCAACGGAAGAAACCCAAAACATTTCCGAATCTTCTATTCCACAAAGTTCTGGTGCAAACGAAAGTTTTGTTTTGTCTCTGAGTGCTGTTACTGCTGTCTCAATTACCACTAAATCAAGATATGAAAACGGTATTTCTTCTTCTGCTTCTGTTGAAACTGCATCCAGTGAATTGGAATCTTCAATCCATATCAATGTGTCACTGACAGTCTCTTCTACTACATTGGCAAGTGTTCCAACTCCAGTCCCAACACCAAGTTCAGATGAAGCTACCACAAATGGTCCAATTCAAAGTTCAAGCGAATCAAATGAATCAAGTGAATCAATTGCTAAAAGTGAAAGTGAATTTACTACTGAGATATCAGTTAGTGATCATACTTCAACTATCATATTTACGACTGGATATAATAATGGAACCGTTGTTCCATGGAGTTCCACATTAATTCCCCAAATTTCCAAGCCATCTTCTTCTCCAAGCTCAGTTCCAGAAATTGTTACAGGATATGAAGGTTCTGCGTCCTTTATTACAGTTTCATCATGGATGATTGGGTTATTCTCTATTTTGTCTTTTGTATTCTAGAATTAACCATTTGCTTTAATAGATACTGTATTATTATTATATCTCTTTTTTTTTGAGTAAAGTAAAGGTTAAGAGGGATTCATGAACCAGAATAAGTATTATGATTCTGAGATTTTAAAGCAAGATGTATTTAGGTAAAAGAAGTCGGATACGCATATAGATAATCTATTAAAGCACCATACTAGTGGCACACTGTAATCATAAATATCTATCCGTTTTTCTATATAGTAAGAAATTATTGTGTATATTGTGGCAGGTGTCATGAACCTCAAAGAATCCATCAATGGTCCTATATATTTCATAATAGTGCATAAGCATGTACTGTAATAATAATGATATGATTGTTTATTTAACCTTTATTTCAAGCAATTATGGAATCACTAAAATACAAGTGATTAACAAAATGATATTCTGTCAGATAACAAATATGTGTCTGATACAAACTGATAGATTCAATTCCATTGATGACTTCGAAACTTATCTTATGACTATAACTATAACATATAATTTATATATTTTATATATTTTATATATTTTAATCTAGTTTAATATGTACTTTTTTTACTTTTTTTAATAAATTGAAAACAAACTTGAAGATAATTCTGAGTAACCTAAATAAGAATACTTAAGAAAGAATAAATATACACCAAAAGGCACGACATTTTAAAATACGAAGCAGAACCTTCATAATTGGAAATATTAGTAGGCCCAGTTGTGTGAGACAATGAATTCGATTCAAATGATCCTTTGCTCAAAATTGAATATTTCTGCCCATAATCTAATATGGCTGTAGAAAGTGTTGAGTCACTATATGGTTTCACAGTAACTGAAACATAATCTACATGATCAACTTCTTCACTTTGGTTAAGCCCATCATCTTGACCGATATTATGATTTTGATTGACATCATTACCTTTTTCAATTTCATCATGTTGATCATTGATTTCAGGATTGGAATGAATAAGTGTAGTATGTCCATCATTGTCTTCGACTTCCGGTTTATCAGTTGCTATTCCATTGACTCTAGTAGTGTGACTTAATCCAACATCGTGGTTTTTTCCACATGAAATTGCACCACAATCACTCAATGAACTCTGGATAACTCCCATCTTACTGACAATACTTTGACTAGAACTAGTCAATGAACAACTTGAGGTACATTCTGTAACCATTTCTATGATTTCATCAGTTAAATATGAAGAACCACATGTAGTACATACAACGATTACATCAGTTTCATTACCATCTTCATTTATAGACCCTCCAGAAATTGATAATGTGCAATCAGAAGAACACTCAATGACAGTAACTGTTTCATCTGCCGGAATAGTAATGGCAACGGATGTAGGATGATAGCTAAATGTCAGTGAATCAAAACTATAAGATTCAGTGGTACCAATACCAGATGTTGATAAGCTCTCCTCATTGATAAAGCTAATTGAAGATATAAAACCATCAACTTCAGTAGAAGCACCGACAAGTGCCCCATCACTGTAGATTGGACCAGGCGCAGCCAAAGAACCAGGGTATGTGATATTTTCATATTTAGGAGTCATCGTACTAAATGTACTAGTTGTTAAAATGTATTCACTAGATTGTGTAATTTGTTCAAGGGCACTTGATGAACTAGCAGATTCATAATTATCAACGCTAACGTCATCTGATGAAGTAACGGATTCAGAAATATCAATACCAGGTACAACAGTTGAAACATCATCACTATTAGTAATATTGGTTGTCTGGAGTTCATAATCTATTGCTGTTGAGCCACTGACATTATCAGACAGTGTAATTGGATCCGCGGCTGCAATAGAACTGGTATGTAGAATGATGACACTAATCTCAGTGGACTCACTATAACTGCTGACAACACTTTCTTTACTATTGTACTCAATGTCATCGGAAGTACTATCTAGTATATCATCCAGCAAATCAGACAGCAAATCAAGCAGGGATGTCTCAACATCCGTCAAAGTCGTTAATACCTCATCAGTAATTAAAGTGCTGTCCAATTGTGTCAGATTATGGATACCACTAGATAACGGCAACAATTCCGAGCTTACGCTATCACTTGGGAACAATTCATCTTCCATAATACCCCCAGAAGTGAAAATTATACCTTCAGCAGTAGTGTAAAAGTCAGTCAGTTCATTGCTGAAATCTGATACCAAAGACTCATTCACCTCATCAACATTGGTGCTATATGTAGCTTCTGTAATATCATTTGTAATGAATTCATCATCGCCAGGATCAGTTGATTGAGAACCATCGACTTCGCTTTCAGTGGTTTCACTTGACAAATGATCGGAAACAACCAAAGAACCTCCTTGAAGACTGGTACTATAGGTAACCGTTCTCATCAGAATATCATGACCAATACCATTACTCTGAGAAAGCGAAATTAAAACTTCCACAACTGTATCAGTTCCACCATGCGTATCAGTTTCAGTGTATGTTGTAGGTTCAAAAAGATTGGAATCTATCTCAGTTCTAGTAGTCAATGGATTGGGTGGGTAGACAACGATCACAGTGTCAGTACCGCCGTGAGTATCGGTCTGGGTGGTGGTAGTCAACTCTTCAACAGTGTCAAAACCAGTAGTGGTGATGGTAGGATTGGGTGGGTAGACAACGACCACTGTGTCAGTACCGCCGTGAGTATCAGTCTGGGTGGTGGTAGTCAACTCTTCAACAGTGTCAAAACCAGTAGTGGTGATGGTAGGATTGGGTGGGTAGACAACGACCACTGTGTCAGTACCGCCGTGAGTATCAGTCTCAGTATATGTAGTAGGCACAACGGCATCAGCCTTGATTGTGGTATATGTGGTAAATGGATTGTGGGGGAAGATGATCACCACAGTGTCAGTACCACCGTGAGTATCGGTCTGGGTGGTGGTAGTCAACTCTTCAACAGTGTCAAAACCAGTAGTGGTGATGGTAGGATTGGGTGGGTAGACAACGACCACTGTGTCAGTACCGCCATGAGTATCAGTCTGGGTGGTGGTAGTCAACTCTTCAACAGTGTCAAAACCAGTAGTGGTGATGGTAGGATTGGGTGGGTAGACAACGACCACAGTGTCAGTACCGCCGTGAGTATCGGTCTGGGTGGTGGTAGTCAACTCTTCAACAGTGTCAAAACCAGTAGTGGTGATGGTAGGATTGGGTGGGTAGACAACGACCACTGTGTCAGTACCGCCGTGAGTATCGGTCTCAGTATATGTAGTAGGCACAACGGCATCAGCTTTGATTGTGGTATACGTGGTAAATGGATTATTGGGGTAAAGGATACTCAAAGTATCAATTCCGCCACATGGTTGTTTCCTTGTCACTGTAGTTAATTTTGGCACATCTTCAAATAATGTCGTCGTAAATGTAGGATTTTGGTGTTGAGTTTTGATATAGATAGTGTCTACGGAGTGAGATTCAGCTATTTGTGTAAATGTGGTCGCTCCTTTATCATCCCAACATGTAGTGATAGTAGTTGTGGTATGATATGGTTCATCAACAATTACTGTAGCTGTGGCTCCAATTGTTGCCGTAATGGTGGAATAATATGTAGATACACCAAGGTAAGATGTGGTTGTAGTAGTAGTAGGTATAGGCACGAGTACTTCAATGGTTTTTGTAAGGTCTATTTCCGGATCATATGGCAAAGTACTAACGGCAGTGGTTGACTGAGTGCCGGTTCTAGTAGTAACAATAATAATGGCGCCATCACCCAGTGGAAGACTATCTTGATAGGATTTCCAAGCTTTTTTCATCGAAGCATCATATGTAACCCCATCAGCCCCAACATATTCATTTGTGTACAACATGGTAAAAATATCACTGGCAGTATGAGAAAACAAAACATCAAAAAATGGGCGATACCCTTCTGGAACTTCATTGAAAGTTATCATAATTTCTTCTTCAGAACATTGTGTAGTATAAGAAAACGATTCTGCATTCATTGGTTGATTCCAAGGATTCAACATATTGGTAATACCAACATGAACAGAATCACAATCAATGCCGAGGCCTGCGTCAGATGACGCGAGTCCTAATTTGCCACTTTTATAACCATTTGGACTATCAGCACTAGTTAATAGATGTGATATTTTTCTTAGTGAAGGAATAATTCTACCATAACTAAGTAAATCCGTCGTCTTGGCAGGACTTCCTTGAAAATCAACATCAATACAAAGATCTTTCGAACCATGCTTGAAAGTGACTCTATTCTCACCAGTGGTGAAACTATTAGAATTTACTAAGTCTGTATCTGATCCTGAACCACCAACACCAAAAGCAAACGGGAAAGTAATTGTACCAAAAGCTTCAATGTTTGGGTTCAATTTCTCACTAACAGTACATTTGATCGAGGAAAATGTTGTGAATAACTCACCTGGTTGGAAATCACAGATTGCATATGTCACACCCCCTGCAGATAAAGTAAAATACGATTGAGCAGTGACAAACTTAAATACATGTGGTAAAACTAAACCAAAAGTATCACCAGGTCGAGCATACGCACCATTTAAATTCCAACTTAATTTAGCATGCCATGTTGGATTCGATGGACCTCTATATCCATATCCAGCATCTGTAAACGTCAATGAATTAAAACTGGTGAAGACATCAGATAGTTCTTTTGGAGTTACTTCAGAAAGAAATACTAATAGTAGTAAATATAATCTAAAAACGAACATTGATTCAGTTGGTAATTTTCAAAAATAAGGGATCTAAGGTATGACAATAAATACCACAATCAAAAAGAAATTTACAAACAAACACGAAGAATAGTCTTCCCTTATATATCTTTAAATATAGTAAGCTCGTCCTGTTCTATTTCTTTTTAAGTGTTATTTTTCTTTTACTTATTTATTAAACCATTTCTTTTGCTCAGCAAACTTCCAAATAAAGTAAATTATAACTCAGATTAACAGGTGAATGAATAGACGAAGGTTAACGCTATCATAGAATGCCATGAATAGACGTTTTTCTTTTTTTTTCTTCTTCTCCTTTTTAGTTACTTATTTCTTGACGGAATTACTCAGATTGTTGAACTTATTATTCTTTCCTGAACAACACTAATACACTTGAAATATAATAATTGGTTTTGCTTGAAAATTATAAAGGGTTTCTTTTGATTTTTCACCATTGATAATAATATGGGATAAAAATAGATAATAGATTCAACCAAGACACGCCCGCCTGACCATTAAAATTTCTTGATTAAAACAAAACATCCTGAAATCGGGGGATACAAATTAGTAGACCTTTTTTAGCAATGTTCTGCAATATATTTTTAAAATTCGACTCATTCAGACATCTGCATTAAATAGGGCTGAGAATTGGATTTTTATACATCCTCAAACAATGTGCAAATTAAAGGAATAATATATTAGACAACACGTATAACTTGTAAAATAGGTTTATGGAATGTATATCATTATCAAGTACATAGATTAGTAGCCAAAAAATTTTTCTTTAAAAACGTGGAGAATATGGTTCTCTATTGGATTAAAAAAAAGCATCATTTTATTTTATTCATTCATTACCTATATGTTTAATTTTTTTTTTTTTGTTGGTTGATTTTTGTTGATAATAATATATCGGTATATACACTACCTTTTCTGTCTTTCCTTGCAGATATTACATCATGGATTTGTATCTTTTTTTTTGTGTTTGGAGTAAAATTTAGTATAATTCATGTTACAGTTTAAAAGGATAATAAGAGTAACAACAAATAGCTTTTTTTTAGTTAGGAGAACTTTGCTGTTGTTATTGCTCTTTGCGATTTTTTATCTTATAGTGGCGTTGTCACTTCTGACGAATTGAAAGATACTTCCCTCGCTCAAATGCACAATGACACCATTGCGATAGCCAAAGTACATAACTCTATGAAATCAAGCATACAAAATTACATAGGTACAACGATGATTGTAGCTTAAATTTCAACAAAGGTTACCTTGTTTTATTTGTTGAATGAAAATTGGTATGCAGTATTTTGATTTATTATATGGACTCAGTGTCTAATCTAATGGCGTCTAGTTAATTGGTGGTTTCGGTAGAGAAACATTTTTTTTTTTTTGATTATCAAAGTTCAAATAAACTATATTAATAAATAATAAAATGATAATGATGCTTATTTGTTTTTGTCTTTACTTAATCGAAGCTAATAAGGATTCCTGCCTTGCTAAAGTGGTGATTATTCTTTCCTTTTGAATTACCATCAATAAGTCCAAACTGGAGAACTGCCAGAAGACCCTTTTGCATGAACATGCAGAAAAACGCAAGTTTTGAAAGAAAAATTACAAAAGAAAGGACTAAGGGTTAATAAAATATCAAATATTGGTGAAAATCTTAGAAATAAAAAAAAATTGTATGATTTATTGAATTTTTACATGGTATATTTTATTTTATCGTTTCTTGAATTGATATTATTCCCACCTAATTTTCTATCTCTTGAGTTTCATATTGTAAGACAAAATTAAAGAGCCAATGAAGTTGATATGATTTGTAACAAAGTGAATTGTAAATTATATTCGTTAGAAAATGCTTTCATAAGTCATGGTGATGTCAACTAAGAAAATATATATATACAGATATGTATATATTGATGTTTTTTTTCAATACTATCCAAGAAATTAAACAATATTGTTTCCACATTATTAAAGTGATAAAGTGCAATTTGTTTTGGTATTTGCCGAACAATTTAAGATCGTACTTGAAGTTATGGACATTTTTGTTCCGTTTTTAATCAAAATTCAAAGAAGCAGGTTGAAGTATTGTAATACTACCCTCTTGGGTATAGCGTAAATTAATTCCTAATTAGGTTCTTGAAATGAAATCGTTGACAAGAAATTGTTGGTCATATTATATCTTGAGGTCCTATATAGCTATAGACATACAAGAATATTTTTCTTTTTCATTTAATCACTGTTAGACCTTTGAGTCAGAGTAAAGGGATAAGCAATTTTATTAATCTTGGTACTTCGAGTATTTTCTTTTTTGTTAAATTAATATTTTAGTTCATTCTAATAACGTTCCTAGAATGTAATAACAGTTCAAGCAGATCATGATCCTTGACATTGTATTTCATGAATGGCTTTATTTATTCAACAAAGAATACAAGACAATTCCTAAATAGTTATTTTAATTAATAGTATTGATGCTTGTAGTTATAGTATTGAAATTTGTAGAAGAATGAAGGAATAACAACTTGTGTTTAAAGCTACCGTCCGATTTTGCCCGTTGGATGATTCTGGTAAAATAATATTGCAAAAAAGAAAAACCACCACAAAGACTTCAAGTTTTTCTGAATATTATTATTTCAATTTATGATCTTTTTTTTTTTACTTAATAATTATTAGTGTTCATTCAATTACAAGATTATGTAGGTTTTATTTTAATTTTCGTCAAATGTATAATTATTTTGCAGTTTTCTGTAGGCATTGGTTATAGTTTTCGTTTGTATAAGTTGAAATTAATACTGTTGCAGCAAATTTATTTCCTAGTGTGAGAAGTTATTGGCTTATTTAAAACATGTTGAAATTATTCATATCAACCGATAATTTATAGTTAAACGAACCTTCCTAATTTGCTCATACTAATATAAAACACACAAATTTTTTATTTGGTTACCTATTGTGAACTGTATTGGTGGACAAAGACCAAAATTGTTGGCTTCTTTAATACGCTAGATGAAAGGAAAATGACAACTTGCAAATAAGCCTGTCCATTTTTGATTTAGTCTCACGCTTTCAACAATTAATGCACAAGTATGATATATCGGGGTACGTCTAGAAGTAATCTCTTGGGAATGAAAAACCTTCTAGATTTACATTGACATTTGTAATTCTGTAAATTGAGGATATATTTGTCAGTTTGAATGTTTCATAGAAATAGCGTAATTCAATTCTGTAAAGTTAAAATACTTTCAGCTGCAATGTTTTTTTTTTTTTAAAAAAAAAAAAAAAAAAAACTAGAGTAACTTATATGGATTAAAATTGCAATGTATACCATGATGTTGTGTAGAATAATAACCCCTACTGTTTTGTTATTATATGGGGTAAATGTTGCAAAAATAGTTTTTTTTTTCAACATAAATTTGCACCAAAATGAAAGTGAAAACAATATCTTTAGGAGAAACACACATTTAAAACTACCATTTGTATTACAAATCTAGATTCAAGAGCCAAAATTTCAGAAAATCAAATATGCTTCACTTGTAACATAAAGCAGAAATGTTCCTTGTTATAATGGTCTACGTTAAGTTTACTGCTTAGCCTGTGAAACTTAATTTTGTATTATTTAGAAAGAGGTACAAATGATTTTGGCGAAAAAAGTATCAAGTTCTTCTTTCCTTAATACACTGGATAAACATTTATTTACATGTAATGCATGCATACTTCATCCATTGATAGGATATCACGTGTATACTAACGTGAAGTAACTCTAAAGAGTAGAAAGTAGTGAATTTGGTATTTTGCCATTTGGGTGTACTTTAGCAACAGTGGTAGTGTATATCGCCCAAAAACTTTCTTTTGTATAAACAATTATTCGAGTCTTGTTGGTTGGTTTATATTGACCATATTTAATTCGATGAATAGATATCTCAATCCCATTAGTTAATATAAATCAAATAGTTTTATTCCCATTTGCTTGTTCTTCTTGGAAAAAACAATCTTTTGATACCAATATCAGAAAATGATCTACCACCAAAACAAGCCATGATACGAAAAGGAGTAGAAGAAGAAAATTTTTCTTTTTTCTTTTTTTTTTTTTCTAATCTCAACCATCAATTCAATTAGGACAAACCTATACTCCCATCAATTATTGTACACTTTGAATACCACAATATGTCTAACCCGTTAACATCAGATTCACTTAGAGATATAATTGCAGCAAGATTACAGGCAAACTTGGTTCAAGTTGAAGATATGTCTGGTGGCTGTGGGCAAGCATTTGCTGTCATAATTGTATCACCTGTATTTCAAGGTAAAAACAAATTGGCAAGACATAGATTAGTCAACACTCAATTGAAACAAGAAATAGCGAGTATACATGCATTCACTCAGAAAAGTTTTACTCCTGAGGAATGGATTTCACAAGGCGGTCAACTATAATTTTGTTTATTCTTCGAAAGCACGAAATTTATTTTAATATTGTACAAAAAAAAAAAAACAAAGTTCAACCTATTTATTCTTAATTAATTGCATTAAATATACATTCACGGCCGTTTTAGACTATATTACGGAACTTTTGTATTGAGTAACGAAATTTATCACTTCATCACTATTGGAAAAATCAATCAGCTTTATTTCGTTAATGAATTCCTTGTATTCTCTGATTGTGATTAATTTCACTGCTTTAGTACCTTCAGCATCAGTTTGTATATCCAGCGACTCATTGCAGGTACATCCAATGATACCAACTGTATCTCCCAAAAACTCTTGTCTATAAGCCAACTCCATCATAAACCTACTGATCAGCATTTTGGAAATTCTATTTTCAACTACCAATTGTTCCATAAATCGTCCCTTGGGATCATCAGGAAAAATAGGTATGGAATTAACTGCACTTTTTTCTTCTTCTGTTTCTTCAAAAATATGTCCGTCTTGCCAATTTTCAAATTTCCTAACGAACGTTCTTGAATCTAATCCGGGGACAAGCAATCTTCTCTCCCATCCTATAGTTATTTTATCAACTATTTTCATCCACCAATTAAGCAAAGCTGAACCAGAAATTAAATGTTTCCCAGAGTTTAATGATGAATTTGGAAATAAATATTCTTTAGCTGGTCGGGTGAATATGTAAAGTTTGGTGGTACGTAAAGGTGGTAAATTTCGATACTCGATATCAAGATGTCTTGGAGGAAGGTCATTGTAATATTTCAACGATGAATAAGCTTCTGGTAATTGTGAACATAATTTCTTCAATCTGAAGTATGGGCTTGGATTTTCCCGTGGAGTAATTGATTTTTCCTTTTTGGGTCTAATTCTATAATCATTATAATCAATCATGAATTTCAATACTGGTTCCAATATTTCATTAATTTTAAATGATATTTTTTTCAAACCAGTGGTGTCACATTTGGATACATAAACAAGTTTATTGATGTGATCTTCATAGATCTGTAAGTACACAAAGACTTCAAGTCCCAATATGATGACATTTTCATGCAACAATGAATAAAAGTGACGGATTTTAACTGTATCTGGTTTAAATGTAGATTTTGAAATATGGATAGGAGAATTCACATATGCTGGATTGGTTTGGAAATACAAGTTTTCATAGAAACCATCCTGAGGTAGAATTTTAAAAACAATTGAGTCGAGTGACATGTTAGTCCTTCTACTTTGTTCAATGTTCATTGCCGGAATGAATAATTCAACAAGTCCATCAACAACAACAACAACAACAACAAGTCCAACAACAAGAGGTTCTCGCGTTCGTCAACCGTGTGCGAAAAGAAAAAAAAAAAAAATCTTTCCCAAGTTTCACTGAAGGAAAAAAAAAAAAATTACCATCAATTGGAAATAGCATATCTTTATTCATTTCATCAGGTTCATCTAATCTATACATCGACATCAAACTTGACATCATGTCTGCTAATGATATACTTGACGTTTTAAACATTCAACGAGATGAATCATCGCAACAACCCGTTAGAAAGAAACAAAAGACTTCCGGATCAACTCCCACCGCACCGGATGGTAAACAATTAACAGGCATGGCAAGAGAATTGTACAATTTGGTTGGTCCAAATACACCACCTATAAATATTAACTCGAGTAATTATAATTCAAATAAAGAGAAATTTAAAAAATTTAAACCGTCACCCTGGACAAATATGCAATTCAAACCAAAAGAAGGTATTGTATTAAACCATTGGGTAAAAGGGTCCAAGGAATTATTAGAAGAAGAACAGAAAGAAGGAGAAATAAAACCGTATTTTTTTGAAAAATTCAATGTCAAATTGGAAATCCCCGAATTTGTTGATGAAGAGACTTTTGAGAAGTATATGAAAGAAATAAAAGAATATGAGAAGAAGTTGAAAGAAGAAAAAGAAGCAAGAGACAGAGAAAGAAAGGAGAGAGAATTAAAAGAATTAGACGAAAAGAAGAAGAAGCAACAATTACTTCAAAGTAAGCAAGAAGAAAAGAATAACAAGAAGCTTAGCAAGTTGCAAAAGAAGGAAGACCAAAAGAGCAAAGATAACAAGACTGATGACCAAAAAAATGGACAAGATAACAAGGAGGAAAACAAAAAGGATGATTCAACAAAAGATGAAAAAGTAGACGAAGAAAAGAAAAAAGAGTCAAAGAATCTGGATGATTTTGATAAGAATAAACAAGAGATAACAACTGAAGCAAGCAAAGACAATATTGACAAAAAGTCAAATGATGGACCTAAAACGGATTCCACCAATGAGAAGGAAAAGAAAGATGATACCGTGAAGGAAAAAGGAGAAGAGGGCAAAAACAAACCAGAGGAAGAGGAAGATGATACAGATCAACAATGGACATATCAAGAAACAAAACATTTATTCGAGCTTTGTCAAGCATTTGAATTAAAGTGGCCCGTAATCCATGATAGGTTTCCAAATCCATATCGTACAGCTGAAGATTTGAAGGAGCAATTTTATAGAATGTGCATTAAGATATTAGAGAACCAAGAGAGTAACAACCAGGCTTTGATTGATTCCCTTCGAGCATATTCAAAACCTCGAGAATTGGAACGAAAGATATATCTCGAAAACTTATTAAAGAGAACACCTGCCGAGATTGCCGAAGAAGAATCGTTAGTAATTGAAGCAAGAAGATTTGAGTTGGCAGCAAAGAAAATGTTGATGGAACGTTCTAATTTGTTGTCATTGTTGGATTCACCACAATCAACCCAAAATGTATCTCAATACCAATCGTCTCAAGGTATTACAAATCTTTATAATAATTTATTGGTATATGACAATCGCCAAAAGAAGAAATTAGCAAGTAAACACCCACAACAGCAACCACAAGATCCTGTACCTCCACCAATTCCACTTGTTGCTTCGTCTTCTATTAAAAGAGATCGTAGTTTCCAGACTCATTTGCAACAATACTTGTCCAGTTTATTAAAACAAAATCACCACACAAACCCTACTATCAAACAAGAAGCAAATGCAATACAACAATTATTGATGAAGAGATTAACACAAAAAGAAGAAGAAGCCTATGGTGTATACTATCATGGCACTGAAAAGTTAACTCCTGGTGTAAGCTTGCGATCGCAACAAAAGTTGCCGGGTTTAAATCAAAGACAATCTATTTTAAAGTCTGTTAATTTGATTTTAGAAGAAATGGATATTCCTACTGCCGGTGGAAACAATTGGAAACCTATTATGCCAACACGAAAAACCATGAGTAAATATGATGAATTGATTAGATCTGTAGTGACATTGTTGGATGTCAAAAAGGCAAAGGATAAATTGGAATCGGAAATTAAACTTATTAAAAGCCAAAGAGGTCTATAGTTTGACAATGTATATTATTGATGCATTTTTATTATTTATTTTTTGACGTTTCTTCTGGAAAAGCTTCCAATAGTGCTAATTTTCGTTACGATACGATACAAATATATCTGCATGAGTTTGAAGTGTTTCCTCTAAGTTTATTGTAGTCAAACTATGGAACCGGATCAGGATCCATCCGACGTTTGTGTGTGTCATATTTCCAGAATGTTGGTGATGTGGAAGTCGGACCGTAAAGCCTTATTTAAAAGGTGTTTCCGAAAATGACAAAAAAATTTGTCCCATTAAGGAATACACGGAAATGCAAAAAAAAAAGAAAAACATAGGATCGGATCGGAATTATGAAATCTTGGTCGTGTTGTTCTCCAAGTCTAATTAATATTTCAAGCGCCATACATCTCCACGTTTTTATCTTTAATTTCAAATTGTGGATATAAATAGAGACTAAATTGTCGTTGTATTTTTTGTTTTGAATTACCTTCATACATATATATATATATATATATATTGTTTCCCGAATATCCATTCATTACTTCAAGAATCTTAGGTTTTTGCATTTGATTTGACAATGACAGTTAGTACATCATTATCATTAACTAATCTTTTTAAACCAATAACAATTGGTAATGTCCAACTTGAACATAGAGTTGTCCACGCTCCAACTTCTAGAAAGAGATCAACAAAAGATAATTATCCTACTGACTATATGATTGACTATTATAAATCACGATCAAGAACACCTTCTTCTTTACTTATTTTTGAATCGTGTTTAATATCTGAAGAAACGGGCTTGATTCCATATAAATGTGGATTATGGAATGATAAACATTGTCTTGCTTTGAAGAAAATTGTTGATGAAATTCACGAGAATAATAGTTATGTTAGTATACAAATTATGGGAAATGGTAGAGTTGCCAATATCCCACTTATGAAAAGCAAAAATTTGCCAATTTTAGCACCATCTGCAAACTATGCCAATGAAGCTAGCGAAAAATTAGCTCAAGAGTTGGATTACCCTGTCCAGGAAATGTCAATTGAACAAATTCATAAAGCACAAGATGATTTTGTCAAAGCTGCCATTAATTCTTTGAATATAGCTGGTTTTGACTTTGTTGAATTACATGGTACTTCTGGATTTTTGATTGAACAATTCTTATCTCCTTTATCAAACAAAAGAACAGACGAATACGGAGGTAATGTTGCTAATAGGGCAAGATTTCTACTTGAGATTGTTGATAAATTTATCAATCATTCTGAAATTGGTAGTGCAAAGACTGCATTACGTATTGCACCATGGTATAGTATTAATGGGATGACCTATCCTGATGAAAACCCTGTTGAGAATGGTATGGCTTATCAGTTTTCAGAATATATTTTGCAACAATTGGAACTTAGAAAGAACCAAGGTAATGAATTAGCATATGTTTCTATTGTGGAACCAAGAGTTTCAGGAAATGGGGACGTGGAGCTGTTTGGGAATAAAAGTAATAATGAACTCATTAAAAATTGGTCTGGTAAATTAGTTCGAACTGGTGGTTATGCTACTAATTTTGATGTTACTAATCCCCTAGCAATCAAATCTAATAATATCATCAAGGATGACAATGGTGAAATTATGCACTATTCCAGTTTAATACAGGATGTAAATAATGACGATAGAACATTGATTGGGTTCTCAAGAGCATTCACCAGTAATCCGGATTTGATTGACCGTTTAAAAAATGACTGCAAATTGGAGTATTATGATCGTCCAACTTTTTATACCCAAACTGGGGAAGGTTATTTGACTTTTACAGATCGAGATGGAACTGTTATTACTAAGTTCTCAGAAGAAGAGCTTAGTCAAGAAGGTAGGTCTTTAGCATAGTTACATTATAATAGAAGATTTTGTTTATTTATTGACTCCATTCAGATAGTGGTTTAATTAATGACGTAGAATAGGCATTTCTATCATGTTTGTGTTTACTACATGTGGTAGTTATTTCGCGTTGTAGTTCGTGTAGGGGGGAGGCGCGCGCGTCACAATTTTTTTTTTTTTTTTTTTACTTTTTTTTTTTAAATTCACTTTTCTGTATTTGATATCACTCTTCTAGTTCTTCCTAAGTGAATCATTGTACCAGACATATCATTTATTATCAACTTCATGAATACAATAATACAGAATCTTTATACCCATATTTTCCTATAATACATAGCAATAATTATCAATGAGTCAAGATCACATATCGGATTCCGAGAATGACGAGAATCAGGACACATTAATCATTGACAAGAAATTGTTGTCAAATCAATTACTACAACTAACGCCAACCAAAAGAGAGGTGACGCGGAAACGACTACAAGAGTTGACTAATATATCATTCGAAGTTATTGATGAGACTAAACAATCTACAAATGAAGACCTACCCGTTATTAACGATCTACTGCCAAGTAATAATGACATTAATGAGGATAGCGACGAGTCAGATATGGATACATTAGATTTGATTCGAAGACTACCGCCAAAAGTAACTTCTAATATATCAAGAACTACGTCAATCTCACATGATAGGGAACCTGAAATTCCAGGTACTACAACAAATACCACAACTCACGACGATCAAGAAAATGAACATCATCTACAGTCCTATTTGAATACAACAAACTCATATATCACGATGTCAGGACGAAGTTTGAGAAAGAGAAATTTTGCAAGTACCCATCCATACCTTGCTGACCAAGCGCATTATTTGGGTCTATCAGATATCAATTATTTAAATGAAATCTATGAAGAAAATCATCAAAATTTGGAGGATGTCGTCAGATATTTGAATTATAATTACATAAAACTTAAAGGAAGATACCCAAAGGATGAGAAGTATAAGAGTAAAAGTTTCTACACAATAATCAGTCGACAATCTCACATTGCGCAAGAGAATGAACGTCAAGAAGAAAAAGAATCACAGAGTAAAGTTGACAACGATGAGCATCCAGAGAATAGTGACCTAGATAACGAGGATAATGACGATGAAGAAAACAACGAATTTACATTACATGGCTACAATTCTCAAGATTATGAAACTGATGAATCAAGTAACGAGCCGGATGATCTGTTGGAAAAATTTAGACGACACCATCCTATGATTATTGATGATGATGACATCGATCAATCGGACTCGGACTCTGATAAGTCAGAAGCATATGTTCAAGTTGGTGGGAAATTTAGAAAAGAAAAGAATGCATTAAGAGGTGTGCTACCAGAATCTGCTAAGAGATTGTCAATTTATACGTCTGCCAAAAAACTAACACGCAAACAAAGGCAATTTGACAATCTAGTGAAGCCTAGGAAGGGTATGGCCGTTAGGAAGACGGTAAGAAGACGGGCTAGAGAACGTGATGACTTTAGTGGATTTGTTGATGATAACATTACTTATGATACTAACAACGAGCTTTATCACGAATTATATGATCAACCAGTTGAAATTGAACCATCTGTTGCACAAAATTTTCATTCTTTTGATAACAGTGATCCGTTTTCTGATGCTTCTTCATCATCAGAGGTTGATGAGCTGGATCACGACAGTGATCTAGATATATTTGGTGTTAATGGGACCGTGGCTGTTGAACCTGATGAAGAGCTATATGCTGGTGATGTTGCATCTAACCTGGATATGATACCGCCAGTTTATGAAGTTTTGGACTCTTCAGATGTCGACAAGAAACAAAGTGAATCATCAGATGTATTTGATTTTGAGGTTCCAGAAGGTGACTATATCAATCATATGCTATCAACGGGTTCAAGGGGTAATCTGAAGGGTAAAAAGCGTCAGCTGAATGGTACAGAACCTAGAATTTCCAATTCAAAATATTATAAAGCGAATGCAAGAAGGAACCCAAGATTATCGAAAAGTTTAAAAAGTTTAAGTTCAGGTGCACGAGAAAGCTCATTTGGTGGCTTGCATTATAGGAGCAGAAAGCCCAAGAAGAATGACATCACAAACTATTCAGGTATTTGGTCTTCTGGTAAGAAATCTAAGACATCAAGAAAATCGCTGGATGACTCTTATAGTAGGTTGCGAGTTAAAAAAATTTCAATGCCTAGAGATCTCCATGAAACGAGGAAATCTAAATCTTCTATCAAGACCAGAGTCAAGAAGCATAATATAACTATGCATAAAGATGCCAGAAACCAAATGACTAGACGTACTAGAGATTTGTTTGCTAATGATTATTTATTCCTGAGAACTCCTGTTCTATCCACTACGATATTTGAAGCTGAAAGTAAGACGAGATTTGTTAACAATATGAATAGAACTATTAATCCTTCGGCTCCACAAATTGCTCCCGAGCTTCTTTTCGGATCGCAGCCAATTTTCGACCATGGTTGCTTGTTAAATGAGATTAACCTCAAAAAAATCACTGATTTAGCAAGTGGGAAATTTTATCAGATGAATAAAGATTCCGTTACCATTAATGATTTAGGTGAGCCGGTTGTTCTTACATTGGTAGATATCGACGGGTCAACTTTGAGGTATGAAAAATCATTGAACAATTTAGCAAAAATTTTCAAAAATGGTCAAATGGCTATTGAAAGTATAATGATGTTGTTCTATACTACTATGAAAGACTTTTTGATATGGAATTTAATACTTCAAAGAACACCAAATCCTAGACAGTGGAAGTTAACTCAATTGTTGGTATTGAATATTTTGAATTGCAATACATTGACATCAAGCATGATAAAAACCATGATCCCTTATTGTTTACTCTTGCAATACACAATGGCAATGATTTCTCAGCTCAATGATTTCAATGCAAATTTTGATTTGACACAAGTTAGTGTGAGATATTGGCATTTATTTTTTGACACTTTCTCACTCGACACATTTGAATCATACAACATTGATACTGGGGCAAAACTGAAAGAGGCAGAATCTTTCTTCATCATGTGTGCGTTATTAGACAATGAAAAGAAATGGTGGTCTACAATTTCTTCAGCCATAGAACTGTATGATCCAATGGATATTAACGTTCTATTAGAAGCAGTGTTTTGCATAAGTTCTATTCCTCAGAATCATCTTTCTTGGAACCCACTACAGTTAGTGTACCTGAAAGCAGACTATTCGACATATCCAGAATTTTATTACAGATATCTCGAGATTGTTTATTTAATGAATCAGAGAAATAATTGGCCCATTGATGAAAAGATTGTGTTGCAAATTTATGCCTCGATCACTGTGAGAAAGTTTGCTAATTTTCCTGACGAAATTGGATTTCCTGAATTAATGAGTAAAGTTTCAACAAGACTGGATATACCAGGTGATACTTTTTTCGAACAATTCATGCAACTATTATATTGGTATATTTCAGGATTATCAGATCCATCAAAAGTTAAAAGATTGGTTACCAAACTATTTTCAAATAACAGTTTTCTGTACACCGATGATCACGAACACCGTATCATGTTTACCAATAGATTAAATTTTATCATCTTGTTGGCTCTGGTTTCGAGTGTTGATTTGAAAACCCAATTGACGAACTTGCTAGCATCCACTCAACTGGTAAATGATATGAAATTCTTAAAATTGGCTGCAAATGGAGTATTGACATTAACAGAAATATCCATGTCTAGGAAACTAAAATTACCAATTGAAGGAATATCTCTGGTAGTCCAATGTTGTATTTGTAATTATTTTACAGGTATAGGTGTTTTGAAATTTTGGAACAAATTTGTAAACTCCATAAGAGATTTATTGAGTGAGTCGTTGGATTACGTACCGCATATGGTTCAGTTTTTGGCATTATCGAAAGTTATAGATGGCAAGAATATTCCTGATAGGATTAACACTGATATTTTCCAGCTCTACTCCATTATTGCAGCATCTTTGGTTAAACAAAAACACTTGGTGATGCCTAAATATAGAAAGTCGATAGAACAGTTAGAGGAGTGCGTTTCTTTCCTTCTTCAGAAACAAATGGGTCGAATTCCGTTACCAAGTGTCAATGAAGAAAGCAAGGTGGTTGATTTGGTTGAAATTTTGATTTCTATCTGGGTTCTGTGTGTTTATTTGTTAAACGGGAATTGGGAACAACTAGTTTTGCAGACATTTCCGTACACGGGAAACCATCAGCTGCGTGAAAAGTTCGTTCTATATTTCTATGCGAATATCTTGAAATTCTATGATTTGAAAACTTGTCAAGATATTGTAACTACATCAGTTTTGAAAGACTTGGTAAGGTTCAGTCCCTCTTGTTATTTAAGTGAGTTGATGAGAAAATTAACCAAAGATAAATGGGATCTCTTTGTTTTTCCAAATAATGATAATATCACTTCTACGACAATTGAAAATTCGAGACACACTGTTATCACGTCCATAATTAGGAATATAACGCATTCACGTAAGTGCAGTAAAGTGGAACAGCGATTATTCATTCAGGAAATACTCACGACCTTGAATTCCGAATTTGAAAAGTATTACTCGTCTACAAAATATAAAGTATTCTGTTCCAGTGTTGTCAAAGAAATCCAAAAACAGTGCGACCCGGATATTGTGGATGAATCCACGGTACATAACTTGGCTTCAAGAGTTGGTATACTGGAAAATGAATGGACTCAATTTAAAATAAAAAAATTACCTTTGAAGCAGAAATTACAAACATTTGCTACTGAATTTCATAATGCGCTATATTTTGGAGGTGATTATGTGTCTGTTCTTGAAAAATTCACGTTTGGAGACGGGGTTGAATTGATTTACCATTTGGTTTCCATTTATGCACAAGATATACTGATTGGGAATTCTACAAAGTGGAGAATAATACATGTGTTCTTGGATTTTTTGGATAGTAATATTAGATGTTTCAAGTTTCATATATTAAACGTTAATTTTAAAAGATTCTTGAGATTGCTTATGGAGCTACCAACCATCATGTGTCCTATTTCCATATCTGACAAATTTTTCAGAATTTCCGCCATGAGATCAATATGTTCAATTTTAAATTTTTGTAAAACATTATTCAACGGGTATAGTGACAGAAATGAAATCCAAGATATGTGGACTTCATTCAAAGGAACTTCTCGACAGGAACAGTATGAATCGCAAAATTTGGCATGTTCTTATTCTTCATTTAAGTTATTGGATATAATCGATGGTGGATTTTCAAATGAACCATCGTTTGAAGACATCACCCAGGACAATTTGGACATAGCCAAAAGAATGTTGATTTCGGAGACCTTCCTTCTTAAAACCAATATGATTGATTCTGAGAATAGAACACTTGACTTTGATTTTGTATTTTAGATTGCATATATAGGTTTATATTAGTATAGTTCTTAGATGAACTCTGTCAGAAGAATGTCAAGCATCTATGCATGTTCCGTCAATCAGTATACAAATTACGTGCAATTTCATTATAAATCCGACATAATCTGGATAGAACTTTCTTCCAACATTGGTTATTTAAAGAGAAGAAGTATTCCTCAATTAGTTCGATGTGTTTCGCTTTAGTGGTGCTATTAATTAAAATTTCATTGGCCCATTTCATCTGATTCATGGAATTCTTTTTGCTCTCCCCTCCCCCACATTATTTTTCCTTTATGCATAAGAATTTAATTGCAGCGCAAAGTTTATCGGAAAAATCACCGCGGATTTAAGATTGAATGGAAAATTGGAGAAAAAAAAAAAAGAAATAAAGAAGAAAAATCTCAACAGATCCCTGCCCAATATGATCAACCATGTATTCTTTTTATATCGCCACCAATTACCATGTCACAGGGAACTCAAAATGATTTAGACTTATTGATAACATCATCGTCATCATCATCACCATCGGCAACACCTAAACCAGAATTTCAGAATATTAGACATGAAGTTGAATTTGAAGGAGAAATCTTAACCATAGATTCAACTAATTGGAGGTTATCTAAACTATTAAAGCTTCAGATTTTAACTTCATTTGCTGTATTCATCTTATTTGGATTAGCCGAACAAACAGTGGGTACGATTCTTCCAAAATTACAAGACCATTACTCTATTAATGATATACAAATTAGTTTCATATATTTTTGTTCAGTGACTGGTTATTTGGTCACCGCCATGGTTAATAGTATCACACATGATTATTTGGGTATTCGAGGAGTCGCTGTACTTGGTTCTACTTCCATGACGCTAGCATATTTAATAATTTCGCACAAACCTCCGTTCTCTGTTTTCTTGATTTGTTACTTTATGAGTGGAGTTGGATTTGGGACATTGGATGCGTCTTTAAATACGTGGATGGGAAATTTAACAGATTCAAATCAATTATTGGGTATTCTACATGGATGTTATGGAGTTGGTAGCTTGATTTCTCCAGCATTGATAACTTATCTTTTATCCAAGCCGGAGAATCGGTGGGAATGGAATAATTATTATGTCGTTTTGAGTGTAATTGCAGGATTGTGTTTGACAGCAGTGATTTTGACTTTCTTGTATGAAACTCCTAAGAAGTACAAATATATGGCACAATTGCGCCATGAAAAAGCCAAACAACCAAACATAATGGAGATGGAAATGGATTTGTATAAAAATAGTACCAATGAACAAGAATTTGAAGTTGAAGTTGATGACTTTGAAAACAATGGTTATTCCGATAATAATGATGACGATAGCCATACTGCTAGCTTTACACAAACGTTGAAGTCACCATTAGTTTGGTCATTTGCTATCATCCTATTTATTTATGTTGGTGGTGAAGCAGCGTTCGCCGCCTGGATGGTTTCATTTTTAACAAGAATGGATATATTAGATTATGTTGGGGCTTCTCATATGGCAACAACTTTTTGGTGTGGAGTAACAATTGGTAGAATCTTTCTTGGATTTGTTACTGCTCATTTCTTTAGTACAGAACTATGGGCTAATTTTGTGTACATTCTTATCTCATTTATTGGTTGTGTGATGTTTTACCTTCTAGCGTTCACTCATTGGACAGTTCTTTTGTTTATTGTGGTGTTGATAACCGGAACTGCAGTCGGTCCTATTTTCCCTACTACAATTGTCTCACTGGTCAATATCTTGCCTGTCAAATACCAAGTATCTGGAATTGGATTTATTTGTGCCTTTGGAGGTGGTGGTGGTGCTGGAATGCCGTTTCTTATCGGGCTTTTAGCTGAATCAAGTGCTGCGGGTCTCCGCAACTATCCACTAGTTATCAGTGTTATGTTTGGTATTCTTCTAGTAGTATGGCTATTGATAATGAGAAAGTACTCCAAGAATTATAAGCGAAATAATTTATAGAAATCTGAAGAATATACATACTTACTACTATTTAACGCATATACAACAAAAAAATATACTAAGCGAAAACAAAACAAACCGAAAACAATGTAAACAAAATCTAAAAAACGAAAATACAAACTAATTGTTACATAACAGTAAAAACTTTGAATCCAACAACTAGTAAAAACAAAAACATAACAAGAAAAACACTAATAAATAAAAGAGAATGATTCAATTTTAAAACATGATGGATAATACTGTGAAAATAGCGACCATCCATGAAGAAACTTGAGCGAACGATGAAGAGCCTTCATAGGTAGAGACAGTAACCGAGTTGTACCCAGATGCCGATGCTTGTGGAACGGATGTAGAACCTTGTGGGGTAACAAAACTACTTTCAGTACTAGTAACCAAAGTAGATGGTGTGACTCGACTGGTGCCCACGGTTCCTTCAGTAGTAGAATCACTTGTGGTTGGAGCTCCTTCAACACCAGGGCTGGATGCAGATTCCTCAGCAGTATTAGTATTAGTAGCAGTAGTAGTAGTAGTATCTGGGTGGTCGTTACCATCTGTAGCAATCGAAGCAACAGCATCCTCAGAATGGGATGTGTCAACATTAGAACCAGCACCGGATCCAGAACCAGATGGTTGAACAGTAGAAGCGGCAGTGTTTGGTAAGCCATCGGTTTGTGGAACCTGTTCAGAAGCGATGTCACTTGGAGATCCTGTACCAGAAGGAGAATCAGCAGTTGGTTGTGGACCTGAAGTGGAACCAGCATTGTTATCACCACCAGATGATGCAGTGGAAACAGAGGAATCAACATTACCTTCACCTGGAACATCTTGAGATTCAACTGGCGTTTCACCGCCTTCAGTTGATGGGTTTGGAACAACAGTTGTTTCGGTGGTTTGGGAGGTAACAGTAGTGGTGAATCCTTCTGGTTGAGAAGTGGTATCGTCACTATCGGACGATGATTGTTGTTGTGGAGCACCTTCGGATTCAGTTGGAACGTTACCACCTTCAGTTGATTCTTGTGGAGCACCTTCGGATTCAGTTGGAACGTTACCGCCTTCAGTTGATTCTTGTGGAGCACCTTCAGTTGATTCTTGTGGAGCACCTTCAGTTGATGGGTTTGGAACAACAGTAGTTTCGGTGGTTTGGGAGGTAACAGTAGTGGTGAATCCTTCTGGTTGAGAAGTGGTATCGTCACTATCGGACGATGATTGTTGTTGTGGAGCACCTTCGGATTCAGTTGGAACGTTACCACCTTCAGTTGATTCTTGTGGAACACCTTCAGTTGATTCTTGTGGAACACCTTCAGTTGATTCTTGTGGAGCACCTTCGGATTCAGTTGGAACGTTACCGCCTTCAGTTGATTCTTGTGGAGCACCTTCGGATTCAGTTGGAACGTTACCACCTTCAGTTGATTCTTGCGGAGCACCTTCAGATTCAGTTGGAAGTTCGTCGATTTCAGTTGACGAGAATGAAATTGTAGCTTCAGTGCTTATACAAACGGATTTAGAAATAGATTCTTTTGAAACTGAGGATAAGTAAGAAGAACCAATATACAGTTGACCAATTGTTGAGTCAGTTTCACTTGCTCCAAATGATCCGGTAGTTTCTTGTGACTCGTGACTAATTTCTGATTCAAAAGTAACAATTGATTCGTCAGCAGACAATGACTTATGTGAAGTGGAACTTTCAACACTCAACCAATCCTCAGTCAATGAAGAAGAAACCGACGAGGTAACCAACTCACTTGAAGATACGCTTTCACCGAACGATGATACATCGTTTGTGGAACTAGAAACATAAAAATCAGCGGTTGAAAACTCCTCCTCATTAGTATGTGATAACGAAGATGCAGAAATGGTAGTGTTGTAATAGTGTGGCCCACTGCTACTTGGTAACACGGGAACAACCGACGAAATTGGTTCGACGACCAAAACAGTGTCAGTTTCACCTGGTGGGTTGGTGTAGGTGATGGTGGTTGCAGCAGAAACAGAACCATACTCAGTGGTGGTGACAGTTGGGTTCAATGGGTCGATGACCAAAACAGTGTCAGTTTCACCTGGTGGGTTGGTGTAGGTGATGGTGGTTGCAGCAGAAACAGAACCATACTCAGTGGTGGTGACAGTTGGGTTGATTGGTTCAATGACGTGAACAGTGTCGGTACCACCGTGAGTAGCAGTTTCGGTATAAGTAGTAGCAACAGAAACATCTTCGTATTCGGTGGTAGTAACAGTTGGGTTCAATGGGTCGATAACCAAAACAGTGTCAGTTTCACCTGGTGGGTTGGTGTAGGTGATGGTGGTTGCAGCAGAAACAGAACCGTACTCAGTGGTGGTGACAGTTGGGTTGATTGGTTCAATGACGTGAACAGTGTCGGTACCACCGTGAGTAGCAGTTTCGGTATAAGTAGTAGCAACAGAAACATCTTCGTATTCGGTGGTAGTAACAGTTGGGTTCAATGGGTCGATGACCAAAACAGTGTCAGTTTCACCTGGTGGGTTGGTGTAGGTGATGGTGGTTGCAGCAGAAACAGAACCGTACTCAGTGGTGGTGACAGTTGGGTTGATTGGTTCAATGACGTGAACAGTGTCGGTACCACCGTGAGTAGCAGTTTCGGTATAAGTAGTAGCAACAGAAACATCTTCGTATTCGGTGGTAGTAACAGTTGGGTTCAATGGGTCGATGACCAAAACAGTGTCAGTTTCACCTGGTGGGTATTGTGTAGGTGATGGTGGTTGCAGCAGAAACAGAACCGTACTCAGTGGTAGTAACAGTTGGGTTCAATGGGTCGATGACCAAAACAGTGTCAGTTTCACCTGGTGGGTTGGTGTAGGTGATGGTGGTTGCAGCAGAAACAGAACCATACTCAGTGGTAGTAACAATTGGGTTGATTGGTTCAATGATGTGAACAGTGTCGGTACCACCGTGAGTAGCAGTTTCGGTGTAGGTAGTAGCAGCAGAAACAGAGCCATATTCAGTGGTAGTAACAGTTGGATTTGGTACGGGGGTTTCAACATACACAGTGTCTACTGAATCAGTTGAAGCGGTAACAGTATATAATGTGGTTCCTTCACCAGTCCAAGATGTGTAAACGGTGGTTGTGGTATGATACGGTTCATCAACAATAACGGTAGCAGTTCCACCAATTGTACCTGTAATGGTGGTATAGGAAGTAGTGACACCGACATATGAAGTTGTGATTGTTGTTGTTGGAATTGGTTCAATAACTTCGACTGTTTTAGTATGATCTTTACTTGGATCAAAAGGTAAAGTAGTAACACTAGTAGTTGATTGTGTACCGGTTCTTGTAGTGATAACTAAAATAGCCCCATTACTATCGGCTGTTTGAGTGTTATAAGTACCCCAGTCATAGTGAGTAGGATGCTCAAGAGATTCACCATCTGCACAGACAACACTATACTTGTAGTCAAAACCCATTTTCCCTTTAGGAGTAACCATAACATCAAAGAATGGTCTGAAACCGGCAGGAACACTTTCAAATGAAAGAGTGAAACTTCCTTCATTACAGGTTGGTTGTTTTGAGAAATTCTGTTCGGAATTAGTTGGGTAGTTCCACGGATTAATAAAATTAGTCATACCAACATGTACCTGGGCACAGTCAATATCAGCACCATTATTTGTATTCAAAGATATAGTACCACTTTTAAAACCACTTGGACAATCAGGAGCAATGACAAGGTGGGTCATTTTCTCAAGTGATGGAATTGATCTGGCATTGGCAATTAAATCGCTTCTAGAAGCACCTGTAGGTTCGAAATTGGCAGTAATCGAAAGTTTGTTATCACCATCTTGGAAAGTGACAATATTATCACCAGTAGTAAAACAAGTAGAATCTTGCAAACTGACAGAAGTACCAGTGCCACCAACATTGAAAGTAAATGGAATTGTAACAGTACCAAAGGCCTGGATGTTAGATTTCAAAGCGTCCTTAACAACACATCCAACACTTGAAAATGCAGTAAATTCTTCACCAGCATGAAAGGTACATGTAGCATAGTTCACACCGTTTGCTGTTAAATCAATAGTAGTCTGTTCAGTGATAAATTTAAAAACACAAGGCATAATCAAGGTGAATGTATCACCTGGATTGACCTTAGTACCATCCAAAGACCATCCCAATGTTGCTTTCCAAGTAGGACTAGCTGGACCTCTAAAATCATTCAGATCTTCGTTCCATTTTAATGAATCAAAGGAAGTGAAAACACCAGAAATTTCCTTCGGTGCCACCAAAGTAGCCAAAGACAGTAATAGCAAACCAAATCCAATGAGCTTCATATTGAATAGTGATTGATTCGTAGATGACTTGGTTACAATGAAAAATTCGATAAATCCGAGGGAATTCAATCCTCTATTTATGTGAAATTCTTCATGGCTCTGAAATGCTATTCAACAAGCTGGAATGATTAGATAAATCATAACTCTGCACAACTTTCATATTGAAAGGTAATGTCGGGAATGTTTAGAATTCTCATAAAGGTCATATTGGTCAAAATTCTAACCACAGGATTCAGTTAGACAATGCAGGAATTTCTGGGTTTATTCATATCAACATTTTGTGAATAGAACGTTAAATAGTTGTGAAAAAAAAAAAAAAAAAAAAAAAGAAAAGAAAATTTTCACATCAACTCCTTTTTTTTTGTTCTGTCCAATTCTCGCTTTGGATTTGTTTTGTTCGCATTAAATGGAAGCATAAAATCATAGTGTATCTAAGGGCTACATACAAATCGGTTTTCCTTTAAAGCTATGTGATACCAACTATCAATTAATTAGAAACAATTTGTCAAACTATGCTATGGGTAGGGTCCTCCCAAGTTTGCAGTTTAAAAGGGGTCTTCATAATTTAATAAAAGAACATGAAGGTTTCCCTGTAAACTAAAAATAGTGCATTAGTCACTTACATGAAACAGTTTAGTTCGCCACATGGTTAACAAATAATGTACTAACCCCCCCCCAAAGAAGTATTATTTCGTAATAGTGATAATAGTTAAAAATATTTTGACTCAAATAATTTCAATAGGGTTATTATACTTTGGTTTGGAGAACAAAATTTAAAAGAGAGTTGGTTAGATCGTTGGTATTGTATTTCGTAGAAAATAACACTGATTGACACTACAACCGTTATAGATTTACTTTTATCTACTTTCTTTAATTGTTTGCCATAAACCCGTAGCTAGTGCATCTTATCATGATGCTCATCATCGTCAGTTGCCCAAGAGCATTTCAGCCAATAGTTGCTTACGATTAACCTAGGTAATTGCTCTTAACCATGCATGAAAAACTAGAATCAAAATTCCCGTTCTTTCATGTAAAGAATTTTTAGTCAGCATTTGAATTGCAACAGTTTATTGAAACTACTGTGCTAGTGCCGAATCCACTTTCATGACATCATAACCTTCTACCTCTTCTAGCCACAAAAAAAAATAAGTTAGAAACTGGGAGTGAAGAATAGAGTAATTGTTCAAGTGCAATTATTCTTTCGGGTTTCCTGCTAACCACCACAAGAAATAATGTTTAGGTATTTGAACTATATTCAGAAGTAGTTCTCATAATTATTATCCAAATGATAATGTTGATCGCTTATCTATCAAAATGGCTTTGTTGAACCTATATAAATATAATGAATGAAAGATTTGAGACATTCCATTTGTACTATAAAGGTGGGTGATATTATCCGATCAGTTTCCAGGTATTTCATGTTCCAAGTGAGTTAAAATTAGAACACGCTACTTCTTTTTTGTGTTCATTTTTTATTGCTTAAGGTAATTTGCCACGAGTTTGAAAAATTTTGTGCCACAGGTGTTCAACCAAATCCTGACCTCCCCTTTGCTATTCCTCTCTTCCTCCTCCTCCTCCTCCTCCTGCCCCCCTCCATGTATACATTTATGGATCAAAGACGAAGATGTACAAAATGGCAGAGAAAAGATAAACCTGTCGTGTGATTTATATAACAATCGTTTACTATCACCAAATATGCTGGAATGAAAGATCTATTTTGAATAAGAATATGATTGTTTCCAACAATAATTTTATAAAGTCTAGCTTCGTACAGCTCGCAAAGATACGAAGCGATGAGCTGATGCTATTTCGTCCATTGTAATGAGATAATCATTACTTTGGCATTTTCAATTTGCTGGAGAATTTCTAGTAAGGGCGTCCTAATACATGATGTTAAAGTGATGTATTTTTACACGGGCGTGTAGATGAATGCTAATGACTTTCCGGTTGAGGAATAAAGTTGGCCAATAGTGAAATAAATGAATAAAAATAACTGCTTCCATACATAACCATTGCACTTCCTCAAGAATTTAAAGGGTAGCGTGCATATGAAATTGTCTGAAGCGCAATTCTTTAAATTTGTCTTATTTTTTTGTTATTACTAAAGAAGACAGCCATGTCTAATTTTGTACATTTTTACAAGAACAACTATTTCATGTTTAATTCATGTCCAAACTAATGTAAATCACTTGCATTCATTCTTCTAGAAGAACATTTGGTGTATGTTTGCGCGCTTATGTCAAGTGTATTGTCGTCCCTTTCTTTCTAACTTCAATACACCAAACTTCCAATTTATCGGTCTGTTAGTTTCACATGTGCATAATGACGTTGTTCTGACAATACAGTGTTAAAGGAAGGGGGAAACAAGTAGCAGGTCAAATTCAACTTTATCCAAACGAAACGTCTTCTTGAAGGTGTAAACTAAAAATAACAAAGTTCCCGGCTGTAGTTCACTGTATTGTTGATCAACGCCTCTAGTCCATTATACATTCATCTCTTATATTTATCGATCACGGGGTAGTCAAAAACACGAAATTTTAGGCACTTTTGTTACCAACTCTAAAAATATACCATAGTCCATATTCTTTGCTCGCTAATGTTAAGAATTAATCAAATGTTTATCATCGCCTTGTTTTAGTTTTTTTTTTTTCTGCTTCTTCTTTTTCTTCTTTCTTGTTAGTTTTACGCACGCTTGTCCAACCCGAACCACCAGCTTAAACATTCTTCTGCTACATGTACTTGAAAAATTCTCATGTACCATAAAAATTCACATCATATTTTTATATCTTAATCGTATGATACTTGGCATTGGAATTACTTTGAAATGCTAATACCTAATACAAGACTGATGATAGCTAGATGCGCCAGTTCTCTAAATACAAAAGTTGGCTAAGAGAAATCCTCAACTATGCGTGTACTCGAAACAAATTTTTGATCATCTACCCGAGAAGGGAGTGGCTATCATATCAAATTTATACCAAGCTTTGGATATTTGTTTCAATGAGGATATATTGATAATATATTTATAGTGTGATGAGCTGCTGATTAGTCCCTTAAAGTTATGGCTTTCGGTTTTTCTTTTTCTAGTAGAAACCAATTTTATTACTGAATTGGTTAAATTTTCAAAGTAAATTATGTGACATCTACGTTTTACCTAAAATTTCACATTTCTATCACACACCGGATCTTTAATTCAATCCATTATAACTACAGAAAATAGGTAAAACTCCTAGTAGCAATTTTATCAACTTTGAACCCCCCTTTTTTCTGCTTTAGTTTAATGACACAGTTATTATGAATATTGATTTCACCACTCGTGATTGGTTGACTCAATATCTTCCGAGGCACAAAAAAGAAAAAAAATTCCCTCATTTCATAGTGAAATTTTCGGCCGAGTTTAAGATACAAAAAAAGAAGTAAACAAACGCGTGAATCCATAAAAAATTAAAATAAACAACAACAAACCAAGTTATTCAAAAACACGCGTATACCGTGGTTTAAATCAATTGTTTCTACCAAGTACATGAAATTATTGTTCCTGGCATGACGAATTCAATTAAAATCAATGAGAATTAATAAGTTCATAGGGTCAGGATATAAAATGTCTTTGTTAACTGACCATATTTGCTCATATCATATGTTGAATATATATACACATATATTAATATGAATTAAATGTAGTCACAGATTACACGTGTAACAGAATTATTGGTTGCTGTAAGTTAAACATTTTCCTTCAAATAGTACAAAATAATCTTGACACACCGATATATGATACCTACGTTCACTTTAATTAGAAATACAATTAAAAAAGACTGTATATATTACTATACTCACAGGTGCCATAAAACAAATATAGTACACATTGCAAACCGAAAAATATGTAAACGGAAACTAAAAAAATAATGCAAAACAAAAAACAATCAAAAATATACGAAACGAAAATAATAATGTAAAATATAACGAGAATAACAAAATCAAGAAATAGTAACTGATTTAAATCTTAAACTTCTTAAGTCTAAAACATGATGGATAATACTGTGAAAATAGCGACCATCCATGAAGAAACTTGAGCGAACGATGAAGAGCCTTCATAGGTAGAGACAGTAACCGAGTTGTACCCAGATGCCGATGCTTGTGGAACGGATGTAGAACCTTGTGGGGTAACAAAACTACTTTCAGTACTAGTAACCAAAGTAGATGGTGTGACTCGACTGGTGCCCACGGTTCCTTCAGTAGTAGAATCACTTGTGGTTGGAGCTCCTTCAACACCAGGGCTGGATGCAGATTCCTCAGCAGTATTAGTATTAGTAGCAGTAGTAGTAGTAGTATCTGGGTGGTCGTTACCATCTGTAGCAATCGAAGCAACAGCATCCTCAGAATGGGATGTGTCAACATTAGAACCAGCACCGGATCCAGAACCAGATGGTTGAACAGTAGAAGCGGCAGTGTTTGGTAAGCCATCGGTTTGTGGAACCTGTTCAGAAGCGATGTCACTTGGAGATCCTGTACCAGAAGAAGAATCAGCTGTTGGTTGTGGACCTGAAGTGGAACCAGCATTGTTATCACCACCAGATGATGCAGTGGAAACAGAGGAATCAACATTACCTTCACCTGGAACATCTTGAGATTCAACTGGCGTTTCACCGCCTTCAGTTGATGGGTTTGGAACAACAGTTGTTTCGGTGGTTTGGGAGGCAACAGTAGTGGTGAATCCTTCTGGTTGAGAAGTGGTATCGTCACTATCGGACGATGATTGTTGTTGTGGAGCACCTTCGGATTCAGTTGGAACGTTACCACCTTCAGTTGATTCTTGTGGAACACCTTCAGTTGATTCTTGTGGAACACCTTCAGTTGATTCTTGTGGAGCACCTTCGGATTCAGTTGGAACGTTACCGCCTTCAGTTGATTCTTGTGGAGCACCTTCAGTTGATTCTTGTGGAGCACCTTCAGTTGATGGGTTTGGAACAACAGTAGTTTCGGTGGTTTGGGAGGTAACAGTAGTGGTGAATCCTTCTGGTTGAGAAGTGGTATCGTCACTATCGGACGATGATTGTTGTTGTGGAGCACCTTCGGATTCAGTTGGAACGTTACCACCTTCAGTTGATTCTTGCGGAGCACCTTCGGATTCAGTTGGAACGTTACCACCTTCAGTTGATTCTTGTGGAGCACCTTCGGATTCAGTTGGAACGTTACCACCTTCAGTTGATTCTTGTGGAACACCTTCAGTTGATTCTTGTGGAACACCTTCAATTGATTCTTGCGGAGCACCTTCAGATTCAGTTGGAACGTTACCACCTTCAGTTGATGGGTTTGGAACAACAGTAGTTTCAGTGGTTTGGGAGGTGACAGTAGTGGTGAATCCTTCTGGTTGAGAACTTGTAGAAACAGAAGTTGTACCTGATGTTGAACTAGAAGATTGATTTTCAATATCAGATGGTACTGGTTCAGAAATGGATTCTTCAAGTCCAGTCTCAGTTAAACTACCCGAAGCTTCAGTGCCGGGAGCAGATTGAACGTTAGATACAGATACAGAAACAGTATCAGGTAATGGTGTGTCAGTAGATGATGTAATGGACAAGGAAGACTCAATAACGGATGAAGTAACTTGCAGCAAGGAAGCAGATACAGAAATAGACCCAGCATCACTTACAGACTCACTAGAATATATTTGAAGAACAGATGATTCAGATTCAAGACTAGTAAAAGAAACAGTAACAATAGATTGCTCAGTATCCTCAGACACACTTTCAACATTAGATGATCCTTGAATTGATGACGATACAATAGTTATTTCACTTCCAGTTTCACTTATGGTAGAAGAAGAAAATGAAGTAAGTTCACTTGCTGATTGAATATCAGACAAAGAAGACAGTTCCTCCTTGTATGTAGTTGAATCAATCATAGAAGAACCCGTTGACATAACAGTTGAGCTTTCAGCACCAGAGTCCAACCTACTTGATCCAACAGAAGACATACCTTCTATCGAGGTTGAAGAGACGTCATTATTTGATGTCTCGTCACTAGATGATGGTACCAATGTCACAGATGTTTCAAGGAAAGACGAAGAGTCCCATGAAGATACTTTCGATCCGAGAACAGAAGACTCTGTTGTTGTAGTTGACCAAGAGACCCCAGTGACAGATTGAGATTCTATAGCAAAGGAAGATGAAGCTTCATCCGAACTTGAAATAACCGACGACAAAGTAGAGTCACTAGAAATTCCATCATTACCAGAACCATCAGACGAAGATACCAAGTTACTGTTGATGTCACTGATAGAGGCGACAAAACTTGAAGACTCAGTAGCAATAAGTTCACTACTGGTAATTGAAGCAATAACACTTGAATTCTCAATAGTAGACAGGGCAGTAGATGATGATTCAGAGATAGAAATATCTGTGGATGATGAAGAAGAAAATTCAACAGCAGTATCAGTATCAACTGAGCTTGGGGTGTCAGTTGAATCGCTGAGTCCAGAATTCAAATCCACAGACAGTTCAGTAGATGAAGAAACATTCTCAACTGAACTGTTTGAATAATGTGGATAACTGTTGGAAGGTAACACAGGAATAGCTGATGATGATTCTAAAGCATCAGATGAATACGTAGTGGATTCAGTATTGGAGGATACAGCAACAGTGGATTCTAAATCAGATGATTGTGCAGTTGAACTTTCAACAGTAGAAGAAGCAACAGAAGAAGGTTCAGCAGAAGAAGGTTCAGCAGTGGAAGATTCAGCAACAGTGGATTCTAAATCAGATGATTGTGCAGTTGAACTTTCAACAGTAGAAGAAGCAACAGAAGAAGGTTCAGCACTGGAAGATTCAGCACTGGAGGATTCAGCAGAAGAAGATTCAACACTGGAAGATTCAGCAACGGTGGATTCTAAATCAGATGATTGTGCAGTTGAACTTTCAACAGTAGAAGAAGCAACAGAAGAAGGTTCAGCAGAAGAAGGTTCAGCAGTGGAAGATTCAGCAACAGTGGATTCTAAATCAGATGATTGTGCAGTTAAACTTTCAACAGTAGAAGAAGCAACAGAAGAAGGTTCAGCACTGGAAGATTCAGCACTGGAGGATTCAGCAGAAGAAGATTCAACACTGGAAGATTCAGCAACGGTGGATTCTAAATCAGATGATTGTGCAGTTGAACTTTCAACAGTAGAAGATGCAACAGAAGAAGGTTCAACAATGGAAGATTCAGCACTGGAAGATTCAGCACTGGAAGATTCAGCACCAGTGGATTCTAAATCAGATGATTGTGCAGTTGAACTTTCAACAGTAGAAGATGCAACAGAAGAAGATTCAGCAACAGTGGATTCTAAATCAGATGATTGTGCAGTTGAACTTTCAACAGTAGAAGATGCAACAGAAGAAGGTTCAGCACTGGAAGATTCAGCAGAAGAAGATTCAGCAGTGGAGGATTCAGCAGTGGAGGATTCTACATCAGATGATTGTGCAGTTGAACTTTCAACAGTAGAAGAAGCAACAGAAGAAGGTTCAGCACTGGAAGATTCAGCAGTGGAGGATTCAGCAGTGGAGGATTCTAAATCAGATGATTGTGCAGTTGAACTTTCAACAGTAGAAGATGCAACAGAAGAAGATTCAGCACTGGAAGATTCAACACTGGAAGATTCAGCAACGGTGGATTCTAAATCAGATGATTGTGCAGTTGAACTTTCAACAGTAGAAGATGCAACAGAAGAAGATTCAGCAGAAGAAGATTCAGCAGTGGAGGATTCAGCAGTGGAGGATTCTAAATCAGATGATTGTGCAGTGGAGGATTCAATAGCAGAAGATTCAACACTTGAAGATTCAACACTGGAGGATTCAGCACTGTATGACTCAATACTGGATGATTTACCTGCTGATGAAGGAACAGCTTCACTTGAGACTGGGGAACTTGAAGATTCAATGAATGATGAAGAATCATTTTCACTAGAAGATTCAACAACTAACGAAGAAATAATATTGCTTGAGGATTCAACAGCAGATGATGGGACACTAGATACAATCTCATCACTAGACGATACAACAACTGAAATACTAGAGTCATACACAGATGATCGAGTAGTTGAAAAATCAGAAGATGAAGACACAACATCAAATGTACTAGAAGCATCAACAATTGCGGACGACTCGGTGATTAAACTGGAAGAAACATACTCAAACGACGAAAAGTTTTCAATCGAACTATTTGAATAATGTGGATAACTGTTGGATGGCAATACCGGAACAGCTGATGATGATTCTAAAGCATCAGATGAATACGTAGCGGATTCAGTATTGGCGGATACAGCAACAGTGGATTCTAAATCAGATGATTGTGCAGTTGAACTTTCAACAGTAGAAGATGCAACAGAAGAAGATTCAGCAGTGGAAGATTCAGCACTGGAAGATTCAGCAGAAGAAGGTTCAACACTGGAAGATTCAGCACTTGAGGATTCAATAGCAGAAGATTCAGCACTGGAAGATTCAGCACTGGAAGATTCAACACTGGAAGATTCAGCAACAGTGGATTCTACATCAGATGATTGTGCAGTTGAACTTTCAACAGTAGAAGATGCAACAGAACGAGATTCAGCAGTGGAAGATTCAGCACTGGAAGATTCAGCACTGGAAGATTCAACACTGGAAGATTCAGCAGAAGAAGATTCAACACTGGAAGATTCAGCAACAGTAGATTCTAAAATCAGATGATTGTGCAGTTGAACTTTCAACAGTAGAAGATGCAACAGAAGAAGATTCAACACTGGAAGATTCAGCACTGGAAGATTCAGCAGAAGAAGATTCAGCAGTGGAGGATTCAACAATGGAGGATTCAGCAGTGGAGGATTCAGCAGAAGAAGATTCAAAACTGGAAGATTCAACAATGGAGGATTCAGCAGTGGAAGATTCAATAGCAGAAGATTCAGCAACAGTGGATTCTAAATCAGATGATTGTGCAGTTAAACTTTCAACAGTAGAAGATGCAACAGAAGAAGATTCAGCACTGGAAGATTCAGCAGAAGAAGATTCAGCAGAAGAAGATTCAACACTGGAAGATTCAGCAACGGTGGATTCTAAATCAGATGATTGTGCAGTTGAACTTTCAACAGTAGAAGATGCAACAGAAGAAGGTTCAATAGCAGAAGATTCAGCAGTGGAAGATTCAGCAGTGGAAGATTCAACACTGGAAGATTCAGCACTGGAGGATTCAACAGTAGAAGAAGCAACAGAAGAAGGTTCAGCAGTGGAAGATTCAGCACTGGAAAATTCAGCACTGGAAGATTCAACACTGGAAGATTCAACAATGGAAGATTCAACAATGGAGGATTCAGCAGTGGAAGATTCAATAGCAGAAGATTCAACACTTGAAGATTCAACACTGGAGGATTCAGCACTGTATGACTCAATACTGGATGATTCAATAGCAGAAGATTCAGCAGAAGAAGATTCAGCACTGGAAGATTCAGCACTGGAAGATTCAACAGTGGAAGATTCAACAATGGAGGATTCAGCAGTGGAAGATTCAACAGTAGAAGAAGCAACAGAAGAAGGTTCAGCAGTGGAAGATTCAACACTGGAAGATTCAGCACTGGAAGATTCAGCACTGGAAGATTCAACACTGGAAGATTCAACAATGGAGGATTCAGCAGTGGAAGATTCAATAGCAGAAGATTCAACACTTGAAGATTCAACACTGGAGGATTCAGCACTGTATGACTCAATACTGGATGATTCAATAGCAGAAGATTCAGCAGAAGAAGATTCAGCACTGGAAGATTCAACAGTGGAAGATTCAGCACTGGAAGATTCAGCACTGGAAGATTCAACACTGGAAGATTCAGCACTGGAGGATTCAATAGCAGAAGATTCAGCAGAAGATTCAGCAGAAGATTCAGCAGTGGAAGATTCAACACTGGAAGATTCAGCAGAAGAAGGTTCAACACTGGAAGATTCAGCAACAGTGGATTCTAAATCAGATGATTGTGCAGTTGAACTTTCAACAGTAGAAGATGCAACAGAAGAAGATTCAGCACTGGAAGATTCAACACTGGAAGATTCAGCAGAAGAAGGTTCAACACTGGAAGATTCAGCAACAGTGGATTCTACATCAGATGATTGTGCAGTTGAACTTTCAACAGTAGAAGATGCAACAGAAGAAGATTCAGCACTGGAAGATTCAGCACTGGAGGATTCAACAGTAGAAGAAGCAACAGAAGAAGGTTCAGCAGTGGAAGATTTAACACTGGAAGATTCAGCACTGGAAGATTCAGCACTGGAAGATTCAACACTGGAAGATTCAACAATGGAGGATTCAGCAGTGGAAGATTCAATAGCAGAAGATTCAACACTTGAAGATTCAACACTGGAGGATTCAGCACTGTATGACTCAATACTGGATGATTCAATAGCAGAAGATTCAGCAGAAGAAGATTCAGCACTGGAAGATTCAACAGTGGAAGATTCAGCACTGGAAGATTCAACACTGGAAGATTCAACAATGGAGGATTCAGCAGTGGAAGATTCAGCACTAAAAGATTCAGCACTGGAAGATTCAACACTGGAAGATTCAGCAACAGTAGATTCAACATCAGATGATTGTGCAGTTGAAGTTTCAACAGTAGAAGATTCAACAGAAGAAGATTCAGCACTGGAAGATTCAGCAGTAGAAGATTCAACAGTGGAAGATTCAGCAGTGGAAGATTCGGCACTGGAAGATTCAACACTGGAAGATTCAGCAGAAGAAGGTTCAACACTGGAAGATTCAGCAACAGTGGATTCTAAATCAGATGATTGTGCAGTTGAACTTTCAACAGCAGAAGATGCAACAGAAGAAGATTCAGCACTGGAAGATTCAGCACTGGAAGATTCAACAGTGGAAGATTCAGCAGTGGAAGATTCAGCAGTGGAAGATTCAACACTGGAAGATTCAGCAGTGGAAGATTCAACACTGGAAGATTGGATAAGTGAAGATGATTCTGAAGTTGGTTCAATGATGTGAACAGTGTCGGTACCACCGTGAGTAGCAGTTTCGGTGTAGGTAGTAGCAGCAGAAACAGAGCCATATTCAGTGGTAGTAACAGTTGGATTTGGTACGGGGGTTTCAACATACACAGTGTCTACTGAATCAGTTGAAGCGGTAACAGTATATGATGTGGTTCCTTCACCAGTCCAAGATGTGTAAACGGTGGTTGTGGTATGATACGGTTCATCAACAATAACGGTAGCAGTTCCACCAATTGTACCTGTAATGGTGGTATAGGAAGTAGTGACACCGACATATGAAGTTGTGATTGTTGTTGTTGGAATTGGTTCAATAACTTCGACTGTTTTAGTATGATCTTTACTTGGATCAAAAGGTAAAGTAGTAACACCAGTAGTTGATTGTGTACCGGTTCTTGTAGTGATAACTAAAATAGCCCCATTACTATCAGTATTACTGTTGATATAAGGAGCATAAACTCTACTATTAGTTTTATCAACCGTGTCACCATTTTTACAAGTATACTTGTAAATATAGTCAACATTAAATCTTGCATTGGCGGTTGCAGTGAGGAATGAATCCATAAATGGTCTATAACCAGCTTCGATATCAGTGAATGAAATAGTAAAGTTTGTAGCAGAACAGCTCTCAGTATAAGAAAATGTTTCAGAATTTGTTGGTTGATTCCAATCATTAAGATCATTAGTAATACCAATATGAGTTGAAGAACAATCCATAACAGCAGAATTATCTCTAATAATTATACTCATATAACCACTTTCATACCCACTTGGACAATCTTTTGCAATAGAAATCTGTTGCAATTTACCAATGGAAGGAACTGATCTGACAAAAATAATTTCATCTGATACTGAAGCAGTGGTTTTCTCAAAAACGGCATTGATCGAGAGTTCATTATCACCATCTTTAAAAGTAACAGTATTGGTACCAGCAGTAAAACAAGTGGAGTCCTCTAAATCAACAGAAGAACCAGTACCACCAACATTAAACGAGAATGGTACAGTGACAGTTCCAAATGCTTGAGTATCAGAAGTTAAAGCACTATTAACAACACAAGACATACTAGAAAATGTGGTAAATTCTTCTCCATTATTCAATTTACAAGTAGCATAAGTTACACCATCAGCAGTTAAGTCCACTGATGTTGATGAACTAGTAAATTTGAAAACACAAGGCATAATTAAGGTGAATGTATCACCAGGAGAGGCAACAGAACCATCTAATGACCAACCTAAAGTTGCAGTCCATGTTGGATTCCCTGGACCTTGGTATCCATAATTACCTGCATCAGAATAAGTTAACGAGTCAAAACTGGTGAATATCCCCGTGATTTCTTTAGGGGTTACTCTTGTGAACAAGGCCAACAATAGTATAGCAAATCCAAAATAACTCATACTAAAGTTTTGATTTTATGGATGAGTTCGGAGAAGAACAAGTTAGTTGGAGGAATGAATCATTATGATTATAACGAACTGACAGGGAAAATCAACATCTATTTAAACTTCCTTAAAGAAGAAAAAATTTTTTTTGACCCATTAAGACATCAGATATTACTGGGAATTAGGGAATAATCCCATACTGCTTTGTTCAAGGTTGTTTCATTGGTTTTAAGATGGGGTGCATAGCAATGAGTGCATGAATGATAGTGGAATAACTTTCCGCTGGTTATGACTTATGTATTCAAATCACAAAGTAGTCACAGGAAACTGACAATGGGGGGGAAGAAGAAGGGAGGGATGGAATTGCTTTTTGTGAGATAGGAGCTGACATTCATTGGTGAAGATACAGGTAAAGAAAAAGTTGTTGATGGTTGAGTCTGAAATTTTCAATCGCGAAAAACGCAACTCAGTTTTAGTGCAAAGAACAAAAAACAAAAACCAGAAAGAGAGAAGTAAAACCAATAAAGAGGTGCAAAAAAAAAGTACAACTAGAAAGAGAATACTATCATTAATGACAGTAATGTTCTTGTATTGTATTTTTTGATGGTTGAGCTATCAATACTGTACTGAATAATGGGTAAGCGTACAATTATTGTAAATCGGATTCATATTTGAATGTTGTTTAAAACCATTTAGTGGGTTATATTGCCCCTTCAAGAAGTCCTTCCCGCTTGATTTATCTTTTTTAGATTTTTGTACTTTCTTTTAATAATAGTAATAATAATATAACAAATTATTATTATTATTATTTTATTGTTCTAGAACTTAGATAAGTTAATTATTTTTGAGTAAAATTTCATTTTATTTCTCTGCTGGAAGGTTCTTCCTTTCCTTGCAGTTAGTCTCACTATTTGTCTTTGTTTAAATATTCTAGAACTTAGGGGTCCTATAGATGTTACAGCAATTATTGCGGTGAAACCAATCTTTTCGATTATCTTAGTTTTTGATAGTTGGAAGATCTAAAAATGAGGGTTTCCAGCAATGGTTTGTTATTTTATTGTCTTTTCTTTTATATAAAAAAAAATTAAAACTGAATATCATTTTCTGAATTCTTCTTCATTTCAAAGACACTGCCAATTGTTTTGCCAGATTGCATAAAATTGCCAATCTTTATACCAATGTTTGAGTTTGCGTCATTACTAGTCTGTTGAGTCTAAAAAACTGTGACTGGAATAATTAATCCAAAATTATGTTTGACTAAACAAAATTCCAAGACATTTATAATTTACTAAAAAAAAAAACAAAAAGGAAAACAAGTGTGATGAAATCCATTCCCCCACCTTGCTTTATTGTATTGGTGAAATAAGATGTCTGTCTAAATGTATTAGGGGAATGTTGTACAAATTGGAGATGCTGTCTAAGTTGTGTGGTCTTGGAAAATACACATGCGCAAAAAGTATCACAGAATAATATGGTCACAGCTATTTCTGAGTGAGACATTAAAAGTCCTCCCAAATGTTCGAATATTTTATTGAACAACAATCCATGAGTTGTGTTAGGATCAATGAGGATTCATTTGGAATTATAGTAAAAAGAGAAGAAGGCTTTTTTTGCTTTCTTGTTTTGCTTTATCTTGCTTTGTTTGCATCACAAATGTGACTCTTGGAACATGTCGAAAATGCAATTACTGTACAATTTCTTCTATGCACCCTGAAATAATTTACATGGAATATGAGGAGTGGCAAGTACTAACGATATTCCACCGACGTCATAAAAAATAAAAAATTTCTCTTTTATTCAGTAGTTTGTTATAGAATGAGTATGTACTAATAATAGAACAATTTAACACAAACCATAATGATTTTAGAAAAATTGGCAAATCATTAAGACCTCATTGCTTGTCTTGACATTTAATTGTATATTGTTGAGTGAATCGCGACAACTCATCGCAGTAGATTGGTTGCATTGTTGAATTTTCTTTTGCAGACATTTGAACAATACACTGCAATTACGTATAAACTAAAATATTTCTAACCAATTACAAAAATAGGCAATAACTTGCATATGAGATGAGACCACCTCAGTGAACTTAGGCTGTCTCCGTAAATGATTCGTTAAATAATAATAATAAAAAAAAAAACATGCAATGAAGAGGAGAATTAATTTTCTGGGATTTATCTTGCTCATCAAACTTTACCATGAGGTAATATAACGGTTTCTCTCATTTAAATGTTTGTGAATCTAAACTTGAAGAATTTATCGATGATCGGAGTATGGAGATCTCACCAGTTTTTGATTCTATTTGATTATAAGCCCTCTAATTATTACCAAATGAAGACATTTGTATTGATTTATTCGCTAAAACTTTCTTCCGTAAATATTTGTCTCTCCATTTATTTATCTTTTTGGGATTTGTTGAGTATTCTTTGACTTAACGCAAAATTCATTTCTACTGCACCTTGGTTATTCCAAATTTGAATACTTGTTGAACCACAAAATTGCACTAATCAATGCTATAGCAAAAAAAACTTGAGCTTCATAGGAGTTAATGTTTGTCACCAAAAGAAGAATAATAATACATTAACTTGATTTGGTGGTACTACAAGACAAATCAACTATCTATTTCGTACTATAAACTTGGGAAGAATTATGGTTCTAGCTAATAGTTGCGAGATAAAGATGATAAACAATATTCCCTACGACCAACAAATTATAATAATTGAAGATTTTATTTAAAAAAGATTACAAAATTTCAATGAATTCAATGCAAAAAATAACTGAAATTGCTCATAATTTCTTAGAGGGATTATTACTGGAATGTGTTTTCCCGATAAAAATAGCTGCAAATTGATGATCATCAATATTCAGTACATAATTTCTTATGATTACAATTAAGACAGGTAAAAATCAATTCAGCCTCTTAATATAATGTATTATCATACTAATCATCTAAAAGATAGATCATTAATTCCTTTAATTGAATCAAAGTTAGTCACTCTGAATGTCGTACACTTCTTGTATCATCATCTTTTTGTCTTTGTTGATAAGCCACAAAGCTTTGGATATATATACACGACCTTAAGAATTTTTCTACATGACACAAAGCGCAAAAAAATACAAGCAAAGAAAGAACGAACCCTTTTAAGTAAAAGCGCATTAATAGGTGAGACAAAGCCTTCATCACCGAATATACCCGCGTACCAGTGAAGCGGTTAGTTGGAGTTACTATTATTAGATCATTGGTGTATATGTCTAGGTCTAGGTCTAGGTCTAGTTCTCTGAATCTCTTATACTTACTCATGTATTATCACCTTCTCAACCTCATTACTATCTTGGCTTTTATGTTCATGTTCATGACTCGATATATCCGAAGGCATACTATTTTACGATCCATGAGAATACAAACATCACCTGATGTTGATTATGATAAGAATCAAGGGTTCTATTCATAATATCATAACGCGTTAAGCGAATAATCAAATAGAGTACATATATATTTGTTAATAACGTATTTATAGTCAGATAAATTATGGTTTTTAATTTCTCTACTTAATAAAAGTCATGCTACTTAAATTAATACCGTTTTTATAACAGATTTTTCTAGTGTATACCGTTAAAAAAAATCATTTAATATCTTCAGTTTGTGAATAAATTTGCTAGTACAAGATTGAACAATATTATTTATAAAAATCCGAAATTCCTAATCTTGGATATATTAAAAACAAAAGAACAAGCCGAAGATTAAATTGAATTGTGAGTGGCTTTTTAATTTGCCTAGCAAAATGATTAATTCGATCGACTTCAATTGTTGCACTTCCTCAACATACACAAAACACTATGGTTTGCTTAACTTTGGTATTATTCAGTAGACATTACCAATATAGACATAAATACATACACACTCACACAGACACAGACACAAAAAAGCAAAACCTATATTTCAAATACTTTATCGTGAAATTTACTAAGTGAAGGACGATTGGAAAGTGTGACGTAATTGATTTTATGATCTTGCAACACTTGATACATCAATTCCTCCATATCTGGCGATAAAGCCGACGTGGAATCATCTAGAATTACAATACTTGGTTTGTTAAACAATATTCTAGCAAAACTTAATCTTTGCTTTTCTCCACCACTTAAAGTCTTAGCAAAATCCAAATTCTGATTCAATCCATAACGTTTAACAATATGATCCAAATTAACGCAGTGCAAAATATGGAAAATTTGATCATTTGTTGCATTTTCAGACCTGTTTGGATAAACAACTTGATCACGCAAACTTCCAGAAGTGAAATAACTTTTCTGTGGGTTGAAGAAAAGATCCAGCGGTTTCAGAACTAACCCGGCATACAAGGGCCAAAGGCCAGCAAGAACCCTAGCAACAGAAGTTTTCCCAGAACCATTTGGTCCAACAAACAACAAGTTTTTACCCTTGATATCAAAGGTAAGGTCAGGAATTAACGGTTCGGCATATGAACCTTCTGAAGTAGGAACAGTAATTGGAACGTGCTCTAATCTCAAACCATCATAATTCAATTGGTAAGTACCATGGATATCTGTCAAACCATACTTATCACCATAATCAAATTTAGGATCATGTACACGATGGAGTTGTGTCAACATGTTAAACACTCTATTAGTAATACCAGTTAATGTGGTCACTTCTTTCAAACTAACCATCAATCTAGACCCAGCGTCCGCAAGACTCAACAATAAACGTTTGTTGGTGACAAATGTTTTCATATTTTCAGTAGTCGAATTTGTGTCTTCTGTATTAGCATGACCATGTTCATCATCATGAATATCAGCAATATGACCACTTGCCGGGTCTTCTTTAGGGAAAAGTACATCCAAGAAAACCGGAAGACCAGAAAAGATATAACCCCAAGCCAGCCAGGTATATTTAAGCACATAATCTTCTAATGCAGCGTAACTTGATGAGAGATTTATTTCTTGAGACATATGATCCATCAATTTTTGGAAATTCTCTGCAAGCTTTGATTTTTCAATTTTAGATCCTTTATAGAAACCAATTTCTTCGCTATTGGTCATTATGTTCAATTGTTGGTTGAAATAAACCCCTTCCAAATGTGTTCTCTTGGAAGCTAATTTTCCAAACCTCGGGGTTGCTTTTTTCAACATGATGGCAGTAGCAAAATAATTAGCAAAAATACCAATAATAGCCCCAGTCCCCAAATTATCTCTCAAATAAACACTAAAGAAAATTAAATCGATAAATGGCTTACCCATAGATGAAAATAACGAACATAACGATAAGCAGAATTTGGTTACATCTTCAGTGATGTATTGGTCTATGTTTTGTATATCAGCCCCACTCAAGCCAACTTTGTAATAGGACATGGTTTTGTCCAAGTACATATCATGAATATACCTGGTTAAATTTGTTCTAAATCCCAAAGCCAATCTTAATTCTAAATATTTAATGGCGGCATTGGTATAAGAAGCAGGGAAAGCAATCAACAAGAAATAGATCAAATCACGGGCGAATTTCCTACCATCGGCTGCAATCAAGTTCTTCACTATTTGACCATCTAATTTTGCAATTAATAAAGATAACCAAGTTCTAAAAATCAAAAAGAAACATTGGGACAACAACAAAGAAGTGTTTTGACAATAAAATTTTGGAATCAAGATTTTCCAGATGATGGTTAATTGATTCAAAAATCTTGAATTGAAAAGTCGACCCTTTTGCTGTTGTAATATTTGTTCATTACGTGCAAAATCTTTATATAAATATTTATCAGCGGCATACTGATCATTGTTGGCTTTAGGAATAATAATTCTTGTCACTTTTCCATTTCCCTTTTGGATAAAGATTTCACGGGAACCATTTTTTAAAATATTTGAGGATTGTCTAATAAGACTTGGACGTCTCAATCTTTTGCTTAATACATATTCATTATACTTGGTGACAATGCTTCTAAATGTAAAGAAAACACCAATACCCGCTGTTGCAATTAAAGTACTCAAGAATAAAATGACTGGTCGACTCTGATAGTTTAACTTGATTTTGTTGTCTTTATAGGTTTTAACAAACTCCTGTAGTAATAGTACCACGTTTCGAATGTCCTGTTTGTTGTAACCAGTCAATTTGGATATATTTATCATGATAACATCCGTTGGTTGTAGTATACAGCAGGTCAAGTATCAAAAAGACAGGGGGAATTGTGTTTTTTTTTTATTTGAATTTTTGTCTGGTTTTTTTTTTTTTTTTGCTCTCACCAACCAGTTTTCAAGAAAAAGTGGGGGAAGTGAGAACGGGGGGCATGACTGCAAATGCAACCTTGTACCATAGAAGTATTATACAATTGGAAAGACTTTACAGAATGTTTCGAAAAGTACATACTCAACTGGATAGCCATAATGCCTACAACATGTGATGGACTGTTCGTAGGATCAACTTTTGGTAGACAAATATAATAATAATAATGAAAAAAAATGTTTCCCCATATAAATTAAGAGTTCCGCGGTTTGGCATGTGAAATTATTCTTTGTGTAACTTATCACAGCACGTGTTTACATGCACGTGTCTATCAACTTTGAATTATATTACAGATGGGAAATACACGAAATAGATACATAAATATATATACAATTTCAATCTTTGGATCAAGACCACTTTATCAGTATTCTTATAATTTGAAAGATTTCTTTCTTTTTTCTAAGGAGCTGGGAGTATCTGGTCTGCTCGTGTGAAGGTTATGTGAATAGACACGTTTATCCAATGAATGACTAGTTAATTAGGGTTTTCGATGACAGCGTAAATGATGATTATTTTCGGGATAATTTTTCAGAAACACAAGATTTAAATTTGGCAAATTCTTTACCACACATATCTTTATTCATTGTAGTATAGTTATTCAAAATACAATTGCCATAAGCCATACCTTCAGTTGAACATTTACTGCCAGCTTCCATTAATCTTTTTGCTGGTCTTATTTTTGTGGATGATACTGAAGATGGTCTCATTGGTGATTGGTGATTGGTATATGTCTTGAACAAGTTGAATTGATTCTCTTCTCAGTTATTCCATGGGTTTCCTTTTTTTTTTTGTTTGTGAGTAATTTTTTTTTTTCTTTGCATAGCGATTTCTCCGCGCCAGTTTTTTTTTTTTTGCAGGGCTTCTCCGAGATTAGGAGTAGCTATTATTGTACAGCTTTAGAAGATGGTAGAATATACCTCGGATTTAGAGAGCTAGTTGAGTAATAGAGTTCACAGCGTGTATGATAGTAGAAAGAGATAGAAGAAGCGATATTGAAAGCAGGGGAGTGTATTCACCCTTTCTTCTTCTTTTTATTATTATTATTATTAAGGATTAGTAACTATTCAAGGCAGAGCAACTAATTCCGAGATATCCTCAACACCGGGAAAATAGAAAATCGAGATATGAACAAGCGGTTGGAGTGGGTTAAAGTCAGCATCCCCGCGTGACATATAAACTAAGAGTAAATAATTATCCCAAGATGTTGGGTGTTTGAACAAAATTAGGACTGATTTTGGTACTTTGAACACTAAACTCCAGAGAAAGGGTATTATTTATTAAATCAGGCAGTGTTGGTTTACCATACAATGTTACCCCTCCATCGGATGCAACAGTAATACACACTGACACATCGACTGAAATGGAACGAAGCCGCGTGAATTGTCACCATTAATTTTTTTTTTTTCACATCAACAATTGTTGCTGTGTCTCTTTAGTATATAAATGTAGTGATGATCCCACCTTTTTTTTTCAAACAAATCCATTAGTAATACGATTCATAACCTGGCAAAAATTACCATTAACCACTGTTTTAAGATTTAAAAATTAACAGGAACTCACGTGGTTTTATTTTTTCTTTTTTATTGGATCAGTTAGATTTGATTGAATTCAGGAACAAACTGTTCGGATTTTGCACCATTCGTACAACGAACCCTCCGCCGATCACCGCCCTCCGCTCAGCACCCACCGCGGAAGAAAACAGGAATTAATTAAAAGAGAAAAACAGTGGCTCTAACTCACTCACTGACTAACAGAGACTGACAGAAAGAAAGAAAGAAAGAAAAAAAAAATTTTTTTTTTTGGGCCATTTAACACTCAGACCACCTCCCATATCAATTTCAAACTCAATTGAATACTTGACTAAAAAATTTTTTTAAAGAATATTTACTTATTTATTACTTTTTCTTTTCTTCAAGATTTACATCCTTCTTTCTTGTTATTATTTGGATTAATCCTTGATTACTCGTATACATATTCCAATAGTAGATATCATCAGCACAATGGACCCAACCAATGATCCAAATTTCACTCCACCTTCATTAAATAAAAATATCGAACCAACTGCGCCGTCGTATAAGATCCCACACAATATTCCAATTCAACCATTTGTATTAGAAGATTTGGGTCAAGGTGTTGACACTCCAGCTCCACATCCTGCTAAATCAACAAGGCCGTCAACTATTTCTTCAAAATCCTACGACAATATCAATAGCATCAACAACAACAACAGTACAAATAATAATCAACACCAAGGGGATAATGAGAGTATAGTTTATCATTCCAAAATTCCTAGAAAGCATACTGAATTGATAAGTTCATCTTCTTCTGATGAGGAAATCGAAGTGAAGGAAGAAACTGAAGCGAGCTTGGAAAAAAAAGTGAGTAATAAAGTGGAGATTTTACCACCTTCTATCAAAGTTAGATCTTCCCAAATTGCTGATTTAGAAGAGGTTCCTCATGGTATTCAAAGACAAGCTTCAAAATTAGAAGATTATAAATTTCCCACTCATAGATTAGCAACTACTTTAACTGATGATTCAAAACATCCTTTGGTTATAGTTGCATGTGGTTCATTTTCTCCAATTACTTATTTGCATTTAAGAATGTTTGAAATGGCTTTGGATTCAATTATGGAACAAACAAGATTTGAAGTTATTGGTGGGTACTATTCTCCTGTGTCTTCCAATTATAAAAAACAAGGTTTGGCCCCAGCACACCATCGTGTTCGAATGTGTGAATTGGCATGTGAAAGGACTTCATCTTGGTTAATGGTTGATGCTTGGGAATCTTTACAACCAAAATATACCAGAACTGCATTGGTTTTGGACCATTTCAATGAAGAAATTAATATTAAGCGCGGTGGTATTATGACTAGACTGGGGGAAAAAAGAGGAGTTAAAATCATGTTGTTAGCCGGTGGTGATTTGATTGAAAGTATGGGTGAACCAGATGTTTGGGCTGATCAAGATTTACATCATATTTTAGGCAAATATGGATGTCTTATAGTGGAAAGAACTGGTTCTGATGTTAGAAGTTTCTTATTGAGTCATGATATTTTATATGAACATCGTAAGAATATCATGGTTATTAAACAATTGATTTATAATGATATTTCTTCAACTAAAATACGATTGTTTATAAGAAGAGGTATGTCAGTACAGTATTTGTTACCAAATTCCGTCATTAGATATATTCAACAACACAAATTATATTGTGATTCTGAACCTGTTAAACAAGTCATGTCCGAACGAGCTGATTAAATAATGTATAGTTCTTTTTATTCCTATTATTATTATTATTGTTATGTAAACTACTTATAGACGCTGTATTACTACAATTTTTTTTTTTTTTAAAAAAAAAATCAATTAAATTTCAGATATATAAATACGATGATTATTAATTATTTCATTATTACAATTATACATTAAAATTATTTACCATTCTTGAGCTTTGTTACCATAGATACTCTTTTTTGTACCTTTAATAGGTTTGATTAATTTAGAACCACCTTCCAAGAATGAAAATCTATCTTTTCTCATGGCTTCATATTTAGAAATATATTCTTCTTTTTGTAAAGTTAAACCAATATCATCCAAACCATTAACCAAACAATGTTTTCTAAATTCTTCAACTTCAAAGTTTTCAATTAAAACTTCACCAGTTTCACCATCTTTAATTTGTTGACTTGGTAAATCAATGGTTAATTTATGACCTGCTTTAACAACTGGAACTAATTTGCTTTCAATAACATCTTGAGGAATTCTAATTGGTAATAAGAAATTCTTGAATGAATTGTTATAGAAAATATCACCAAATGAAGGAGCAATTATACTTTTAATACCAAAATCTTTTAATGCCCATGGTGCATGTTCACGACTTGATCCACATCCAAAGTTATCACCAGTGACTAATAAAATTTCTGCTTTTCTATATGGTTCAACATTTAAAACAAAATCAGTTTCAACATCTTTACCATTTTTATCTTTAACAAATCTAGATTCATAAAATAAACCATTCTTTAAACCAGTTCTTTTAATAGTTTTCAAAAATTGTTTTGGAATAATGGCATCAGTATCAATATTAGCTTTATAAAGTGAAGCAGTGATACCAGTTAATACAGTAAAACTGTTATCAGTACCAGCAGCATGTGCTTCAGTTTTAGATTTCTTGAATTCTGGTTCATCTTTTGGAATATCGTTGGTTCTTTCAGCTTCAGTACCTGGAGTACTTTCAATAAATTCCTTTTCATGTTCATAAACAGCATCTTGTAATTCTTTATCTTCAATTTCTTGTTCAATACTAATTGAAGGTTGGTCATTGTTGATGTAATCAAATTCTCTAATATCGGTGAAATGACCTTTAATGGCAGCAGCAGCAGCCATAGCAGGAGACATCAAATGAGTTCTTGAAAGAGCACCTTGACGACCTTCGAAATTTCTATTAGAAGTAGAAGCACATCTGTCTTCAGGATCTAAAATATCTGGATTCATACCAAGACACATAGAACAACCAGCTTCTCTCCAAGTGAATCCGGCAGCTTCGAAAATCTTATCTAAACCTTCCTTTTCAGCTTGCTTTTTAATTAAACCAGAACCTGGAACAACTAAAACCAATTTAACATTGTCAGCCTTTTTGTGACCTTTGGCAACTGCAGCAGCAGCTCTTAAATCCTCAATACGAGAGTTGGTACAAGAGCCAATAAAAGCTTTATCAATTTTAATGTCTTTGAATGGTGTGTTTGGAGTTAAGCCTTGATATTTCAAAGCTCTTTCCATACCGGATTTTTTAATTGGATCAGTAACATTAGCTGGATCAGGAACTTTAGCTGTGATTGGTAAAGCATCTTGAGGAGAGTTACCCCAAGTAATAGTTGGAACAATATCAGATGCAGCAATTTTAATATCATAATCAAATTTAGCACCTTCATCAGTATGTAAAGTTTTCCAATAAGCCATAGCTTTTTCCCATTCTGCGCCCTTTGGAGCCAATGGTCTTCCCTTTATGTAATCAAAAGTAATTTGATCAGGTTTAATCATACCGGCTCTTGCACCAGCTTCAATGGCCATATTACAAATAGACATTCTTGCTTCCATAGATAAATCTTCAATTGCTTTACCAGCAAATTCAATGACACAACCAGTACCACCAGCAGTACCAATAACACCAATTACATGTAAGACTAAATCTTTAGAAGTGATACCTTCAGATAATTCACCATCAATTGTTATTCTCATGTTTTTAGATTTAGCTTGAATAATAGTTTGAGTAGCTAAAACATGTTCAACTTCAGAAGTACCAATACCAAAGGCCAAAGCACCAAAGGCACCATGGGTAGAAGTATGGGAATCACCACAAACAACAGTAGTACCTGGTAAAGTAAAACCTTGCTCAGGACCAACGACATGAACAATACCTTGTCTATCGTCACTCATACCGAAATATGTAACATCAAAATCTTTAACATTTTGTTCTAAAGTTTTAACTTGTAATCTTGAATCATCTTGTTGAATAAAAGTATCAACATCTTTAAAATTTGCTCTTGAAATAGTTGGAATATTATGATCAACAGTAGCTAAAGTACAATCGGTTCTTCTAACTGTACGACCAGCGTTTTTTAAACCTTCAAATGCTTGTGGAGAAGTAACTTCATGAACTAAATGTCTATCAATATATAATAAATTTGACCCCGATTCATCTTTATAGACTATATGGTCTTCAAAGACTTTATCGTATAAGGTCTTTGGGCTGGAAATTATAGGGGATGGAGCCATCTTGTGGTTATTAAATTGTTTAATGATAAAAAAAAAAAATAAAATAAGTAACTGGAAATTTCTGGTGATAATTTTCAGTTTATATAATGAGGGAGTAATTTTGTTCAAATAGTTGTGTCATACAAAAAAAAATTTTCAATGTGGAGTGTCCGGTGACTAAAAAAATGGCTCCGGTGAAGGAGCGAAACCGGTGAGATTTCCCCGTTTAGCCAATGACAAACAAATATTTGGTAAGCGGTGCGGGAAGTACACAAAGTGCACGACCTGTGACGGATTAGGAAACCGTGTGCGGTGTACCAAAGAATGTCGTTTTAAATGTCGTAGGAGAGAATATCCGAACGACATACGTCACGTTTTGAATGTTTGAATTTTTTTTTTTCTTAGTTGCGTAGTTCTGCAATCATTGAGAAGAAACAGAAACAGAGAGAGTTACACTACTAGCAACAATCATCTCAGTCTGTTCACATACACGCACACATATACTATGATGCCTCCCGGGGGTAGAAGGTCTAAGATTAGACCACCTAGAAAATCGTTAATTAGTTCATCAGCATTACCTGAGAATTCAACTACTGAAGCATCCATTGATTTTGATAAGAATTGGACAATTTTAGCTAACGCAATTTCCCAGATTCAAAATAAGAACGTGTCTAATTTATCATATGAACAATTATACAGAAAAGCATATGTGTTAGTATTGAGGAAATTTGGTGGAAAATTATATGATAATGTCACGGAAGCTATTAAATCACATTTATTAAACAGACGAGAGTATTTGGTTAGTTTATCGGGAAATCATGAATTATTTATGCAAACATTGATTCAAGAATGGAATGATCATTTACAATCTATGAAATTCATCAGTGATGTCTTGATGTATTTAAATAGAGTTTACGTTAAAGAACATAAGAAATTATTAATTTATGATTTGGGGATCATGTTATTCAAAGATAATGTAATTAAATTCAATGATCATGAAATTGGGTTTAAAGTAATTGATATTGTAATTAATGAAGTTACTAAAAGTAGACTTGGAAGTGTGATTACGTCAACCATGTACATAACCAAAATTATAAATATGATGGAATTATTAGTCGAATCCACTGCATCAAGTGAATATTTCTATGGGGATACATATTATCAAGTTTACTTTGAACCAAAGTTTTTGCAAAGTTCAGAAGATACTTTTCAAACTTTATCCACCGAGTATGTATCATATAATCTGGGGACTAAATATTTACAGTTGACAACCCAATTTATTAAAGATGAAGAAAATAGAGTTAAATTTTATTTACCCCCTTCAACTTATCCCAAATTGATTGACTTGATGAACAATATAATGATCAAGGATAAAATTGATAAAATGATTCTATCACCAAACCAAGGGTTGGATTATTGGTTAAAGCCAGTTGTTAGTAATATTTTTGAAGCAGCCAATGTTGAAACCTATCATTATGCTGATTTAAAATTATTGTATAATTTAGTTGGGAGATATGATAGTGACGAATATCAATTATTAAGATTAAGAATTAAGGAAGCCATTATTGTTCAAGGTAATTCATTACCGGAATATGTTCGTTCATCAATTGACAACCCTGCAAACAAAAAACCCGTGGCTATGAACTCATCAGCATTTGCAACCAAATGGATTGATACTGTATTGAAATATCGTGATCAATTATTACTTGTATGGAAAAATTCATTTGATGAGAATTTAATGATTGAACAGACCATAACTTTTGCTTTGAGAGATTTTATAAATGGAAGTGATAAAAGGGGTGCCAAAACAGTCAATGCCCCTGAAATGTTATCGGTTTATATGGATTATTATATCAAACAACTAACTAAAAGTGGATCATCGGGTATATTGAAATCAGGAGATCAAACTGAAGAATTAATCAATACATCGATACAATTTTTAAAATATATTAAAAACAAAGACGCGTTTGAAGTTCATTATGCTAATCATTTTGCCAAAAGATTTTTAAATTCAAAGAATTCATCCAGTAAAGATATCGAAGAGATTATCTTGGGTAGTTTAAGTGAAGAATTGGGGGTTTCTTCATTAGATAAAGTTATCAAGATGAATAGAGATATCAGACTTTCAAGGGATACTACCAATGATTGGAAGAAATATACTCGTGGTAGAGATGATATTATTGAATTGGAATTGAAAATATGTAATGTGACCAATTGGCCAAAGGCAATGACGAAAAATTATAAAGAAGATGTACTGTTGAAATGGCCTAATGCATTACAGCACTCATTAATAGCATTTGAAGAATATTATGCTGGGAAGAATGCAAACAAAAAATTGAGTTGGTCAACATTTGGAAGTATGTTGATTAAAGCATCACTTCCAACGGGTAATTTTATGATTGATGTGGGTGTTGTTGCTGGGAATATTTTACTTCAATTTAATGATCATGAGAAATTGAAATTTGGTGAAATCAAAGAATTAGTATATGGAGAAGATAATAAAGTTGAAGATTCTGAGTTGAAAAGACATATAAAATCATTATTGATCAGTAAGTTATTGGTATACAAGAATGATTATTTCCTGTTGAGTGAAAATAAAGTTAAATCTAGGTTACTTAAAGTGAAGACGGTAGCATCAAGTAAAAAATCCGAAATGGATGAACAAGAATCAGAATTAGAACAAGAAGTTAGAAAGGGGATGAAGATTAAAACTGAGGCATCGATCGTTAGAATTATGAAAAGTTACAAAACAATAAGTCATCAACAATTAATAGAACAGTTGATTCAACAAGTTTCATTTTCTCCTACGATGCTGTTGATTAAAGAATGTATAGAGGATTTGATAGAAAAGGAGTATTTGAAACGTGATGGTCTGGATCGTTCCCTATATAATTATATAGCATGATTGAATGAAAATATTGTCTGTACCTACTATCCTGGTGTAGGTTATACTTGTAGTGGTTGTGTGTGTTTGAGGGGAGGTGTCTATATGTCACGTGATCAATTCTGGAATTTAATATTAATCACCTGATTCTTCCAATTGCAATGGGTCGAAGCAAAAGAGGAAGAAGAAGAAGAAGAAGAACAGAAAATTTATTAGGTTTATATACTTTTTCTTCTTTTTCTTCTTTTGTTTAGCATGCCATTTGAGAAATCCAAAACGCCTTTTCGGCTATTCCCGAAAGTCCCTAATCATTATTACTAACGGATAATTATCATCGATCTAGCATTTATCTCAACAGAAGTACTTTTAGTGTCTGTTGTGATTGATTTTATTTGTTTGTGTATTTAATGTATATAATCATGTTTTTTATATAACTATCATTTGAATTCTGTAGTTCATACGATTCCCATGGAAATGGGAGTCAAATAATATCTATCATTCACCTTGGAATGTATCATCAACTCTTGTCTTGTAATACTCGTCTATCTGAAATCCCGTCTGGTCAGAAGTACACGTCTTTCAAAAAATCCAAAGGAGAATCCAAAAAAAAAAAAAAAAAATTCCAACGAAGCAAAGAAAAAAAAAAAAGAAATCCAAAAAAAAAAAAAAGCTCATCATCATCATTAGTATTATCATTATCATCATCATTGACAACGGTTATATTATTTGAATCAAACATCAATAATGTCTGAACCAATCAAAAAGAAAAACGGAGATATTTCAAAAGCTCCAACTCCACAAAATACTCCATCAAGTGTTACTAATTCATATATGAAATCAAAGCCACCAACAGTTTCAACAATTGAAGAAATTAATGAAGATCAAAAGGAAACATTAGCTAATAATCCTGTTTTGTTAGGTATGATTGAAGATAAATTAGGAGATTTAATTGGTAAACAATCAGGATATATTGAAAACTTGCCAAAAGCTGTTAAAAATAGAGTTTATGGATTAAAATCTTTACAAAGATCACAAATGAAATTAGAAGCTGAATTTCAAAAAGAATTATTGGAATTGGAAAAAAAATTCTTTGATAAATATCAACCATTATATGAAAAGAGAATGAAAATTGTTAATGGTGAATTAGAACCAACTGCTGAAGAAATTGAAGAAGGTGAACAATTAGAAAAGGAAGATCAAGATGAAGAAGATGAACAACCAGAAGATGAAGAAGAAGAAGAGGAAGAAGAAGATAATGATGAAGTTGGTATTCCAGGATTTTGGTTGACTGCTTTGGAAAACTTAACTACTGTTCAAGAAACTATTACTGATAGAGATCTGGAAGTTTTACAATCTTTGATTGATATAAGAATGAAATATTTAGACACTCCAGGATTTCAATTAATTTTTGAATTTAAAGATAATGAATTTTTCAATAATAAAATATTAACTAAAACTTATCATTATCAAGCTGAATTGGGTTATAGTGGTGATTTCGTTTATGATCATGCTGATGGTTGTGAAATTGAATGGAAACTGAAAGAAAATAATGTTACTATAAATATTGAAAGAAGAAAACAAAGAAATAAAACCACTAAACAAATAAGAACTATTGAAAAATTGACTCCAACTGAATCATTCTTTAATTTTTTTGATCCTCCAAAACCTCCAAAGGTTAATGATGACGAAGATGGTGAACATGAACACGATGAAGATGAAGAAGAAGATGAAGAAGAAATTGACGAAGAATTGGAAGGTAGATTAGAATTGGATTATCAATTGGGTGAAGAAATTAAAGATAGATTAATTCCAAGAGCAATTGATTGGTTTACTGGAGATGCTGTTGATTTTGCTTATCCTGATGAATTCGAAGGTGATGAAGATGAAGAATTCACTGATGAAGAAGACGATGATGAAGACGATGAAGATGACGATGAAGAAAATCAACAAGGAGGCAAAACACAACCACCAGAATGTAAGCAACAATAAAGTGACTGAGTGATTGTTTAAGTATGTAGGATATATATATATCATTATTATTATTAATAATATTATTATTTAGTTTGAAAGCTCTTTTTTCTTTGTTTTGTGTGTTTGAGATTGATATCATTATTCGTAATTGATTTTTCTGATAATGTAATCAAGGGATGAGAACTACAAACCCGAATCATCCAGGTCACCATCGGGTTTGTCAAACTCGTAGTTGAATCAGAATTTAGAACAATAGAATGAATCAATCAATCAATCAAAGTGGCGGGGGGACAATTTGTCAACAAGAATTAGAAAACAAAAAGAGGGGAGGGTTATTGAAAGGCGGTGCCATGTAAGTGATCTATCTCATAAAGAATCAATAATTTATATTCATTCATAACCATTTGAGGGTTATTCATACCTTTAAATTCATGATTAAATTATTAAAACAATAGTACAAGAAATTTCTTCAATTGAAAAATTTCTTTGTTTTTGGGTGCAAAAAATAAAAAAAATATGAAAATCAATCGTTCATAAAACAATTGTCATGGGGAAGACTATAGGGAGGGTATATAAGTTTAGACAGGTAGGAATAGTAGTGATAGTAGATGTGAAAACAAGGGATGACTTATACCAAGATACAGTTGAAAATAATGACCATTATATTGTAGAGTTTCAACTCCCTAAAACCTTAATTTTTTTTATTATTATTCTATTACAGTTTAATATTTAGGTTTAGGTGGTTAAACATATTGAATAATGGATTGTGTATTCAATTTGAATATAGACGACGATGATATGGTTGAAGATTGTTCATTAATCCCGAGGAATAAAAATATACATCATTTGTGATATGAACACATAAATGGAACAACGGATGCGAAAAAAAAAAGACAAAAACAAAACCAATTTATTAATTATCAATTATCAATTAAAATAAGGGGACAAATTCAAGGCGATGAAAATTTATTCTATTTTTAATTTTATCATCATTTGAAACAAAAGCTTATTTTCATCAGAATATCAAACCATAATTTAACAACAAAAAGATTGTTTGAACAAATCAAACCGAGTGGGGGCAAGGATATACTTGAAAGGATTTTAAAAACATCAAACGTATGAATTATACATCAAGGAGCAAGAATGAAAGAACAATATTAAGAAAACTCACAGTTAGGAATATGCAAAGTCTTGATAGATAATTTTTAGAAATCTCGAATCGGCTTTATGGATTTACAGATGGAAACAAAAAAGAAAGAGCAAAAAAAAAATTTCTTTAACTTTTTCCTTTTTGTATCTGAAATAGATTATACATATCACCACAAGGTCGAATTAGAAAAAAAAGAGGTAACAATACCTTGGCTAGAAGAGATTCCTTGGTATCATGGACATGTAGATTTTCATTCTGTTTAAAACAAAGCCGAAGTTATAAGAATGATGAATTCACATGAATCGTAATGCAAAATAATAATAATAGTTGTATGATCATAACCATCGGATAAAATTGGAAGTAGGTTTGATATGAAAAAAAAAGATAGATGTACTGGGTATTGTTATTTTTTACTATCATTTTCATTCATTCATGATGCATATAAACCTAATTGATTAATTTTAGATTTAATGCAAGACAAAAAAAGGTGAAATCTTGCTAGTAACACTGAAATTATCTTGTGGATTCATAGTAATGTTAGAGTAGTATATTAAAATTAACTGACCACAATTGAAAACAGTACATCACATAGTGTGGATAATTTGTGTTTTAGCCGAGCTTTAACAGTGAAGAAACTAAATCAAACCAACTCACCCGAGAACTCGGGTATAATAAAATAAGAATATGAAACTTATTGGTGCCCTTACTAACCAAAGTCCAAACGTTTGTACTTTTGATCAATATATGCATCATGAGTAGATCTTGTCTTCAGTTGACTTCTACCGAGTCCTCGAGATTTTGCTTAAATATGATTCTAACCATAAGTTGTTGTTAATTTCCGAAACTAAACTCATCGCCACGTGATTTTTCATAGTGAAAATCTGAAAATCTGAAAGAAAGAAAAAAATCACATGCGAATTGTAACTTGGACACTACTAAGAGATAAGCTCATCCTTCTGCATTAGAAAAGAAAATTTCTTTTTTTTAAGCAGTGTTGCATATACACACTTGTGTCGAAAGACACGACCACCATAGTTAACACACTAACACACATAAACACTTAGACACATTGCAAAAAAAAAAAATACACACACACACACAACTAAACGTTTGATGATGTTGTTGTTACCAAATAGCAAAAATGGGAATATAAAAAGATTTTAAAATTTCCTAAAAAAAATTTATATCCCACATATTTTACTTTTTTTCCTTCTTCTTCTTCTTGTTGTTGTTGTTTTACAATTGTCATTAAGATTTCTTATTTTGATTATCACCAATCATCTACTTATCCATAGACTATAGAAGAATCTACATTATATACACTTAATTATCATGTCTGAACAAATCAATAAAGTTAAACAATTGATTAGATCCAAACAATCATTTAATTCAAAAACTATTCATCATATTAATCAATATTCATTAGTTAATCAAATCACTGGGTTTATTTTATCAATTGGTGTTTTCAATTCTATTTATACCAGTTTTATCTTGCCATTGTATGATTTTGTCAACAACAATATCTTTTCAATTACTCCAATTTATAACATTTTATCTTATGTTGATAACTTGTATTATCAAATTTTGATTTTATTTGATAAATATTTTTTGGAAATTCCATTGGAAACTTTGAACTCAATTGGTAAAACTTATATTAATCCAATTGACGATAAATTGATTGAATTGAATAATAAATATTTAAAACCAATTGAAACCAAATCTTCAAAAGAATTTTATAATATTGTTTACACTATTCAAGAAGTTTTAATCAATTTGAAAATTTTCACTTTTGGATAAATCTTCCCAAATTCAAAAGAATATTGTCGATACTTATAATGAAGAATTACAATCAAACTCTAATGAATCTTCAAATGTTATTGGTAAAAATTTAACTGCTAGTTATCATACTGCTAGTAAAACTATAACTAAATTAAATGATGATTACATAACTCCTTTAAAATTACAAACTCAAGATTATGTTGATCAATTTACTACTCAAACTAAACAAAGAGCTGATGAATTTATTAACGATGCTAAATCTAAAGTTGCTCCGAAGATTAATGAAATTAAAGAATCTGTTCCAACAACTGTTTCTGCTTCTGCTTAATCTTTCTATATATATATATATGTTATTATTATTATTATTTAAGTTGTGTTCTTTGTCTTTAGAAACAACACCAACAACCTTTGTGAAAACATTGATTAAATGTAACTTGTTTATTAGAATATTTTCATTACTTTATCCTTTTTTTTTCTTTTCCACTTTACTATCTGTCTCTCTATTTGAGTGTGTATAAACGTGTGTGATAATAATATATACATACATACCCATCTATTGTTTTGTAATGTAACTCTATTGTTATTGAACAAGCCTTGTTTAATTGATAGCAATCATTTATGTGTAGTATATTCTGTTATCAGTTTAAAAATAGTGGTGGTCGTGTATGCATGGCAACAAAGTCCATTCGTGTATATTGTTACAAAAAAATAACTCAGTGTGAAAACGCGTTCACCTTGGTCAAATCCCGATATCCCTTCCCCTCTTTTCTACCCCTCCCCCTTCGCACTATTTACACGACCAGGAACTCCGATAAGAGGTCGTGTCGTGTTATAATATCAACTCACAAAAAAAAAAAAAAAATACAATTAATCTATTTCCATTATATATAATTTTAAACATCTTGATATGATTATTACTACTACTACTATTACTCTTCAATGACAACTACAACTTCTTCAACATTGTCATCATCACCATCATGAGTAGATGAATAAGAATCTTCCATTGGAAAAGTTTTAATATAATCAATACCACCAATACATAAAGGAACCGTCAATTGTTCTTCATTTTTCAAAATTTTTTCATAAATTTCAATACCAACATCAACAGTTCTTTGAATAGCATCATGTTCTAAAATTAAACCTTTACCATTTTTAGATTTTTGAAAATTCTTCAAATCTTGTAAAATTTCCGATTCTTTTCTAGTTGTTGAACTATCCAACATTTTCCAATCAAAAGTATCAAAATCCCACAATACAGCTTGCATACCAAATTGACGTAAAATTGAACGAATTCGATTATCAATTCCACCATATGGAGGTCTAAACCATTTTGGTAAATGGCCCGAAGTTGCATTCATTGCCCAAATTGACCATTCAATTTGTGCTATAACTTTTTCATTACTTAAACTTGGTAAAAATTTATGACTCCATGTATGTGATCCCATTATATGACCACGTCGATAACTTTCTTTATAAACTTCAGGAAATCTAATTATATTAACTCCTAATGTAAATAATGTAGTTTTAGTATCTTTAAAAACATCCAATAATTTTAAAGTATGAGGACTTGGTCCATCATCAAAAGTTTGGGATAATTTAGGACATGTATAAACATCATCAACTTCAACACAATTAAAACAATCAAATGAACAAGCTTTTGGTGAACGCAATATTGAATCAGTACATTGAGCTTGTTGATGTAATGGAATATCAATAATTTTATCAAAATTTATAAAATCTAATGGAATATAAGGTGGTTCTAAATCTGGCCATTCATTTAATCCAGTAAAATCATGCAACCACTTTGGAAATGGTAATTTTGGTGGAAATTGCATTGGTGAAGGTGGCATTTCTTTTGTATTTGGTTTGACATTTAAATAATTTAAATTATGTTGATGTTGTTTATTGGCGGTTGTAGTATCAATTATAGGTATTGGAATTTGTAAAACTTGTGGTGTTAATGATGAAGATGGTTGTTTTTCAAAAATATTAACAAATGAAGATGGGATAAATTTCGATTGAATTCTTGAAGTTAGATCAGATGATGATGATGATGATGAAAATGAAGTGAAAATACAAATTACAATTATAATTCTAATCATTTTATGTTTGTTTCGTTGAATAGTGGATATATAGAGATTGTTTGAATTCTTTTTTTTATGTATATATATTCTACTTTTTGAATGAATATCTCATCAGTATAAATACTTCAATGATGTCAATTTGATATGTGTGTACATAACATAATTATCCCTTGAATGCATTAAATGATATGATTACATTTTGCAGCCTCATGAAAAACTTTTTTTTTACACCCAAATATCAATAAATAAGAAATAAAAAAAAAAAACCTCTCCGCATGTATATTTTGTGCTAATATATATATAATCAATAATAATAATAAAACTAAACAAAGCTAAACAAAAAAAAAACCATAAAAAATCCCTTATCATTTACTATTTTTTAACAATTCCAATTCATCTTGTAATTTTTTCAATTCCCTCTTTAAATTTTTATTTTCATCAACAACTTCATCATATTTTAAACTAATTCTTCTACCATTTGTATTCAATTCACTCTTTTGCTTCTTTTTAATAACTTCACTATTATTATTACAATTATTATGATAAATTAAAGCTTCTTTCTGTTGTTCTCTAAATGGATAATTAAATACTGGTGAAGATGTCATTAAGGTAGAAATACTTCCACTTCTACTATGACTATTATTATTGTTGTTGTTGGAGTTGGAACTATTATTATTATTATTACCATATGATGAAGTTGATGCAGAAGTTGATGAAGATCTTGAAGATAAGGAAGATGAACGACGTACTGAAGGGGTTATTGGAGCACTCATAATACCTGTATTATTACTTGTACTGGTTATACAAGGACTATTGTTATTATTGTTATTATTATTACTATTATTATACTGATTTAGTCTCAATTGTTTATTTTCTTGTTTTAATGATTGAATTTCCTTCATTAATTTCAATACAATTGCATCTTGTTCTCTTTCCATTAAATCGATAATTTGTTCATTTGAATATTCACTAAAAGAATATCGTTTAGGAGATCCAGAACCACTAGTAGTAGATGAACTTATTGAATAATTGCGTTGATTGTTATTTGTAGTTAAATTTGGTCGGTTATTACTAAATGAAGTTATACTATTTCTTGGAGATATAGATGTGAAAATTGAAGGAGGATGAGGATGTGGTGGTTGAGATTGTGTAGCTTGTGATTGTGAAGGTGTCAGTGGAAGAGCAAGATTGGGTTGTGGGGTATTGACAGTAGAATTCATAGTTGAAGAAGTTGGAGTAGTAGTAGGAGTAGATAATTGTTTTATACCAGTAGTGTTTATCATTGAATTAGACATAACTATTTATCCAACTTTTTGTAATAACAAATTAAATTTAATTTAAAATATAAAATTCAAAAAAAAAAAGGAAAATTGTGAAATGGTTAGATATTTATAACAGTTGAAAATTGTTAAGAGGGGAATTTTAGTTGATTATTGTGTGAGATTGGTTTGTGCACGACAAGATTAAAAAATACAAAACGAAATGTAACAACGCCTTGTTAAGACAAGTAGCGGGGGACATAGGAAAAATAGGAGGAGATGGTGGGATACACAAGAAGTTTGTTGGCTAGTCAAGATGAGATGATACTGCTAGTAGTAATACCAGGTTGTTCTCATTATTATTAGTGTGACATATTTCATTCAACAATTGTACATCATTTACACAACACAACAGCACAACAACACAAAACATGCTCTACCAATTTCCTTAAAAAAACAAAAAGCCAAAAAAAAATTTTTTTTTTTTCACCTAGATTTACGAAGGATTACTAAGTTGTTAATTGTTTAATTAGGTATACAAATCATCATAGAGATGTGCGTGACGTAATTGTCATTACTCATCTTTGTCTTTATCTTCATAAACTAGCTCAACTAACCATCGTCATCATCAATTTCATCATCAACGTGTTGGTGTTGGTATTGGTGTTGGGTTAGAGTTAGAGTTATTACTTTGGTTTTTATCGTTTATTATACGATAAATAATGAAAGAGAATTTTATATCGTTAAGTCAAATATGCTTTACCCCCCTTTTTTTTTTATTTGTTTGGAATTATCTCTAAGCCCAACTTTTGTTAATCTCTTACGATTACTTCATGAAGAAAAATGCTGATCATTTTTTTTATCTTATTTTGTTGCTGTTGCTTGTGTAATTCAATTTTGCCACCAACAACAATCAGAACCACAACCACAACCACAACAAAAAAAAGCAATAACATAAATAATTCAGACCACGTGAACAAGCAAACAAACAAACAAACAAACAAAAAAAAGACACGATGTGTACTCTAGACAAATTTACAATAGAGTTTACCTATTAGACAAAGATAAAGATAAAGATTAGATACATAGTTGCCTAGTTGCCTTGTTGGCTAGTCATTAGTAAGCTTTATTATACTGAGCTAAACGCCATCAGAAAAACGTAAGGAGAAAGCGGGATTAATCTGCATTTACGTAATTGTATACGTGTACATGACTCAAAACAAAAAGAAAGTAGATAACATTTATAGTTAACACATAAACACTTCTATCATCTTGATCATTACGGGTTTGTACACCCGGGTTATCGATAATAAACAATCATTGACAGGATAATGTCATCTATCACCATCCTTTAAAAAAAAATGACACTTTCATTTTTCACTTTCTTGTTTACACGGATATTGAGATAAACAAACTTCGGTAACGTTTTAAAAGTATATTATGCCTATAGTAGTCATTGAAATTGTTTCCTAGTTTACATTATTAATAATAGGACAAAAAATTGGCATTGTCTTATTAGAACAACAACAACAAAAAGGGGGGACCAGTCGGAATCAAAAACATAGCCACCACTACTAACTCCCCATCGATTCTAGATTATTCCCTTAACTATATTTTACATATACGTTATGCAATCAAAAAAAAAAACATTAGCCTCTTCACTATAACCCTTTTTTTTTCTTTTCCTTTTCCCTTTCCCTCTCCGTAGCCCATTCTATTCCTTTATACCCTGTGTCATTTTTGTGTACAGTGATAACCAAATCAAACTTTTCAATGAATTGCAAATTGAATGATGATTCATGTGAATCATAACGATCGGGAACAATCAATAGTCATCTATTGTAATCATAGTTCTTTTATTATGACTAATCGATTCTATTTGAACTTCTAATTTTAGTTTTAATTGGTATTTCCGGAATTCACGTGTAGTTAGATCATGTGATAATGTACGCATGATATGAATCACGAGTGGACATGATATATTGTAAGAAAATAAACTCAAACAAGGATAGATTATAAGATATGATTCATAAATATAGATATAAATAAACAGCCATATGGTTCTTATCAACTGACTATTATAAAAACATTGAAGTTGAAGTTTATTTCTCACATAATGTTGTCTGTTCAAAGAGTAAATGAGTTTCATTTCAGTGTAGTAATGTGAAAAAATAACAAAGATCAATATATATATGCTTACTTGTATTTAATTGATATTGTTTTTTTCTTTACAGTATAAACATTCAAAGTCTACTGGAATGAAATATTTTTATGTTGTTGTTTTTATTGAAATTTTTGCGGCAATTCTCAACTAAAAACATAAAAAAAGTAAGACGATTCTCTCACTTATACATACACACAAGGGATAAAACACTTTGTTTCTTTCAAATGCATGATAACTCCGATCTTAGTTTGCTCCACTATTATTGAAATAACTATAATCTTCATGATATAGTTGACAATAGGATCTACATTGTAGATAATTATCAAACGTTTATTTTTTTTTGCTTTCTTTCATAAAGTTAGTTACTCCGTGTTTTATTACCTGTGTGTACCTTAGTTAGTGGATTAACCATTCGCACGACTTTCTCAGATTAAAATTGCATGTGATAATTTTAATTTTTTTTTTTTTTGCAATCACAGAGAGTAGTATAACCTGTAGAGTACAGAATTTCAAGTTACTGTTAATACATTTCTATATTCTTATGAAAAAAATAAATAATACGGAATAAATAAATAAATTGATAAACTAAACTAAACAAGAACTGAAGCACGTAATAATAATAATAATAATAATTTCCCGACCCTCTTTTATCTTTTATAAATATACAAATTATGTTTATGTGTGTGAAGACAACTAATCCTTTAGTTGTTTGCAATAAATTTTTCTAAATTTTCATTCATGGTTTTAATTAGAATCATTTCATTACTGATTCTAATTAATGCATTATGTTTACTTAAATTAGGTAAGCCATCTTTATTAATTCTTGCTCTTTTTGATTTTCGTTCACTTTCATTCAATTCTGGCAATTTATTAAATGCATCCAAATCAATAATTAATTCAAGACATCTTTGATAAGCCAATTTACACAATTGTCTTCTCTTTTGTTCTGAATGTGAATGATTTAATCTTTTTTGTTCAAGACTTAACAATGGTTTATTTGATGATCTTCTTCTCTTTTTTAATGGCTTCTCTGATTTAGATGCTTCATCATCACCATCATCATCTTCTTCAACTTCATTTTCTTTAGAAATTTCTTCATCACTTTCATCATCATCACTATTTCTTTTCCTCAGTTCGTCGCCAGAAGTTGGAGGAGTAATTAAATGTTTAGATTTTTTGTTGTTTGTAGTGGTATCATTAGTGGATTTCAAATTTGAAGTGGTTAAAAATGGGTCATTATCAATCTTGTGAAGTGAATCATTTGGTGATGGCAAGTGATTGAATGTAGATACTGAAGGGTTAGTAAAAGCTTCAGTTAATTCTTTTTTCAATTGAGCAGGATCTGTTTGCTGATGAACATGTTGATGATGTGAATCATTTGGATTTGTTGTAGATGATTGTTGGGCAGTAGGTTGAGTTGGTGGTAATGGAATTGGTAGTAGATTATCAGCGCTAACACTTCTTGGTTTCAAATGTTGAGGTACTTTCATAGTATGCATTTCAAAATTAAAATCAATTTCATGATTAGTATTTAATGAATGACTAGCATTGATGTTATGATTATAAAATTGTAATGGATCACCGGTTGAAACAGGATTAGCTAAATTATCTAAAAACTTTTCCAATGCATTTGATTCAGTGTTGGTGAAGAATTGATCAAAATCATCATCTTCGTCATCATCTTCATCCATTTGATCATTGAATGCATAATTTTTGTTCATATAATTGTTCACGAGTCCTTGCGGTTGCGGTTGTGATTGTGATTGTTGTTGTTGATTGTGAGGACCATTCAAGATATGAGCTCTTTCATAAGCAAATTGATCAGGGAATTGATGTTGATTTGAGGTAGAAGCAGGTAAAGTACTTGTATATTGTTGATTTAATTGTTGTACTTTTTGTAATTGTTCAAATGAACCCAAGGCATTTTTTTGTTGTAAAGTGTTGTACATATTATAAGCTTGTTCGAAATCCATATCAGTTGAAAAGATATCAAGTAAATCAAACTCATTTTGTTGCTGTTGTTGTTGATGAGTGTCACTGTTGTTGTTGTTGTTATTAGTATTATTATCAGTAGTTGTCATAATGAATTCGTGTTTTGGTTGTTGCAAAGTTGTAGTTGTAGTGGTAGACATTAATTAACGAAATGAATAAGAATTAGAAAAAGAATGGTAGAGTGAGTAAGTATTGTGACAAGAAGGAACAGAAGAAGAAGAATTGAATAATTAAAAGATCTGAAAATAGGATTGGTATAAATAATTAAAATGAAAATGAAAAATTTATATAAGATAATAAAATATAAAATATGGGGAAACAACAAAAAGAAAAAAAAAAAATTATGGAATTAAATGAAAAACTTATTTCAGGGTATTTATATTATTATATTACTTTCCTTTTGTTTGTCTCTCTGTCTATCTGTCTCTCTCTCATTCCCCCCACGGTTTATAGCGAAGAAGAAAGAAAAAATTTTTTTTTTCCCTTTCTGTTTGTCTAACCTAAGCAAACGATAACCTGTAAAATTACCCAGCTTTTTACAAGTTAGGTCGGATGTAACACAAAACTAACAAAGGTCACCCTTAAATTTCCTACATTAGTTAGTTCTGAGATATTTGTACACGACTCTACGCTGTTTTTTTATATAATATACACGACCTTCTTCTAGACACATTTTGATGTATCGATTATGTCAAGAAATAAAATAAAAAAAAAAATTGGGCACTTGTACACGTACACACACCGACTCACACATATAGGCTAACATTATTGCAACAATTATTAGTAAGCACTGTCTATGATAGCACTAGTAGTATCATGATGGTGAACATCATCAGACCATTTGGTTACTACAATTGAAATAACCTTGTTGTTATTTGTTTAGAGTTAAGTTTTGTTTTGTTTTTATTGAAATTTTGGTGGATTTACGGATATAGCCCCCTCAATTTTGATTTTACACTTTACCCCACTTATCTGTCGGACCTTTTTTCCCCTATATATGCAACGTCATACAACCACCATATTACATTCTGACTCGATTCTTTAATATAATTAGTTCTTTTACTCTTGACAGCACTCATACTAGCCATAAATCACTCCAACAGTACTAGCTCATTTATTCAACTTTAGCAATGTTGAACAGAAAAAGAGTCAAATGATTTGCCAGCAATCTATTCTGATTATTACGTAGCGGATTTAATATGCACCAGGGGAAAATGTGTTTTCTTTTTTTTTTTTTTTTGCACCTATCATCAATAATAACCAGAACAAGGAATCAAACATCATTACGGTTAGAATAAAGACATATAAATGGCATCAAAAATAATTGTAGACCATAGATATAGAAAGGGAGGAGGGCAAAATATATAAAAGGGGGCAAAATAAAAATCTTAATACTTTATTTTGAAATTAACATTCTGTTAAATTACTTCAAAATCGGATTACAGGAATAATATTCTTGACAGATTACATCAACTAACCAACACAAAACTAACAATATTAAAATAAGAAAGAACAACTTCTAAATATGTGCCTAAGATTATGAAGGGAGAGATCGCCTTTAGAAAGTAATATTCAATAGTAAAAGAGAATCTTTAAGCAACGTAAAACTATATTTCCGATTCTTGCATAAAACTATTCGATCTTCTGTACATCGTTTTATAACATTAACAAACTGTATGTGTATGTATGTGGGAGAAATAGAGAACTAAAGAGAGGGGGACTTTAGTAAAGACAATTAATTACTCAGTTTATATTTCCGCCTCTCTTAGAAATTGTATAAAAAAACGCAAAACAAGAAGAATTACCTTTCGGATAATATCTTTTTACTATCCTAATTTTTAGCTTATCCTTAACGGAGTTTCATCTTCAGAAAGCCAGTAAATAACAGGGGGAGAGTAGTATAGATTAAAAGTATAATTCATTCAAAACAATACCAACACGAGGGGGGCCAGGGAGGAGAGAAAGAAAGAGAGAAACCTTAACATATTAACGAAAACTACAATTTTTGAGCCTTCACCTCGGATGTGTATTGCATCATTTCTTAGAAATCAACAAAATCAAAAAGGTTTATTGCAAAATAAAATCTCGTCCAGATTGCAAGACACTTTTGTGTGCTCTCTCTTTTTTTTTCCATTTTATTTCCCAATTAGGAAATGATTGACAATTTTATTTTATTTTAGTCATTTAGTTCAAGCACCTGTTTTGAGGTTAGGTGTATTATTAGAATGACAAATTTTACTTACCCGTTTGGAAATAATATAAAGTAATACTTTAACCGAATAACAAACGTAACAGTCTTCTTTCAGAAAGGGGGGAGAGTCCGCAAATTACGACTAGAAATGATGAGCAAAAATAGTATACAAAAGTTTTAAAAAAAGAAGATTATTATTGATTGATTGACATCACAATACTTGTCTTTCCTAACTAGTTAGGCTAAACACAATAAAGGAGGGGTTCAATTAATACATCATGATTGTTGCGGACTTAACAAGTAGTTGACTGTGTCGTTTCCTATTTTTCCAATAAACCGTTGGCCATTACCCTGTTTTAAATTAGAATGTTCCTAGTATTCAATAGAGATTAAGTTGAAGTTATATTACTAGAAAGATCCCTCATCCTCAGTCAGCCCTTGTAAATAGCCAATCAATCTGTTGGTATATTTCCCTATTATATAACACTTACAAACCTGAAACGACGAGTATTTGAAAATTTCATTTCGTGATGATTGCTCTTTCTTCCCCACATTTTTATACTTCTCCCCTTTGTTCTTTGATGTAACAGAAAAGACTAAAAAAAAAATAAACATTCTTCTTCGAAAGTGGGATCAATTGTTTGATTTTCATTTCTATTGTCCCACTACTACATAACCAGAGGGGGAGAGGCGGGCAAACTCCCAATCAAATTGTTGATAGCTTTTCCTCCACCACCCACCGGAGTTATTAGTTATTGTCGTATTTGTTACATACCAGTCAAAGATACATTTTATTTAGTTACAAAATCATCTCCGCATTACCATAGGACATTATATTACCTGCAGTTTATTTATAAATAGCAAAGTTATCGATTTTGATCTATAAATGATATATATGAATTATTCCTCGTCAGTGGATATTTGAAGCACTCATCACAACCATAATTTACCCTTGATTCATAGTCATACGTTTGCAATAACAACTGACAGATCAACCTTGAATACTCTTAAACCTCTACAGTTGTAAAGTGCATACACCATCTATTGGTGGAACGAATAGTTTGTAAATCATTGTTTTTGTTGGAATTTTAACCATCCAAATGGTTGATTTCTTCTACTGCTCCTTATGTTTACATTCAACTAGGAGATATGTCGATCTTGCAACGGTTTAGTTTTTGTTGAAACTAGGAAACTTCTCGTGGGGGAAGTGCTGCATACGTTTTCTGTTTGGCTCCAGGTTATCAACATTATCTACTACCGCCTCTAATTATAGATACAAAATGTATCAACATCACCAACTACTGCCAACACAGAACACACGGGTATGTGCAATTGTTTAGGAGTCACCGACTATCCTGTTAAACACAGATCTCTTTTGTTCAAAACGTATTCGCCTAATCTCGTTTGCAAAATATGTTGCACACTGACAACATCAAGTATAACTATAAAAAGATGAATTATGACAAAACTCATAAAAGACATACTCATTACCAAATATGTGTTCATCAAATATCATTTTGGTTGTTATCACTTCCTTCTGTACTACTGGTTTGACTTTATCTAACCCATTTTCAGGTACAATTTTATCATTCAAAGAACAACCTTTAACCTTATTCAAAAATTATAAACAATCATGGTTATTTGAAGTTGTTTCAGAAGGATTCCTTTGGTAATCACAACTCCATTGTAGTTAATATAATTCATCTTTCAAATACTAATACTTCTCAACTTGTTGCTTTTCAGACTCCAGCAGAAGCAACAAGCATAACTTGTGCACCTTCAACTTTAATGCAAAATGGTATTTTTTTCAGTGACACATTAGTTTTTGATTTATTATTTACGACAAGGTTATTAAGTAATTGTTCCAGATTATGAGGGTTCAAAACTGTCATTTTTAGAAGGGAAACAAAATGGTAAAGCAGTACTTAATGCAATTCGTACATCATTAAGTTCCCTATCAATAACCAGAACTAAACCTGTTTGTTATCCAAATTATTAAATTCGGTAAATTCTTTAGTGGATTAGACAAAGACATTCAATAAGATAAACCATCTACTCTAGATTGTTGAGTTTATATAAATAGAACTAATGAAACTGGGGTTTAGATAGAGCAATACACGTGACACAAAATAATCTACACGTGATTTCGGGATTGATACGCGCCGCAATTTTTTTCAATTTTTTTCAATTTTTTTTTTTTTCTTTTGGGACATTCTATGTTCTTTTCGATGTTGTTTTTTTTTTCTTTGGACATAAATTTTCAACCATACTTTCTTTGCGATTGTTATTTCTCTAAATATTTGTCATCAACAGATAGTTTAAAATCATGGTTGTTCGAAGCAGTTCATCTACACCTGTACCATATGATGAAAATCATCCAATACATAAATTAACGATTGGAACTCAGGAACAAATTCATAATCTTGCTAAACAACATCCAATTCTATTATTAAATCAAGTTACAGAAAATGGATTTCAAAATCCAGATTTGGAATCTTTAAGATGCCAATATAATTATATTTATGTTATTAATTGGTTATATAATTATAGAGGTTATTTAAAATTACAATCGGAATTATTTGATGTTGATTTATTTGAATTGGAATTATTGGGATTTTTCCCAAGAGATGATAATTATGAACGTGCATCTGTGTTGTTTATTAATAAATTGAAATTACCATTGATTAGTATTGCCAAAGGAAGTAAAATTACAGATGTGAATAATTTTGAAAACGTGTTTAGAGAGATTTTTGGCATTGAAACCCCATTAGGTGGGAAATTAAAACCAACACCTCAAAAACAAGAACAGCAATCTAATACCGAACCAGAAGTTGAAGTTATTGACGTCGATTCCAATGACGATGAAGCAGAAGCAGAAGCAGAAGCAGAAGCAGAAGAAGAAGAAGAGGATTTACCACAATTTGATTATTTAAAAATTGAAGAAAAATTTGAGATTTTGTACATTTTATTGAATTATATTTCGAAATATTCAAAATTTAGAAATTGGATTGATCATCAAGGATTATCATTAGATCAATTACGTATGGATCCAATTTTTCAACCAGCTTCAGAAACTCATATTGAAGATGATTATTTTACATTATTTGATGATAATCGATTATATAAAAGAACCACTACATATAATTCATTTATTGTTCCTAAAAAAAGAAAAGATTCCCCTGAAAATCCACAAGATTTTTACAAACCCGAAGTATTTGATGTTAAGAATGTTAAATTTGAATTGATTTATAAAAACATCTATGAATTTAATGAATATTTAACAACTATAAGAAAGAAGCCAACTTTCAAACCATTGTACAACAAACTATCATCAAAATTAATAGTGGAATCAATATTTGATAATGAAATCAAAAAGAGAAAATTCTTAACTGCAAGAAGAAAGGAAATTCAAATGGTGAATCTATTAGCTGTACGTAAAAGAAGTTCAAGATTAGAACAAAAAGAACAAAGAAGAAGAGAAGAAATGAAATTACGTAAAGAACAAGAAATTAAAGAAGCTGCAGAAAGAAGATTTGAAAGAAGATTAAAAGTTAGATCAAATGGTGGTAATACTGCAAAATTTGATACTACTGGATTGTCAAGAGATGAAAGAATGAAATTAAGAAAATTGAATAATGGAATTGCCACTGATAGTACCACTGCTAGTCCTTCTGTAACTGCAACAACAACAAAAAGTCCCACACCTGTTAGCCATACAGTATCTCCAACACCTGAATATGATGCATCTCATGAAGTAATTGAACTATCATCAGATGACAAACAAGATGAGGAGCTACAACCACCAGCTGAACCAGAAGCTGAACCAGCAGTCGAGCCAGCAGCTGAGCCAGAATCAAACCCGGAACAAGTAGGTGAAGCGGTTGTAAATAATGAAAACAAAGATGGTGATGATGATGGTGATGATGAAATTCAAATAATTTCAGAAACAAAAAATGAATAAGTTGACATGTTGTAATTTTTTTTTTTTTTTTGTATTTAGGTTCCCATTTTGTAGGTTCTTGCATATACATTTCATTTTACTGGTTGTTTTATTGAAACCAATGTTTGTGCCGCGCGTCTCCATTTTTTTTTAATTTTTGCAGTAAATGACGACACGGCTACTTTTCAACCCTTCAATATAGACAACCAATAACAAAATGGAATACCAAAGATGGCAAGTTTCATGACAGAAAAGGTTAATGTCATGGGTGATTTAAAGTATATCAGATTATAGTACCCCATAGTCAAATCAATCTTGCCATTGCAAAACCCGGATTCATCGAAAGTGGACATATCTCTCACCATTATATGACTCAAACTGTCTACTGGCAAACCAACCAAAAAAAAGTTTCAATTTTTATTCTCCACATCGATCTACTAAATAAATGACTCACTTCCACTTCATCTTAATATAATACCATCAACATGGGTATAATAACTCAAGAACCTCCATATTATATGGTATCTTTTATATCTAAATTTACATCAGATATAAACCATGAAGAGTATTCCGAAATTGCTCAATTAATGGTCTCATTAGCTCAAAAACAACCAGGTTATCTTGGTGTAGATAGTGTACGTGATCCAATTACCACTCAAGGTATAACTATAAGTTATTGGAAAGATAAATCATGTATTCTTAATTGGAAACAAAATATTGATCATCAATTGGCTCAAAGAAATGGAAAAGGAAAATTTTATTCTCTATTTCAAGTCAAAATAGCTAAAGTTGAATCTGCGTATGAGTTTAATAAAGATGCATAGTTAAATTATGTATATATATATTTATATAAAGAAAACCAAAATCAAATTAATTAACAATACTTTAATGAATCAAATAATAATAATAAAAAAAACGAAATTAAATAAAGAATGTGTATACATATATAGATATAAAAAAATAATAAGATCTCCATCAAAGATTATAGAAAAGAAAAATAAGAAAAAACCCAAAAACAAATTCATCATAAATTCATTTCATTCAATATTTGACTAGCCAATGTTTTATAGTTCCAAGTGTTACCTAAAAGTTTCTTGAATTGAACCCCATATAATCCAACCAATGGAACCTTAACAATATGAATTTCAAATTTCAATGGTGATTTACTAGCCATCTTATTATGTTGACTTGATGTACTAACTGTTCTTTGATGCTTGGCACGTTGCTCAATTCTTGAAGAAATCAACATATCACTTCCTCCAACATATCCATTAAGTGAATCTGCAGAATCATCATATTCATAATCATCTCCTTCAGCTTCAACGCCTTCTTCATCTTCGTTATCATCATCATCATCATACAATCCATGTAAAACCTTTGCCGTAGCTGGTGTGTTTGGCGGCATCAATACTTGTGATCCATTCTTCTTACGGTAAGTATTAAATGCATTACCAATGGAAAATTTACGTCTTGGAGCACCCGGTGTAGTGCTACCAGCACCACCAGCACTTGTACTACCAGCCCCAGTGCTTCCAATAGAATTGGTAGATCTATGGGATTTGGCTGCTGTTGGAGACATTGGGAATTGAGTCTGAAGTTGTAACGATGGTTGCCTACTTGGAGTCTTGGTACCTTCAGAAACAGTCAATTGTTCATCATACAATTCTTGACTTGACTTAGACTTAAAAGCATCTCCATACAATTTATGTTCTTCATCAAGCACAGTACTATTGGCTGAAGTATTTGATTCAGCTTGTACAGATGGGGTATGTACACAAACAAATCCACCTTTTACTTCTTGGAATTTAACACCCAACTTACTCAAAACATTAATAATGTTATATCTGATTACGGGTAATGGTTTAGAAGATGTGGTTTGCACACTGAAAAACCCTTTCAAGAATAATGTCTTGCAATGCTCAATTGATGGCATGCTATTTGGTTTAGCATGATTGTATTGATCCATAATTTGAGCTTCTGTAAGGTGAGGAACTTCTTGATAATCAACATCATCCAACTGGACATCATCAAAGAATCCATCCGTATCCTTACTAACAACTTCATCACTATTTTGATTAGCCATTGAATTAGGTAATGGTCGTCCTTGTGCAACAGCAGCAGTACGGCCATATGAATCCTTACGAATATGTCCACCAACAGATTTGGCTCTAGCAGTAGGATGCATCTTACGTTCACCAGTAGGTGATAAAAAGGTACTTTGTGGTTGCTGTGCTGCTGGCTGTTGCTGTTTGTTATTATCTGGAATGATTGTGTTGGTGTTGGTGTCAATAGTGGGCAATGGTGGCAACTGTTCGACTGGTACAAATGCTTGATATTTAAGTGATGTAGATGCAGAACGTCCATGTTGAGTTTTTCTTTTAATACTATCATTTCTAGCGGCTGCAGACGAATTGACAGTTGTAGTAGCTGGTGTGTTTGCGGAGGACCTTATACCAGTTTGCTTCTCCTTGGCAGTAACCTTCATACTAACACCACGACGAATCATTGGATCTGCCTTGATCGAAACTTGAGGAGAAAGTCTATCAACATCAACAGGGACAGCACTTGCCAGAGGAGATTCTGCTTTCTTTGGAGATGTAGTACCCTTATATTTCTTTGAAGATAATCTTCTCAACAAGGAGTTAAAACCAGCAGCACCACCAACTGTACCACCGGCTGCACCAGTATTAGTAGTTGCACCCGCAGTATTAGCCTTGGCTGGATCCAATGTTTCCATTGGCGTGTTACTTCTTGGACTTTGTTGGTCTGGAATAGACAATCTATCAGTATCATTGACTGCTGTTTGGGTTTGGTTGAATGAAGATGGTCCCGATGATGTATGGGCTTGTTCTGGAACCGGAATCGATGCTGGTGGTGGTGTAGGAATACTAGCAGATGCATCTCCTTGTCCTGATGCCTGTTGCTTAGCAGGATCCAAGGTTGGGAAAGTCTCGACAATTCTTGGTGTTGGTGTATTTTGTTGAGTATTGGCTGGACTGATTTGAGCCAAAACAGCAACCTGGGTGGCTTCAGTGACTTCATGATGATCATCATTAGATGCAATTGTCTGTGGTTGTGAAGGTGGACGAACTGGTTCTTGTTTAGCAAGCTGTTGCACCATTTCTTGTTGGGGCGATTGAGTTTGCTGTGGTTGTTGTTGTTGTTGTTGTTGTTGTTGCTGTCTTGGAACAGGAAGTGCAATAGTTGGAACTTGTGCTCTTTGCTGTGCTCTGATAGCTTCCTCTTTAGCTTTCTTTCTCTTTCTCATTTCATCTACCAAATAATAAATCGAAACCAATGGATGGAATCCTCCTGTTGGGTCCGGCAAAATGTGAACATTCGATGAAGAGTAATAATCTCTTCCTTGTTCTGCCGCTTTATACCAATTTTCACAACTCATTTGGTATTCAACACTATTCAAAATGGCTGTTAATTCATCGGTTACACCTTGGACAGTACCTAACTCATAATTGGCAATAACCTTGATAATCTCTGGATCTAATGGAAAACGCAATGGCTCTCTCTTTGGGAGATAATTATTGACTCGATGATCATATCCTTTGTTCATCCACGGATGCAGACAAACTTCATATAGACTGGCTCTCTTTGTTGGATCAACAACCAACATTTTCGAAAGCAATGAAACACATTCACGTGAAAGAAAACTTGGATACTCAACATTACCCTTTTTGATCTTCTCATGAAGTATAGAGACAGATTGATCATCAAAAGGTACTTTACCACAAACCAACACGTAAAGAACCACACCAAATGACCACACATCAACTTCGGGTCCAATATATGGTTTGGCACTTAACAATTCTGGTGCAGCAAAATACAAAGAACCACAATAGGTTTTTAATAAATTTCTTGGTGAATACAAGTTGGATAAACCAAAATCAATAATCTTGATGTCTCCTTTCTCATTAATCATTATATTTTCAATTTTCAAGTCTCGATGAACCACATTATTTCTATGACAGTAATCTAAGGCAGAAGCTATACCTCTTGCAAATTTTCTAGCATGGCGTTCTTTCAATGATCCATGTGCAACAATATAATCCAACATCTGCCCACCTTCGATATACTCAAACAACATATAATAATGATTGGTCATAGGTACCATTTCATACAATCGACAAATAAATGGGTGGTACAACAATCTACCCAACGCACCTTCACGGATGGTACGTTTGTCTCTGGCCACTTCTTTTTCGAATTCCTTATGTCTTTGTGCTGCTTCCTGTGTTGTTTGTGGAGGAGGATCATTTGCATGAGCTCTTTGATACAATTTTGCTGCTCTTGGTATAATCTTCACAGCACAGATCTCATGAGTCGTATTGTGTTGTGCAAGCTTGACTTTACCCATAGACCCTGCACCAATGGTCTTAACAAAATCCCAATCACCGATAGACTTTCTGTGAAATTGCTGTTGTTGCAGAGATCCATGACCCAGTTGTTGCAGTTGTTGTTGTTGATGCTGCTGCTCCTGCTGCTGTTGTTGTTGATGATGATGGTGGTGGTGGTGCTGAGCATGACTATTACTGTTACTGCTGGAGGTGGTATGATTATGTGAGGCCGATTGATTGGAAGCAGGCAGTGGTGCAGATTGTTTTTGTCTGGACGATAAATTTGTCGTCTGAGAGACTCCAGTTGGAGTTGGAGCAGGATGCATCTGGCTAGAAGGACTTGGGATCGATGCTGGTGGCAATAACTTTCCCTTTTGTTGCTGCTGGTCTGCAGGTACAGCAGTAGGTGCCTGTACTTTGATATTTCTTTGATCTTGTGTAACTGGAGTAGAGGTTTGTTGTGGAAAACTTGGTTGTCTCTTATGCGTATCCATAGTATTGTTGGTGACGTAATGAGGTGAATTGGTATTGTTGGCCCCATTATTATAATCTTGAGTTCGTTCACGGGATGAATTATTAAGTTCAGTTTTGGATTTTAAAGTCCCACTTATACTCCTTAACATCCTAGGGGTTGCGGGTCTTCCACTTGGAGCGTGTGGTGTTAACTGTTGTTGATGTTGTGATGTAGGTTGAGATGGAGGAACCATATTTGGTGGAGGGACTTTCCTGCTCTGATACTGTAAATTGAGATCTTGATTGTCCATTGATAATATATTAATGATAGTATCTGAATAGTTCTTCGATGGGACGAAATGCTAGGGGAAAAATGTGTATCTTTTTTTTTTTTTTTGAATGAAATTCTGTTGTGATTTCGTTTACTTAGAAGAAAAGAAAAAAAAATAATAGTTAATGAAGCAACTATAACGTGGCTGATAGTTCAGAAAAAAAAAATCTGACCCTGGAATAATTCAATGACAAATTTGGTGAACAAAATTTAGCAGCCTTGTTTCTAAACAATCATAAAATATTTTGGTGGTATAATTCCTCAATGAATATTAATATTCCTTAAAAAATATAAAATTAACGACCAATATCTGAAGATTTAGTGATTGGGAGTTTGAAATCGTGTTATTAGTTGCGTTTCCTAATTTTGAATTTTTTCTCTTTTTTTTTTTGCTCTCTCTCTCTTTCACTTTACCTAACACAAGGGGGGTGGGGGAGGACCGGTCAGTTTCAAATAATACTTGTGTTTGTAGAATATATTCAATGATACTTTTTTATAACCAGCTTTAAAAGCTTAAACAATTGATACGATTGATATTGTTCTTGTGGATGTAAGATAATGTTGCAGATTCTCTCTTGTCTTGTACGATATCTAAGGAGTGTTCAAGTAATGTTTTTTTTTTTTTTTTTGATTATTGAGACGAGCTTTGTTTCGGTTGTTTTTTTTTTCTCTTCTTCTTCTTTACGTCCACTCACTATGTTCATGTCTCTGTGTGTGTGTGCACTCGCAAGCAAAAAGTCGTGTGTTGCTGGATAGAATTTTAGGTTGATACTGACAAACAACCAGCCATTAAGACAAAAATACAAAAGATTAACGTCTATGTATAAAAGAGATAGATATAAAGGAGGAAAACATACTCGCCTGAAACGACAAGACTATGGTTTAACTACAGTATCAACTTGCTTGCTAGCTATAAAGTTGTATAGGAAAGAAAAACAAAAAGCTTCTTTATACATTTTTCATATGTCTTAATAAATACTCACAATTGATCAGGATATCTATAGATTTCAAACTTAATGGTGAGCTTTCAAGTGTTGGTATTCTAAGGAGTAACCAAAGATAACGATAACAATAGCCAAGTGAATGAATGGTTTACCAGAAGCGTTGTCACCATCAAAGAAAGCAGCTCTGTATCTAGCAATTGGGTTGGTTGGTTTAGCTGGAGCTGGAGCTGGACCTTTTGGTAATTTGTTGTAGAATTTAACAACTTCAGCCATTCTTTTGGCGTTTGGGTTAGAACCAAGGTTCTGTATATAGATTGTTAGTAAAAAAAAAATTGTCCAATTATTGCTAATCTATGAAATATATAAAATAACGCTGGGGCCCAATGATTGAGTCAATGATTTTTACATCATTCTATACCCAATACAAATTCTCTATCCCAATGGTTCCACCTAGTTCAGACGTTACATATTGTCCAATCATTTTCATTGTACACGGAAAACGTTGAAATCATTGGCATTACCCACATTATTCTTCTGCATCTATTGCAAATAAACATACCTTAACGGAGGCAATCTTTGGTGGAATCAAAGTGGACAATTGTCTTCTAGCGATGAATGACATCTTCGGAATAGATAATAATTGTTGATAGTTACTATAAGAAAACTAAAATAGTATCGTTCTTATGCTAGAAAAATTTTGTTTTGAAGGTTTGAGAGAAGGAGAGAAAAAGAAAAAACGAGAGCGAAAAGTGGAAATCGGTTTGACAATTTCACACGACCCTTCTCGTTGGCGACATTTGATTCGTCCAAATCAATATGAACCATGACCATCGGTCAATACCAAGTTTACATTAGTGATAATTAAATTGCACCATCATGAAAGAACTTCCAATATACATTAATCGTAATAATACCAAAAAATATCTATGCTTCACTTATATATAACACTAGATGAAAGAAAAAAAAATAAAGATGTTAGTAATTTGAAATACAATCAACTCATTCATATGATGAAAAAAAAATGTTGAATACATACCATTGTTTCCTCTAATAAAGACGTCGCCGTATTCTTTGGTGATACTTCCATTCACGCTTTCTTTGCCGTCTTCCAAAACAACATTCATGAACCCATCTATGGTTTGTAAATTACCTTTATATTCAACACCGTTGTGTAGCTTCACAGTGACCAAAGAGCCAATGATATCACTCAAAAACTTTGATGGATCAGTTTTTTCAAATTCTGTACTAATAGACATTGTAATATATGTGATTCTAATGATAATTTACGTTGTACCTGATATTTCTCTAATCAGTGCAACGAAAAAAATTCAAGTGAAAAAATAAAACCTTACAACACTGAAAATTATTACAAAACAAATCACGTGATCAAAATCGGTAATAAAAGATTTCTAAAAGTTAACGTCTTTCTATATTACACTATTTACACCTCAATTTACTAAAGAATCAATCAATGTAAACAATTTAACCATTTCCTTCAATAATTCCAACTCGGAACTGTTTTCTTTGTACAATTCTTTACCAACTTTCTTGTCCTCTACCAAAAGATCTCTCTTCAAAACACCAACAACTAAACGGTTAATACCTTTCATAAGCTCTCTCGTTTGGATTCTAGCTGGTTGGTAATTTGGTCCCATTGATAACAACACCGTTGCAATCAATTGGAAAATAGGTATAAGAAATTCAAAGTATGAAATTGTATTCTCGCTTTTCAACTTGCTAGCATCAACCATATCCAACAATGAAAGTGGAGTGTCTAATAAAACATTGATTTTGATTGTTTTATGATCACTTACTTCTTCAATGTTCAAATTCAACCCTAAATCTGGGTCGATTTGCAAAAAGTTTGATTGCTTTAAAATTGAAAACAATTCATTTTGAATCAACTGTAAAGAACCATTCTTGGTTTTGGCCACTCTAATAAAAAAATATAACGTGGCTCGGAAAGCAGTCAAATCAAATACCAAGTTCTCTAAAGTGACACCGGAATTCTTTCCTTGGCACAAGCTAAGCATGGCATCAGTTCTCTTGACAGATCTAACAAGCAACAGCAACGCATTATTCTTGGTAAGTGCTTTCAAGATAAAATCAACATTAGTCAATGTACCCAAATGAACCAATGATTCCAAAAATAAAGTCGAAGTAATTCTAGATGAACCTTCGGAAAAGATTGCGTCGTTACAAATAACTTGGAAAAATTTCTTATCTACCGACCTGATAATAGTAACCATTTGCTTCAAAAATGATTCATTGGCAATGCATTTCAACAAAAACTTATTACCCACAACATACAAGTCAGATCTTAAGTTAGGAGCAGAATTTGAGTTGAGAATACCAGCAATACAGGTTTGGAACAAAGAAATCAATCTTTCGATTGACAAAGTAAACTCTTCACCCTTCTTATTTGCAAGCGCCAGTTGGTCATACAAGTCGAATAACAATACACAAAGTGATACCAACTCTTCAGAAAACAGAATATCCGCATCATAATAATCATTGACTTTTGGAAGAATAACTTGAAGAACTTCCAAAATAAACTCAGAGGAATCCAATCCACTATCAGTAATTAAAATCTCAATCAACTGACACCAAGAATGCAAACACTTCAATTGGATTTCTTTCAAATCCGTGGAAACCAGGTATTTTGCCACAAATTCTGAAATTTTGCTACCTTCAACCATAATTTCCTCGGCAAATAATTGTCTCGACTCAGGGGTTGCTAAACTAGAAGCTTGGCACAAAATTCTGAAAACTTTGTTCATCACACTAAAGTCCAAAGTACCATTCTTGTTCTTATTAGCTTCTTCCAAAATCAAAGGCATGTTGAACTTGCGGTCCAACCACTCAAACTTCTGTACTTCAAAGTTTTTGAACGAATAATTCAAAATGTTCAAAAAACTCAACACTTTTGGGGAACGATTCAAGAATTCTTTATCGTTGGTCAAGATATTAACGTAATACTCTTTCTTGGTCATCGATTTTACACTGTGAAATTCCAATGACAAATATTGCAATATTAAATTTCTCTGATTAATAAACGAGAAGAACGTCTGTGTACTCAATTGATCTTCAATGAAGTAATTGCTGATATCACTTTGTAAATCTCCGTTAAATGCGTGGCCACACCACAAAGTGTTCAAATCAAGCTTTGGCTGACAATTAACTAATCTTTCAAACAATTGATCGTATTCACGTAATCGATTTAATGTAACCAATGATGATATATGATCCTTGCTCAACTTGATAAGGATTTCCAAAATCAAAGAAGAAAGTTTTGCTGGACCAACATCTATGATATGATTATTACCATTGTTGTAATCAATTTCAGATATCAACTCAAGACTGACATTTAGAGTACTCAACAAAGATTTCAAAAGGGTATTTTTGTCCGGATCATTATTCAAATCTAATATATCACCTCTTATCTTGTATCCCAACAAAAAGTGCGCAACAGTAGCAACACGCCCATCTGATTGATTAAGATTTTCTAACAAAAACTCTAGGATCTTAAATCTCAAGTCCAAAGTGTCCTCCAATTCTTCAAATTTGTCAATGAAGGCATACTGAATTTTAACAGATTCATCGATATTCTGGAAGGTAGTAATTAAACGATCATTATTTAATAATGGTGCACTGGAACTAGAAACTTTGGTGATAAAGAACTTAGACTTTCCGATTCCTTTCAAAATAGAAATAGCTTTAAGGGAAATTTTGTTCTCACAACCCACATAAAGTGCAATTTGAACAACGCTTGATAAATGGAATAACATAATCTCATAAAAATCAACCGCACCATGAGTTCCAAGATTCTTTGGATGATAGATAAAATCAAAGATAGTCTTTGGAGTGGTCAATGCGAGACTCATGGAAGTACCAATTCCCATTATAGATCCACGGTGAATTTGTTGATGGGCATCCTTATTCTTCAAAATTGGCAATAAGTTGTTTGTGAAAGTATTCTGAACTTCTAATAATGACTCAATAACACCCAAAGCGTTTGACACCAAGTCTGCAGAACCACTAGATGCGTTGACTTCGTCAACACCGGTATCAAGAATCTTGAATAAAGCATTGTATACTTTGCTTTCAAACAAACAATTAATAACGGCAATAGCATGGTGTAACTTGACAAATATTTCAAAATCCAATTCAACACCAGGAATAAGAGAGTCAAATATCCCGTTAAAGTTTTTGAATTCCCTAATAATCTTTGGAGCTACTTGGGTAAGGAATTTCCAATCAATTTCAGCCAATGAGTTTTTGAATAACTCTAAAAGGATTCTTTGCAAGTTGGAACGGTCTCTTGAACTACCAATATCTTGTGAGTTGGCAAAACATCTATCATCAAGAACTCAATGTATGGCCAAACACCAATGTAGTTATTAAGTCTGTACCCCAACCCTAAGTCGCAAGGAAATAATAATGAAAATTTTGTGAAAGGATCTTTACTGCTTTCTAATGGTGTCAACAACTTGGTGATCAAACTGGTGAAATTCCCAATTTGACTAAGGTGCGTCAAATTCACAGTAAATGGTTGAGAAAGGGTGAGATTTCTCTTACTGGTATATTTTCGTTTTGATTGTTTGAAAGCATCATTCTTTTGATCTTCCGGCATATCGTGTAATCCTTGATACATCCATCTATCAACCAAACGCCAAATCTCATATCTCATGAGAGGATCACCATCATTGCTCACAAAATCAGCCAAGAGATTTAAAAATAAGATTTGTCAACACTATTCTTGAATCGTCACTAACAAAAGATACTTGGCAAATCAACAAATTTAGGGTTGTTTGTACTCTGACTGTTGACATCAACTTGGAGGTATTTGCTACCATTAATCAAGTTGTCAAATTTCAAGAAACCTTTGATAATTGGTGCAAATCTTGTATATGCAACAGATTTGATTTCCCTGCACCTCTCATAATCAGTAGACAAATTTCTCACTATTGATGAGAGTAGTTGTAAGAACCCTGAAATGAATACAATAGAGTCCTCGGCTAATTCAATAACTATTCTATTTTCTCCTGACTCTTCGGCTTCTTTTTGAGATGCATTGGCACTGAATAAGAAATCCTGTTTCTTTTGATTCAATTTCAATTGATCATTCAAGTCTTGTTCAAAATTTTCATTCAATGCATCAACATAGTACTTCAAGGAATCATAAAGCGAATCAATTGAAATCTTGGAATAATCATTCTTCTTCATGGTGGTACTATTATTGTGAACAAGAACTTCCCATATACGAGCAGCTGCGTCACTGCCTGCAGAAGCCAAGGATCCCAACAAGACACAAAAGGAGGCAGTAATCAATGGTGATGTGTTATTGGAAAGACCCCATGAAATAAAACCGATAATATCATTAGTAACCTGCTCGTCACTCCAGAATAATTCACATAATTCTGGACGGTTGTTATAGGCATACGCGAATGCCATATAGAATCTTTCCAATTCGGCACGTTGAGCAACTTTATCAAGATCCAAACCTTCTGATTTGCTGCTCAGACTACCTGAACCAGATTGGCTCACGTCATCCTCGTCCTCTTCATCTCTGCTATTCATTGAGGATAAAACATAATCTTCTTCTGAGTCTCTTAATGATGTCAAGACTATTGCTGCGTTGCAGATAAACAGACTGAAAAAACTATGGAAAAATGGTGCAATTAAAGTCTCATTCAATGTTGGATCTAATGTCAAGAAGGAAACATCAACAAGTTTTGGAATATTTTCTAATCCAGGTCTCATTCCATTAATTAATTCTTGGTTACCAGGGTAAACAAATTTTGATGCAGTGAGCTGTGGAAAGTTTCTTTGTAGTAATGCTCTAAAATCATACATGTTGGACCAGTCGTATGCTTGTTTGGTTTTCAAATTACTAGTTTCAGAACAGTAGGATAATAGTCTTTCCATAACCCCATAACTAATCAACCATTCCATGTATTTCAAAATTCCTTCCTTGAAATCGTATTTAGCAGTTCTTTCAGACAGTTGTTTGCACCATGGAATAAATTCTGTCAAGAAAACAAAGCTTGTCAACACTTCAAACCCACTTAGTTTTGATTTCGACAAATCAATGTCTGTTTTGGAAGAGGATCCCATATTGGTATTGTAGTCTTGAGATACTGTAGTTGTAATGTGTTTGTAAAATTGATCGACAGTGGCGTCGTTATTGTCTGCATTCAATACTTGTTTGAATAATTGCAAGGTTGATGGTAAGAAGTTGATGATTAAAATATCTTCATCATTAATATTTTTCAGGACTAATTCAATGATCTTCTTGTAATTGTCCAATGTACCAAATTGTAAATAATAATTATCCATCAATCCAAACAATACCTGACCCAAAAGTTCATGGGCTGAAAATAATTGACCTCTGGAATAATTGACACAGTTGATAAATGATAGACTGTTGATATCACTTGTAACCTTTTGTTTATCAATCATATCATTCAATATTGCTACTAATTTGTAGATCTTTTCAAAACTTTTCAAAATATTGTCAAACAACAACTTATAATCTGTAACTATCAAATCCAATCTTTTTTTGGAAATCAAATAACCAAGTATGTTTAGTATATAATTTACCCTCAAATAGTAAGCTAATCGAGCACTATCACCAATTGATGTTCCTTTCTTATAAGTTATGTCGCCAGCATAGTACAACAACTCTGCTGCGTTCAATTGATCCAAATCAAACTCATTTGACAATAACGTACTGACTTCAAGAAAAGCTTGATTCAACTCAACTTCATCCCCGTTTGGCAAAGTTACTGGCTTACTACCATCACCCAATTTTTTACGTGATTCTTCCAGTGGTGTAGGCGTTGTCAAAACGTGTATAATGTCATTCTTGATGTTGCTAAAATCTAAGGTATCTAAATCAATTTCAACTTCATATTTAAATGTATTGTATAACTCCCCAAATGTTTCCAGGGACCAGTTAAAAGAACCACTCATTATTAAAATATGATTGCCCGTTGACTTGTAATAACAATGATGTACAACAGTTGAAAATAGTTGTTTACAAAAAATTTTCTTTCAATTTTTTTTTTTCCTTCTTCGTTCTGTTGATGAGCGTGAAGATGAAGATGAAAGTGAAGACAAACGAAAAAAAAAAAAAAAAAGGTTTGAATCTTTTTACATAATTCGCACTATAGGTTTTAAATACATGAAAAATCAAACTTCGATTCAATTTAAATACACAAAGAAATAACTTATACACTAACGTGAACGCAATTCCAAAAACCAGTTTTTGAATAACTTATAAAATTTAATACATTTGTACTTCAGCACCTTCAAAAAGAGACAAAGTCAATGTGTTTTGTAATTTTGGTGGATATTCAGTATTTGGATCTTGTTTCAAGTTACCAAATTCTTGAAGCAATCTAACAGTGACATATGATGCTTCAGTTAAAGCAAACTGTTGACCCAAACAAATTCTTGGACCGCCATTGAATGGAACATATGCCCAGCCCAATTTTCTGGTTTCAGGTTCAAACCATCTTTCTGGCCTGAAAACATAAGCATCTTCACCATAAATGTCTTTATCTCTGTGAGTAGCAAGAATCGTGTACATAACAACTTGGCCCTTCTTAATAGCAATTGGGGATAAACCACCTTCACCACCACCTCTTGGTAAAGTTGTGTTTCTAGTAGCAACTCTAAAATTATGTGGGACGGAAGGATAAATTCTCAAAGTTTCATTGATAACAGCCTTCAAGTATTCACAAGATTTCAATGTTTCAAAAGAAATCTCTTCAACACGAGCATCTTGTCCAAGACCAAACTTGTTTTCGATTTCTTCTCTCAATTTTGCAAATATTTCTGGGTTTCTAGACAATTCAAAGAAAAGAAACGACAACAAGCCAGCTGTGGTATCTCTACCAGCAACCAAGATATTTAACAATTGATCTCTCAAAACCTTTGGATCTCTGGTTTGTTTGGCTAACTCGAATAAAAATACATAGCCTTCTTTCTTTTCCAAATCTTCATCAGTTAATTCCAATGCCTTTTGAACATAGTGGTCAGCAAACTTGTGGACAATAGCAATAGATTTTCTAAATTCAGAACCATTCAAAATCCAATACATTTGTTGCAACAAGAATCTGTACGCTTGGTAAGTTTGAGAATAGTTGAACGCATCGGCAAACTCATTTCTACCATCAAAATCTTTGGTTGTTGGAGTTAAACCGACAGACTCGTCTCTTAAAGATTCAGCAGATTCACCAAACAAAAACTCAGTAGCCGAATCAACAGTTAATCTGAAAAACAATTCTTGGATATCAAAAGTTTGGCCATGATGTTTTCTAATGTGTTTAAATAAAACTTGCATATGGGGTTCCAACAACTTTACATGCGAAACTTGCTCTCTAGCGAATTGTGGTCTCAACATGGTTCTGCTGTGTTTCCAGCCAGCACCATCTAAAGTGAAAATACCATCTCCTAACAATGAATACAAGAAATCATGTCTAGTTCCCAAAGAAAAATCATTAAACTGGGTGGCTAAAATAGCCTTGACATTCTCTGGGTCTTTAGTTTCAATCAATGGAATACCTAAAATCTTAAGACCAATAGTCTTTGCCTTTGGATCACTGACAATGAGTTTCTTGTCCCATAAATCACAGGCAAATTGCATCACGGTACCTTTAGACTTGTAGTAGATCAAAACAAGTGGAGTAATAAGACCAAAGGTATAATCTTGAACATAGACAGCAAGCGGTTTAGCCTTAAATTTACGTTCCAAATACTTTGTATGAAGCATGGAGATAAGATTCAACGAAAGAATCACCAATGGAATGAAGTAGTACCATTTGGTATAATTCTCTTGACAATACTCAACATATGGAGTAATGGTTGCGAGAAATTCTTGAGCAATAGATGGAGACGACGACATTTTTGTGTAATAGAACCAGGTGCAAAAGTAATTGATTCTACTGTGCAGCCAAGTTCACGTACAATAAAAAAAAAAGAAAAACCTACATCAGAGAGAGAGGGAGTAGCAGAGATGGGCAATTAAAAAGATATATATATTTGTAGTTTATTTCACATGGTATTAACATAACCAATCTTCATAACCTAAAAAAAAAGGAAGGGAAATTGAAACCTGGTGTTTAAAAAAATTACAGAATTCTGTGGTTCCCCTCATGGTTGTTGTTGGTGAACAAAGTAACTTTATTGGGGAAAAAAAATGAAATTGACCAAAGTACCGCATAAACGGGGCGTGTACTTTTGTCAGGATACGAATAAGTTTTAATATTTGACATTCTTAATAGTTACTTATTGATTATCATTAATTGTATACTTCCATTAGATAATTCTTTTTCACATGTAATCAGAACATCAATCTTCTAACGGAGTCTATATTCAAACTCCTTGAAACTATTGTTGAATAGACTTCTTAATGCGATGGAAACGGACAGTATTGTTTTTGAGTATTTTCGGAGTATTGCGGAGTTTTTTTCTTTAAGTCTACCTGTTGTAGTCTTGCAAATCAATTTCTATTTTATCATGGAGTATTTTGTGTCTTCTATTGTTTTCAAATTGTCTATAATCCCCCGTTGTTCTATTACCCCTCTAGCAATAGTATAGTATTTACACTAGCCCGGAAAGTTGTTTCTTTTTTCTTTTTCTATTTTTGACCGCAAATCTTTTTCTTTGTCTTCTTTGTTTGTGTTCGTGTAAAATTTGCAACAAATAACGTTTCACATGCGAAAGGAGTGATTCGTCATCCATTTGACATGTCTGAGACAGATTTGTTTTTTTTTTTTTTTTTTTGATTATGTAAGAGAAAAGTGGGTGTGTGTGATCACATGAATAATCAATGATCGAGATCTAATTACAATTGATAGTTCAGAGTTCCTGAATTCCATCTAGAAGGATAAAAGGAGTAAGAAAGTACATGTGATTTGTCCCAAAGAGAAAGAAATAATAAATAAGATTGTGTTAATTAAACCAAAAATAAAGTTACAACTAGAACATGAATAGTTTTTACAACAAAGCAAACAATACACGTTTCTAATACATTTGAATGTTGGCACCATCAAATAGAGACATTGTCAAATGGGACATTTTCTTTGGCGGGTATTCAGTGTTTGGATCCATTGTCAAGTGGCTAAACTCTTGAAGTAATCTAACAGTAACATAAGAAGCTTCAGTCAAAGCAAATTGTTGACCCAAACAAATTCTTGGACCACCATTAAAAGGTAAGAAGGCCCAGCCCAATTTCTTTGTCTCTGGTTCAAACCATCTTTCTGGCCTGAATTCAAGTGCGTCTTCACCATAAATTTGTTTGTTTCTATGGGCAGCATACACACTGTACATCACAGTTTGACCCTTTCTAACTAATACTGGTGATAAACCATCCTTGCCACCACCTCTTGGTAATGTGGTATTTCTGGTAGCAACTCTAAAGTTTTGTGGAACAGATGGGTATAATCTTAAACATTCATTAAGCACTGCCTTCAAATATTCACATGATTTTAAAGATTCAAAGGAAATTTCTTCAACACGAGCATCTTGTCCAAGGCCAAATTTGTCTTCGATTTCTTCTCTTAATTTATTTGCTACTCTTGGAGTTCTTGCCAATTCAAAAAACACAAATGATAATAAACCAGCAGTGGTATCTCTACCAGCAACTAATATATTCAATAACTGATCTCTCAAGACTTGTCTGTCTCTGGTTTGTTTTACCAATTCATACAAGAAAACATACCCATCTTGTTTTTCCAATTGGTCCGGAGTTAATTCCAATGCTTTTTCAACATAATAATCAGCAAACTTGTGAACCTTGGCATTACATTCTTTAAACTTTTTTCCGTTCAAAATCCAGTACATTTGTTGCATAAGAGCTCGAGAAGCCAAATAGTTTTGAGAATAGTTAAAGGCATCAGCAAATCCAGCCTTACCATCAAAATCAAGAGCATCGTTTAACATACCGATGGACTCGTCTCTTAAAGACTCAACAGATTCACCAAACAAAAACTCAGTGGCAGAATCAACAGTTAATCTGAAAAACAATTCTTGTATATCAAAGGTTTGGCCATGATGTTTTCTAATATGTTTGAAAAAAACTTGCATATGTGGTTCCAACAACTTAACGTGAGAAACCTGTTCTCTTGCAAATTGTGGTCTCAACATAGATCTACTATGTTTCCAACCAGCACCATCTAAAGTGAAAATACCGTCACCTAATAAAGGAGCAAAATGTGAATGTCTTGTACCTAATGAAAAGTCATTGAATTGTGTGGCCAAAATAGCTTTGATGTTGTCTGGTTCAAGAGTTGAGATAATCAGAACAGAAAATATTGGGAATGTAAATGTTGGAATATCGGGATTGTCAAGCTCCAAAGTACGTTGATATGTAAAGTCTATAAGTGTACCTTCACTCTTCTTTCCCATCAATTCAAATGGAACTCTGAAACCAAGATAACCGTCGGTTTGACTTTGAAGGAATGGCTTAGCACCAAGCTTATACATCAAATATCTAGCATAAAAGAAATCAAAAACCTTGTATACAATCAAAGCAACCAGTACAACAACGTACCATTTGGTACTGTAAGTTTCAACAATATCTTGAATACTCATTTTGAATTTGAAATACTAAACTTTAGAGATCAAGGATATAGAATTTTAAACGAAGACTATATAAATTTTGTTCGAAAAAAAAAAAAAACGATGAGGATACATGGTCCCTATTATACTATTTTTTTTTTATTTCCATAATAGGATAACGCTTCACATGGGATCCTTTTTTTTTTTGGTGGTGGTGATTGTTTTAACTCCATGTGCATTTTTTGTTTGATTTTCCAGTAGGGTGTTTGGTTTGTGTGTACTTGTGAACAAAAGCAACGGAGATAGTATAATTGCAATTAAAATTATCCATCAATTCCAGAAACCTGCCGCTATCCTTTATGTCACACAAAAGTAGACGATGTCTATGTTAACTATCACTACCCCATATTTCTACATTATAGATTCCTTCATAAAATCCGTAGAAATATTTTCTCCGCCAGATCTCCTCTTTCTAGAGATACTACAACAATAACCCTAAATATCAACTGATTATACACATGTTTTAGTCACGCAGATTTATCCGTAACTTCAGCCAAATCCAAAATAATAGAAAATAAACTACAAAACATTGTGCTAAATTGTACCAAACGGAGTAACATTGAATCCAAAAACAAGAATCAACCATTACGTAATTGAGAGTTATCTCCGATTCTTGCATGAACACACGCAATATTTTATGTGAGAAGTTTATTTTGTATCCAATGACATGGGTTACAATTGAAATTTGTTCACAATAGTCTACGGGTTGACAGATATATACTTTTTTGTTTTACCTGAAAATTTATATTGGGAATGAAATATGTAGAATAAATAAGATAACTATATGAATTATTAATAATCAAAATAAAAGTCTCAACTTTAAGCTTCTGGACCAGCAGCTCTGACTTCAGCGGTAGCTTGGTCAGCATAAGTCTTGAAGTTTTCGGCAAATTTACCAGCCAAAGATTTGATTTCCTTGTTGAAAGAATCAACACCTTCAGTCCAAGCCTTGGTTGGGTTCAAGATTTCACTTGGAACACCTGGACAGGAAGTTGGAACATTCAAGTTGAAGACTGGGAATTGTTCGTATTCAACCTTGGATAATTCTCCAGAGTGGATAGCATCCAAGATAGCTCTGGTGTATTTCAAGGAACATCTCTTACCACCTCTAGCAGCAGAAGAACCAACCCAACCGGTGTTCAACAACCAGGCGTTAGCTTTGTGTTCAGAAATCTTGTCAGATAATTGTTGAGCATATCTCATTGGGTGCAAGACCAAGAATGGTTGACCAAAACAAGCGGAGAAGGTAGCTTGTGGTTCGGTGACACCTTCTTCAGTACCAGCCATCTTAGAAGTGTAACCAGAAATAAAGTGGTACATAACTTGAGCATTGGTCAATTTGGAAACTGGTGGCAAGACACCAGAAGCATCACAAGTCAACAAGATAATGTTGGATGGGTGAGTATCAGCCAAACATGGAATCTTAGCAGATGGAATAAAATCAATTGGGTAAGCACATCTAGTGTTTTCAGTGATGGAAGAATCTTCATAGTCGACAACCTTGGTGATTGGATCGTAGACAACATTTTCCAAGATGGAACCGAATTTGATGGAGTTGAAAATTTCTGGTTCTTTTTCAGCAGACAAGTCCAAACATTTAGCGTAACAACCACCTTCAATGTTGAAAACACCATTGTCGGACCAACAATGTTCATCATCACCAATCAATTTTCTGTGTGGATCAGCAGAAAGGGTGGTCTTACCAGTACCACTCAAACCAAAGAATAATGTGACATCACCTTTTTCAACACCTTGATTACAAGAAGAATGAAGAGTCAAAATCTTGTGTCTGATTGGCATAGTGTAGAAAAGAAGAGTGAAGATACCTTTCTTCATTTCACCGGCATATTCAGTACCAAGGATAACCATTTCCATATCTTTGAAGTTAATTTCAACAGAAGTAGATGATGACATACCTTTGGTGAAAACATTAGCTGGGAATTGACCAGCATTGTAAATGGTGAAATCTGGTTCACCAAAGTTTTCCAATTCTTCTTTAGTTGGTCTGATCAACATATTGGTCATAAATAAAGCGTGGTAAGCTCTAGCACAGATAATTCTAATCTTAAGTCTGTATCTTGGATCCCAACCAGCAAAGGCATCAACGACAAACAACTTGTCTCTGGTTCTCAAGTAGTCCAAAGCTCTGGATCTGGAGATTTTCCAAGTCAATTCATCAACTTGTTTGTTAACTGGACCCCACCAGACATTTTGGGTAGAAGTTTCTTCATCAACGATTCTTTTATCTTTTGGAGATCTACCAGTTTTCTTACCAGAGTAAGCCATTAAAGCACCAGTGGAGGAAATAGTAGTACCTTTTTCTAATAAACCATCTTCGTATAAAGTTGGAGGTGGAGCATTGTGTCTGATGACAGTGTCTTCTTTAAGGGATAATTGTTGAACCAATGGGTCTTGGTTAGATTTGATAGTTGGGTGACCTTCAAAATTGATTGAAGATTCAACAGCAGTTGGAGGAGGAGCCATATTGAATAATTATTTAAACTTGGTTGTTATTAAGTTAATGATGATAAAAAGGAAGAAAAGAAGGAGAACAAAATATTTTTTTTGGAAGGAATTTTCGTCCACTTTTATAGGGGCCAGCAGCTATCCCTTTTCTCCGGAAGTGCTTTTATGTGCTTTTGAAATCTGGGGTAAAAATACCATGCATAGGAATTATTAGGAACATGATCCCGATACCTACCGGCACAAACGTTAGCCCGGGGTAAAGGCGAATGTTTTTTTCTCTTAGTTAGCTCTACGCTTTGTGTGCGCGCGGGGAAAAGGAGGTGGATTTTAATATTTTAGTGCACATTAATTTTTCACTCTGGAGTTTCTTTTGGTTTATTTCTTTCTTTGATGCTGGGCATGCCAGCCAATCAATGAATATGTTGAGTGTATTATTCACAATAACATGTTTTGTTTAGAAAAATTAATTAACTCCTTTCCTGTGCTTTAATTTTTTTTTGCTTAGTTTAGTTGAATTAAATTATCAGAAGAAAAAGGTCATGTGAGTATGAGTTAAAGGCGGCATAAACCTTTTAACATCATTCTGCATTTTGCCTAGAATTGCCTGTTTATTTAACAATTGTTTATTGAATTTTAGGGGATATTCTTCTCTTGCTGATTTTGAAAGATAATTTTTACTTGATTATTATCGATTTTCAAACTTGTAAACCGACTAACCCACCAATATTCCTTTTTGAAACTTGGTAACCATAAAGTATATTCATCACCTGGCAGGAAATAGTGTTTAATTCGGATATATAGTTATTAATAACAACTGTTTGTCACTTCATTCCCGGGGGAGGGGAATTGGAAAAAGTGAAAAAACACTGTTATCGTACAAAATTGAACCCCCAAACTTTCTTCTTTTTTTTTTCATGGAAATTTCGCGTCATTTCGTAATCAAAATACTTTAAAAGCAAAAAAACCACATTAATAAAGTTTACAAATTATACAGAATACACACACCTAAACGTCTTTTCTTCCATAATAATCATAATACCATGCCCATTCTTCGAATCCAAGGCACTCCAACGAATGATCTGATTCAATCATCATAATAGCATCTACAGCAGATCCAAAATAGGTAATTGCACTAGAAACTAATCCATGTTTAGCATTCTTATCACCAGTAAAACCAATCAAACCACCAATTGTGCCTTGATCATTTCTGATGGAATCAATAAATGGGAAATATTTACTAAGTTGAGAGTTACTCGTAAATGTAGTGACAGAAGCAACAACTTGATTCGTGAACCTGTCTCTGGCAACTATTTTATCAGGAGTTCTATCGAAAATATAATTATCGGGAAGTTCTGGTGGTTCACCCAATTCGTTCAAAACCATGACGTATCTCTTGGCAGATCGATTGATAGTCCATCCAACACTGTTGAAAAAAGACACCGTGGAGCTTGAAATATCATCAAAATAGATCAATGGTAAACCACGGCTCCCTAAATAAATTTCACTACAGTTTACCTCCTTGAAATATTTCATAGCTCGAGAATGCAAACATTTCCCAATGTTTTGACAACGCTTAGACTTGTCAACTAAAACCATGATAATTCTTCCGCTTCTAACACCATCTGTCTCCGTGACAAACGTCAAAATAAACCCCAATACAATGTTCAACGAAGAATTTCTCACCACAAAACTCTTTTGTGTTCTCCTCATAGTAACGAAAAAACCACTAAGACGCTTGTAGAATCTGTCATCTTGATAGTCGATCTTGTTTCCTCTTCTGTCAAAATTCGACTTGAACAACTTGATTATTGATTCCCCATCTCTTTGCCAATCAAGCTCATCCACCAACCAACGTCGTCTTGGTGTGTTGTTGTTATGGGACAATCTACTTGGCAGTTCAGGTTTGGTTCTTAACATGAACTTTTTCTCTCCAGGAACACATCCTTCTGGCTCGTAATCTCCCATCAATACCAGCGCCAATTTGGATAACGCGTTGGGGGTGTAATCATAACAACACAAGTAGGCACTACCAATCGATTTGTTATAGAAAAAATCATACGGCGATTGAGTCGCCACGATTATCAATGGTTTAGTAGATTGTGGAGGTGGAACATTGCCATTAACCCCATTTCGGTTTAATGTTGATGGGCTTGCACCACATAACAATGATATAAATTTGACAAGTCCAATTTGGTGCATATTTCTTGAAGCTTCACTGGTCACGACAATCACGACTTTCGATTGCTCAATCAATGATTCATGTAACGGAGTCAATCCATTAGCTGTGTAGGTCGTGTGAAGAACGTTATACTTCTTTTCCTGTCGAATTGGATGGTCTGATAGAAAATCACCAAACTTTTGGAATACTTCTTCACCGGTATGTAATCTACTATTCGTTTTATCAACCGTTTCACATGGGTAAATAGGATACAACAACGGCGTCAATAATAGTATCGAATCAACTTCTTCTCCATCAGATAAATAGTTGGAAATAGGTAATGCACCATTGAAATCACGCACCAACGTAATGGATTTCTGATAAGCCAGTGACGACAACTTTTGATGTTCCTCCCATAGGTCAGGATATTCATTCCTGAACAATGTTGGAGGTTGTTTTGCTGAAAGCTCTCCCTCTGGGAAAATCTCGGACCATCTTGGTAATCGTTCTTGCAATCTTTCAATTCTCTTGTAGCTGGACAACAAAGTATCACTAGGAAAATTCACAATGGCTTTTCTTATACTTTCAATCGCTTGATTTTGCAATTCCCAGTCATGACAAACCATTACTAAATCACAACCCGCATTAAGTGCCAAAATCACACCTTGCTCTAACCCAAAAGAATGATATAATGTTTCCATTTCTAAACATTCACTAAGTACTAATCCATCAAATTGCAATTCATTTCGTAATAACTGATTAATTACTATTGGTGAAAGACAAGCATGGGTTTCGTCCGGACTTATATTTGGAACCCCACAGCCAGCCGCACTGATTCCATCAAGAAGTCCTTGCTGTATTAGATTTGCAAAAGGGCGAATATTAAAATGTCTCAATTGGTCCAAAGAATCACCAATCATTGGTAATTCTAATAACGAATCAACAGCAGCATTCCCAATCCCCGGGAAATGCTTTCCAACAGTAAACAAACCCGCATCCTGTAACCCTTTAGCACACATTCCTCCATATTTTGTAACATCTTCGATAGTGGTTCCAAAACTTCTAACCCCAACCAACTGGTGAGAAAATTTTGTCACAACGTCTAGAACTGGTCCCAATATAATGGAAAATCCAATCTTTTTAAGTTCAATACCAACAGCTTTCAGTATTTCGTAAACCAATGTTGGATCGCCTGTAGCAGCTAGCGCCATTGCACCAGGGTATTGGGTCAAGAAATCTGGATCAAATAATGCATTGCTCATACCACCTTCTTCATCAATAGCAAACATTAAAGGATGTTCATATCGTCCCTGTGTCATGGCGATGTATTGAAGATCGCGAATAAGTTTGGACATTTGCTCCACACTAACAGCATTCTTACGTGACAAAATCATCGTTGACACATGATGCTCGACTATTAGATGATAAGCCTGAGGAGTGACTGAGGTACCTTGAAAGCCCCCACACAAGAACTGACCAGCATAAAATTTTGTCATGTCCTTATGCTTGAATTTAGTCTGTCTTAGTTTAATGTTGTGTTGTGTACGAAGATCTTAACGTTTTTGTTCTTTTTTTTTTTCTATGAATTTTTTTTTTGTGAACAAAAAAAAGAAAAAAATTTGATCATTATATTATTATTCTACTCAAATAGACTCGTTTTGGTTTATTATTATTATTATCACCACCAACATTTTTTTTTCTTTGTCCTTTGATAGGTTTATTTCTTAACCCTCTTCATAATGGGTATTCCTGAATTATGGGAGTTGTTGAAACCAGGTTTTAGTCGACGAGTTTCGATAGATGAATTAGTGGACGAATTTATCAAGAATCATCAACGAACGCCAAGAATAGCAATTGATGCTTACCTGTTTATATTTCAAGCCGATCATAGTAGTATTACTGTTGAAGATAAGGATACAATTCTTATACAAAATGTAATGTCCAAAATACTTGCATTGATTGGGTTAAACATATCAGTAGTAGTTGTATTTGATGGAGTATTGAAACCCCAGAAAACCAAAAGTAAAGAAAACCTGGGGATGATGTACGAACAGGAATTAGAAAGACTCAGTTTAATTGGCAGTTGTTCTGAACATCATCCCGTTGTAGAGAAAGTCAAGGACCAACTAAGGAGAAACAAGATTAACTATGTGCAAGCTGCAGGAGAAGGAGAAGCCCAATGTGCCTATCTACAGAAATTAGGTATAGTGGACTATTGTTTGAGCCAGGATGGTGATGCATTGGTCTTTGGAGCTAACAAAGTGTTGCGTAACTTTAGCAAGTATTTGGAAGATATTGGCCGTTCTCCTTCAAAGAAATCAGATGCAAAACTCAAGCAGACATACTATGTGACACCAGTGGATATCAAAGTAATAGAAAAAGAAACAGGTTTATCCGTGGAAAGGTTGATATTCTTGGCCTCATTGAGAGGTGGTGATTATTCAGCAGGAGTCAGGAAAATTGGTATCACTAATGCCAAAAATCTAGCGTTATGTGGGACCAGCCGAGCATTATATCATTCCCGAGAAAAGAGCAAAATAGAGCTAAAAGAATTGAAAAAGAACCAGACACAAGAAAACACACTACCGCCTCCTGATTTTGCCAATGAGTTAATTCAATGTTTTGTCAGTGACCGACTACCAAGACTACATCCCTGGGAGCTGAGATTAGAGCCAGAGGTAAGGCATCAGAAGTTTACGGCATTTTTAAATCTAATTAATTACCATATAAAGGAGAATAATCGAGACATATTTGGAAGAAAATTAACTATAGATGAAGGTGTCGAGTTTGATGAATACTACACAATGTTGTATCTATTCCCTTTGATTAATGATAGAATCCCTATATTCAAGCCAGATACTTTAGGTTCAGGAGAATTGAAAGCTGACCAGAGTATAAACCTTCTGGGTCTGCTAATTCGATTGAGTAGTTGTGATGGAAAATATTACAAGCAAAATGTTGGGATTTCTATACGAGGTCTACCAAATGAACTGAAATTTTTCTTCATCCCTAGTACTTATAATTGGTCCATAAAGTATGTTCTAATCAAATTGTTGACACACCCATCTACTTCTGTCAAAGTTACAAATTTCAAAGAAGAGGCTGGGGTTGAGAAATTAATGCTTAAGTTTGATATTAACGAGGTGTGCAAACAATTTCCTGAATGTACAGAAGCACGAAAATCACCAGGGTCATCATCTCCAGGAAGGAACTATATCTGGGTTCCAAAGTCGTTGGTAGAGCTACATGCACCGAATTTACTAGAAGAGTTTATAAATCAACGACATGAACAAGAATATATCAAGAAACATAAATGTTCACCACAAAAAACAACATTAGATGCATTTGGGTTGTCTCCTTCCAAGAAACCACCAGTACCATTTGATTTGAAAAGCATATCTCCAAAGAAATCCGGTTCGTCAAAAGTTTCACCCTCACCTAAGAAACGTAAAAAGGATGCATTACTTCCAGGACAAACATCTTTGGATTTCTTTATGAAGAAATCTGATGCTCCCAAGAAGAAAAATATTATCACCAACAATATTCCAGATTTGTCACGAAACGAGGCCCATGTGGCATTCAAGGAGGACGATAATCCATTTGTTGATTCACCTGGCGAAGCTCATGTTGAATTTAATCAAGATGATGATCCATTTGTAGTAAGTGAAGCTCATGTTCAGTTTAAAGATAATGATAATCCATTTCTAGAAGCACCAATGAATGATGCTACTCGGAGAGCAGATGCATTTTTCCTTTCCCTACCAGATATAAAGACCGACGATATATTTGTTAAACGTAGACCTACTTAATATACGCCTTGTTGAACAATAACAAGTGTTGGGTGCAACGAAAAAGACCAAAGCCTATTCAGTTTAATTTATTTTACATTTCCAATTTCTTTTCTGTTTTAGGAAGTGGGGTGTTTCTTTTCTTTTATTGCAGCAATTATGATTTTTCTTCCTCTTTTTTTTTTTTTGCTGGTGTGCATAGCACATGACAGCCACACACACACGACTCATTCCTAATTAGGAAGTATACGAAATCTGTAACCTAATCAATTTCAGTCATGACTTTCGAACAGATCACAATGGAACACATTAATGGAACGATATTTCACTCCTTTGAAAATAGTTGCCAACTAAGGAGGTCATTACACGAAACACGGTTTATTCTGTTATTAGTTTTATTTTTGTTTTTATTTTTGTTTAGTGAATAATTGTTTTAATAAACCACATAAAACACGGTGTAAGAATAAAAATCCCCGACAGGGATAAGCGTACTTACAGCGAGGTCGAATGAAAATAATAAACAGACGCGAAACGAAACGAAACGAAATGTAACGAAAAGAAAAGAAAAACAAAAATCTGCGACGTTGCAAAGACGTTTGTGTAATAATTGTCTAATTTCGCATTAAAGAAATGCTCATCACCATTATTTCTCCTGTTCCAGTAATAAACCACAAATCCTGATTAATTAAAATACCACTTAAATTAGGTAATAAGTTTCTATTGTAGATTACAACCGAACAAGAAAAAGAAAAAAAAAAGAAACACTAAATAATGATTCGTTTTTGCAATTAGAATTTTGGGACATTTATCTCCACATCAAATGCCACCAATTTTGATCCATCTCTTCCCCCTTTGGAAATACATGGTTGTATAAAAATTCCGTACCTTGTCCTTATCCATTATGTCTATTTTTTTGTTTTGTTTTTTTAAGGATTTATATATATCATCAACTAATAGATTCCATAGACATTGGGTTTATAACTCAAATATTCACAAATGTTTTATTCCTTTTTTTATATCCTTTCATTAGCAACGTTAGCCACAGCATCTAACATCGCCGTATACTGGGGTCAAAATGCTGGATCAAACCAACAATCACTTGGATCATACTGTTCTTCTACTTCTGCTGACATTGTTATTCTTTCATTCCTTAATGGGTTCCCAAATCTTCTGTTGAATTTTGCTAACCAATGTTCAACTTCTTTCAGTAGTGGGCTATTACATTGTCCAAATATTGGGGCAGATATTAAATCATGTCAACTGCAAGGCAAAACCGTTTTACTTTCCCTTGGAGGAGCAACTGGGAATTATGGGTTCTCAAGTGATTCTGATGCTGTTTCTTTTGCTACTGATTTATGGAATAGATTTGGTGGTGGAACTTCAAACGAAAGACCTTTTGATGATGCCATTGTCGATGGGTTTGATTTTGATATTGAAAACAAGGATCAAACTGGGTATGTTGCTTTAGCTACTAAATTGAGAGAATACTTTAGTACTTCCAGTAAGTCATTCTATTTATCTGCAGCTCCCCAATGTCCATATCCTGATGAGTCGGTTGGAGATTTGATGTCACAAGTTGATTTGGATTTTGCATTTATTCAATTCTACAACAACTATTGTTCACTTGATAAACAATTCAATTGGGATACATGGTGTCAGTATGCAAGTGGTAAAAACATCAAGCTATACTTGGGTTTGCCTGGTTCTTCATCATCTGCTGGTTCAGGTTTTGTTGGCATTTCAACTGTTCAAAAAGCGTTGGCTAGTATTAGTGGTGATTCATGTTTTGGAGGAATTTCACTTTGGGACGTTTCTTCAGCCGAGAATGATGGATTCTTGGATCAAGTGGCTGAAGCATTAAGTGGCTCATCATCTAATATTCCAACTACTGAAACTCAACCTACTTCATCAGTATATTATACAACCAATGCACCAAACACACCTTCAACTTACTACACATACAATTCAGTAGCCTCCCCAACTGATCATTCCACAACTACTTCTCAAACTGGTCTATTTGCCTGGATAGATAATTTGTTTGGTAGTGATGATACCTCAGCTTCAGCCGCTACTCAAGTAGTGACACAGTCTATAGAAACAGAACAACCAACCTCTGCAACTAGTTCAGGTTTTAATTGGTTTGGTTTGTTTGATGGAACTACTACCTCAACAACCATGGCAACTATATATTCTACTGTTCCTGCTGATCAAACAGTGTATTTGACACTCACAACAACTGTGTATCATCATGTTACACCTAGTTTATACCCAAAGAGAGACACGGTTGTTGTCGAAGGCAAAGCTGCAAACTTGAATGTCCATTGGTCAGTTTTATTAGTTATACCTATATTTGTCCTTATATGTTCATAGTGCCGCTCCAATCTGGAAATATGTTTGTTAGATCCATAAAATCTAGAGCAGGCGCTTCGTCCATTACTAATAAATTTTGAATATCCGGTTTCTTATCTATATTACCGTAGTCCCGCATCTTGAACCGCAACTCATCGTAATCTGATGATCGAGCAAACACTTCCTTCATCTCTTTTAGTGTATTGATCCAGCTTTCACCCAACCCCCATGATTCCAGCCAACTAGATAGTGTGTTGAGGTTGTCTTCTGCCAATGATTGGTATTTCTTAATGACTTCACCGTTAAACTGCGACTTCATAACTTTTTTGGGATAAGCTCCAATGAAAAATCCGGTTGCAGCTGCAGTGAACACATGAAATCCCGTGAATGGGGCAATCACCATCAAATTCAATGGTTTCAAAATTTTGGGAATTTGATCCAACTTATCCAATGTATCAAATAAAACACTTGCCTGTTCCTTCCACCAACCCGTGGGCGAAGCTTCAGGCAGGGAATAGAAATATTCTCGATTTAAAAATGTACGACAAAGTAAAAATAAACCACTGAAGTAGGCATAATCTGTGACTGATCCATCAGCAATATGTGCTTGTAGGTTGAATTCTGAAAACTTTAGATGCGTTGGTAATTGTTCTTCAAAGGCATCCAATTTTTTGGATAGTATGTAGTATGGAGACTCCATTTTCCATGGAGGTGTTTTCTCTAGTTTTGCACCAGTGGTACTAACCCACACAGATATATCTCTCCAGATTTCAAACAACACGATTTGGTAACCACATAAGGAAAGATCGTCACGATTGTCATCAGATCTAAAAGGATGTTCTTTTCCAGCACCAAAAATGAACTCCTTTTCTGTGCATGGCAATCTGATATGGATTTGATCTAGTGATATACACGAATGACTACTTCTTCCGCAGGAATTACATCTATCCATCATATATACCGACCACATTGCTCGGCGTTTCATTTCCATTCTTATGAAATTCTCCGAATTAGTTAAACCCGTTTCAGGTGTGGGTTCGTTATTTAACCCTAGAATCAATGCCATTCTTGCAGCAATTCCCACGTACATATAACTTCTTGATGCATTTCCTTCTCCCCACTCATGACTACTGAGAATGCACAACGCTTGCACGCGTTCGATCGAAGGTTCATCGAACCTGACATACTTTCTTGCATGCCAGCCAAAGTATTTGGAAGCGTTGGATGCAGATGATGGTGAATCCTTTGAAAAACTCGGGAAGAATGATTCTGCGTCAGATTCATTGAAGTGACCATATATTTTTGGTAGCTCTGGGTGTAACCTTGCACATAACGCAAGAATTGATAACAAAATCACAGGATCCGGGTTATTCTTCAGTGGTGTATACTTTTCAATGTATGTATGTGGATCGAATTCATCTGATTTAAGGAACTTGAAAAATGACGGTTTATGAAATAATGGGAATATACCCTTGTACTGGTTTTCAAAAAAAATTTCGCTGGCTTCAATGATAAATTTCTTCTCCGGTAGAAATACCATTGGTTTGCTTTGTTGTCTTGAAGCAAACAGTTGTGTTAACTTTCGCTTTTTCAATTGTGACGTCTTCAATGTGTAAGTACATTCAAGATCGAGTTTGGAACATCTTTGGCAACGAGTTGAGTCGGAGTTGTTGATACATTTTAACTTGCTTCCTCTGCATAAATTACACGCGACACTGGCACGCACAGTTGACTTGGAGCTTGATGGTGACATTAGAAAGTATATTGATAAGACTTGAGTTAGAAATATACAACATCTTTGCAATGGTTTAAAAAACTGTGGATCCAATTTGATTACGAAATAAATTCTACAATTTTCTCTATTTTATTACGTGCAGGAAATTGGTTCAGAAACATACTTTCGTAAATGCATTCACACACACAAAAAAAAAGAGGAGTGAACAAAATTCCAAAGCGAAGACAAAAAAAAAAAAGAAAGATCAAATACACTTAGAAAGAAACTTTAGGAGTCATACTTATCAATACTACAATATGGAAGTTGCAACATCAGCAGGACAATCACAATCACCACCAATTACTGTTGAGAAACAAGTTACATTTCAATATGCTAATGAATGTGATTTAGAAATTCATTGTTCACCTTTTGGTTTAAGTGGGTTATATATCAAAATCAATGGTACAAATATCATGGGTATTGGGTCAACAATGGGATTGATAACAGGTTCCACTAGAGGATTGATACATTATAATGATAGTAATGACTTGATAGATCAGAAGTATAAACTTTATGTGGTAGTAGATGATGAAGGCATGTTGAGAATAGATTTTGCAAAGATTTACACGAATTCCAATGACAACGACAAGATTGTTCTGTCCAAAGAAGGAGAACAAGAAGAGGCACCAACTTTGGTTTTTAGAGGTAAATGTCCTGAAGGTCGACCTGATAATATTGAACCATTTATCGGAATATTTTCATTTGAAAGAGAAACGTGATTTCTGTGTATAGGTTGGGGTAAAGAAAGTAGATTTTTTGTTTGTTTGTATTATTATTATTGTATGGATTGATCTTTTTTTATTTCTTTGTCACACAGCTGGGTTTGTTTGTTACCAACGTGCAGCAGTTCAACAGATTGAAATTGCAATAAATGTAATACTTGTGCTTCCCGTATATGCATCCATTTGTTGATGTCTGCTATATTGATAGAATCTTCTCTTTCTCTGTATGTGACTACACTGCTTCTTGCAGTAAGATACGAGGTTTGTTCACTTTTCTTTATACCCTTACTCAAGCCTATAGAAGTAAATAGAAATTTATATAATTTCGCATTCACTTCTATTAAATAATGCGTAACAACCGTGAAAATAAAGAAATGTTGATCTGTGATTCCTGTTTCATTTGTGATTTATTATTATTTTGTAGGTGCTGCTTTGATTGTATATCTGTGATATTCACGTGATGTGTGGAGACTTTGTCAGTGTCGTACTATTGTGTATTGGACACACTTGCGACATTTTTCTGTACTGTATGTTGACATCCCGCGGTATCAGTTCGCTTTGGATTGTATTTTTTTCCGCTATGATTTTTCTGTTCATTTTTTGCCCCCCCCCCCCACTAGCGGAGACTCATGATATCCGCTTGCAAATAATATGGTCAATATATATGTAGTTAATAAAAACCTAATTAATCAATGGTCTTCTTCGAATAATGACTTGTTTCCATAGTTTTGATGATTGTGTGCCGCCAAAAAAGGGTTGCAATATTTATTTGAGTCCTGCATATAGCGATGGAGACAGAGGAGCCTCGGCTTCTTTAAAGAAACCAAAAACTTCAATCAATGATAATTTTTTTTTTCCTTTGATTGTTCACCCCACACATAAAAATACCAATAAAGATTTCACAGGCAAAAACTTAAATCATATATAAACCAACCAACTCTTTCCCCAGATGAAAATATAGAAATTTATTCTGAAAATACTACTTTTTTTTTCCTTAACTTTGTTTTTTTCAAGAGAATATTCATTTTTATTCGTATTTTTAATTTTTTTATTAAATCAAGAGAAACTATATATTCCATTATTACTAAACACACATCATGGATAGATTAAATCAATTAAGTGGTCAATTAAAACCAAACACCAAACAATCTATTTTACAAAAAAACCCAGACGATGTAGTCATTGTTGCTGCATACAGAACTGCTATTGGTAAAGGGTTCAAAGGTTCTTTTAGAAGTGTTCAGTCGGAATTTATTTTGGCTGAATTCTTGAAGGAATTTATCAAGAAAACCAAAGTTGATCCATCTTTGATTGAAGATGTTGCCATGGGTAATGTTTTGAACCAAGCTGCAGGTGCCACTGAACATAGAGGTGCTTGTTTGGCTGCTGGTATTCCATACACCGCTGCTTTTATTGCTGTCAATAGATTTTGTTCTTCTGGGTTAATGGCTATTTCTGATATTGCCAACAAGATCAAGACTGGTGAAATCGAATGTGGTTTAGCTGGTGGTGTTGAATCCATGTCTACTAATTACCGTAACCCAAAGGTTGCCCCAAAAATTGACGAACACTTGGCTGATGATGAACAAATGGAAAAATGTTTGATTCCAATGGGTATCACCAATGAAAATGTTGCTAGCCAATTCAATATCTCCAGAGAAAGACAAGATGAATTTGCCGCCAAATCATATAATAAAGCTGCCAAGGCTGTTGCTTCTGGAGCTTTCAAGCAAGAAATCTTGCCAATCAGATCTATCATCAGAAACTCTGATGGTACTGAAAAGGAAATTATCGTTGACACCGATGAAGGTCCAAGAGAAGGTGTTACTGCTGAATCCTTATCTAAATTGAGACCAGCTTTTGATGGTACTACCACTGCTGGTAACGCCTCCCAAGTTTCCGATGGTGCTGCAGCCGTTTTGTTGATGAAGAGAAGTTTGGCTGAAGCTAAAGGATACCCAATTGTTGGTAAATATGTTCTTTGTTCAACTGCAGGTGTTCCACCAGAAATCATGGGTGTTGGTCCAGCCTATGCCATCCCAGAAGTCTTGAAGAGAACTGGTTTGACAGTTGAAGATATTGATGTATTTGAAATCAATGAAGCCTTTGCTGCCCAATGTCTTTACTCTGCTGAGCAAGTAAATGTACCTGAAGAAAAATTAAACATCAATGGTGGTGCTATTGCCTTGGGTCATCCATTGGGTGAAACTGGTGCTCGTCAATATGCTACTATTATTCCATTATTAAAACCAGGTCAAATTGGATTGACTTCAATGTGTATTGGTTCTGGTATGGGTTCTGCTTCAATTTTGGTTAGAGAATAGATATGTAAAATGTGAGGGAAGTTATTATTATTATTACTATATATATATATATAATCATTGAATGAATATATGTTAAAATTAAAACACTGATAAGATGTCCACATTATCTGCAGTTTATAATCAATACATACGTGTAATAACTAAACCTACATTAAAAAAATAAACAATGGATATATATATATATTGTTTTCTTATTATTTTCTAAACAAACCTAATGTATTACTTGAAATAAACGTTTGAACTCTTTCTAGAATCAGATATAATAGGTGGTTGATCTTGATCTTCTCTTTGTGATTGATGATGAGCTCTATGTGGGAAATAAACCACATTGATTGGAGGTAAATAGTAGACATTATTAATTGGATAGTATTTGTACTTATCAACTGATTTGACATCCATCGCCAATTGATTTGTAGAATACGATAATGGAGGAGCTTCGGAGCTATATCTCTCTTCACCATTTGCAGTAGATATGGGTGAATTTTCGTCCATATTTTCATTAGATTGTAACAGCATTCCTTGTCCACTATTTGAACCTTCATATCCCGAGTTACCAACACCACCACCGGTACTACCAGTAGCACCGCCATCATCTTCATCGTCGCCGCTATTGTTCATCTGATTGATATTTGTAGAGTTCCCATCATCATCACCACCATCATCCTGATCTTCATGATCCATATAATCATCACCACCATGAACATACTCTTGACCGCCAGCACTACCACTACCATCATCGTCATCAACATGTAGTTTGCGATCAAGTGAAGCTTGTGCAGCAATCCTAAATGCTCTTTTGGATGTAGCAGATCTACCTTTAATTAAAATATCGTTTCTTTCAGCATAGAAACTTGGATTACGACCACGAACAATGATTGGTTCACTAACCAATTCAGCCAACAAAATTTCATTGTTGTTATTACCTTCAGTATCAACATCAATATCATAATCATCGTAGTAGATATCAGCCACAATACAACTCAACTTTGCTTTCAAGTGGTAGTAATTCTGGAATGTCAAATTACCGTTGTTTGGAGTAGCATTCTTGAATTGTAGCTTTTTGACAACAAAGTATTTGTCAATTCCGCCATTCTCAATGGTTTCATTATTTAGGATTATGACATGCTCATGGGTGTTGATAAATGTAGGTTGAACCAAATCATCTTTGTGTTCATAACTGGCATGAAATTGTTGCTTTTTAGCCTCCTTTTCCTTTTCTTTCTCTAGATCCTTGGGGTCGTTCTTGATTATTATAGGAACATTCTTGTTGTTGGAGATATTAGTAGCAGCCAATACTTCAATCTTGAAATACTTGATGACTCTTGTTGTTGTATAACCATATTCACTAGTTTGAAGTTTCAATAGCTTGGAGTCGTCTTTAAACCCGTGTATGTTCATATTGATGGATATTTGAATATAGTTTCGTCTATAGCAAGATACGACCTGAGGGTCTTCCTTCTTGTTGGTGACCCTTGGTGGATCATCTTCATTTCTTTGTAATTCATTCTTGGTGAAAATATAATTATTATTGTCAATATCATTAGTCAAAAATCTTCCATTCAAAAACCCATTAAAGTCAATACAAATCTCATTATTATTCTTATCAATAATCTTGTAATCATTGGAAGAAGTAGATCCAGATTGTTTGAAATCAAGCAATCTCTTCAACTTTGTAGTCTTGTAATCAATCTCAACTTCAAGATTCTTCATGTCACGCTTTCTACCCTTTGCTTTCTTTCTCTTTGGAGTTGATGAACCACTTCTTGGATCAACAGATGATTGTAGTTCTGGAGTTTGTGACTTTATTGGATGTAAAGGTTGAATTTGCTGCAGCTGTAGTATTTGCAGTTGAAAAAATTGTTGTTGCTGCTGCTGCTGTTGATGTTGTTGCTGTTGTTGTTGATATAGACTATTCAAATTTGCAACACTATTACCAGCACTCGCAAGCCATTCATCGTAATCTGTAGGGAACTTGTTCAAATATGAGTTTGATCTCTGGAATGCATTAGATTGTTGCTGTGATGATAAGCCTTGTTGTTGATAAACCAGTTGCAAGTTTGGGTTGTAGTTAAATAAATGTTGAGATAATCCTGGATCATAAGTATTAAATGATGAATAATGACTTGTGTGGGGGAACTGTTGCAGCTGTGATTGTTGTACCTGTGATTGTTGGTGAACTGATTGATCTAGATCAGGCTGTCTATTTATGAAATTGTTATTATTAAGGAAGTCTTGGAAACTACTTGGTTGTGATGAATTGGAACTGTTATTGTCATTGTTTGTGTTACTATTGAGATCACTTTTTGAGGTTGAGAAATTAGAATTCATATCGTACTCCTCATTTTTCAAGATTCTCGAGGCACCAGATTGTGGAGATGTGACATTGGAAGGGTTCATGATATCTGGTAAAAACAACGAAGCCAAGTCTTCCATTCTATCTTTGGATGAATCCATGGCGTTTGGGGATTGTTGTGAATATATATGTAGATGTGGTTTGGAAATTGATAGAACGTGATTAGATTGTATCAGTAGTATTGGGTCTCTTTTTTTTTTCTCTCTCGTGGTACTAGCCAGTCGTAGACGAATAAGAAAAAAAAAAAAGTAAATGTTAAAATCCCAAAAGAAAAACAAAAAAGTAAAAACAAGAAAAATTAGGTAATAGAAATAAAGTCGCCTTGTTGAAATTAGAATTAAGTTAGATAAAATATATGCTGCGACTACCAAACGTTTTTCCTTTTGAGCCAAATACAATAATATGTGGGTGGGAATATAAGGGAAGTAAATAAAAACTATTATTTGAGGACGGTGTTTGTGGGTACTTATTTAGGTCCAAGCTAAAATTTGATGTACCTGTTGAAAGCAAAATAATTTAACTTACAAGAATAAGGAGATATATTTTAATTTGATTTGATCTCTCTGTTGATATAGCGGGAACTGTCTTTTTTTCTCTGTCTCTCTCTCTCTCTCTCGCTCTTTCTTTCACTGTTGATAAAAATAATAAATGATACTTTGGTATTCTGGAGTTTATACTAATTAAAGGGAATTAAATAATAAACGTCCGATTGAATAGCAAATATATGTTGATGGAATTTAAATAAGGTAAGGAAAAAAAAATTATAATGAAGAAAAAGATTTCTTTGGAGTGTGAAGAAAGTTATAACTATTTATATAGCTGAATTTTTCTTCATCAAAAAAAAAAAATTGTTGAAAAATAAAACTAGGCAATAGATGTATATGTAGCCAAGAAGGAGCCTGGGGCGTAGAATGATATGTTCAAGTGATAAATGCCTTTTTGTGAATTTAACTTTTCAATAACTTTAAAACTAAGAAATTTGATGAGATTTGTAAGTTATCGGAAATATGAATAAGGTTGGGATGAATAAACTTTGCAATAAGATTATCTGAATTAGGATTGTGGAGAATGTACTGTTTCAGATGTATAATTAAGTAGACAAAGTCAAAGTAAAACGTTTTTTTTTAAATAAAACAAAAGTAAAATCAAAAACACTTTCAAAATAAAATTAGATATTCAGATGATAATCAACATTTATATACCAAAAAAAAAAGAAAAGGAAAACCGTCAAAGGAATGTAAACGTGTATACCAAGAGTAAAACAGTTTGGTCTTAATAATAAATGAACTTTCCTCTTATTTGCATATAATATATTATTACCAAGATGGTGAAAACCCTCCCGCCTGCTTTGTATGGTCAGCAGGAGTAGTTTCTAGGGGGAGAAGAGCATGAATGAAAATAATATGTTCAATACGAAACGATAGTCTAGATTTTTTTTTTCTTACTTCATACAAAAGAGTTTCTTTTTCTTCTTGCATTGACATTCGTTGTCTCTTGAATTATATAAAAATTATATATTTGGTTTATTATATATTGGTTATTTGTGGCGTTTGACCGAGGACCGAAGAACATCCTACTATTGCATACACTTCATTAAATGCAACCATGTCGCATTTTTACGGGAGTCGATGTCAACTAAAACAAAATCTAACTGCGAAAAATTATAATTCCAGCCTGTACTATTATATCGACGTAAATAAACCCCCCTCTCTCTCTCTCTCCTTGTGACTCTGTTTCTTGTATCCTACCAGATATAGAAATGAGAATTTCACCAAATAATCAGTCACGAAGTTCCTATCCACACTGGCAAAGAAATGAACTGAAAGAAGAAAAAAGAAAAGGAAAGCAAAAAAAAAAGAAAATGAAAAGGCAAGCAAAAATCTTAACTTTACGTACCCCGATGAATGACAAACCATCAAGGTTGTATGCTTTTAGTCAATTATATCTTGTTGACTAAAATAAAATGAGATTTTGATACATGTAGAAGAGAACTTATTGTATAATAAATGAACTATCAACTTTGGTATATTATATTTTTTTTTTTTTTGACTCGCTTTTCGGGTTAAGTTTATTATAATCCTATTGTGGCCCGTAGACGAACTTTATGATCCTATTATATATGTATGCAAAAACATGCCAATAACCGATAGAAAGTTCATGCTTTTTCCCCTCCTTTGTATGGAACTGAGCTGGTGGTAGATTTCAACTGCCGGTTACTAGTCACTAACAGTCTCACTTTATAGTACGATCGTCTTTATGCACTATGTAAATCAATCATCATTTGATTTCTTTTTTCTTTCTTTTTTTTTCATATTTCGTTGTAATTATTTTAAAGTTCTAATTGTTTCGTTCGCCGTATATTCGTAAGTTAAGTGTTAATCTTAACCTCCAATTTGCCTTACTTTTATTTTTAGTTAATTATCGGCGTCGGTAGCCGTTGCCGGTATCCTGCCCAAGAGAAACTAGTGGTTATGTGTCCTTCATTCCAATGTCAATAACATACGGATAATTGATAATTGGTTATGATATCGTAACAACGTTTTTGTTGACAGATTTTCAATTATAATACGTATGATGGGTATTCTTTTTACTGGAGAATAATTTCTCCTCATTAGATATTATCTCTAGGATTTTCCATAATTTTCTTTCTTTTTAATAGTATATATTCACTTGAATTGCGTAAACATGTATCCGACCGGAGTTCTGATTTTGCTAACTCAGTTTTTGTAACTCATATAATCATGAGAATCATCCAGTGTATTATGGTTACAGTTTTTTGAATCACTTTGCTAAAATTTTTATTTTCTGCACAGCTGCGTATACACAAAAATTAAAGTTCAACAATCAAAAAGCGATGGAAAAACAAAAAATGCAACGGAAATGGATTTTCTTCGATAACTCTTGGCTTGCTTTTTTTTGTTGTTTCTTTTGCACCATTTACAAAACTATGCGTATATGAACGGCGCCATTTATTATTACTAACCAAACAAAGATTATATTACTGTTTAAACAGGCTATCATAACTATCGGAGTAAGATTTTAGTTTACTCCGTCTTTCCGCCGCAAAATAATGGGTATTTGACAATTTTTCTCGATCTTGGGAAATCCACTTTTCTGCCATACTCTTTGTTCCTTTCTGCTCCGTAAATCGATTGCTTAACCACGGGGGTGTAAGGACTATAAAGTTTTGTGCTGAACTATGATGACTATTGATAAGGAACTTTAATTGAACGAGAACCGCCATGGATTTCCTATTTTTTTTTTTTTTTTGTTTGTTTGATCTTTTTGCCGTTCCAATTTGAAATATACACAAGAGTAATGATATAGTTTAACTAGAATTGTGGATACAATAAGCTTATTCCATGCGGAGTAGGAGATAAAGGCTAATTGAGCCACGCTCATTCTGAGGAGATCATTATCCACATAATTAGTTTCACACAAGAAAGGGGTTATTTAGATTGATCCCTTGGAGGAAGTTTTAATCCACTACAATGAAAGTTAAATCCCTCCCCCCCGTCTTGGCATCAACTAGAAATACAAGATCAACAAGATAGTAAATCCGCCAGTACTTTCTTCTTTTCCTTTTACACATTTTCCTTCACATGTGAATATGTGATCCAATATAGAGTCCAATTAACTTCTCCGATGCTTTTAATTATGCAAGGTTTATTTCCTCAATAAGTTCACCGCGCGGAAATGATTCCCCACAGTTGCCAACATTAATAAGGTTAGTCGAAAAAAAAAAAAAAAAAAAGAAAAAAATTTTTTGAACGAACTCAGTGTTACATCCAAGAGTTAAAGACAAACGAAAGTATGGTTAGACAAGAGGATTTTGCAGTTGAACAATATATGGATAAGTATGAAACTAAAATCCAATACAATATGGCGGAAACATGTTCCGAATCAATAAAGTTTGACGAATTGTTTGAGTTGTTATCAGACCAGCCGGATGCAAGGCATGAACTTGAACAAAAAATCTTTGGCATGAAGTTAACTTATGGGCATATTAGAGGCTCTCCTGAGTTGAGACAAGCAATTGCAAAATTGTATAATGACGAAGGTGGTTCCATTGGTATCGATGACATTGTGATTACTAATGGGGCAATTGGGGCAAATTTCTTGTCCTTGTATGCCTTAGTTGACGAAGGCGATAAAGTCGTTGTTGTCCGTCCTACTTACCAGCAGTTGGAATCAGTGTCCAAGATATTTGCCGGACCGGAAAATGTTATCCCTTGGGAATTAAAGTACGATAATGATTATCTTCCTGATTTGCAAGAATTGACAAAATTGATTGAAACACATCGTCCAAAATTGCTTATTATAAACAATCCAAATAACCCAACTGGTGCAGTATGGGACGATGCAACAATGGAGAAAATTGTGAAGCTCTGTTCTGAGAATTCAGTTTATTTGATGTGTGATGAAGTTTATCGTCCATTGTATGTATCTGAAGAAAACATGCCTAAGTCAGTTGTCAATTATGGGTACATCAACACCGTTTCAACGTCGTCAACATCCAAGGCATTTGCTTTGGCAGGTTTAAGAATTGGCTGGGTTGTTTGCAAGGATCAAGATGTTATCAAGAAACTCTGTTCAAAACGTGACTACAATACGATTTCTGTTTCGGGCGTGGATGATTTGATGGCTGCTTTTGCGTTGAATAATAAAGATGTTATTCTTAGAAGAAATAAAGATATCTTGTTAAAGAATTTGGAGATTTTAGATGAGTATATCAAGAAAACTCCATTTTTATCTTGGGTCAAGCCAAAAGGTGGTACTACATGTTTTATAAAAGTTGATATTGAAGGTATTGACACAATGGAAATGTGTATTGAGTTGGTTGAACAATACGGAGTTCTTATTGTACCTGGAGAAGTTTTTGGTCACAAAGGGTACTTGCGAGTTGGGTTTGGTAATAACACTGAAGACATTAAACAAGGGTTGGACCAATTGACAGCATATTTCAAATCAAAGAAACTCTTATAAATAGTAGTTTTTAGTAATATTTTCATACAAATTCTATAAGATAATTATTCCAACGGATAAATGTTTGACTCAGACAATAGTACAGAAATGTCAGTTCTCAATGTTGTTATTTATTATCTAAAAATAACCATCCACAGAATATAGTATTGAAGAATCAAAACCTATAATCCAATTAGACGTTGATATAGGAATTAATACGAAGTAGTGCACAAAATCAAAGAAAATAACGCAGTCACATATAAACGCAATGACATCATCCGTTTTTTTTTTTCTTTTCTTTTCTGTCTCCTCTTCCTCCCCCCCCACACAAGTTGAAAAATTCGTTTAAGATGAGCAAAGTTGTTGGTCAACATGCTTCATCATACATTAATCATAAATGGATCAACGGATACAATTCATGATCTTTGTTTATATTATTTTTTTTTTCAGATTACGAGTGATGGTGATTTGAATTTTATTCAACAATAAAGACAAAAGCAAAATCTAATGTGTTGCTAAAAATAGAGCAATAAGTTTTTTTTTTTTTGTTTTTGCTCACGTAAACGAAGAACAAAATCAAGCAATGAACGGGAGAACAATTATGTAATTTATGTAAAAATCAGCTGGCTTTGGCTTTTTATTTGATTAATTTAATGCCGTATGATATAAATGCGTGGGAATCAAATAGGTCCAATCTCTGAACTATTGAGAATTATATAAAGACCGTTAGGTAATAAAAGGATTCGTTTTTTTTTTTATTTATTTTTATTTTTCCATTTTCTTCCTTTCTTCGTTATAAATTATTTCTGAAACAACCAGAAGACAGAAAGGAAAAAAAAAACAGAAAAAATCTATAAGGAAATTCTCACAAAACAGATTTTATAATTTTCCCATTTTCTTTTTCTTTTTCCCACCATCCTTGTTTCATCTTACAACACATACACAATTGAATCGATTTCCTTATTGTTACTTCAGATAATCATCAGTCACAATGGATCAGCACCATCACCAGCATCATAATAATAGTCAGGATCAAGAGCAACAAATCTATTATGGTAGATCTGTGAATAAGGTCTACAACCAAGAGTTCATCATAGACAGACGATTCAAGATCGTTAAAGAGTTAGGGCATGGTGCTTATGGGATTGTTTGTTCTGCCAAATACGACGATGGCACGTCAACTAAGGATGAACCAGATTCCCAGAATAACGGTTCCTCTGACGGGTCATATGTTGCCATCAAGAAAATTACAAATATATTCACCAAGAAAATCTTGTGCAAACGTGCGTTGAGAGAATTGAAGTTATTGCAGTTTTTCAGAGGACATAAGAATATTACTTGCTTGTATGATTTGGATATTATTCCTAATCCAATGACTGGTGAATTCAATGAAATTTATTTATATGAAGAGTTGATGGAATGTGACATGCACCAGATCATTCGATCTGGTCAACCTTTAACAGATCTGCATTATCAGTCATTTATTTATCAAGTGTTGTGTGGTTTGAAGTACATACATTCAGCCGATGTGTTGCATCGAGACTTGAAACCGGGAAACTTGTTGGTTAATGCTGATTGTGAATTGAAAATTTGTGATTTTGGGTTAGCAAGAGGATTTTCCGAAAACCCTGATGAAAACGCTGGGTTCATGACAGAGTATGTTGCCACCAGATGGTACAGAGCACCTGAAATTATGTTGAGTTTTACAAACTATACCAAGGCAATTGACATCTGGTCAGTTGGATGTATATTAGCAGAGCTTTTGGGAGGAAAACCTATATTTAGAGGAAAAGATTATGTTGATCAATTGAACCAAATATTAATGATTTTGGGAACACCACCTGAATCCACATTACAAAGGATTGGATCCCACAGAGCCCAGAATTACGTCAGATCATTACCTATCATGAGAAAAGTAAGCTACAAACAACTATTTCCAGACGCAAACCCATTGGCATTGGATTTGTTGGAAAAAATGTTAACCTTGGATCCACACGAGAGAATCAGTGTTGAAGAAGCATTAAGTCATAAATACTTGGAAGTGTGGCACGATCCAAGAGACGAACCAGAGTGTCAAGTCAAATTTGATTTTAAATCATTTGAAACGGTTGATGGTTTGGAGGACATGAGACTGTTGATCATTGATGAAGTGAAGAATTTTCGTGAGTTTGTGAGGAAACCAATCGAAGAGCAGCAACAAATACAGTTACAGTTACAAATTCAACAACGAGAGAAACAACAAGCCGAAGAGCAGCAACAGCAGCTTCAAAGGGCACAAGCGCAGGAACAAAATGATTATATGGATATATCCCAAACACCATATACCAATTTAGAAACCAATATGGCGACGCCGCAGGTTGAAGAAGATTACCCCAGACCACAAGAGTTGAATGATTTTACATTTTCTAATTTAGAATCAGCAAATGCTTCGGATTCTATGCATCTATATCACGATTTAGCCAAACCGTCTGGCAGTGAGTACATAAAGCTAGAGGAAGAGTTGGGTTTTGGGTTAGATGGCGCCATGTTTAATAACTATTAAGTAATTACATATCTAAATAGATCTCCGCTTTTTGCAAAGCACCAAAATGTAGATTCGTCTGTATAAAATGAATCAATCTTTCCATCTCCAACAAAACACGACAAATCAATAGTTGCCAACGGGATCTCTATTGAAGGAACCAATTTGTCACTAACAATTGGACAAATGATGTTGTGTCTGATTACCGGCTTCTTCTTGTAATGCCTTTTTAACCTGATATCGTAGAGTGACTTGTAAAGAGACACCGCCACTTCTATTTGATCTGTTGACAATGCTGTTTTGGGAGCCTCATCCTGTAGTATCATATTCATGCTATAGGTGTTGGCGATATTAGTCAATGAGGGTGAATGAAATGGATTTTCATCAATCGACTTGTTTCTATTGTGCTTCATTCTTGATAAAGGACTTGGACTCACCAATATTTGTCTCCTATCATGAATAGATTTCGGTCTGCTCTCTCTAGGTGCAGATGGTTTTGGATGGTGTCTTTTAACCTTAGGAAGTGCTTTATAATCAAAGTCCCAAACAAACGTTTTCCCATCATATCCACAACTAATCAACTTGTAAACCAGGGAGTTGGCATTGTCCTTAACAAATTTAATAGACTTTACCACATTGGTATGTCCTTTGAAACGGCCTATTATTTGGATATCCTTAATCATAGGCGGGTACAAGTCCTTGTTGTTTCTAGAATCTTTAATTCTTGGCTCTGTTCCAGAATTTGCACTGTTAACCGTACCACTTCTTGAACGACGGCCAGTATTTTTGTACAATAACCCATTGACATTGTAATAGCTCATTTTGAACACTTCAATCAAATCACCATTGCCCACAACACAAATAAATTTGAAATCAGGGGAAAACTGAATTGCAGTGATGCCTGTGTTGAAGTAGTTTGATATCACATCAGTGATAATAACGTGTTTTTTGTTACCATAGTTTTGGTTATATGTGAAAATTAAATCGATAAATCTAACAAACCCATCAGCGGAAGCAAGTGCAAGAATCAATGGCTGGGATTCAGGTGACTGCAACGGTTTATTAATCGGTAAAGTAGAACTTATGGATGTTATAGGCTTATGGCTAACCTTAATATGACCCACTAGAAACGAGTTATGAATCTTGCCAAGCGGACTCAAATCGAACTTTTTGAAATACGTACATGATTCATCTTTATCTATAGTAGCTTTGGCATAGTTTTCAACCACACCCGCTGGATTAAGAATTACGACTTCACCGTTGGAATATCCTGCAACAATCAAATACTCATAATTTGGATGGCGCATGGCCTCGATTGATGTGACAGTGTTCACTTCCACATTATCCTCACTTTTTTTAATTGCATCAAACATCTGAAACTTCTGATCGAGTAATTTGATAATGATAATCTCACCGGAATGGAAACCCAATATAACAATAGGTTCGTCATTCAACACAAACGTAGAAATTGCACTTATTATCGCATCGTCCTTAAACTGAATTCTGAGCACTGGTTCCTCGATCATTCTTTCATATGTCTTACCTTGTCCTTCCTCTTCTATTATGGGTTTGAGTTTGGATTTGTTCTTTTTAGTATTCATAAAATTGCTCTTTTCATCGAGTGCAAAAACATTCAAGATATTGACATGTGATGATACTAATAGTCTCGAGGCTCCAATTATTTTCTTATCGTTTAAAATTTTAAAGTCCCCCTTTTGTAGATCTTTGAAATAATTTGTTGATTTACCTCCTGGGTTTGTAAATGTTTTGTTATCAGCAAACGGGTTTCGGGATTTGGTCAATGTGATGATCCGTGTCATACATCCAGGGTTGGAATTCACAATCTTGAATGGATCATGTAATAATGGGTTGATGTTGGCTCCAATATGCATATACCCTTCCAGACCCTTTTCACTGTTTTTCACTACTTTATCAAACAAACTAGTGACATGGTGAGGTAATGAAACATATGTAGTCGACTCATTCTTGCACAATGGTGGTCTTGCAATATTCAAATATGACTGATCTAACTTGAGAATAGTATTTGTAGTAGTAATTGGCCACGGGATCTCTCTACATTGGGAAGGTAGGGTTCTCAACAGATAGTGTACATTATCATCTAGACCAGCAAAGCCAGGACACACTGAGTTTAAGAAAGGCGTTGCATTGGGTAATTGTGAAGTCGACGCATCTACTGACATAATGTTGATTTTGATGGTGGTAAATCGTTCAAAAGGAAGAATTTGCTTCTTTGGTAGATTAATATTCGCCGGCGAGAGTACGAGGAATTGTTCTCTTTTTTCTTTTGATTTTCTGTCTGATAACAAAACTCACAAAAATGAGCAAAATACAGTTTTGTGTCAGAGAACGAACCCAAGTGTCTGATATGAATACGGTCTATCACTATTCGATATTGGGGACAAGAAGACACTTGTGGTATCCCAAAGTACGATACATCCTTCGAGATGGGTTATGTGACTAATAGGTAGTGTTTTCCAATAAAATGTCTGTTCACGTGATCGTTTCTCCTTTAGAGTGATTTCATTGGCTGACAGCAGCGAGTGAAAAAATTTTTCTGTCGTCGCATCCAAACTGCAATAGTTAAAATGTCGACGACGAGAAGAAGAAAAGAGGGAAAAATCAACATACAACCAGCGTTGTCGCCACCGAAACCTATAAACTCTTTTGATAGCTGAACAAAGAAACAACAACACCTGCCCTCCACAGAAACGTACTAGTTGTCCCCCAACATCTTCCTCCTCTTTCATTCTCAGAAAACAAAACAAAAAAAAAAAAAGCAAACGACTATGGCCAAGAACCCACAACAACCTGCTGTTGCTAACTCGGCCGGTAGTTTACGTTTTCGACAGAGGAAGATCAGTACAAAGAGTACCCTACGCATATACACAAAGGACCAGTTGCCGTCTTTGGATAAGAATGAGTTGGAACCGAGCCAGGTACACAATCTAAAGTCAAGTGATGCAACTCAATCGCGTGGGGTCGATACGGGTGTTGATAAATCGGAGGAGGACGAAATCCACCTTCAACAGGTTATAAATGCCGCGCAACAAGCACTTTTGTCTAATACCGAAACTTCCACTGTTTACATCCCCACGCCCAATGCTTCTAGAATATGGCCAGACGCGAGCACCTATTATAAGCAAAAGTTTCAGGAACCACACCTGTTGATTAAGTTTAGTTTTACTGTTGAAGATGCCGTTGGTGTTGGCTATAATATGGACGAGGAGGATGAAGAGTTTTATGCCAGTTTAGTGAAGAAGTATTCTAAAAACACACCCACTGAGCTACAGATAGAAGCTATTTTGGATTGTTTTGAAAAATCAATACAAGTTTTGCAGCCTTTTCTTTCGATGGACCCTTCCAATATCCTCTCGTATAAAGACATCTATCAACACGCCAGCACGCTGCTAGATAAAAATGCTGTCACCAATCCATATGTCAAGGCACCTACTGCAGCCGAACTATTAAAGTTGTTAAATTCATATGGGAAAGAGGTTTATGCTCATTGGAAAGAAAGAAAGATAAAACGACTTGGGAAATCCATCCAGCCTACACTCAAGTTTGAAGACCCCAGTGCCAACGATGATAATGATCCATATGTTTGTTTCCGAAGAAGAGAATTTAGACAGGCTCGTAAGACAAGAAGAGCAGACACAATAGGTGCTGATCGTATTCGTCAAATGCAAAGATCATTGAATAAAGCTAAAGAGTTAATTGCTAATGTCAGTGAGAGAGAAAAATTAAAGCTTGAGAATTTGCAATCGGAATACGAGTTGTTTAAATTACGTTGTCAAACAAAAGCATGTAAACGTGAATTGGAGATCAAAGGAGATGACTATTTGTTTTTCCCCCACAAGAAGAAGAGGATTATCAAGATCAAAGAAGAAGAAGAAGAGCGAGAGAGACGCAAGGAAAAGAAGAGACAAGAACAAGAAGCATCTTCAAAACAACAACAGCAACAGCAGCAACTACAACAACAGCAACAGCAACAACAACAGCAACAGCAGCAGCAACAATCATCGCAACAGCAATCACAACAAGAAAGCACAAATCAACCATACGTCAAATTACCACCGGCAAAAATCCCAGATATGGACCTTGTTACTGTTTCATTGGTTTTGAAAGAGAAGAACGAAACCATCAAACGTGCAGTCATGGAGAAGCTACGTAAAAGAAGAGATCACGATAGAGGCTTTATCAACCTTACAGACGATCCATACCAACCATTTTTTGATATATCCCATAATAGAGCACAAGAGTTGAGCCATATACCGTATTCTTCAATCGCAGCTACATTCTACCATCAGATCAATACTTCCAATTATATCGGGGAACCTTTGAAGAAACTACTCGAGGAGGAGAAACCTTTGCCCGGCGTAAAGACATTTCTTGGAGCCAATGGTGAATTGATCCCAACAAAAGGGTTCCCACATACCCTGTCATTGATGCAAGAAACACAGAAACCACAAAGTGGTTACATAGAGAGACTTTTGGAAAGTGTGGAGGCGCATGATTTTAGTTCATACACCAATGGGTTCAAGAACACAGAAGAAGAACCACAACAGACACCAAGTTTAATAAGCTTTCCTGAGAGAATACGTAAACGTGTTGGAAGAGGAGGACGAATGTTTTTGGATTACCAGCAACACCACCGTCATCAAGACGAACTGATTATAGATAATGGTGAGATCAAAGACATCTATTGTGAAGAAGATTCAAGGAAAAGACTTCAATCCAGATGGAAATTTGACACCGAATATGAATCTCCAGAACCATTCAGTTTGGACCCTTCCAAGCTTAACGGCATCAGTCCATCTACTCAATCCATTAGATTCGGATCAATGTTGTTAAATAGAACACGTAAATAGGATTACATGAATGAAACGATTATAATTGCGCTTAAGAAGCAAGCGAAAGTGTAATTTCTCCGAGCAGGACTACGTACTCGACTATGATCAATAAAGTTACGTTGACACCCAAATGAAAGAGCGGTCAGATAAAATCGCGGTGAAGTTGAATTAACGTTTGCTTCGTCCTCGATCAAATTAAAGGGTGCAGAAATGTGACACCGGTCAATCGCTAGTGTTCAAACAGCAAGGGTTGCTTGATAATTGATGCATAAGATGTTCGATAGGTCAAATTGACAACAACCTTGGGTATAATTCTGTAGATGTTGATCCTTCTAGAGAACTGTTGTCAAGATGGCACTGCAACTTAGGCGGGTAGTGTGACATACGGAAATCAGACTGGTGAGATGTGCAGTGGAATTGGTGCTGAAAGTTACTATAAATGCTAGGTAGTAGTGAGTCTCGAACTGAAGTGTGGTGATTCCGGACCTGAATGCCCATTAAAGTGGAGTCTCTCCAACGGTTTCTCCATATTGCGAACCGTGGCTACTCGTCGCTAGTATTTATTGTTTCATTGTTCCCTATGTGTCTGCAAGAACAATCACAACATGATAAAATAATTCTGATTTCATCAATTCCACTCTTGTTCTGCTACGACCAACGTAGTTGTTGTTTTAATTCCCAGTTCCAGTATTTCTTCTCCTACTGTCTCGGCCAGTGGCCCTCACATTTTACCAGTTTATTCCATTAGTATACAGATCTATAAACTTCTATATGATCACAGTGTTTGTCTCTTGCCTCAATTCACTCGTCGCTTCGCTGTTTCTTAACTGTTGCAACATGGCTTGTGCTCTCTGAATAATCTCGTCATTCTTGCCGCTCGCCTCCACATCAGTTAATCCCTTTCTTGTTGTCATGCGTCGTTTCAAGTTATTCACACTGGTGTACTTGTCCAGCACGGGTATTACTTCATCACCTGTACTGTAAAACGACAATGCCTTGATTCTCCTGTTCTTGCTTCGTGTTCTCGTGGTCGATGTGGTCGTTTTTAATTTCTCCAACAACGAATCTATAACCGCAGATGACTCTTCAGCAGTGTCAACAATTGCCTCTTCCTTCTCCTTCCTCTTGGCTATTCTATCCTCGAGTATCTTCTTCCTGGCTTCATACGTCCGCTGTTCTTCTTCTCGTTGAATATTCTCCACGTGTGCCTTTTTAAACTCTGTGATGAATACGATAAACTTGTAGAAGAATGTATTTCTAGCAGTACTATCTTTGGGGTTTTCACCAAAATACATCATAAGCGAGTTCAACTCCTCAACAGTACGTTTCAAATGTGATTGCAACAACGAATTCTTGTTTCGTGCGCTCTGCATTGGTGTGGCAATCATATCAAGAATCTTATCATCAGGATGAAACTCTTTCGCATTGCTTAATTTACCCCTCTCCATCGAGTCCGTGATGTTCCTAACAGACTTGGCCATCTCTTCACAATCTGTCTCTAACTGTTCAACAGATATGTTCTGTAGTTTCTGTAGCGCCTCCAAATCATCAACAAAAGTGCCATACTCTGGGAATGAATGCCTGATGATCTTCTCAATGTAATGCAAGAACGTCATTGAATTCTGGTCATCCTTCATAAACTTCAATCTCTGCAACGTATCCAATTTGAACCCCATCGCTTGTTTGGCTTCATCATTCATGAAATTACCCACTGTTCGTATAATACCCAAGACATTCTGTAAACTATCTGACTTCTTCAAACATGCATTCGCTTCATCGACAATACTAAGCCTCTTCATCAAATCAATATACTCTTTGCGATACGTCTGTGTGAACAACAATGCCCGTGATCTGGGCCTCCAGTAATGACGAAGATTAAAACACAACTCAAGAAATATCCTATCAGCTCTTTCCAACTCCTCTGGATCCTTCATGGGTTTCTTGTTATTACGAGGATCGGTAGAATATGGGGCCAAGTTTCTGAAAATATTATCACTGAACTCAAACAATGCGTCGCTGTTAAAAAATTCCAAAACACTGATGTTTTCCAATATCTCGGGACTGCACGTCAACACTTTGGTAACAAATTCCTCCTCTGTCAAGTTGGCAAACATATGTAGATTAATACCAAACTGCTGGGATAAATCACGGGCAAGGAATGTAACCTTTGTTGGTTTCAGCCATATCTGTGCCTTACCATCAATTTCTTTCCTCTTCTTGATGGCCGATGTCTTGGCAACAAATACTCGTACAACTTCACCAAATACACCTTGTTCAACTAACTTG